TGTCCAGCCCCAGTTGCGTCTGTGATGGTGAGCCCGCAAATAACACCAAACCCCTCAAGCTCAGCACCGTGGAACCGTGTGCCAGGCCCAATATGCACCACCTCTGCCGTCCCCACTATCCTCCTGTCATCTGTTAGGACATAGACTGTGTCATCTGGCAGAATCTGCACGTCACTGTGCGCGCTCGAATGGCCTCTGGCTTGCGGCGAGGGGTTCAGCTGACATGCCAGCCCTGCGATGACACCCATTGCAGCTTCCATGTTGATCCCAGGGGAGGAAACTTCCAGGGACGGTCGACCTGCGCGCACCAACACACAGCTGCTTACAATCCGCGATTATTACCGCATTCAAGCAATATCTTCCCTAGTGTCTTGCTAGGATGTCAAGCTCAAATTTATTCCTGTTGTTAGTATTACCCAGATGACCCTTAGGTGCGGCACTCTACCACATCATATGTAGCAGGGTGCGTGAGTGACAGGCATGACTCAGGCAAAGGGGCAAGCACAGCATGTGGAGCAGGGTGCGTGAAAGACAGGCATGGCTCAGGCAAAGGGGCAAGCAGACACTTCAGCATTGAGAGACAAGACATGAACAAATCAACTACACCAGCGTATGAGAGCAGTCAGTTGACAAGTTCACAGGAATGACAGAGCAGGATTTTGTACATGCCTGCTGGGCCATCTGCAGAGCGGTAGGAGGAAGCTGGCTCCTCATCGGCAGCGAGCTCCAGAGCAGGATCAAAGAAGACCATGGCGCCAGACAGCGGTGACTGCTCCAAGGCTGACTGCGACTGCTCCGCTGCCGTAGCACTCCCACCTAGACAACACATGCCTGTCGTCAGCTTATTGCTGACAATTACCTGTCGATAAACCTTCGGGGTATGATTCGCATGGCATTATAACTTAGAAACTCACTGTGAGTGGAATCATATAAGCCAGGACAAAGAGAGCCATGATGGCTCCTCACCTTCTCCGGCGCGCGCCGCATTCTGCTCCTCAGCCAGCAACATTGCCAGCGCCACACCAGTTGCAGCCTCTTCGACGTTCATGGGCGAGCTCCCGGCAGCGCCTCCGAGAGCCACCTTCAGCCGTTTTGGATGACAGAGGGCCGCTGCAATGTGCCGGTAGTCGATCACCAGCACAGCCATTTTGGCCGGCGATGCGGCATGCCCCTGCATGCTCAGCCGCACGTTGGGGACTGGCACAGGCTGCGGCGACTCATCTGCCAGCAAGCAGCCGTGCAACGGCGACTGGCTCGCACAAGCTGTGGGCTGCGGCGGCACTTCGCTGGCCTCAGGCAGGACACCCTCTGCCTGCCCTTCTGGCTCTGCTGGGTCACTGTGCTGCTGCGCTGGCTGGTCATCCGCATCTGACTCAGAGAAGAGGTTCCCAACCTCGTCTTCGTCGCCCTCAGTGGGGGGACCCCAAAACTCTGCGGCTCTGGCGGTTGGGCGCCTGAGCCTGCCTCGGCTGCCCCTTCTGGGCCGATTGCTGCCACGCGCCCCGCCTGTGCCGCGGCGGCCACGCTTCCTGCCCCGACCCCGCCCATGCCCTTCCTGCACGCCCCCACCGGTGGCTGCCTCTCCTGCACCCCGTCCCTCCACATCTGCGCGTGCCCCACCGCCTTCCCCTGCCACCGCTGCCTCGGGCTCCCCCTGGCTATCTGTCTGCACGCGCGCCTCGAGGAACCATATCTCCATATGCAGCTGGGTGCCATCGCTGCCTGGCTGCACAGCGCGCACCAAACCAACAGGAGCCTTGGCAGCACGACCCAACTGGGACAAGTTGCGTGCTGGGAACTCCCCGTCGCGGTGCAGCGTGCTTGTGACGGCCCAGAGAGCGACACCAATCGAGGGAGTGCTCTCCCCCAACTGCGGCAGGTAGTGGCACTTGTCGAAGGTCCAGAGCAACTCGTCAATCTGCTTGAGTTTGACCACGGGCAGGCCGCTGCTCACTCCTGCAAACATGTGAGCGCCTCAATTGACTGGCTATCATTCCCTTCCATCAAATCTGCAGAAGTTAAAGCCTTCTCGGGTGTGCAACAGTCACCAGGTGATCAGAGCTTCCAGCTGAGAGCGCCCACTCACCCTTGTTAACAATGGACTTGGCCGCTTCCATCTGAAGCTGTGACTTCTTCGGCGCCTGTAACAACAATAACTTACAATCAGTGTGTTCAGCCAAACTCGCTTTCACTGCACCAGCAGCTTGACAGATGAGAGGCGTTCACAAAGCACATGCAAACATAAGGATCCTCAACAAGATGCCCACCTTCTGCCTTGCTGGTCTTTGCCGTGCCGGTTGGGCTGCGGCCTCAACAGCGGCTGTGATCTCTTCAACCGCCGCCGCACTCGGCTCCAGTCCACCTGCATGACAGCATCCATTAGCTGCCAGCGCATAAGATGTCCAGAGGAAATGGTGAGGACATGTTATTAATTTGCCAGGCATAAGATGTGTAGGCGCTGATCGTTACAGCCATCATGGATAGCTACCTTCTGGATGCTCAAATCTAAGCAGCCCTTCCACCCTGGCGAGCAGCGCGCTTCTGGTGAAGATCACTGGCCGCTGGCCTCTGTCAAGCAGGAACCGCTTCAGCTCTGCAACGGTGGATGAGGCCTTGAGGCTGAACGCAAGCCACCGTTGGACGATGTCCTGCTCGGCTCCCTGAGCGCTGAGCTGCCTGCGGCTGATCCCTGGCTGTGGCGCTTGCGAAGGTCCTGCAGCTTCTGCCTCTGGGGCTGCGGGACCCTGCATGCCGCCTGCTGCAGCTGTGGCGCCCCTCTGCGCCTGTCCTTGGGCTGTCTGGCCTGCCTGAAGTCCACTGGCCTGGAGATACGAGGCTGCCATCACTGTCCTGTTCAGGTTGGGCACTGCTGCCAGCAATCTGCTGGCGCTCTTGCTGAAGCTGACTTTCTGATTGAGGTGTCTCGTTGCAAAGATGGCGGTCGAAGTCGTCCCATTGTCTTCGAGGCGAGCCTGCTGACCACCAATGATGCCTCGAATCTTGCTTGATCGCCTATCGGCTCTCTTCCTCTCCAAGTCGCCGGTCTCTGCCTCTGAACGCAACGCAAAAGTCAGAGTTAGTTACTCTGTGTCAAGGTCATGGGGAGATTCAAAACATAGGTGTTCCCAACCTTCAAAGATGGAGTGCTTATTGAGACCTACCAATCACTCCTTGATGCATGATAAAATTCAACTTATCCTCATTGAGATCCTTGCCCCTGGTTTGGGCTGCAATGACGCAGTCCTCACAGCATTTGTGGGTAATATTTCTGAGCTCTGGATACTTTTCGCTCTCAATCTTCCCGCGAATAGAATAGTAGCCATTAGCTCTGGACAATGCTGAAGGTTCATCTCGGCCAAGGCAGCTCTGATGGAAATATCTGACCCCTGAGTCCACGGCATTGCAACGTTGCAATGGCACCCTTGCCTCTTGTTTGAAGACCCAGTCGGCAACAGCGTCGTGGCCGTATTCGTCCTTTGTCAGACCTTCTGAATAGAATCTGATAATATAATCACAACCTACACAGCGAGTCAAGCGTTCTGAACTTGCGCAGTTCGGATGAAGCTTCTCCTTGTCACTGCCACACTTGTAACACGGGATCCTAGCAATAATAAGTGACATGCTCGGTACAGAAACACATCACTGATCATTCTCCATGCTTACTGACGAAAGGCCTAATTTTTATTACCAAAATGGCATGCTATGGAATGTGTTACCAGGTGGCATGGCCCCTGATTGCCAATAATCCACCACATTAGTAGCGTTTACATCCACTAAAGTAGTGGATTTTGATTACTCGGGTGCCCTGCCTAGCAACCTTGACTTCCATTCTCCGATACGAAATGTTCCGAGACGCCGATTCAGCTATATCTCCGCATTTCTGGCGGAGTATTGGAGCATTTTAGAGGTCCCTTATCAGATCCTGAGAGATCGGGCTCAGGAAATGAGGGCCTGACCTGAAAGTTTGAAGCTGACGGCTGCAGATCAAATATAGCTGTGAATACGATACATTAGTTTATCAATATCGTCGCTGATCTAGAGTTTTTTATAATAATCACTTTCAAAGCGACAGAAAGATCAACTCTGTATCCCGGTAAAATCTGCAGATGTAGACTGAACATAGACTGTAGCTTCAACATACTGCGAGTAGCGCAATGTCCAAAGAGGGAAAGAAACGGAAGCGAACGGCAGGAGGCCCGCTGACGGGATCGCAGGGCTGGCAGACGGTCGATGTGGGGGATGAGCTGCTCATTGGCTCAGAAGAGGGGGGCTTCATGGAGCTGGAGGAGTTCACGCCCGCTCCTGGTGTAATAGTTGGCGCATCAGAACCAACAGAAGTCGAGCGAGACGTCCTAACACAGAAGAAGGCTAAGAAAGTTGGGGACAAACACGACCAGCCCAAGAAGAAGAAGAAGTCTGGGCTGAAGGAAGGAGCCAGCAAAGCAGCTCTGCGAAAAACAAGCAATGCAGCAGAGCCCAAGCAGAAGAGCAGCGCTGCTATGGAAGCCTCACCAGCAGAGGGCAGCGATGATGTGGCGGCACTTAAGGCCCAGCTGGCAAAGCTGCAGGCAGAGAATGCAGCTCTGAAAAAAGGGGACGCCCCCGGAAAGGCGGCAGACCCGAACAGCGCGCGCAGCGCCAAGCTGGCCGCCAAACGTGCGAAGGCAAAGGAGATTCGCCGGGTGAAGAAGGAAGCTGCCAAGGCCCGGAAGCTGCGCGCAGCCGGCCGGTCAGCCGATGAAGGTGCTGCTCTGCTGCTGCTCGTCTCGCATGCCGTGATTGCAAAACTGCCAGGCAGCAGTCTTTCTTTCTGTACTCAGCTCCATGCTGTGCATGCTGGGCCTGTGCCTAATGCCCACGCCTCCCAACTACAAGGGAACAGCCACTGCAATGAATGTGAGGACGTTTGATGTTCGCTGAGGGCATTGGTGTTCAGCAAGCATTGCCTTGCACCATCTGGATGTTGAAGAGACACCATGAGGAGTACGCTGCTGGCTCATATGTTTTCCTTGACTTCTGCAGAGGAGCCAAGCAAGCCGAAGAAGAAGAAAGCAAAAACCAGCGCTGCAGCAGCGACTGAGGCACGCAAGCCGGTGTCTGGGGTGTCAGCGGCTGATGTCAGCGCATGGGAGGGGCTGGGGCTAGGGCCGGGGGTGCTTGGTGCGATTGGAGGGCTAGGGTTTGGGGAGCCGACGCCGATCCAGCGCGAGTGCCTGCTGCCGGCCATCCGCGACCGCCGTGATGTCATCGGCGCTGCGCAGACGGTGCGCACATGCCGGCACCTGCTCGCACATGCACCCACAGTGCTGGGAATTGATGCCGTACTGAAGAAGGACTCGCACCTGCTTGCATCTGACTGAGAACATTTCCTGGGGCGGCACTGATCACCGTGCCCGACAGCAATCACATCTGCGGGATAATACCTTATTATGTGTGAAATTGTCCGTTTTTGATCGGGATGCCAATACAGTATAATCCCCATGCATGTGAAAGGAATGGCTTCTGGTTGCAATGCAGTTCAGGGAATCCCACACTTCCTTCAAAGTCAGTCTTTTTATATGTTGCATGCAATAAACTGTGTGCCAATCTCTTGTCCTTCTGGCTCGGCATGCATTCAGTCCAGCAAATGTCGTCATTTTAGATTACTGTGTTTTGGTATGCATGCTTCAAAGACCGTGACAGCAAGTGCTGCAACCCCCTGCAGGGCTCCGGCAAGACACTGGCTTTTGGCCTGCCCATCCTGCAGCTGGTGCTGAACGATCTGGCAGCCCAAGCGGACGCCCCAGAGCCAGACACAGATGAGCCGGCTTCGGATGCAGCTCCTAGCTCAGATGCAGAGGAAATGAATGGTGCGGAGGGGGATGCTGATGGACGCCCCTCACAGAAGGGGAGAAAGGGTGGGGGCCTGTTGAGAGCGCTGATCTTGGCACCCACCCGCGAGCTGGCCATGCAGGTGAGCAACTCAGGACCTAAACGCTGTACACCCATTTGACCGATCTGTCGTCTCACCTGCATGCATGCAAGCACAGGATGTCATTCACTTGAGTTTGTGCAAAAAAAACTGATATGCTCCTGATTGTCTCCTGCATTCCCTTCTTCTATGAATGATAGGTAGGGCAGTCCAGGGCACTGAGGGCCAATCAGCGCTGATGCATCCAGAGCATCCTCCAGAGCATCCCAGATGCATGCAGTGGGGCGTTAAAACCTTTTGTTGTTCTCCAGGTGTCAGAACATCTGCAGGCGGTGGCAAAGCCAGTGGGCGTCTGGGTGGCGCCGATTGTTGGAGGCATATCGCCGCCAAAACAGGCGCGCCTGCTCGGCCGGCGGCCTGCCATCGTTGTAGCCACCCCTGGTGCGCGCATCAATGACCCTTCCTCACTGTTCTGAGGTCCACATTTAACTTCTGTGCAGAAGTCTGTGACATACGTGCTGGCAATGCAAGGTAGGGAGCTGTGAAAGGGCAGCATGCTTGCAGCGACTGGTTTTCTGAGCCGCAGCTCTTGTTGAGCCCCTATCAGTGGCTGTCCATGAGATGCATATTGCTGTATTTGTCTGTGTGCTTGCAGTGATGCATTCTTACATGTCCTTGCAAAACATACAATAGATCATATTTTGATGCGTGGGATGTGCGCGCGTAGGGCGGCTGTGGGAGCTGATGCGGCTGGGGGAGCCCCACCTTGCAGACCTGACTGGACTCTCCTTCCTAGTCCTGGACGAAGCCGACCGTATGGTGCAGCAAGGCCACTTCCAGGTGCACTGACCCATCTTCTTCACTGTTTCCCTCCTAAACCCCATCTACGATTCATGACCAGGAAAGCTTCCAATCGATATCTGGCTCTGTACCTTCATCGTAGCTCTCCATAGGTCCTCTGTTGCTCTTTCCCAACGCAGGTAGGAGCTGCTGCAAGGTCTCACATGCTTTTCTGTGAGATTTTTTGCGAAACTGGAGATTTGGATGCGTTTCTATGAGATCAAGGAACACGGTGAAAGAGAGGCTGTTCTTTGAACCGCAGGAGCTGGCAAACATTCTGGAGTACCTGGAGAGCCAGAGGGCCGGGGGAAACCACTCCCCCCAGGACGCGCCCGATCAGGCCGAGGGCCCAGGGGACGCGAGCGATGGAGAGGGTGAGGAGAAGGGTGACGAAGGGGCCATGACGAATACAAAGGCGCCGCTGCTGCAGACGTTCGTGTTTTCTGCCACGCTCACCCTTCCCCAAGGGCTGCGCAAGCGGCTGCGAAAAGGTGTGCGTCCTGTCGTTATCGTTGCTTTGACCTGCCTCTCAGCAAAGCATTTGATCTTCGGCTTCGGCTTCACAGAAGCCGCCTCCCGTGCAGTGCTGTGCGCCATTTGTGTTGAGTGGGTTCTCAGAATCGCTCATCGTGGTGGCCAGCAGGAGCTCACGTGCATCGCACACGAGGCATGCCCGGCGGATCTCCTGCATGCATCTTTCGCTTCCAAAGAGACTGTTGCATAGTCTCTCCTGCAAACAATTGAGAGTGTTTTTGGGTGCCATCTGCAGGCGGCGGCGCGAGCGGCAGTGCGACGCTGGAGACACTGATGGACCGGATGCCCTTCCGGCCCAAGCCCAAGATCGTGGACCTGACAAGCGAGCGCAAGCTGGCCGACAAGGCACGTTCCCTCCTCACATTTGCTGCGCCCCTCTCGTCATCTTACCACGTCCCTTTCTGAACCCTCCTTCATCCTCATCTGAAAAGCCGTGCCCACTGCAGCTCCTGCAATATCTGCAACTTCTGCGAGCAACTTGTTGAGGATTTCTTGTCACTGAGCTCTGAGGGTGCCGGGTGCGTGGCGCCAAATCGCGGTGGTTTTGCAGATCTGCTGAGGGAGCAGGGATATGCAGAGTCATGTGCCCTGGCGTAAAGTCAGTGGCTGTGTGGCACGTGCGCATCATGTAAGGCCTGGCCGCACCAGGGGGGGAATTGACTGCTGTAATTCTTTCTTGCCCCAGGCCCCGCGTAGGAAAGTAGGTGGTCAAGGTCAATTCTGAGCACGATCATGCAATCCTGCGCGCAGGTCTCGGAGGCGTGCCTGCACTGCAGCGAGGAGGAACGGGACGAGGTGCTCTACTATCTGCTAGCAGCGCACCCCGGCCGCACACTGGTCTTTGTCAACGCCGTCTCAACCGCCCGCCGAGTCGCCGCTCTGCTCAAGCTCCTCAAGATGCCCTCCTCTGCGCTGCACGCAGGTGCTTTTACAGAAGTATTTGATTGCTTTTTGTGCAGCAGGCATCAGGAAAATGTGATCATGAAACCTACGAGAGAGTGCAGGGCTGCCGAGTTATGAGGGATGTGAGAAAAATTTCCCTGCTTCCTATAGACTACATAGAGTGCAGTCTGCATTGCCAATACTGTCATTTGACTGTTTCCGCTTCATGACAATTTCATGCGTTGTGATAGAGTGAACTGAATCTCAGGGGACCCTTATGAGCCATGGCCCCAGGCGTGTTTTCATTTGAAGTCAGCAGTTTTAATATGTCTTATTGCAGGCATGCAGCAGCGCGCGCGGCTGAAGGCGTTGGAGCGGTTCCGCGCGGATGACACGGCTGTCCTAGTGGCGAGTGACGTGGCGGCGCGCGGCCTAGACATCCCGGTAAACACCTCAAAACACCTCATGACTTTTCTTTGAAGAAAAGTATGGTTCAGTGTCGGGCTTGCCATATTCAAGCAGTACTGTGCCCTGACTGCATGGAGTTGCTTGCATGGGCAATGTCGGATTGCATGCATGCATCTCTGCTTCCTCATTTTCTCTTGCTGTCGGATGTCAGGGGTTCTGTCGGTAACACTATATCTACACTATTGTTAAAACAGGGTTGGATATAGAACCCCCTGCGGGATTGGGCTCAAGGGTTGGTGAAACGTTGCGCAGGGGGTGCGATGCGTGGTGCACTACCAGATTCCGGCCAGCGCTGATGTGTACGTGCACCGCAGCGGCCGCACGGCGCGCGCCGCTCAGGACGGCCTGGCCGTCGCACTCGTAACTCCCCGCGAGGCGCCGCGATTCGCCGCTCTTCTAAGGGTGAGTCAGGATTTTTGGGGCGTCGATTGTGCTGTGCACACCGTAATACTCACTTCCTTGCTCACTCAAATTACTGGCACTTTTGGGGAGCAGGACATGTATATATATTCTGCTGTCTTGCAGCATGCTCTTGTCTTTCTCGTCTCACTGCACCCTATGTGGCGAAACATGATATAAATCAGGGCACGTCCACCATAGACTGCAATGTGGCCAGTGATTTGCCCCCAATGTAACCCAGCAGCCGGCAGTTCACATGTACAGGACATGAATCATGAGACTGGAGCCGTGGTGCTTGATCAGGCGCTGGAGAAGGGAACGCCCCCGGAATTCCCGCTGGACCCCTCGCTGCTGCCGGCATGCCGAGCGCGCGTCCGCTTGGCCGTCCGACTGGATTCTCAGCTGCGCGCGAAGAGCAAGTCGGGGGCTGAGTCAGCGTGGCTTCGGCGCAACGCCGAGGCGGCCGGCGTCCAGCTCAGCGATGACGAGAACTCTGACGGGGCCGGCCGGCCCGGCAGCCGCGGCGGCGGCGACGGCTCGTCGGCCGAGGCTATCCAGCAGGTGGGCGACCTGCACTACTGGTCTATTTTCGGGATGTGGAGGCAGCGAAGACTGCTTTAGAGCTGTGCAGGTGCATCCTTGTGGAAGGTGCAGCCGATTCCTTGAACCAGGGAGAGCATTGTAAGTGCATGCCCAAGATGACGGCTTCTTGACCCCTTAAAATCACTTGTATCACTCAAGCAAGGAACTTGGCTGAACTTTGTCGCTGCTAGCAATGCTGCTTTAAAACATCCAGTGAGAAGGTAGGGTCATCCCTTGCGCAGGAGCTGCAGGCGCTGCTGGCCCAGCCGCTGCAGGCCAGGTTCAGCCGCAAGTTCTTCACAGGCGTTCCCTCCGCCTCCCTGGCAGCCGGGGGCGGTGGGGTTTTCCCCTCCGCAGCCCTAGAAGAAGCTGGGGAGGCACCTTCCGCCGACACGGAAGCTGCCGAGCCGGGACAAAACGGTGCTTCTGAAGCGGCTGCGGCTGCGGCTGCTGACGTGGCCGGCAGTGTCAGACTGGCTCAACAGATGGCTGACAGCCGCACGGCTGCAAAGGTGAGATCCAGGCCGCCAAATTCTCAATAACAACATCTGGTACTTCAATTTAGGATGCTGTGGGCGCACTGTTGCCGTGATGCCTGGACACGCATTGCAAGCAAAAGGTGCACAGTGGGCTGAAGCTGGGTTTGGCTGCTGCCAGGGAAAGCAAGCGGCCAAGAAGAAGGGAGCAAATGGCGGGGCCGCAGCAAAAGCAAAGGGCATCGGCGTCAAGTCATGCGCGACCAAGCGAGAGCTGGAGGAAGCCGCGCTGGCGGCTGCGATGGAGCGGCGGGAGAAAAAGCGCGCGCGGGGGCGATCCCTCCTCGTGGCGCCTCCGGCCGCCGCCGCTGCCGCCTTCGGCCGGGCAACCGGCAGCCGCGACGCGCTCGCTGCGCTGCGGTCTCACACCGGCAAACAGTAAATGCAAGGCTCCTATAGACAACGGTTGATTGGGGTTTGGTTGGATCTGGCGAGTCCAACAAGGATTAGGATTGTGGCAGCCTTCAACTGCATCTTGTCTGCAGGCCGCATGGCAAGAAAAGCATGTAATTGTGATAATCATACAGTTATAGACAACCTGCTGTGGAAAGCTGCAGAGTGGGCATGCAAGCTCTTTGTGCGAAGCATGCTGAAGGTGTTTCCCTAGTTGGGTGTGACTGCCAATTGCTGGTTGTTGATGGTGACGATCTACAGATGTGCTGGAAGGATGACCGATGCACCTGGTCTTTGATCATGAGTAGTGTACATGCTTGATGTCCTTTCACACCAGGACAGCACTTCATGTCATGTCACAACAAGCATCGCATATCAGTACGAGTGTAGGATGAGCAATACATTGTGATTACATCATTGGCAATTGCAATTGACACTCCATGCATGATCTGGCTGCAGTGGTGCACCTTTTGCCGCCAGCCCACTCTGATCTATAAGCAAGTGTTCGATCCCTAGTCGGTTCCTGTACAGGCTGTATATATAGGCAGCAGTATTGAGAGCATCGACAGGCTGCATAAGAATAGCGCTAAGGCGAACAGGACAATAGAACTTGGGGAACACAGCAACAAGCACACACATTTCCGCATATTCCAAGTTCGAGACCCGCGCAAAAGGGAAGCTAGCTGCAGAACTATTTCAGAGCGCAACAAACTCCTGTTTGGGTCGTGTGTTGGCTAGTGGTCGTTTTGGCCAGCAAAGGTGAGTTCCTCTTGATAATTCCACACAAGCCGACGGCTGCCGTCTTGGCAGCCACACACCAAACCCACACGAGCCAACACATGCCGCTGCATTGCATCTGCCTGGCGAGCATAGAAAGATTGCTGGGCACCCAAACCAAGCTCTGCAGACACCGGAGCTCCCCCCTACAGTCAGATCTGCCTGGGTATGGCTCTGTTCAAGCTGCCTGTTCTCACCACCCCAATTGGCTGTTCCAACCCAGTGCCTAGGGGAGCTTCTGGGCTCCTCGCTGCTTAGACAAATCACAGAGATCCAGCTACAGACCGCCGACATCTATGTGGCTTGCTTTGTCAGAAAGGATGCCCCTGCTCGGCTACGCGTCTTGCTGTTGGTTGTGTGTCACTTCTCCGGACATCACCACACCCTAAAGCTACTTCCCCTCGGGACAAGGGGCGCCGGCACAATCAAGACACCAGTCAAGCGGAACAGTCGCACTCACAAAAGTCTTCCTCAGAGTTGGTCCCTTTCAAGGAACGAACACAGCAGCGTTCCACAGCAGGAATACACACACATCAACAGGGCAGGGCACAAATCAGAGAAATTGTGAGACACCTTTCTTCTTGGGTTCTGACCTGCGAGCCTAGATAACACGTCCAACCCACTTGCGGGACGAGACGGCAGTTGTCGCAAGACATGCTGGCAAACAGAACGCTGCCACACAAGCGCGCGCATTTTGGAGGGCAGAAAGAAAAACCACTTGACCCGCATGGGGCGCCCATTACAGAGCAGGTATTGCGCCACTGAGCATTTGGCTCGGGGAAAGATAGAGCGGACAGAGTTCGCCCTGCAAGCAGCCTGCAGCAAAAGGACCTAGATAGTATCTGGCTAAAGAGTCTTTGCAAGCAAACCCACCAAATGTGCAGCATTTACAGCTCCGGCAAGAAAGACCGCCCCTGCGCAGGCTCCTACTCTAGATGACTCCCTGCCAACAGCGCACACACAATGTGCGCATTCCTTTCCCCATTGCTTCGCCCACAGCGCCCCAACCAACGCCATAGAGAAAATGAGGATGGCTCTAAACACTGCAGACGCCTAGGCTGCAGCGGGCACAGATGCGCCTGAACAAGGAAGGACACACCGACGCCCTTCTTGTGAAAACTTGCAGGCCCCAGATGGTGTCGAAAAGAGCACCACACAAGCCGCCGCTGTCCGACACACAGCACTAGAGCAGTGCGGACCCCCACTGCTGCTGACACTGCCACCTGCGGGAGTGGCAAGGAAAAGGCTCCGCGGCAATGCCTCTTGAGACCCCCCTTTCCCCCCCAATATTCCAACCAAACAAGAGCTCGGCCTGCTCTGATGCAAACCCCCCCAAACTGCAGATCGCATTACCGCCCCATGGAGCAACAGCGCTCTCTGCTCGGGGTGAAGCATCGCCATGATAATCATCGTCCCAGTGCTGACATCAGCGGCCACTAGGAGACCAGCAGGCCGCTGTTTTCTTGGTGCACATCAGAAGTTCTCCATGGTAATCTCATTGGACGGGCTGAGAACAGCACAGGAATGGGAAGACCCCCCTCCCCAGACTCTTTCTCTGCACTCTGTGGAGAAGATCCGCCGGCCGCGGGAAAGGAGTCCCAATGACTCAGCGCCCACGTCAGCGTAAAACAGCAGTGCAGCAACCCGTCCCAAAACTCTTTCGCGCGCAAGCCGGCCCGATAGATGTACAACAGAATGTAAAGACCGCTCTCCCGCTCGCTGCACTCTCTTGGCATACGTTTGCTGGCTCTGCACGGCCCCGCTGCTGCCGCCGCGGCAGGCAACGCCCCTCGAGAGACGGACGTCTGGCGTACGGTCAGTCGAGAATCAAATCAATACTTTGCTCCACCCCCGCGCTGTGTGTATCCGGCGGCGTGCGCCAAGGCGCGGCCGAGGGACCCCTCACATGTAGAGGTGGCCGTTGCCGTTGCCGGCCACATGGCCGTTGCCCTGATAGGCGCCGGCTCCGCCGACAGCTGCATTGCGGCTTGCAATGGCGCGGTCGGCAAACTTGACCACCAGCGTCTTGCCGGGAGGCACCTGCGCACACAGCCGACACCTCAGCAATGCGATCTTTAACTTCTCATCGACGCCGCTCATAACATGTCCTCAAAAGAGTGACTATAGATGCAGCATGAAACTGCCTCATGCTGCCCAATTTTTTCCGGAGAGTTTATCCACCGTTCGAAGCATATGGATCTCTGCTCTGCATTGACCTCCTTGTCAGCATGGGTTTTCCAGCAAAAGCCAGCCACAGAAGTATCTGCTGCAAGTGCGAGTGGAGCAACCATGTGAGATCTGAGATGCAGGGAGGAGGGAACGGTGCGCACCTGCTTGCCATTGAGCTGGGTGATGGCCTGCTGCGCGAGGAACTTGTTGGCGTAGGTCACAAAGGCGCAGCCGCGCGACTTGCCGTTGCTGTTGCGCAGAATGTACAGCTCCAGAATCTCCCCGATCGGCGCAAACAGGTCGTACAGCTGCTGCTCCGTCGCCTGCGCCACAATCGCAGATACACTCAACTCTTGCACACTTCTCTCACTTCATGTCAATATGCACCATGTTTTGCAGTTTACCATCAAATCCGCAGTTCCTGTCACTTCTCATGACTGGAATGCCTTGCACATGCAGAGGAGCGTGCCGTCTGCCATGCAAGACCACCCCGTGGGGATCAGGGCAGAGGTGACAAAGGGAAGTGGCCCTAGCAGAGGACCATCAGGAGGGGAGAGAGGACCCACCTCAAGGGGAACCTGGCCAATGAAGAGCTTCCACTCGTTGTGCTTGTCGTTGCTGCCGATCTTCTGACCAAACACGCGGTTCGAGCCGTTGCGGCCGCCCAGGCCAAGCTTGCCAAAGCCCTGCATGTACAAATGCACAGCTCAAGCCTCGCTGCCAGCCTAGCCACATGGCATCCAAACCGGACTCTTCTCACACCTTGCCAAAGCTGAAAAGAGTTTGCTTCTCACATCATGCTTGCAGCAGAAGAAAGTGAGGCAAACAAAACATGCAGGCATAAGAATGGGCTGGTGCCATGCCACAGGGCTCACACCACCACTCCGTCAGGAAAGTGCAAAAGAGCACAAGACCACTATTTGGGGGTTTGTATAGAGCAGTAAAGCCCCAGAGGAAAGGGCGTCACATTGTCCAGAAGCCTCACCGAGGCAAGCGCATCAGGCCCGTTGCCCAAGCCGCCCATGCCAAAGCCTGCGGGCAGGCCGCCTTGCAGGTTCTGCGGCGCATTGGGCATCGTCGCAAGGCCCTGAAAGCAACCCACAACCCAGCCAACATCAGCGCCAAACCACCAACTCAGCTTGAGCGCCAACAAGTGCAGGAAGTGCTTTGTAGTAACGACCAGACGCTGATGCACAAAACTGCACGAATAGCTGCAGCGCCTGCCAGAAGGTATGGCTCAACCGCCCTGGGCAGATAATTCCTGGCACGAATACGGCAACTTTGGCTAGTTCGCCCAAGTTGGCCGATACCGCGGCAGCCGCCGAAACGTCACTATTGACCTTCGTAGCTTTCACTTACTCCATAGCATGACGGGACTCCTGCCTCACTCGCAAGGGCTGACAACAGCTGAGGTGGCGAGAGGCAAATCTACCTGCGTGAGGCCGAGGCTGTCGGCCAGAGCGCCCGCGCCCAGAGAGTTGGCTAAGCTGCCGCCCAGGAGACCGTTTGCCAGGAAGTTGGGATCCTGCATTCCATACGGCCCGCTGCACGCATCCAGCACAGCACACATCAGCGGCACAGTCGCAGTCTCACAGAGCGCAATGCACAGAAGGGTGAACTGCTTCTTATCTCAGCTGTTAGACGAGCTTGGACATCTGCTGTCACCCTTGACAATGCCCTGACAAGGCAGGGTACATCACAGTGGTGAAAACCTTCAAGATCAATCTCTGCAAGACGGCCAAGTGTGACTCATGAGTGCTGTTACTCATTTTGTGAACATGCTCCAGCCATAGCCGCGATTGAACAAGCGCCAGGGGGCTCACCCGTTGCCTATGCCCAAGCTCAGCAGGCCGTTGTCGTTGAGCATGCCGCCCAGATTGTGGTATTCTCCCATACCGCCGATGCCGCCGAGCTGCCCGCCCATGAGGCCGTTGCCGAGGTTGTTGCCATACATGTCGAGATGCCGCGGCGGCCCCATCTGGCCGCCCATCCAGCCACCGTGCATCTGCATGACAAATACGACTGATGTCAGATTGCCAGCAGCACAGCCAGTACAGCAGCCCAAAAGGGGCAGAGTCCAGCTTGGGAAGTACCACAGCCGCACAGCTGTTGCGCAAGCAAGCTTGGCAGCACAACCGTGCACCACAGCAGCGCAAACCAGGCCAGGTTGCCGTGCACCGCAGCAGCAGAGCTGGAGCCAGCTTGCGAGCATGGCATTGCAGCTGTGCACTGCGGCAGAACAGCCGGTCCATACTGGACAGCCTCAGAGGGTAGAGTGAGTCAGTCTGGTCAAGTCAATGACTGGTCAAGTCATGCTGGCCATTGCGCGGGTAATGGGACAAATGGTGGCTAAGCCGTGCGCCCTGGCGACATGGAATGAGTCAGTGAGAATGACAGGCATGCAAGAGAAATGGGTCCGGGCATAGGAAGCGCTACTACTCATGCGCACCTGGCCAGCAACGGCGTCCTTCCGCTTGGCATCGGCAAACTTGACGACGAGGGGCACCTCAGAGTTGCCCAGCCGCGTCTTGCCATTGTGCGCCTCCATCGCCACCTCCGCCTGCGCCCACTTCTGGAATTGCACGAACGCGCATCCTGCATGGAAGCGCAAGAATGCAACATGAATATTTGTCATCCAGAGGGGTGACAGTGCAAGCACAGAGATGCTCCCATGCAAGAGTGTACTACGCATGGCTGGCAGCAGCATGTCTGACAGAAGGATCAGGTGGCGGGGCTGTGTCAGACCTGCGCTCTGCCCTCTGTGCGTCCGCAAGATGTTGATGTGCTCTATGTCGCCATATGGTTCAAAGAGAGGCCGCAGGGTGTCCTCTGTCACGTCCCGGGGCACCTGCAGCCAGGATGATTGAAAATCAGCCAGGACAGACGTGGATAACGGTAATAAAGTGCTGGAATTGACTTCCAGGGTGGGAGCAATGCAGCAGACACAGTAGAACTGGCATCTGAAAACTTTTCGTTCAAACGATGGTGATGACAGTCACAGTCCAGAGCTGTGCTCTGACGATCCGGTTCTGCACGTTATGTACACGCACCCAGAGCTCCAGGAAGCATCAACAATCCCACCCCGAGGCACAACGAGGCAGGAATACAGCAGGGGCAAGATGCACGCAGGCCAGTGCCTCTGATGAGCCTGACTAAATCCTCCAGCAGGCCTTCCCAAGACAGCTGGATTGGCGGAAGCTGGCCGCACCTGGCCAACGAAAAGCTTCCGAGGAGCTATGCCGGGCTCGGCAGGCTGTCCGGGAGGTGCTCTTCTGGGGTTGGCGAAGTGCACAACCAGCGGCTTCCTCTGGCCGCCGGTCTCCAGGACGAGCTGTCCGTCCAGAGCTTCAGCTGCAGCTTCGGCCTGAGCCCAGCGCTGGAAGAGGACCATGGCGCAGCCCCTGGGCTTGCCATCGCTCCCCTTGAGCATGTGCAGGTTCCTGACCGTCCCGAAGGGCGTGAACAGCGGCCATAGGTCCTCCTCTCGCACGTCGCTCGGTACCTTTGCAGGCCACGTAGAAAGTCAATCACTATCAGTTACGCACTCTTGGCGGGCTGCACGCACAGCCGAGGCGACTCCTCAACCCTCAGATTCATCCCATTCCAGGCTGCAGGCCGGGTGCAGACGCCGTCCGTAATGGCCCAGCCTGACTCCCCAGGTCACACCGTCCCAACAAGGTCGCTCATATCACACCTCGCGCCAAACGCCTGCCTGGCCCCGGGCGCCCGATCCCAGGCATTGCAATAGGATGGCAATAAATCCATGCCAACCCCAGGGCCACCCAGCGCTGCGCCGCAAGGGCGGGAGCACTGCTTTGTCCCTGCAACGTAACCTTCGCATCACACCTAGCCAAGGCAGGGAGCAGGGCCGCCTCACCTGCCCCACAAACAACCGCGGTTCCGAAGCTACTGGCTCTCCCATCCTTGGCAGCATTCACGGTGCATATGCCCCGCAGCAGTTGTTACAGCCGCTTCGATCTTCAGCAAAATGCTCTTCTCGAAATGCACGGCTTTGTCAGCACGAGGTTTCTCTCACGTAATCCACTCCCCTGATATTCCCCTGTTGTTATCAGTGCTGCCCAGGGCCTGGGGGTGGCCCAACATTGCGATGCTGGGGGTGGGTCGAGGGTCAGTCCACCCCCAACATCGTTAATGTCAAACTTATGGCTCAAAGATTTGCCAGGCTGGCGTTTTCACAACAAGATCTGGGTGAGTTAGTAGCTGCCGGCCAGGGCGCACTGCACCGTTTCGCAGTCACCAATGTGATCTTGGCAATTTGTCCTGCAAATCACACAACAAGTTGTTCCTGATTTACAATCGCAATTTCGTTCTGATCTCAAGACACTTCGGTAGGTAGAAATTGGCGAACAAGAATTCGAAAATGAAGTGTTCGGCAGTAGAAACTTGCCAACACAATCAAATGTGCCCACTAATTCATACCAGATCAATTTTATATAGACGATCGCTGCGATGGCTCTCGTGGCGTGGCACCTGCGCATCGCCTGGCGCAGACATGGCCCACAGGCACCACAAGACGCCAAAGAGGGAGGCCAGGATCGTCTGTGCCGCAAAGAAAAAGGTGACATTGCTTGTCAACTTCAGCTTTTTAACATTTTGAGGCACACGAATGGTCCATTCTCTGTCAAGGAAGCACACTAGCTTGAACTCTGACGTTCTCCCTTGGTCAAATGCTTGAAGTTTTTGCCTAATAAATTTGTTGCCAAACACAGAAGCAGCAGTTTGGGCGGAGTGCTAATGCAGCGACCCCGGGAATTTTGGACGAGGAGCTGGAGGCCGCGTACAGGCAGTTTGGAAAAGCGCTGGGCGAGACCCCCCGGGAGACCTCCCAAGTGGTGCATGAGAATCTCAACATCCCGGCCGCTTCGGCGCAGGGCCGCTCAGGGACTTCTGCCAACCCAAATGAGAGGTGCTTTCATGCCTCTGACACGAACAAGACACCATTGAGGGAATGGCCAGGAGTGCCCATGCAGCTGTCCCACTCCATGCTAGTTGGCACCCTTGTATGCAAAGGCTGAAATGTTGCTGCTGTCGCATGCTATCAGGTCGGGCTGACGTGAGGGTGATGGTATCCAAAGGGCAGCGCAAGGAGCCATAAATGTCAACTGGCTGCCTAGCTTTAGAACTGTCCTCCGTCAGGGACACTGCAAGGGGCCCTCGAGTCTGGTAGTGTCTCAGTGCGGTGTTTGATGGCTTGTGGCATGGCAGGCGGATGAGCGAGGAGAGCTATGCGCAGTTTGAGGCGATGCTGGACCGCGCAATGAAGGGCTCGGGCGACTCGCAGCCCAAATCGCTCCTCAAGGGCAAAAACACAGTGCGCAGCAGCCTCCTCTGTGCTCTCTTTAAGGGATTTTTTTAGTGGCCTTTCTGAAGCCCTTTCTAAAGCGCTGAAGCTCTCGACGAGGCTCTTCACGAATGGCAAGCTACAGTTTATATGCCAAGGCGTGGCGTGCACATTGCATGTGCTGCGGTATTGCACGATGTAGAGGGACTCACGCCTGACCTGCATTCTTTAAAGGAGCACAGCTGGATCGCTTGCGATGCGCATGCAGGTGCTGGTATGCGGCAGAGTGAAAAGAGGCTGGAGGGTCTTGAAGGAGCACAGTTGCTGCGCATGCATGTGCTGGCATGCGGCAAAGTGAAAAGAGGCGGGGGGTGTGCAGGTGGCGTTGCAAGCTGGGGAGAGGGAACGGAGGAAGGTCATAATGGAGCTGATGGAGAGCACGCTGTACTCTGAGACAGAGTCGTTCTCAGTGGATCTGGGCTTGGATGTCATCCAGCCAGCCTCCAGGAAGCCGCAGGAGGAGGTGCATGCCCGTCCTGCTTTGGCTAGCTTCAATCAAGCTCCCTTTCCTGATCAGAGTTCCTTTAGCCTGCAATGGGGATGTTATCCCTTTTGCAAGGGAAACGGGCACAGATGCTGGCCGACTTGTAGCAGAAATAAGGAGTGATATGGTACTATCACTGTGACAGCAGTACTGCATCGCGGTTCTTTCATGGTATTAGGCATTTGCATGTTGCTGGACTGGAGAAACTCTGTGGAAGCGTGCATTTCTGTGGGTGAAGGTCAAAGGCGTTGCTGGAGTGGGCGACACAATCTTGAAGCAGTGCGTGCGAGCAGGTCCCGGAGCTGATCTTGCCGCGGGGCAAAGCGGCGACGTCGGCAAAGCGGCCGGCCGCGCGCGCAGCTGCGGGGAAGCTGGAGGGAACGCCAGCGCTTGCGGGGCCGCTGCCTGTGCCAGCGCTGCAGATGCCCAAGGGGAAGCTGCCAAGGAGGGAACCCCCCGCGACGGCAACCGTTGCCCCCCCGGCCGCGCTGCAGCCGCCACTGCCCGTGCCGGCATTCGCCCCGAAGCCAAGTCTCGCGGCACCAAAGGTGCGCTGCTTTACTGCATCATGCGATTTAATGGGCATGCCTGGGAGGCATCTGAGAACTGCAACCAGCTCTTGATTTACATAGGAGGTGTGGGCATGCCTTTATTCAATGCTCACCCGTCCCAGAGAGTCTAGCGGGGACACCAAAGGGCCCCAGATCCTTCTCAAGCTCTGCAATGTCATTAGCACTCATCGTCCATTCTCGACTAAGGTTGATCCATTCTAGGGGCATCCAGACAAGACACCAACGCCCGAAACAAGACCCGAATGTCATATTCTGTTTAAGAACATGCGACAACCCGAGGGGGCTGGGAACACTCCGTCCTTTAGCTCCCAACCCAAGAACTAGAACGTTGCTGGATGTCCAAAGTGATGCGCATGAAATGGGTGGTTAATGCTGCTCTGACTCCCCCGCGGCTGCCAGTCACTGCCGCTCTTTCTCCCGAGCGCGGTGCTGGCCGCTGAGAGGCTGTCAGACAGCCGAGGCTCGGTGCAGGGAGGATGCAAGCTTGTCAGGCCCCGAGAAGAGCTCGCTAAGTCGCCTGCGTCCCTCAGCGCCTCTATCGGTGATGAGTTTGAGCTCTGCCAGAGTGAGCAGCTTGATGTTCACCAGCTTCACCTCTGTCAGCGGCATGTCTGGGATGCGCTCCGGCACACCTGAAGTTTCAGATTTAATTTTCATTTAGCCACAAGAAAATTTATTGAGCATTTCATGGCAGTGCTGTGTGCGCTGCTGAGGCCCTTTTTCACGTGGCATCCTCCCGTGGGAAGTGCAGCAACCTGGAAGTCTCAGCAACATTTCTCGAGCTGGACAGTCTTCAAGCTGTTTGAGGGACCCGCTACAGGGAAGCTAAAACTGTGCAGCGCAAGATTATCAGGGACAGTTAATTGCAGTTCAAAAACAACCGTTCCTTGCGCTGCCAATAATATACAATATCCTCTTCACGGATGTCTGGAAGACCTGCCTAAACAACCGATTTGTGTCAGCAAAGACGGGTGCGGCCAGGATTGCTATTGGCATGCAGAAAGACTGACCTGTGCCGGCGTCGTCGGTGTCCACGGTCTCCTGGGGCATGCCCGGCTCCTCCGGCGTGCTCTGCAGGCCCAGCAATGCGCCCACGCGGCCGGCCGCATTCACCAGCGCCTTGCGGTGCTCCTCTGGGATCGCCTCGTTCACCCCCTCCGCCTCCGTTGACAGCAGCTTCATGTCGTCCATGATTGCCCTGATGCCCCCGTGGCCTGCGCGCATGCAAAATGGATTATTTTTCCATGTGACAAACAGAAACTAATAGAACAAAGTGATTATTTTCTTTGTTTCTTCCTGTCTCTCAGACCCTCGATATCCCTTGCTGCCGTGGCCTTCGCGCCGCGAGCCAAGTGGTTTCCTTTCCTGTCTCTTGGTTCCTTCAGTATCTCTCGAGAAGCGTTCTCAGCTGTGCTTCCCTTCTTTGTTGTTGTGGCTTGGGGATCCTTTGGCTGGGATGTTTGGCATGCATCCCTTTGGCACGATCTGGACAGCATGCTGCTAGCTGAAGTGCTGTATGCATGCAGTTCTGCAAATGTCATGGGTGACCTCACCAGAGAGCAGGTACTGGGCAGCGCCAAGTGCTGCGGGAGGAGTGGACAAGAAAATTTCTTGCAGGGATCTTCAATTCTGACTACTGAAAGCAGCAGACAGTAGGTGAAGGTGCTGAAAGATGGGGTCTCACCTGCTGCCAGCTGGCTGACTGTGTAGAGGAGCTGGAACTGCCAGCTCTTCTTGACTTCGTGGATGGTCTCCGCGATCTCGTCGCCTGGCGTCTCGATGTAGAACTCCAGCCCAAATCCATTGACGTTCCCATCACCTGCAAAGGCAAGATTGGCTGATGCTAGAATTCTTCCAAGGCTTTTCAGGCATCCTCTCGGTTTCTTGATGCAGAGATAGTTTTAATCCAACGAATCCATGTCTGTTCTTCATCCTGCTGAACCCTGCAGAGGCTCGAAAGTCAAAGGCATCTATAACTTGTGAGGGTTTGCAGGTCTGTGACTTTAAGGTTTGGCTCAGAAAAAGCAACGTTTGAAGGGTGCAATCTTATATTTTCATACCATTTCCCTTCTATGCAGACCTTTGCTTGTAGCAGTGCAGCACCGACGGATATCCATGCGTGCATGTGGAAAGTTTGTTGGTGCCCACCTAGAGTGATGTCGTCGAAGGGATCTGACAGGCCATCCGATGCCAGGATGACATTGCCGTTGGGGCGTCTGACGAGCCGAAAGGCCTGTCTGAGAGCTGGCCACTTAGGTCCGCCTGACAGGGTAGGGCTCACCAAGTGGCTGAGCACCAAAGGCTCAAGAGAACCCAGCTGTTGCCACACAGCTTCTCTTGCCCTGCTGCTCTTCTCCAACAAGTCTTCCAGCGTCGCTGTGCTCCGGGGCTGGAAGATGTTTAATGGCTGGTTCATCCATGTGTCTGCACTCTGGTACCTATTCCCACGCCCACAGCAGATGCAATCCGCAAAATTGCTGAGCAAGCGCCCCATGGGGCCCAGGAGGAGACAAGTTGTCGCCTTGTGCTAGCTTTTCTGGTACCGTCGTGAACGCTCCATGCAAATTTCGGGCAACAGGCGCGCTTTTCTGTGCCTCGAGCAGAGATTCATTCTGCCATCGTACGGAGGAGCGTGTCCGTTATGAATCACAGGCGAAGCCAAGTTGAATCTTCTGCACATGCAGTTTCTTCTCCTTTAAAAAAAAGTCGAATACATACTTTCTTTATGTGCCGCAGGTCGACTGGAAGGTCACGGAAATTGACGAAGGCTACGTGAACACGAGGCAGGAAGCCCCAAAATTGTCCCAGAAGACTCCAGCAGCTGAGAAGGCGCCACCTGCGCAGAAACCAGAGCCAATACCTGCCATCTTGAGGCCTGCCAAGCCCAGCAGGCCTGCCACGGATGACACGTCAGGATTCACGCCATCTAACCAGGCGGCTTCCTCAAATGAGGCAGCCGCGAGCAGCGCTGCCAGCAAGCCAGCTGTCGCACCCACCAGTGAGCGCCCTGTTGCACCACCGCCAAAGCTTGCCGCGCCGCCAGTGCAGCAATCCACCAGCCCATCAGCCGCAGACAAGACCGTTTCCGATGCGTTGCCTGCGGCCAGCGCAACTGCGCCACCAGTGACTGCCCGCGCGCGTACCCCAGAAAAGGAGGTGAGCCGTGACAGGCCAGCGCAGCCGCCACGGCAGGCTGCACCGCCTGTCCCGGCGCTTCAGCGGCCGACGGCCGCGCCGGAGGCGGCTGAGGCGTCGATCCCCGCAGCGGCAAGCGTCACAAATCCGGCGCCGGCCGACTCCGGCTTGATAGGGAACGCCCTGGAGTCGCTGCAGCAGGCAGGCCCGGAGAAGCCGGAGGCCGATGTTCCGAGGCCTGCGCCGGCAGCTGCGGCCGCCGCGTCCATAGAGAGCGCTGACGCGAGCAGCTCCTTGAAGGCTGCAGGAGCGCCGGAAATTGCGCCAATGGCGGCGGCCCCGGCTCGGGAGGACAGCGCAGAGAAGCGCGCCGAGCCAGCGCTTGCTCCTCCCCTGCAGCGGCCCGCCGGAAAGCCGGTGCGTGGCGATGCTGTCATTGTCCTGTCTTGTGTGATCAGAACGAGGAGACCCTTGCTTGCACGCATGATTGTCTCATAGGCATGCCTCACTAGCTTGACTTGGTCTATAGAGGAGAATTCTATGACAGCCTGGGTGACATCTATATCGTGCTATGCATGGTTGCAAAGGCTTCTAGGCAATTGGGTGATGTCTATTCCTCAATCTACTTACAGCATCTTGGCCAAGTGAACAAATTGTGTGTAATGGCATGTGGTCACACAATAAAGAGACATCAATTGCGTGCAGGTGCGACGTCGGCCGCCGCCGCGTGAGGCCGGCAGCAAAAACGGCGCGCCAGCCACCCCGGGCGCGTATGACCTAGCGGTTGCCGCGCTTGCAACGGAGCGACCGCTGCCGGGAAAGGTCGTGAAGACATCTGCCGGCGGCGTCGTTGTTCGCGTGCAGGCCGGCTTCCAAGGTAGGAAAAAATGAAAATATGCCTTTGAAACAATCGAACCTCACAATTGCACTCCCAATATCAATTCTTGCTTGGGGCCAGCATCTTGCAAACGCCATCTTTGCCAGGTTGTGGTCAGAACCCCATCTGCCATAACTATGCCTATTGCTGCAATTCCTTGAAAATGGAAAGTTTGATTATTTAATTAATCTGATCACCATCTATGAAGGGTTGAATATTAAGTACATCTGATCAGCATCCACTGGCGCAGGCTTCCTTCCGTGGAGCAAGATGCTGCCGCACAGAAACCTGGTGGTACTGGAGAGGGAACGCGCAGCGCAGGCTGCCCTGGACCCCCCGGAGGACCCCTCCGCCCAGCAGGAAGCCCGCCTGCAGCTGCGGCGGGACGCCATGGCCGGCCTACAGGACAATCGTGTCATGGTCTATGTTCATGAAGTCAAGGTGGGAATGTCTTGTTCATCCTGGCAGTAACGCATGGGCTATTTACTAATATTGTAGTAAACACATTTCCTGCCAAGAGGCAAGGTGCGGCCTGCAGACAAGCTGCAGTTGAAGGCTGCCCCAATCCTGCCCCTTGTTGGACTTGCCAGATCCAAGCAAGACCCAATCATCCGTGGGCACGCTGGTGTGTGTTTATTTCGCCCCCCCGCCAGCCGGGGCATGGGCTATTTAGACGCTCTAAATATCCTGTGGAAGAGCGCGAGTTGCGGATCCTGATGCTCCAGACATGCCCTGTACAAGCCACATATTGATGTCTCCCTTCTTCTGGGGGGTCTTGCATCTGCCCTGGGCAATTACAGTGCAGATGCAACTGTCTCGCAGCATGCAGGACAACACACTGCTCATCCCACCTGCTTTAGCTGCTGAGGACTGAGGTTGCAAATTTATGGCTTCTCAGCTGTTGTACATATCATGGCATGGTCAGTCCCTAGGCCTGTGATGCCTGCCTTGAAGCTTGTGATGCATGTGGGTGATTGTCTGTCTGTTAAAGGGCAGAGTAGCACCTCCTTCTTGCCTTGAAGCACTTTTGGAGGCACGAAATCACTTCTGCCTGAGGACTTCGTGTGCTTGCACCAGAGACAAGAGGAGGAGGTCTACTTCAAAACGATGCTAAGCGAGAAGGGTCCGCAGTCGAAGCCCCTCCTAGATTATCCGCCCTACCAGACAGAGGTGACTCACCCTTTTCGAATGCAAATGAAAGAGAAATGAGACCTATTGATATATCTCTCAAGTGCCTCTTGTCTATAAGAGATGCTGTGCTCCTACTGCATGGCAATGGGAGGACTGGGAAAGATTTTGCCTCAGTGCATGCACATTAGTGTCCTCAATGCATGCATGCGTGTTCATGAGTAATCCATGACTCATCGCAGGTCCTCCAAGAGATGCTGGGGGAGCGGGTGGATGCGCGCGTCAGGAAGGTGACGGAGTACGGGGCGTTCCTGACCTTCCCAGTGGAGGTCTACGCTGGGTACTCGCTTGAGATGTTCGGCCTGCTGCACCGGAGCAAGATGGGCGACTTGTCCCTCGAGAGCCTGCAGGTCTGGAGTCCTCTTGTCTGCTTCCCTGCGCTCCGTATTTGTTGCAAGTGTTTGCACGCAGCAAAGCTCGGCAAACCTCTCTCAGGGTGTAGGCTGCCTTTAGACACCTGCTGTGTGTGATGCCATGAACAGCCAATACTGGCTCCCATACATCCTTGAACAACGGACGCAAGCCCGGCGTTCAGCAGTCACAGCTGTCTCAAGGCATTACCATTCACTTGCAATGTGCACTAAGCCTCCGCACTGGATGGCATGCATGCATGCTCAGTGAGGGGTGGCATCTGGTGGGAGGTTTGCTTCGATGTCTTTTGTCAGCGTGACTTTCTCTGTACAGTCAAGGTATGAGGGCTCCATGCTGCTGCAGGAGGGGCAGCAAGTCACGGCGTACCTGCTGACTTTGGATGTGGTCAAAGGCCATGTGGAGATGTCGGCAGAGCCGCCAACCTTGCCAATGCCAATCAATCAGACGCTGGAGGATCTCATTCTGAGCTCTGGCGCTGCCAAACAGGGCAAAGAGGGATCACCAGACGAGGTACTTTGCGACCCACTATTGGCAGCACTGCACACAGCATACGGGCAATTCCAGACAAAGATGCAAGCACTGTCTGTTCAAGGATGTGTCTATGCTGCTTACCCAGTTTGCTTATTCTACAGACTTTAGCTTTGGACCCAGCGTCAAAGCGGTGGGCTTTGTGCAAGATACTTCAAATCATATATGGTCTCAAGTGTGGGATGTACATGGAGCAGGAGGTTGAGAGCATGCCAGAGGCAATGGATGTCTGCAGAGAGCTGCTCCTAAGCGGCGCCATCACTGAAGCCACGCCAGGGAGGAGGCTGCAGGGGCGAGCCTTCTCGCCAGAAGTCCAGGTCAGGCCTTGCTACACATTCTAGTTTCTCTAGTATCCAGACATTAAAAGAACCTAGAAAGATGGATGCACATGCCTTCTTGTTTTTACGCAAGACATCCCTTGCAGTGTCCACAACTGTCTCAGAGCCTTGATGTCTGCGTACCTCTTCCGTAAATAGCGTCTGGTGCGATGCTTAAGAGAAATATTGAATTGAGAGAGAATGAAATGCATCGACGAGTGAAACGGTGTCTGTGTAGGTGTTCATGGCCAGGAATGAGGGCGAGGCGGTTGCAACTGGTGAGAGCGGGCCAAAGAGGTACACTCTTCTTGCGCGGGCCAGGAATGAGGTTCAGGAGATTGAGGTGGAGAGTGGTCTAGAGAGGGATGAGATGAAGACAGCACTCGGGCTGGCACTCAGCACAGTTCTGGCAGTGATGTGAGGATTCACAATTGATGCATTGCAATGAATTCTTTGCAAGGATCTTCTCAATGTACGGATATGAAGGATGCGGGAGTGTGAGTTGAACCTAACTTGCAATGAGCATCTAGGAAAAAGAATGATATGCCATGCATGTCCTTCGAAGGACGCGATCTCAAGCTGAGGCTTCACACTACAGAGACACATTGTATTGTGCTCGAGCCGCAAAGAAACAGAAGCCAATATAGCACAGCTCTCAGCAGAAACATTGTGCTCTACTCTTAATCAATGCATCTGTACCACCAGACCTGTTTAGTAAATCAGTCAGCTCAGGGTGCACATCACAAAGACAAGTGGAACTCTCTACTCCCACCACTTCTTTCAGCCCGGGTGCTCATCGCAAACAAACAGCTGGCCCTCTCTACTTCTCAGCATTGGACAGCTTGGTGCTTTGGTCTTCCCTCTCTCAGCCAGCAGCAGAACCCGCTCTATCCCCTGTGATGAGCCAGGCTCAGGGAGCCTGTTTATCCAGAGCTGTAAACCAGGTGACTCAGCTCTTGGTGCACATCACTAAGACAGCTGGCACTGCCTATTCCTCGGCCTTGGAGAGCTGCTCCTTGGTGGCCTCGTCCTCCTCTTCGTCGTCGGGGGAGAAGGCGCTGAGCACTGACAGCTTCTGGCTGATCTCGGCCGCCTTGTTGGCGCCCACCTTGCCGCTGTCCAGCAACCGCTCCAGCCGCGCCGTCTCCGTCTTGAAGAAGTCCCCTCCCTGCGGAAAATTCCCCAGTACCAACACTGAGCGACTGCCGCATGCAGAACCCCATACCAGCATCCACGTGCAGTTGGCAGACCATACGCGACAGCAAATCAAATCATATGCATGTGACCCCAACAGGCCACATGCAACCTAAACTCATTGCTACCAATTTCCACGCCGTCCTTCAGAGTCGAGGGCGGATGTGAAAGTGCATCTGACATCGTCCGGCAGTAGTCAGATTGCTCAGTGTGTTCCAACATCCCACATTTGCCTCACCACACAACTCGCTCCTCTTCTGTACAAAGCAGCAGCGCAAGCACAATGGTTTGGGCAAGCACTGGTGCATGCAAGAACCTGTGCCTGTGTCTGTCTGCATCGGCGTACCTTTGCCACGGCCTTCTCGGCGAACTTGCCGTAGAGCAGGCCAGCAGCCCTCTGCGCCTCGTCCAGCTTCTCGGCGGCTGCCTTGAAGGCGGCGGCCGCGCCGGTCTTGTCGGCAGCTGCCAGGAAGTCGCGCGCCAGCGTGTCAAGGGAGCCAATGCGCGCAAAGCCCTTGTCGGCAGCCACCTTCTCTTGCAGGTAGGCCAGGAACGCCTCCGCCGTGCGCCCGCCGTTGTAGCTGCATGCCACACCAGCGCCACGTCAGTACAATATCAAGGGGAATTAAAAGAAGGACCTGCCTCCTTTCTATGCCTACAGTTTCCACATATCTGGATGCAAGCCTCAGAGAGATGTCGATAAGGTCCTGACTTCTCTGGTACCTTTGAAAGAGTGTTGTTTCACGTGAGTAGAAGCAAAACGGTCAGAGCTCTTCGTTCATTTTGTCCCTTGACAAGTATGACTTCCACTTAAGTGAAAATAAGAATGCTGTTGCAGAGACAGTGCTGCCTACAAATGCCAGTCAGTCTTACAGGTATTCGCGCATGGGTGCGTACTCCTCTGGTGCTGATGTGGGCTTGCCGCGCCCAAAGTACTTAATGGTGGGGAAGCCCCGCACCCCAAACCTCTCTCCAATTTCCCTGTGGTCGTCTGCGTTTACCTGTTAGCACCCAATCAGCACATGTCAGATCCTCTGTTTGAAGACAGAGAGATAATTTATCAGGGGACCAAAATCTTTTGCTGCTGGTGCTGCTGTAGTAATGAAGGTTGCTTGTGACATGTGTGACCTTTCGACAAGTGCCACATGCACATCATACATGCAGGAGAAAGGACAAAATCAGCTAAGGAGCTGCCTGAGGTACACCCTCAGTTGCCATGTGCATGATTCACCCTTTCCCTGCGATTTTTGATATGCATGCGCTGATTGTCCCATATGACCGGAAACTCACACATGAAAAAGGCAGGATGTCCAGGAAAGCTCACCTTGGCGATCACCACCGAGTTCTTCAGCTTCGGGTCCTTGGCTACTGCCTCTCCAAGCTTCTTGTACTCTGGAGTGAGATGCTTGCAGTGGCCGCACCTGCATCAACGAAAGTCCCTTCAAGAACAGAAACCGAGAAAGACTGGTGCAAATTGATATAGACAGGTAGGTTGAAGGCAGCCTTGGAAGCACGGATCAGCTGGGATGGTGCAAGAGTAAACGCAGGAACTGATGCGCACCAGGGAGCATAGAATTCTACGAGGGCATGCTTTCCACCGGTGACGACCTTGTCGAAATCAGCTTGTGCTGCACGGTACACCAACACCAGTGAACTTATAGGTGATCAAAGTCGAAAAAGGCAAGCCATACACTGAAAATTTATGGCCTTTGCAGACACGTACAACAATCATAACTAAAATTTCCGGATTAAAGAGTTATATGCGCCACTAAGTCAAGGACACAGCTAAATCCAAAGCAAGTGATCAACCATCACCACACAATTCCTGTACTTCACAGAATAGGAACGGGACACGCCATATTCATCATCATAGTATGCAACATGTAAATAATTTGAAGGGTTGTGCGTACTTAAATCGTGCACTCCTGCCAAAGACTCTGTTGGATCGTCCTCGCAAGATACCAAAATACCCACCGCTGCCCACAGCAGCAGGTAAAGAATGCACCTCATTATGACGTATGCTTCTGGACAAACTTCAGCACACCGGCTTACCGAAGACTCCTAAGTTTGCCAGCAATTGGATTGTCGCCTTCCTCCCTTCAGAATGTGTTCATTCTTCGCCTCGACAAGCTTAAGCTTGAGGCGAATCTGCAGAAGGCAGGAACGCCGTCAGCCGAGAAAGAAATTCAACATGCAACACGCAATCTCATAAATCAGCCAGAAGAAATCAAGAACAAAATATCTCTTTTTTTGTAATTACTTGCCTTCGATCTCAATTTAGAGCCCTCCCTGAGAGCACTGGTGTGAGGATCTCAATCAGTCATTTTCGGGCCTTGCTGAGATCGTCCTCTTACACTGGGATTTGTCGCCCTTGTATGTTGCATCAACGCATAAAATGAACTTGAAAGGGCTTCCGACAGAAACAGGGCCTCATCATCTAATGACATGTGGTGCAGTCCGGCTGCATATGTTGCGGCATGCACAGCGTGGCCCAACCAGCAGGAGGTCACGGTCACAAATTCGGCGTCCATTCGCAGCAGAACAAGATGTGAGTCTGTTGTCGAACTGCATCTACCTGAGTATCTTACATCATAAAATGGAGGATATGCCATCATGATCTGGAGGTCATTTCGTGCAGGACCTGCTGATTCCCTTCGGTACCTGTTACATGACCGAGCTTTGTGCGGAAATGAGTATTTGAACGCAAAGCTTTGCTGCAGGGGGATAGGGGCCGAAAATCTGGAAGAAAGGGTTCAGCATGGGGAAAGGAGGGCATCGACCAGCACCCTGGAGCCCAGATCAGAAGCCTAGCAGTCTCTCCAGGGCCACTATTGACCAGGAGGGAATTTGCTGCAGCTGTGACGGCCTCAGCGGCTCTGCTATCCTGTACAGCGCCAAGCAGGGCGGCACCGGCTGTTGGGTCCAAGCCGACACTGGCAGAAGTCACGCCAGAAGTGGCACCCGCAGCGCCCCTGTCATCCAGGTGTGTTGCTGCAATCAGCAATACTGACAGCTGCACATCCACTGAAGAATACAGCTACATGCAAAACCCGGCTGAATCGTGACATGCAGAAGCTCTTCTGGTCTGGACCCCCGCAGAACGGCAGTATTTGTCAAGTGACAAGGCAATAGACAGGGGTGTTTACCATGCTGCTGGACTGCCCTGTGTAGGGAGCAGGCCGTGATCGACGTCTTCGAGCAGAGCACCCGGTCTGTGGTCAATGTCTTTGATGTCACTCTTCAGGTGAGCACACTGCACTGTTTCACCAATGAACCTTACTAGGTTGACTTCTGCATGCATCCTGCCAATCTTGTCTGGGGTTATTCACTCTCAGCATGAGCAAGCGGATGCAGCAGAGCAGTGCTGCACATATGACAGCATGCATTGAGGCACTGCCTGTCTGCTCGACAGCTTCACCTGTTTTTTCAGCTGATCTACTTTATCTTGCTCCAGGCAGGCTACCACTTGTTTGTGTTGCTCCTCATTCAGGGGAATGCGAGGCCGGTGCCTCAAGAGGATCAGCCGGAGGGCAATGGCACCGGATTTGTATGGGATGCCGATGGCAACATAGTGACTAACTTCCACGTCCTCGCCAGCGCGCTTGTCGCCATCACCCGGCGGCCGGGAGGACCCCCGCGAGAGGGGGGCCCCCGCCCTGTCGTCGCAAAAATCACCCTCTTGGGTGCGGGCCAACCCTCAATACTTTATCGCATGACTAGTCTTCAATCCTGTTGCAGTGCAGTGCCTATCAAAGGTAAGAGAGAGAGGCTGCACGTCCCTCATTTCCTTTAGTAAAAACAATGGAGGTATCAACAGATGATAAGACGAGACAACATGCCTGGCGATGCCTGGCGATGCTCCCTACACATGTTCCAAGGTATCAGGCATGCAACTGAGGGAGCAATGCAGTAGGAACACCAGTAGAGATGCAGTACTGTAAGTCTGCTGTGCAGGAGCGGATGGCTACAACCAGACATATGACGCAGTGCTGGTGGGAGCGGACAGAGCGAAGGATCTGGCAGTGCTGAGGATAGCGGCGCCAAAAGAGGCGCTGCGGCCTGCCCGGCTCGGGCAGTCCGGGCAGCTGCGCGTCGGGCAGCAGGTGCTTGCCATCGGCAACCCCTTCGGCTTCGACCACACCCTCACCACAGGTGTGCACAAGGGGTAGAATAGAGCAGTCGTAGTTATCAGGGTCACAGCATGCTATCATTCCCAAATCAAAATGCGACAAAATGCTCGCATTAGCGCTGGAAATATTATGCGAAAATATGCCATTAAATGCAAGCTGCTGTGGTACGTGCTGTGCCATGTGAACGATTACTTGTCCGCAGCTTCCAGCCGTAAAATCTCACTCAAGCCGATCGTCAAAAGTTTAACTACGAGTAAGAGGACTGTCCTTGATTACACCTATTCGCACATGCCTCTGCACATGCCTGCATGTGCGCACACACGTTGTCTTCAAACCTGGACCAGCACCGCACTCTTTTTGCTGGCTGTATCTCCCAGAAGAGCATGCTGGGCATCTAATCTGCCATGCAGCTGCATGCTTGAATACCGATCTGCCACCATGAGTCTTCGGGGCTTTTTGTATTGTTGCAGAGTGTGGAACGCACTTGAAAATGTGCTGGCTTGTTTTCTTTTGTGCCAAAGGACACCTTTTGTGAGCGCGTTGTTGGGCCGCTTTGGCAGGTGTGATAAGTGGGCTGGGGCGGCAGATACAGAGCCAGGTGGGCAGCAGCATCGGGGGCGCCATCCAGACAGACGCGGCCATCAACCCTGGCAAGCCACACTCTTTTTCACTGGTTCACAGTAGGATCTTCATCACATCACAAGGTTCATGAATTATAGAAATGGATGAGCACGCTTAGGAGGGGAAGCTTAAGCATTTGCCTGACATCACGTGCCCAAAAAGTGGAGTAGGAGGAGGTTTCCCTCCCTCCTCCTTTCTGTTTAATTCCCCTTCAAGATGAGTGGAGCACTGTCTGTTTTTAGCACCGTGAAGCAGTTGGTGCCCCAACTTTATCCTTCAACCACATCAGCTTTGGATTTATTTTGTACTGAATATAAAAATTTTCGTAACCTACGGTGTAAGGTTTTTAGGGTGGATATATGGATGGATGCTGAGCTGTCGGGTGTACCAAAACAGGCAACTCGGGGGGTCCGCTGCTGGACTCGGGAGGGCGAGTCATCGGGGTCAACACAGCCATCTACACAGCGTCGGGGACGTCCGCAGGCGTCGGATTTGCGATCGGCATCGATACTGTCCGCCGCGTGGTACCGCAGCTGCTGCAATTTGGCAAAGTGACGCGGCCGGCACTCAACATACAGGTGCGCCTCGGACTAGGCATAGCAGGAATATAGAAGAAAATGGAAGAAGTGTGAGATTGTGCTCGAATGACCGGGCCTGTGGCAAGCAATATCAGTACAACTGTGAGGTGCTGGGTGTCAAGGAATTGGCTGTAGGATATCTTGGCGCTGTGTGTGCATGGATGCTTTGGGTGACTGCCTGTCAGGTAGTCCTGGCAGACAATGACTTTCGTGTCCCATGCATGTAAAGCATGTTGACATCGCGCTTGCCTGTTATCAAGGCACCTCAGTCCGCCATGCAAGCATCAGAGCCTCTGGACGATGACGCACAAAGGCGATGCTCCTTTTCACCCATAGGGTGCATGTTCAGTAATGTTTGTCGTTGATCAAAGACACATCTTTTCTGTGTGATTGAGTGCACGATGGTCGATTCAACACACTGATGTCTGGACCTCCTATCAGCAAGGGTGTCGGAGCTAATTTCAAGTCAAGTCCTGAGAAGTTTGACTCACGGCAGCTGGCGTCCGAGGCGGTGGCGCGCCAGCTGAAGGTGACTCGCGGCGCGATGGTGCAAGCCGTGGCGCCAAACTCGGCGGCCGCCAAAGCCGGGCTGCTGCCGACGAGACGTGCGCTGTCAGGCATCGTGGCGGGTGATGTCATCACCGCCTTAGATTTGCGGCCCGTGACTAAGCCAGGTCTGCCTATTCTGGCAACACTGCCTGTCCATGTAAAAACATGTGATCGCCCTGCACTCCATGAAAATTTTGCTGCCAATTGGCTTGTGAATTTGGCTGCCCAGTAGTAGTACAAGCGGTGCTAGGCTTTAAATTAGTCGAGCGCATAGAGCTAATGCTGAGATAGTGGCAGCTTGGACGAGAGGTGCAGGACATGACCTGATAGGAGGCTTGGTTATGGCATAGGATGATGCTGAATCTGCTAATGGGTGCACAGGTGACCTCGCACTTGCGCTGGATGATTGCAGCGTGGGCGACAAGATCGTGCTGACAGTGCAAAGGGGCGTTGGTGACTCACAGGCGCGCTTCAACCTTGTCCGTTGCCAGGCAATGTAAAAGTTGTGCTCATTTCAGCCAGCATGCCTTGAGTTGACCAGCAATTGCCACCGGGCGCACAAGGTCCAGATGATGCTACAGAAGCATGCCTGGAGCATGCATGCGCCTGTGCTCTTCTAATCATCTTGCCGGCCTGTTGATTAAAATCACTGATGGTGATTGCTACATCACAAGCCTTCAGTGAGGTCAATGCAGGCCTATACATGTAGTGGCATTCAGGAGCTGAAAGATATTAAGCTGGTGAACACTGCGTGGCTGCAGGGACCGCAGGAGCTAAAGCTTCCCCTAGAGTTAGAAGCAGAGATGGCGTGATTACTTAAACCATTGAAGTAGAAGGAGCGAATGTAAAATTGGGATGACTGCGCATTGTCGCATTCTTACTGTGAATCTTGCTCGAGCATGGGCTCTCATCCCTTCAGCTCGCTCAAGCATGCTGAGTAGAACGTTGCTTTTTTCGTAGCTATCCGAGTGTCATAGTGGAACCTGCTCAGACAGTCTTCAGCATACAGGTAAATCGGACACCGTAGCAAAAGACACTTGGTACCCACGTATTCTGCCCTTGGTTGTCTGCGCTGTAGTCTACACTGTGGCCTGCTGATCTGAGATCTGAGGTTCTGAATCGATCAGTACTGTAACAGATGAGGTCTGAATAAATCTATGTCAAGATCCAGATCTGCGTCTTACCGTGTGGCACAAGTCATTGGCATCAACAATTAGACGTAATAGGTAGAATGTAATTACTAGCACATCGAGAGGAAGCTGCTGTCCTCAGATTTGTTTGCAAACAAATCACACCCCAATGAGTCAAGAGGCCGCAGGCAGGGAGCTTGCATTGTAAGGCTCAAAGAAGTAGCACTCATCAAAGTCTGACTCCTTCCCAGGGTGGCCAGGATCCCCCTGCACACAGCACTGACCGGTTTAGCTGTCTTACAAATCTGTCTGAGCCAGATAAAGAGCCTAAAACGCTCCTTGCATCTTGCAGATTGCAGCAGCAAGCCATAAGATCCTATTTCAACCTTCACAAGTGCTGCAGCACAGGGCAAGCAAGGAATGTTGTGGCAGTCTACGCACTCATATGCATGGGAAGCCATCAAATAGCGCAAAGGGCAAACAACGAGGCAAGGGAGCACAGTGTTCAGTACCTTGCCGGTGTACGTTGTGGGGTAGTTGTAGATCAGGATGTCCTCCTCCTCTTGCTGACTGGCCTGTGAAGTGTGCAGCAGCAGCATAATTCAAGGCTATTAGCCAAGACAAAGTGCTCCAAGATCAGTTTGCACTGTCATGAAAGCTCGGCAGCGAACTACCGGCTTTTCACACTGCCATAGAATACTTGCTAGATCAGCTCGGGGAAGGATTTGGCACGCAGGAAGAGGAAGGAAGAGCTCACAGGTGAGTGTGTGTTTTTCCTGGCTTGGTCCACTAGATACTTGGCAGCTGCATGTGTCACCTCCACCTGATTAAGCACCCAGAATGCACTTATCAGAATGGACCTTTGATGTTATGTCAAGCCCAGATTGCATCTTCCACAAAAGCTCTTCAATGCTATGGAGACACAGCAGGACAACCTGTGCAATTCACAGCGTAGTCTGATGTGGGCGCCTTAGAAACAGGACACAAACAGGGTGGCATCAATTTGGGTACTCACCGCAGAAGAGGAGTGTGGAATCTGCAATTTTCTTGCCCATTCAAATGAGTTCTTCTCCGGGTGCCACTGTGTTGCAGTTATGGGATACTGCACCGTTGGCAAAGAATTGCGGTGATAATTCATGGACAACACATTCTTATCGCAATAGCTTTTGACATTATTTTTGACGGAATGCAGACACATGAGAAGTTTGCGATATGAAGATGGGCAGTGACAGACTGCCTACAATGAGCCAATGAGCCTCAGGTGGCTCCCAAAAGGCCTCTGAGATGTACTAAGAATAATACAGCCTTCATAACACCCAAAGAAGACAAGGTTGCAGCTCAGTAAAGAAGACAAGGGTACCATGCAACATCAGGCACCATTACCAGAACAAAATGCCCACGTGTTCACATCACCTCCTGCTTCTCACCTTTCTGGCCTCCATGGTTGATATATAGACAGCGTGACGCCTGTCAGAGCTCAAGGACGTCACCACAAAGAAGTCTTTCAGCCGCTCACTCCCCTCGTATGTGCTCATTGCCAGTCCTGCAGAAACCACCTGGCAATCTTCAGCCCCTTCACTTGCCATAATAACTCCTGTCACCCAAGTCAACTCCCGTGGCTTCTTAAATCCACCCATCTGCGGATAACAAGGTGCTGCAGCATAATGGAGCCATTTTCGAGAGTCAATGCTGCTGATTCTGTCTCCCTGAGCCCCTTGAGAGCAAATGCACCTGAGCACAGAGAGCAAGGCCCTACTGGACCAAGCACCGAGACTATCTTGCCTTAATCAGCCAGGGGAACCCAATGGATGCTGAGCAGCGTGATGCCTGGCCAAATGGCGTGGACCATAGAAAACAACGGCCTGCTGCAGCATTTAATTCCAAGAATTTACTGGAAGGTCCACCCAGATGGACTGGGATCACCATGTGCACTTGCTGTGGTAAAAACATGTAAAATTGGGCTTTAGAGTATCCTATTTCTCTTTGGTAAATCCCCCATATGGCCTTGGGTCTTCAAGCCCCTCGAGTCCTGCCCAGAGGTTTCTCTAACTGGATATTTATCCACCCTTTCCTGCCATGAAAGGGGGTAATATACCAAAAAAGGGGGTAACAAACCAATAAATCGTTGCGCGCACCCTTGCCGTGGTTCTCCATGGCAAGCGGCTGCTCCTGCAGGCCGCGCAGAACCTCTGGAGGGAACGCGCCGAAGAACGTGCTGTCATTCTTGCCGTCCTCGGTGAGCACCAGTGGCGAGGCGTTGTCATACGAGTCGAACTTAGTCAGCGCGCGGCCGTCGCCCGACACAATCACCGCCAGCGCCTCGAAGCCCAGGCAGGTGCCGTGCAGCTGCGCAGAACACGCCAACAACATTCAGCACACAGACTGCCTGCTTGAACGTTTTGTATTGTGTGTAAGCGCTGTCGCAACACGGCAGCTAATTTTCCATGAAGCAGTCGAGCGGCCACTACAGATGGTGTCCTAAGACAATGTCCTGACATTGTCCCCATGTTAGATTGACCACTCTGCATCGCTAGGCTGCAGCTGACAGCAAAGACAGTCAACGAGATTATGATGATGACACGATCATGGAGGATGCTGCCTCACAAGTGCCTTCTTCAAGCCAGAACTATGTTCACGCCAACCCTGTCATGAAAAGGAGGAGGCATTGCTGCGCACATTGGACTGCACAGCAGGCCAAAGCCGGTTGCAGACACTTTAGATAATCACAGAGAGGACAGGAAGCATACTGCACCACGAGTTCCTGCCCATCACTAGCCTGCACATTGCTAGCCAGAACTATCTACACAACAGCCCATTTTTTTAAGAAAGTGGGCATCGCTGCGCGCACCGGGAAGAAGTCTCCGGCGTCGTTGGCGGCGATGGAAAGGTTGAGTAAAAGGGCCGAGGTGTCGAAGAAGGGGTGGTGGGGGCTCAGGTTCTGGCCGCCCCCGGGAATGAGCGCGCCGTTTACGGCCCGGAACAGCCGCTGCACCTCGGCTCTTGGGGCGTCGTACGGGATCGGCACCGCGCGCGCGCCAGCCGACTCCACAAACTTGATGTAGGAGGCCGCTATGTACGACTGGTTGCCCGGGGCTGGGTTGCCCGGCTGGGCAGCAAAAAGGGCAGATGAGGCCAGCCAGTCTTGATACGGTGTAATACTGCAGATCTTTAAGGTCCTCCTTGTAACTGCAGCTGGTGTAAAATGGACGGATTATTTGCTGGGTTTCTGGACGACAAGAAGCTTGAGGATCTGTATACCTGCGTTAGTATGCCTATCAGAGGCCGATCAGAGACGTATCCTGTGCTGTTGCTGGAGATGGTGCTCAGATGGCTAGAGTTGGGTATCCTTGCACACTCAGACCTGGTATACACAATTTTCTCGCCTCTCAGTATGGCAAGCATTTTTTTCACTACGACATTGGCAAAAAATGTCTTCAAAGCCGGTTCGCGGTATTATGGGCGAGGAGGTCCTTACCAGCACAACGATGCCAAGGATAAAAGCAAGCAAAATAGGCTGGAATGCCGCATCATGGCGCCTAATGTTTCGCGGTGGGATGCTGTAATTCGATGGGCGGGCAGAAACAGTAATCAAGACTGCTGGCGAGGCGATCAAGGCGATCTAGACATCGTGAATTTAGGTGGTCCGTTTTGCGTTCCCCTTGCGTTGCACAGATACTGTGTCAAGCCTCTCCCTCTAATATGATATCTCTTATGCCCCAGCAGAGTAGCAACGACTGGGTTGTGAGGAGGGAACGGTTTGGAAGGGATGAAGTGCACGAGGCGTCACATGTTGCTGGCGTCATCATCCCTGGAAGCCATGCGAAGCTGCGTCCAGGCAAACTGACGCTTAAAGGTTTGATAAGCAGTTGCGTTTGCTTGCTTGAGCAGACGCAGGTGTTTTCGAAGGTCTCGATCCACATTTTGCTCTGCATATGCCCTGCATCCACCATGAATTGATTGGATGCGACCATCGTGCATATGGAACCTTGGAAAGATTCTTTCCCATTGGATGATCACAGACTCTATTGATACTATACATTGCATGTGTGGAAGTGAAATCTGTCTTGGCTACTAGCAGTCACCAACGGGCAGGCTGAATCTACAAAATGACTCGTCAAGCACTTGCCAACGTAGTTGCTGACGATTTGATCAGGCATGATTGTGACATTTACATGGACGTGTGCACATGTTTAATCGTGAAGAATACTATACCGTAAATGCGAAAGTAGCAAAACAGCAGGTACAGAAAGGGATAGCAATCAGTACAAATCACCCAACACCATTCATGAGTGTACAACTTGGCTAAAGAGCCCAGCTAGCCTAGGCCCGACGCTAAAGTTTGGACTCAATGCAAAAAAATTGAAGAGGTCCTGCTGCTGTCTGGTGTGGGAACTTCTGCAGAGACTAGTGTGATCTTAGATCCCAGCTCACAAATGTGTGGCTGTAGACTGTCTACCAATCCGCAAACAAGCACCGTAGTGTCAAATCCGCATTATATGACCATCAAGTAATGGTCTTGGGAAGCTCTAATGGCAACCTCGCGATGTTCTGCATTTGGGCCACTGTCTGTGCATTGCAACTGCATCTTCTAGAGGGAATATGCCATCCAGCTTTGCATTGAGCTTGCTGACTACAAAACAGCTCATTTGTCAAACGATTCCTGTTGGTTACTGAGAGAATGGGTTGCCCTGCAACAGCCCTTCCATGGCTGCATTATTCCTTCTTGTGCCCAAAAGGGAATCCCACTTATTCCAACCTTGGAAATACGGGTACAAGTCATACCAATACGTCCTCCCAGAACTCCCTAAAATTCAAATGAGATGGCCCGCCAATCCTTGCAATCCTGTCCTTGCTGCCTAAGCAACCAATGAAGCCCGACCTACAGAGTAATATTGAAGCCACATTGATGCCCATGACCTCAGAAACAAGTGCAGTCTTGGGTTGCATTGTCGATGGTATCAACGTGGTGTGAAGAATGAACCGGCGCAGGTGGCAGCCTGTCCCCTCAACTATATAATGCAGCCCTCAAGCACGCCAAACCCAGAATTTGAAAATGGTTGGCACGCGCAAAGCACCCGGGCTGCACGTTATTTCCCCGGCTGTGACAACATATATGCATCCCTGCGTGTATTTGGGCTGCCAGGCCGTGCAATAAGCTTACGAGTCCAGGAATATTGCGGATTCAGAACAACGGTGGTGGATTTGTGGCAGTTCTAGCATTGCCTTGGGTGGAGTTGCTGAATCAGCAGCCAGTACTTGCTGCCTGATGACCCCGGTCCCTTCCGCTGAGCATCCTGCAACACACCCTCCAGGTGGCATGCCCACGTGGGTGATCCTCCGATTGCCCTCGCCCAAACAGGCAACCCTGGGCATGCCCCAAGCCGCGCCAAGACAGGTGTGCTGCTCTTACTCCAAGCACTCAAGCATCCTTTTACGCCATGCGCCTGCGGCCTCCCAGCGACGGAGCTGCAAGAGCTCCCGGCGCTGTTGTGGGCGCAGATGCGAGCGTGTACTTGCCGGCCTGCGCACAGACACCCAGAACACTTGAGCCGCCAGTCCTCAACTATGTACAGTACCCTCCTGTTTCCATGATCCTGCGTCCCTTCAATCTCTTCTCCTGGTGTGTGGATGCTCCTGCTTGCCAGTTTGTGAGTCTATAGAGGATGGCAACTGACTGAGTATTCCTCCAGCTATCTGTCTTTCACGGGCGGGTGAAAAGCTGCCAAACACATCCATGGGGACTGCTAACACATGGAGCTCCTCTATCCCCATCCACTCATCACATCCAACCTGACCTAAGCAAGGTTCAAATTTGATAGGATCAGGCAGCATGTTATTCAGCTGCTGATGCGCACCGTGGGCACGGAGCTGTAGAGGATGGTGGAGAGAGGCACCGGGCCGCCGGCCGCCATGGGTGCAGCCGTGGGCGACGCCGCAGGAGCCGTCTTGAAGACAGCATTTGCATACTGCGACTCGCTGGCCACTGCACGCATGGCACGGCCACGTCAGAAATCGTAGGAAGGCACGTGTGATCTCGTCATTCAGAACAGGCCGGCTGGGTCTGCTGGAAAACACGCAACTACACACCCATGCATCAAGTATTAAGACCCATCCCTGCTCAAATCAAGTATCTCTTGTCACCACAGCCTTCCATCTGCTATGAGACCCCTTTCTGTTACATGTTCAAGGCAGGCTACCACTCATTTGCACTTGAGGAACCCCATGGATCCGCAACAGGTGCATCCAGCAAGGTGCACGGTGCCTCCGCTTCTCCAAGATGTGACTTTGCACCAAACGATGCAGGAAGGTTTATGTGCCTCACCGCCCAGGCTGCTGCCAGCTCCGTTGCCCTTGGTGTCAGCGCCCACCGGGTCCGATCCCTTGTAGTCCACAAGAAGGCGGCGGCCGAGCACGCTAGGTGCGCCTTGGCCAAAGGGCGCCGACACCGGCGCTGAAGCTCCGTAGGAGACCGCTGCGGGGAATGCCAACGGTACGGCCGTTGGTGCCGCTGCTGTGTACGGGACCTGCACAAGCGAAAAAGAAACACATCGTTTACACTTAGATATTGCGCTGTTTGGATAGGGTCCATGGTATGACATATTCATGGACTGCACATGCAGATTCACTGACCTCCTCTCCTTCATCAGCTTCTGTTGCATAACATGGACCGCACTGAATGTCGATACTTGCATGACTCAAGACCGCCCATAATATGTTGCAACTATGACAGCACTAGGGGTGGTGTGCAGTGGAGCTGGACACATCTGTGCTGCTGGCCACAATGCGCCGAAGCACAAGAGCGCAGGAGACGAGGGTACAGAGGGAGAATGCTCACCGCTGCAGCCACGCTGGCACCCTTGCCATTGCCAACAGTGTCAGCGCCGATGGGGTCGGATCCCCGAGTGTCCACTAAGAGGCGGCGGCCATGCGCATGGTGCACCGCTACAGCAGACTCTGTGCCTGCCAGCGAGCTGCGCGCCAGCCCTAGCTCGTGCAGCGCAGCACCTGTCTGGTGGATGCCTTGTGAGGCACCTGCGCAAGCAATGGAAAAAGCGACCGTCAATGGAGGGCACTGGAAGCATGAGGTTGACGTCAAGATGGACGTGGCAGAGCCCCGGGCACCCAAGTGCTTGGGAGCGCCCCTAAGATCGGGCATTTGCGTTTCCTGGATGTTGCGCGGTGGCCTGTATCGTTGCGCTTGCGATGGTTGCATGAACCTTGTAACGACATGCACATGCGCCCACTACTTCTGCTACCTACTTCGAGCACTAAAAAAGCGGATGTGCAGAACGTGCGTCCCTGGCCAGAGGTTCGGGAGCCAGCCCCAAACGCAATTAATGTAAAATAGCGGTGATCCCCAACTAGAAATGGAATCTCCCTTATACTGCTGATCTAATAACTTGCTGTGCACTCCTAGACCGAAGCCTGTCTCAGTGTATACCCGCGCCGAACGCCAGCACACTGCTTGTCCAGAGACTGGCGTAGTGCGCAAGACAAAAACCTTAAGGAAAGGCTTCTTTTGACCACAAACGATATTTGTTAGGCCATTCGTTCCCCAGACCTGTCCATCGCTTCGGCGGCAGCCAAAGCGGAAAAAGCACAACATGGTGAGTATCAAGTCGCGCGCTTTCCTCTTTTCCCAGGTTGCTGCCCGATCGACAGCCTGATACTATCAATAGGTTGTATTAGACTGTTTCCACCAGCACCAACCCCTGCAAATGGCAGCAGCCGTCTAGTTGAGACGCAGGTTGCACAGACGCCTGCACCTGCCCACAACGAAGGGGCCTCACCTGCAGTCGCGATTGCAGCCAGCAGGAGCATGATCGCAGCGAAAGACTTCATTGGTGCTTGACGACAGGTACCCTTGCTCTGTGCAGCGCGCAATCTTTGTTCCGATCTCCCAGCTTCCCGCGAGCGATGTCAAAGCGGGAACGAGCTTCGTGCCAGCTGGAGGGCACAATCCCCCGGTTCAGTATCTACAATCGAGGGGATTGACTGACACCTGGCCGAGGGCTGACGTCCAGGGTGAGCTGGACCTGCCACCTGGTGCCATGGGCCAATAGGAAGCTTCCTGAAGACTCTTTTGTATGGACAGATCATTGAGTTTCATGTCTTGTGTGCTATAGATGGGAAGCTGTGGGAAATCTAATTGGAATCAGCCCTGCAGGCTGTACAGTGTACACATGTGGCCAAGGCTGGAACAATGTAATCTCTCCCCCTCTCTTTCTCTCTCAGGCTCTCGCTTTCTCGCGCGCGTGTGCGCCCTCTCTTTCTTGCTGCAAGAGCATGCTTCTTTGCAGACATGCAGCAAATTCCAACTCGTCAGCTCAGCGATACGTCGCATTTACACGAGCCTCAGCACTCCACATGCCGATGTGCCAGAATCCTTGTTTGGTGCCTCGGGCTCAGCCTGGCACTGGCAGGCTGCCAGCCAGCCAGTGGCAGTGCTTGATACCCTTTCATAGTGTTCTACTGCTGGCAAAGGGCTCTGCGTCCATTACCAACAGAGCCACCCATTGATAGCTAGACAGGCAGCCTCTCTGCAGCTGCTCGCCGAATGAATCAAGTTCATTGCAACATGGTCGCCTGAAAAGCTTTCCTCAAGCAAAGTCACTCAGCCAAACAGCCCGCCCAGGCCGCCGCAGCAGCGGCGGCTGTGCAAAGAAACGAATATGTTGCAACTCAAAGGAGAACAAGTCTTTTCCAGCACATTGTGGCACAAAGCAAGCCTACTTTTATTGAGAGCTATATTGCCGCAAGCAGTGCTTCCCATGAGGGATTTCTGCAGAGCACAGGACTTCAATGCTAAGCAACTCCCCAAAGATTTCGGTTCTCATCCGTTGATCCCATCGCAGAAGGCTGCAACGGCCTCCCTTGCAGCTTCAATGACGGCGCTCCTGTCTGCTTCCTGAGCCTTGTCACGCACACACCTGCACATATGTCCCCACACGTTCACATTCCCTCAATGATCCAAATGCTGCTTCAAGACATGCTGCACTGTACACTATCCCAGGCAGTCACAACATGTTGAATGCATTTTAGCGCTCAGCACAGTCCCGTGTAAGCGTGTAATAATAAGAATAGTAAGAATGAAGAGAATGAGAATGAGAATGAGAATGATAACAGTCCCAAGGGCTGTTTCGCCGGAAAGGATCCTGCAGAAATGAGGCATGGTGGAAATGCAGTGTGGTGAGAATTCCAGGTATGGAGGTTATGATTTGCACCTGCTGAGCAGGGAGTGGATTTCCTCCAGAGCATGCAGCAGGAAGCCTTCCGTCCTCTCCACCACAAACCCCTGCACAGCAGCCATTTCGTCAGTGTAATTTGAACTTCCCTGCATGTACCAATACAGCTGTCAATCAGGAGGGATGAGCACGCTCACGTGGGCAATGAAGTCTTAGTATCTACCATATTTGGCACCACTCTGAGCGCATCTCACTGCACGACGTAACACTTCCTGTCTATATCAGAGAGAAATGCTGCAGCCTACTCAAGAGCCTCGAGCACTCCAACAGCGGGAGGTACCTTGAGTGCAGCTGCCTGTTCTTGGTGTTTGGGCAAAACCAAGCGTTTCTGAGGCGCATCGGCGTGATCAGCTGCCGACGGCGCTTGAGAGGGGCCGGCATCCGCTGTCAGCAGCTCAGGCGCGGTGACATCAGCAGGCATGGTGATGTCAGCAGCTTGCTCCTCGGCGGGAGACTCGATGAGCTCTTCAGTATTCATTGGTGTTTGCTGCATGCCTTCAGGACTAGCTGATGAGCAAGCTTGCGGGCCCTGGACACAGGCACAAACATGCATTGACCGGTGTGACAGTTGTTTGTCCGTCTGGAGATCATTGAGCTGGGTGTCTGATCTCTATGATTTCAACCTCAAACCCATATCTAAGCATGCAATAGCTGTGTCATTCCCCAAAAGGACCACATAGGCTTTGAACAAAATGCTGCACTGCAGTTGTTATCTGTGTCCTCTCATGCAGATTATACTTCTCACTGTAGTGATGCACTCTGAACAGCCCATTTCTTGCCCACGTGATGTCATTACAATGCATGGAGGCTCACAGGGCATCAGCATCGCTCCTATATAACGTATTGCAGACAGTATTAAGAAGCTTTCTCAGTGGCACTGGTGCCCACCTCGGTTGTGGTGGGCGTGCGAGCAAATCTGCTGGGTCTGAAGGGCGTGTGGCCGGCAAAGGGCGCAGCAGGCTCCTGCTGCGAGTCATAATCAACCTCCTCCATACGCCTGCATGCATCACAATTTAAACGCTAACAGAAATATCTTGAATGAACTGTTGGCAGGATTAGAACAGACTGAGCCCCAACGCTCATGCTTGATATGAACCACCCCTATATATTTCATCTTCCATCTGGCTTGATCAGTGACATCCTCGAGGGCCAAAACGGTATCAGGAACATTAGTCCCGTGTAGAAGCATTGATCAAGGGTGGCAGGACTAATCAGGGGCGGCAGGGATATCAGTAATGCTGCAACTCTTGGTTCACAAAGATCTCACTGATCAGTGGCTAGTAGCTTCAGTACTAATACTGCAAAGAGCACTTCTATTGTTGAGCTGAGCAATATTTGGAGCAGCACCCAACATGCATTTCACCAGCGAGTATCAGACCAACTTGAAATTGTGAGTGGGCTACCGTTGCCTCGGTACAAGAGGTGCCTGAAGTACTGCACAGCTTAGTTGACACAGGAAGAATTCAACAGGAGGGGACAACATAAAAGGATATGGGAAAGTAGGCTGCCCACCTGGGAGATGCACCCTCGCTGCTGGGCAGGTCGGCCCATGTGACGCCGCCGCTCTTGCGCGCCGGTTTGGCGGCTGACGCGGCGAGGATGCTGCCCGGCTGCCCGCAGTCGGGCAGGTTGGGCCGCGTCGTGCTCGCTAGCACCTTGCTCGCCGGCCGCCTGCTCGCCGTCTTGCCTGCGCAAAATGCATTGTGCAATCTTCACGGTCATGTTAATCCTGCTTGCAAACGCGGGCATGAAAAGCATATGCAACACTGCCGCCTTGCATGTTCCTGCTGAAGATGCAGGCTCAATGCTCGATGCTAGCATGTTGGATAGAGCGTTCTTTTGCGCCTGTGCAGAAGAGAGCTTATTGTATTGCCTGTACACTCCACGGTGCTACCTTTTGAAAACCGGCAAAGGTTTATGATGTTTGCTATGCACAGGCTTGCACAATGCTTAGCTCTAAGAACGCCGGTCGTCTGATTACTAATTTGATATTCTGCATGAGAAAGTGAAATGGGGGATCTTCACCTTCTGGCATGCCGGTGCTGCCGAGGATGCTGCCGCCAGCCGAGGCCGGTTCCCCCAGCGGGCGGTGGCAATCGCCGCGGGAGTCCGGCGACATCAGGTCGCCCTCACTCCCCTCTGTAGCCGCCTCGCCGGCCGGCGCTGCTGATGCAACCTCCTGCATCCCGGCTGCACCTGTTGCAGTGTCCGGTGCATGTGCAGAAGTGGAGGGGCTGTCGCAGATTCCGCGCGCGACGAAGGTGTCGAAGGCGGCCGCAAATCCGCGGCGCTGCGGCGGCTGGGCCGGCGGCGCCGGAGCCGACGGCGTTGCCTCTTCTCCGCTCGGCCGCGGCGCCTGCACACCACGGGGCCGTCTTTAATGTGGTGCACTTGCATCTCATGTCATGCAACTTTTGAAATGGCTCTGCCAGCATTGTTGTGTAGTAGTGGCACCAGCACAGCCTGAGCTACCTGCACAAAGCAGGATAAACGATGAGTCCAGCATTTTAGGGAGCCTCAGGAGACCACAGCGCCAGAAAATGAGGCAGCGAATTCTTTGCTTTGAGCTTGCTGCTTCAAGCTTTCCCGGTTCTGAGAGATGCTTTAAACACCGCTTGAAGCCGTTGTGAGATGATGAGATGCAAAGAAGAACTGGCGGTCAAGCGTATTATTTGCTGCTGCCGTGCTGGCACGCGAAGGGAGTTAGAACAGTTGTACAACAATGTCATGAAGAGTTCAAAGGCAAGACAGATGTAAAGGGAGAACAGTGGGAGAGTGTGCACACTTTGGTCACCGTTGCCTCGCCGTTTGCAGCTCGGCGACGGCTGCCGCCGATGCAGGCGGCCAGCGTGCTCGGCGGGTTACTAACCGCGCTGACGGAGCGCGTTCGGTGCGCGGCCCCTGGCTCGTCATCTGCTGAGTCATCCGCCGCGTCCCCATTTCCTGTGGCTTCTGTCAGTGCTCCCTCGCTGCTCACCCCTGCGCAAAAGGATACAAGTTATGTTTGCGTTTACCTTCAAGGGTCAAGTTTTCAGATACCATAAAAATCGCAGGTGTTGGCAAGCCTGTCGAACCAGGGTGAGAAGAGAGTTTAGTACCATGTCAGAGAGTACAACTTACGTTATTCCAATTCCAATGCTCTGCCTGGTTTCTAGCAATCTGATGGTCAGACAAAATCGCCATGACAGGAGGTTGTTTACAGTGAAGGAAACAGAATATATTGGCGGATAATCTTGTTGGTTTTGCCGATTTGTTCAAGGGTGTTTGAATGTGATGCAGGGCGCTGACAACTTAGTCAGGCATCGGGTCACTAATAAATTGGCTCTGCGATGATGTTATGTAATTGACTGACACATCATGTAAGAGCGCAGACCTGCTGTGCTGTCGGGGCTGAGCAGGCCATAGGGGCGGCGCTGGTTCAGGGGCGTCTCATTCACCAGCTCCCGATCAGGCTCCTGCTGCGCATGCGCATGCGCCACGTCATCGGCTGCATCCGCGGCAGCAGCCGCAACCGCTTCAGCATCGTCTTGGACAGCCTCCGCTGCTTCACCCTCTTCTCTGACCCTCTTGCCGGTGTGGGGCTGTGCCTGCATTGTGGGAAGATTTGTTTTCAGGTGGTGCAGGAGAAATTTCTCTGCCTCCGGGGGACACATTCATGCCTCAAGCATGGCATTGTGCTGCTCAGCACAGCTGTCTTTTTGGCCGGCAATAGGCCACATAGGACCATCGGTGCCTCTCAGGCCTCTTTTTAAGAGAAAGAAAAAAAGAGAAGAAGAGAAAGAGAAAAGAGAAAAGAGAAAAAGAGAAAAAAAAAAAAAAAACTAAAGAGAAACCAAAGAGAAGAGAAGAGAAAAAGGACCAAAAAGAAGGAGAGAAAGAAAGGAGAAAAGAGAAAAAGAGTACTTGCGTTTGCAAGAGAATTTGCAAACGCAAGTACGGTACTGCCTGAAACGTCTCCGGATGAGGCATTGGCGCTCTCGGGTGTAAAGAAAATGCCCGTTCAACATGTCCAAGATCCGTCACACGTTTCATACCCATGCTACCCAAGCTATGTCACATTCATCCCTTGCTTCAGAGGCAAGCTGTTGAAGCTCTGTATGCCTGGTCAGCTGCAGCTTGTCTGCAGAAGCACCTTGCCTCTAGCAGGTACAGCGTGTCATTACAATTATTATAGTAATGATCGCCGGCTGGAGACAGGGGCTTAGTCACCTTTGTCCTGCCGGAAACCACGCGCCGTTGCTCCATGATCTGTCGGCGCAGGCGCTCGGGGTCATTATTAACAATTCGCCTGTCCAGCTCATCTCCCCTCAGCCTCGAGCTGCTGCGCCCCTTGCGCTGCCACCTGCACCGTTTGCAGCACCAAGTCCATCACAAACGAGTTCCACAGCTCAAGAACTTCAAATTTGCCTCAAGGAGCCAGGGCGCTAGAGCTGCCGCAACTTTTGCTTGGTTTGCCAAGGAAGGGAAGTTCTTAGTAAGAAGGTGGAAGAGAAGTCGCGAAACATGTATTGCACGCAATGGCACCTCAGCATAGCTCTTCAGGAAACAGAATTTCTAACTGTAGCAAACGCAGCATCCTGTGGGCATTTGGAACGCGAATCTCACCTGGCATCTGGCTCATCAGCATCCTCATCGCTGAAGAGGCCGCCGCCGCCGCCGATGCGACCGCCGGCCCGGCCGGCTCCCGGGGCGTTCCTTGTGGCAGGGGGCGCCACCGGCGGGGGGTCGTCGGCCAGCGCGCCCGGGGGCGGGGGGCCCAGGCCCCCCCGTTCGGCCACCGCCTCGCAGCGCGCGGCCAGCGCGGCCGGGACTCGGGTCTCCACCAACATATGCGCCTCGTCGTCCAACGCACATGCCCTTGATATCTGCATGACATGATTGGCAACGTTGGCAATCGTGCTTTTGCTCTTATAGTGCTCTCCAACTAAGTTGTCGAGAGTATGGCTGTGCCAAAGCTGTAAGCAGGCAGTTTCTAGCAGCCTAGAAGTAGTCCTCCCTGACTACGATGACTTCAAAATCAGAAAACATGCGGCAATCGGCCAAAGGTAGCTAGCGGCAATATGATTTGAGATAATAAAGATGCTAGGTCAATTCCACCAAGCTAGACTAGGATTGCTGCCCAGCACTTGATGCTGCTAAATCTTGACAACAACAATGCGCTGCGCGCAAGACGCTGTTCAGTTGCCATTGGAGGGTAGGCAAGATTTAGAGGGAACGCGCCTCACGGACGCCCTCAGGGTCATTGCCCCAGTACTGCTTCTCAGCGGCGGGGATGAGCGCCACCGCTGCCAGGAAGGCCTTGACTGTCGGGTACTGCCGAGCGTTCACGCGCGCCAGGAGCGTTGCTAGATCCATTGGAGCGCTCACCTGGGGAGCAGAGATACGTCCTGACTCACTCATTTAGCTTGCGGATGTGGACCAAAAGCCCTCGGTCCATGGGCACAGTTGCAGAGCTGAGGAAAGAATATGCGTCCAAGAAAGCAGTACATGCAGGTTGCATATTGAGATGCCTCAAGCGATGCAGTGCTCGTTTTATATGCTGGTCGTACTGATACCTGCCACCACAGGCATCCTTGTGGGCACAGATACTGTATATATATTTTTATTTTATGATCTGACCGGCGGTACCATGGCTGGAATTACAAAACGTCACTTTAGAGACCTTTCCTGGCAGCACAATTTTATTTAGAGACCTTTCCATAGGGCTTTCTAGGTCTTCTGCTGAGTTGTCATCAATACGTCTTTAGTGAGACCCACCCGCTCCCAGTACTCGGGGTCTTCCTCGGGGAACACGGGCGCGGCGAGAGAGCGCCAGCGGCGGTCGCACAGAAGCTTCGTGGCGACTTCCCGCAGCGTCATGCGCAGCTGCCGCACGGCTGCCACATCGGCTTCGTATGCGGCGCGCGCGGCCGCCTCCGCCCGGGCCTGCTCCGCCGCCGCCTGCGCCGCCAACGCTTCCGGCGCCCGGGGCAGCTGCATCCGCAGACCACACATCGGTTCACAATTTCTCCGGTCTCTGAGTTCTCTAGTCTCCTCATACAGGTAGCTGCTCTGCTCGATCTCAGAAAGAAATGAAGTGGGCGCCTGGAATAAGATGTTTTTTTTGTATTATTAGAATGAAACGGTATTCAAGACACAGAGAGCAGCCCAGGGATCAGCTTATTCATCATTTTCGCCTATTCTTTACCAAGCCAGAGCCCAATAATGAAGAGCAAGTTCACTCAGCAAGACAGGGCTTGCTGCGTTCTGCAGCGCAGTTTCTTCTGAAAAAGACTTTGTCCTGACCGTGAATGGCGCAGTATTGGCACCTGCGGTGGCAGGGCGGCCGCCTGACGCGCGGCCGGGGGTGGCCGGGGCGGCAGCGCCAGCTTGGAGGTAACGCCGTCGAAGAACGCGGCGCGCTCATCCGCACTGGGGGGCCCCAACTCGTGCGCCACCGCTGCGTGAGAGCCGAATAGCACCAACGAATCCTGCGCACAGGTCAGGTCCTGAGGGTAGGCAGTTCATAGTAACAAGTATTTCTCCTTGCAAGTATTTCCTATAGTCCTTGCAAGTGTTTCTCTTGGTTGGCGCACAGGAATTCCTCGCTTGTGATCAGTACTTTCAGGCAGTTCCCGGACAAATCCAGCACCCCACGCACATCTAGAACAATCTACAGTACCTTCACAGATGTACAGCTTTGGAAGGGCCATGCTGATGCCTGCGTAAGGCAATAAGGCACAATAAGCACAAGAGAATGTGGCATTCATCTGAACCCACAGTATGACTCACCTGGTCCAGGTCAGAGATTGGGGCGTCCGCGGTGGCAAAGAGCAGTAAGGGGAGGTCCGGCGGCAGGTCCGCCAGAAGCATCCACAGCGTCGCGCGCAGCGAAGCCGGCGCAGTGTCCCACCACAGCTGTGGCATTTCACAGCCACACAATTTCAAGTTTTCCTCCTCTCTTTCGTTTTACCTTGATCACCGTTTTCACTTGATCAGATTGATTTGGTACTGGGGAACATCCCCGGTCATGGTCCTTCTATCTGGATCACCAAAGGCACTTTGAGAGACCGCCAGTGGAAGACGAAGGCTCAAGTACAAGCTGAAACACTGGATACACAGGGCTGTCTTGGATGCAGCTCAAAGATACTTTCCTAGAGGGGTGATTGATATAAGAAATGGGCCTCATACCTGCAGGTGTGGCAGGTAAAGAATGGCGGGCGCGGCTCTCCTGGCCTCAATCACGGCATGCACTACTGCCTCCTCCGGCGACCTGACACATCACACCACGATTCATTCTGCCGTTCAAGTTAATTAGGAGCAGGGCCACATTTACACTGCAAAGAAAGACCTTCAGCAGGCCCCTCTGCCTGTTTCCCATGAATCGGCATCCCATGGAGTTGGCGCCATCTTTGCCAGGTCTATGATTGGGTCATGCAGCTGAAATGAAGAGGCATTATGGGAGACGTCGCCTGGCACTGGCCGAACAGGCGTATTGAAATCTTTGACACGTGATAATGGACATGGTGGAATGCAAATCCTATCACTGGCGTCAGATATATCAGGCATTAAGAGATGAATAATGGCGTGGCAAAAGGACCGTCCAGACAGTGGCATCACAGAAACAATCAGATCTTGTACAATGGATGGGGGATCATGGTAAGAGGGCGCGCCTGGCACTGGCGTCGGACAGGAGAGCGGGCAGCCCAAGCGCATGCACGGGCAGGCCTTCCAGAGCGTAGAGCACGGCTGGCGCCAGGTAGCGCTGCCCCGCGCCCTCCGGGCCGCACAGCAGCAGCCGCGGCTGCAGCGCCTGCGCTGGCGCGCCCGACCACATGCCTGTTTCTGAGCAACATATGCACGTCAGAGTTTTCATTGCCACGCTTCAACACACTCTGCACTGCACCTTTGCTTTCCAAGACCCCGAAATGCTGAGTGGGCAGGAAAGTCTACAGCAGGCCCGAGAGCCTTGACAGAGTACCTGAGAAAAGGCAGAATACGGCCCACGATGGCACCTCCATGAGACACAAGGCTTCTGTGAAAAGTTCCTACCGGCAGGATCTACATTGCGAGTATTTGAATTGAAGAACGAATATGCAGCTTGCGCACCGCCATCATCGCCGTCCTCATCATCAAACTCATCCCGGACCAGCGCGAGCGCCGCCGGCCGCGGCCGCGACGCAGAGATGCCTCCCGGCTGCGCGCCTCCGCCCTGTCATCAACCAGCCATGTTACTAATGTCTTACCCACCCCAGCAGACAAATAGTCTGCGCATGCTGTCCCTGCACCTCTTTGTGGTTGGGTGGGACCTTGCGGGCTGACATCCCTGGGTGGTCCCCCTGGCAGATTTCCGCACTCGAGCCTAGTCTACACAATGAGTTGCTTGGTCTGTCAGAGCTTGTCCGCGATGCAGATCAGCATGCAGATCAGCGTGAAATGAATGCAATCACCTGTGCCGCGGCTTCCAGGCAGGCTTTGGCTGGAGGGAACGCAGCGCAGAGGCGCCCCAGCACCTCCTGCAGCTGCACCTGCAGCACCGGCGCCACCAGCGGCGGCAGCGGCCTGTGACAAATCATTGAACACGTCAGCATTAATTATGACTCCCGCCAATGAAAGACCCTGGTAACTCACTCTCGAGCACAGCCGATGTACTCCAAGTTGTCCTTTCTGCAACAAGTCCAGCACTTCTGAGGGCTGCATGTCCACATGGAGTCACCTTCCAGCCCAACCGCCGGCTACTCGCTCTGCAACCAGGTATTTGAGAGGAGACTCTGAACCATTCGGTTGAGACTCTTGTGCTGCTCCTTCTGGACGACATGACGCCAAGGAACATCAGGGGCATGCCCAGTCCTTATAATTCACACTGTCAAGAGATGAAAAATTGGCAAAGTACAAAGACATCCACAGGATCACAGAAAGAGAGACGAGAAGGCCAGAAAGAGAGATAGAGACAGAGACAGTGAGAGAGAGTGCCAAAGACAGGGGAAAAAGGACAAAGAGAGGATGACCTGGCGTGGGCGGTGGCTGAGCGGTGGGAGGCGGGGGTCATGGCAGAGAAGGCAGACAGGAAATCGCGGCGGCTGACGGTGACGCGGCTGGGATCGATGAGCAGCTTCTCGTCGCTGTCGTAGATCTGCGGATAGTGCCGCCGCATCGCCTGCAGCGAAGCCTCCGTGCACAGCGCCTGCAGAACCACAACAATTTTCTGTTCTTGTTGTTTTCATCATATGCTTCTCCTGCCCAGAGCGCGGCTGCAGACAAGCTCCGGTGAAAGGCTGCTCGCATCCTTCCCCTTGGTGGACTTGCAAGATCCAAGCACAAGAACAATGCAGCTCAGATATTCATGCTGGCCTCTCGAGATACTTGCATGCATGTCCCATTCATTGTCTCCGTGCACATCAATCGTATTGGCTTCCGCACAGAAATACTCCTCAAGGGATATTCGGAGGAGTTTCGGGCACATGCGCATCTTTCTGGAAAGCACATACAGGTGCAAGCAAGAAATTGTTCATTTTCAGAAAGCTCCCTTTCTTTGAACTGTTGTAAGAATTTTGAAACAGACTCCGAATGATCACAGAAAGGCTGGTTGTGGCTGCACCTTGAGGTCGGCGCCGCAGTAGCCGACGCACATCTGCGCGAGGCGGTCTAGAAGGTCGGGGCCGGGCGGCTGCGCCCATGCGCGTGTGTGGATGTCTAGAATGGACGCGCGCGCATGCAGGCTCGGCAGAGGGAACACCAGCTCACGGTCAAAACGGCCCGGCCGCCGCAACGCCGCGTCCAACGCGTCGACCCTGTTTGTCGCGCCTGCGCGACGCGCGATTAAGAATTCAGAGTCTGCCGGATTGACAACATTATTTTGCGAGTCGGCAGGAATTTTGGAACCTCAAGGGGATGTGATTGATTGCTCCACGACAAGTGTAGGGGCACAGCTTCTACAGTCAATGACAAATGGCAGGAGTGCTGTTGCTTGCATAGCAAAAAGGGCACTGGGCAAGAATCTTGAAAATCCTCCCACTCTGCAGCAAGGGCCCATAGTGAGGCCTGCTTTGCAGCTCTGCTCACAGGAAGGCATGCGTGGCAGCAGAGATTTCAGGAATGCGAATTTCTACAAGTGCTTAAGCAGTGGGGAAGATGAGCAGCGCACCGATGACGACGACGCTGCCGCGCGAGTCGAGGCCGTCCATCAGTGCAAGCAGCGTGGAGACGATGCTGTTGTGGATCTGGTCCTGCTTGCTGCTGCGTACCTGTGCACACAACAGGTGCAACTGATACCAGCTCATTGCATGTGAGATTGGAAGACAACATGTAAGTTTTTCCAAATTATAGCATGTGCAGGAAGCCAAATTTGCCCATTTCCAGCTGAAGTGCCCCCAAAACTACCGATTCTTAGCAGGATTTCCCTTGTGTCCGTCATGACTTTTCTGGCTGCAGCCAATCCATTTAAGGACATGGCTGTGGTCTGGTATGTACTCTGCTAATTGCCACGGATGGAGCAATGGTCAAAGCACCAAAGTCACACAGGCACAATAGCTCCTCCTGTGGACAAAGAGTGCTCCCGGGAAAAGATTTCAAGGGGGTTCCTCCATGCATACTTGTGTGCAGACTTCAGACTGCAGTGCAGGATTTGACTGCATGAGAATTCAACATGCAGTGACCATTTTTTAGGGCGCAGTCTAGCTTGGTCCGTGCTACAGGCGGCGCGTGGGGTGCCCGCAAGGCCCATAACTCCTTGGTGCAGCCTCACGGAACAATCCTTACAGGGCGCAGCCATGCGTCAATGCGTATCCAGCTTACCGGGGCGAGGCCGTCGATCTCGTCGAAGAAGATGATGGCTGGCTGCTGGCGCTGGGCCTCCTCGAAGAGCATGCGCAGCTGACGCTCCGCCTCACCCACCCACTTGGACAGCACGTCCGCACCCTTGCGCATGAAAAACGCCACCTTGCGGCCGGCCCGGCTTGCCGTGGCCGCAAGTGCTCGCGCCACCAATGTTTTGCCCGTGCCTGCGCGTCCAAGCCGGTCAGAACAGCAAACAGATTTTCAACCCGAGTCCATACAGGGTAGAGCTCCGTACAGCAACCTAAAAAAATTATGACGAGGGGCGGCAGGCCAGACCTGGGGGCCCGTAGAAGAGCACGCCGCGAGGGGGGCTGATGTGGAAGCGCTCGAAGAGCTCTGGGTAGACCAGCGGCAGGAACACCATCTCCTTGAGCGCCCTGATGTAGTGGTCCAGGCCGCCCACCTGGTCAAAGCTCACCGAGAGATCTACCTGCAACCCACCCAGGGCAGCCATACACATTACTACTGCGATCTCCGCCCCTTGCAATGCTGGATTCAGGGTTTGTGAAGAACATTTGCAGTTTTTTGGCCTGCATTAACCATTGCATAGAACCCCTGCTAGCTCCCGAATACATGCAGAGCTGTGTGAAGATGTCATGCTACAGAATTCACTCATTGCATGAGGTAAGCTCACATATGCTCTGGAGTCATGTCATAAAATCTCACCAAGTCATGCAGCATCTTGAGATAGATTCATGGAAGCAGCTAGCCGACAATAGGGAAGGCTCAAATCCATGTCTCCAGCTGCATAATGCCTAGCCCTTAGCCTCCCTGAAGACCTTACAGGTGCAACAATCCAGGGAAAAGCAAATTCAAGATACTGTTATATTGATCCCAGTGTCAGCCTGGTGCCCAGGGTAATAAGCGAAGGGTGCAGACCTCAAGGGGCGTGATCTCAGGGTTGCTGCCCTTGCCGTCCTTGCCGCCGCCCATGGGCCCCCCGCCGCCGAGAGCCACTTCCCAGGGCTTGTCTCCCGGAGGGTTCCCCCTGTGGCCCCCCGGCGTGCCGCTGATCTGCGTCCCTTGCGCGCCCCAATTGCGACCCTGACCCTACGTACGCACATTTGTACATGTGTCTTCTGGAGGTCAGTAGCCAGGTGACCTCTAGATGGGGCACCCTATTGAAGCATGCATGCCAGGTATGCGTAACAGACAGGCGTGGCTCGGGCAAAGGGGCACTCAGACACTTGACATTGAATTTCAGCCGTTTGCAGCTGTCACACTCTCATCTATGGATACACACGCGCAACAGCTTCAACTCTCTATAGATGAACATGCTTGAATCCTCTTAGCTTTTTCACTGCCTGTTTCTGCCTCATTTTCCCAACCCTGAGGGTGCATCCCCAGATCAGACGGTACTTGCCGCAGATCCATATCTGTATCGTAACTTAGATACTTGCTAAAAGGGATAAGTCGTGGGCAGCGGGTCCTCTACACACCTGCCAGGGAGCGGCTGCAAAGTCATCCGCCACGTCATCGTCGTCCGACCAGTGGCCAGAGGAACCACCAGCGCGCCGTTTGCGGCTCACGCCCCTCTCGTTGCCCCCCCGCCTCACAGTGCCCCTGCGACGCACATGAGACACATTCACTGCCTCCGCATGCATGCACCAATACTGCCGCAGGTGGAATCGCCACTGCAGATACTCGGGGAATTTTGCCAACACGCAAGTGCGCAGGCTCTAACAATGGATGCGCCTTGGAATCCCATATGAAGGAGTTCCAGGACAGAGGGGTTAGTCTGCATAAAAAGTATTGATCATTTGTCATGACGGGCAGATGCTCAGCAGAGGAAAAGAGAGACTCTTCTCTACCAGCCAACAATGGGCTGATAATTTGGGCCATGAATCATTTGTCATTGTTTGGCATTGCCTGGCCAATAGCGTTGTCCAGCAGTCTGCATGTCAGGGTAGCAAAATGAACAGCAAGTTGACACGAGTCTGACATTTGCTGACAGCAGATCTTGAGGTGTGTATCTTGCTCACCGCGGCCTGTCCGTGAGTCCCGGCACGTACGGCTGCACCTGCGTCCTGGAGCGGTCTCGCAGCGAGTACCTGTGCTGCGCGCGGCGTTCCCTCTCATCGTCCTCGCAATCGTCCTCGTCATCGTCCTGTTTTTTTACACGCCACCCTTTTTCTTGTATCACCCCTTCACATCAATAAGTGCACAACATCTAGAGATTGAGTACCGTGCCCAGAGAGACAAAACAAATGTATGCAGCGCAAACTAGCTGGGCAGCAGGTTGCCCATATCTTGGGCGCACGCCCATGCCGTCAGCTTCTCTTATTTATGTTGTCTGAAAGGATGTGCATGCGTGTAAATGCAAGTGCAAATGCATGCATGCTGCCTTGATTCTACACTTTTCAAAGTGTTAGCACAACATGTGGGTGTTGTGTGGCTGGCCCAGACCTCGCCATCGTCATCTGGCGCCTGCCGGTGGCGCTTGTGCGAGCCGGAGATTTTCTGCCCCATGCCTGCATCGCCGGGCTTTGGGCTGTAGCGCTGCACTGTGCTCCTGTTGCGCAGAGAGTAGCGCCTGGCAAGTGCAGCACGTTGGTGTTATCAGCAACACTCTGCAGGGGATCGGACAAAATTACTCCTACAGAACAAGCATCACAAGCATCAGAAACCTGCAACATGAGACTAGGTGGGATCTCAGGGAGCGTACTACCTTGCACCCCAGGGTTTCAGGGTAGGTAAGCATGATCATGCATGAAACATGATGGGCTTGACTGGATGCAGAATTCCAGGTCCCACCTGAAGTCCCCATCTGCCATCTCCTCGATGTCTTCTTCACTCTCTGATTCGTCAGCGTCCTCGTCATCTTCCTCATCAATCTCCTCCACATCATCCTCATCCTCCTGTCAGAATGATTATTGATTTCAATTTCAGATTGAAGGGTACAGTACTGCCGGTACAAAGCTGCCTGGCATGCCAGACATGCTTCTGTTCCAACGTAGCCTTGACAGTCTGGCTCTCAGAACTTGCTCAGATGTGAGAGAACAGGCAAATGCATTAGCCAGTGGTAGAACAGTGTTGCAGGTGTGATGTCACATGCAGCACACCGCCAGCTTCACAGATCTGGGGCTGCAGGTTGGAGCCATTGAGGGGCTCACCTCATCCCCAAGGTCATCTTCGACTTCATCATTGGCGTCTTCAGAATCAAGCGGACGGGAGGCCTGCTTCAAATTTCTTAGTTTGTGCGTGTGGCGGGGCTGCCTGCCACCAGGAATTTCCTCCAAATCGTCAAGGGCGTCATCCTCATCTGCCTGGTCCTCATGCTTGATGCCTAGCAAGGCCCTTGGCTCCTGCGCCACAGTCAAGGTTCAAGGTGCACAATCAATATGCTTGCATCCATCTAAAAATGGTTGAAAGCGGCTGCAAAAGGCCGAGCTCGTAAAGGGCACCTCTTCAGCCATCTTGCTGTATAGATTGACGCAACACACAAGAAACCTGCACAAGACGAACTTGCACGCCAGTTGCTTGACCCAGCTCACTTTTCTGGGATAAGATCGTTCGTCAAAAGCGTTTTCACAGTTCTGGCAACCTCGTCTTGCAGCCTAATGCCTGTGTGACGATGAAGAACGTTTCGAAGAGACTTTTCAAGCGATCATGCTCCTTCGAACGCTGAGAATATTTTACACAACATAATTTACGAGTTTCTTCCTGACTTGCATGCCTCCACTACATCATCTCCTCCTATCTGTTGTTTGCAAGAGTGTAATGGAGGCCTCACAAAGTCAAGAGCGCCATCTCCTCTGCTTCGACGCCTCGCGCTCCTTGTCTGCCTGCTCTTTCCCTCACTGATAGTGAGAGCTCTGCGGTCGCCCGAAAAGCTGCGCCTCCTCTTAGGGGGTTCGGCATCAACCGATGCTGAGCCACCTCCCCTCCTTGTGGCTACCATCTGTGGTGTTCAGCCAGGAACTCCTGGCACCTACAGGGATCTGTTTCCTTCAAGACCAGATGGCACGCTCATCGGAGCATTCTGCGGCAATGTCAATGACGCGCTAACATCTGATGCAAGTCCCAGAAAGCCGAATTTGGCGACTCTTGGCAGGCTCGTGACTTCACAGTAAAGATCGGCTCTAAAATTGGACTGGCACTTGCAAATGAATCAGGAGTTTGGTTTGTGACGGCAGAACAATGTCCAGCAACATTGCAATGGATTTGAGCATGGTCCCGGGAACGCCATCCGCGACCTGGGCCACGTGGCCCTGAAGTATTACGATGAAGAACTTGCGCCTTCTCGCAGCAAGATCAATTGTATTCACTGTTTTTGTAGCACTTTCAGCATGTTTGGTTATAACGAAGGTGGGACAGAGCCTAGATTTGGGACCTCCACCTTCAGACTTGCAGACAGCGATAGATTTTCCGTTTGTCGATCACGTGCCTCTGTCGGGCCAGGCTTGCTGGCCCCACAGCAGAGCGCATCATTTTGTTCAGTGACTTTCAATGTCCCTGTATTGTGCTCAGTAATTAACCTGAGGGAATTCAGTTGGGCGCCGTCCGAAATAGACACACATGGCCAGAGAGGGAACAGGTCAAAGAGGAGGAGAAATGAGGACAGTGGGGATGTTTCATCATTTGCAGGCCGCGTTGAAGGCGGATTAAGGTGTACTACTGTTCCCAAGCATATCAAGAGCTGTCCTTTTGCTTTTGTTCGGAGTCTTCGAGAGAAAAAGCTTCCCTAGGCAACAAGATGTCGGCTGGAAAGGCTGCCCAAGACGCCCCCAGCTGTGGTGTATTACCTTGCTGAATTTTTGCAGTTCCCCCTTCGGATTTTTTCTTGGTTGAAGAGAATGGACACTCTGGTTGTCTTGCCATCTTGTCAAGATTTGAATGACTATCGAAAACCTTGTGCCCTTCTACTTGCAGGGACCTAAGGCTGCGCCAGACTTTCGATGAGATTGATGAAGGGCACAAGGTGCGAATTTGTGTCCCCTTTCCGTTGTGCTGCATTGCATGCTTTGAACGCTTGGCATCTTTCTTTGAGGTGATTCAAATTCCATATTCTTTCTGTCAGGGCTTCCTAGAGGAGGGGGACCTTCGGCAGTATGCACAGCAGCACGGCCTCCCCACAGAATACATCCCAGCCTTCATGCAGTCTGCGCTACGAGGAGGCCACACATACCTCAGGTGAGCTGCTTTGATGTCCCATGAGCTGCCTTTGTTAAGTATTTTTGACCAACGACTGCTTCGCATGAGCTACACCCGGCTATCTTCCCACTCGACCATTTCTGAGTTGCCTCAGCATTGGGGGCTAACCTGGGTATGACTGCTTTATGCACAGCAAAAAAAGGAGGCGGCACCTAAAGTGGCTGTGTGTTGGCACAGCTTTGATCGCTTCCGGCAGTACATAAGCGGGCGGGAGAGCAGCCTGAAGAGGACGTTTGACAGGCTGGACGCTGACGGGGATGGCAGGCTGACAGCAGAGGAGGTGCAGGCGGGGCTGGCTACCTTTGGCTTCACCTGTCCCTTCTCCAGATGCGTCTACAGGACCAAGCAGCAGGCATGACACATCCCCTCCATTTTGTGTACAGCAACCACTTACATCTTTCTTTGAGGGAGTTTTACAGCTTAGCAGCATGACTTGTCACAACAGTACGGTTTCTTTATCTTGTCTGCAACAATCAAATATATGATATATCTTTCTTTGAGGGAGTTCAGTCTAGCAAGATTTTGCCTTCTCACTGGAAGGAAGAAGTCTGCTCTGCACCTGAGGGCGTTGAATGTGCTTGCATTGTGCAACCTGATTACAGGGATGCTCTTTCCTGTGCATTTGACAGGTCTCACACGATTGGCTAAAGATGTCATCCTGTATGAATCTACCTCGAAATTATATTCTGAGCACGAGGGTGCTTGAGATTTTGCTTGCATGCTCTTGCCTACAACTTTTTGCTGCATGGTGGGATGCAGGCAGTGGAGGCGTTGTTACAGCATGCACTGGAGCCCACAGGAGTGCGCCGCAGGCAGCAGAGCGGGCGCAGCATGAGCTTCTCGGATTTCCGGCAGCTGTTTCTGCTACTGCCGCAGACCGACATGCTTGTCGATTACTGGCTGCGCGCCGCGTGCCCCGGCGCATGTGATATCGGCGGAGGCGTGGTCATGCATGACGGGAACGCCTCCGCGCGGGTGCGCTGCCAGCCGCTTCCTCTGTCGAATTGAATGTTTGAATGTTGCTTTTGACAGGTCTGCAAGAATTCCCGCATGATTGCATGCTGGACATCTGTCCGGCAAAGAGCCACAGCCTGCTGCCCGTGGCAAACTTTGCCCGTGCATGACTTCAGCTTCCATCTGACAAATGGGCAAAAGAGTCCTGCATGCATCCCTGCTAGATGGCCCTCTGGCAAATAGCCTCGGCTGCCACGGCTAGTCCTATCAGCCTGTTGCCTGTGGCACAATCTCCTTATGCATTGACTTTACCTGCTTGAGTGCTGTAAGAGCTACAGCAAGAATGCATCGCAGAAGTCTGTGGCACATAATTCACAGCAGCCAGACTGGTGCCGATGGTCAGAGGCTGTGAATGAGCATGGGTAAGTGAGTTTGATACTGGATTTCGACGTCCCCTGGGACATGGCGGTCAGGGGTGTGTAATGCGTGCGCAGGGATCTCCCTGGGGTCATCTCATGGCGGGGGCAGCTGCTGGTGCGCTCTCTCGAACGGCCGTCGCGCCGCTTGAGACACTCCGGCTCCAGGCCATGGTCGGGTGAGTGATTTACTGTGACTCAAACTCTGGATAATTTTCTCTATACTGCGTTTTCTCCTCCAAATTCTGCTGCAGCATGCCCGCTGCTGAGCAGATAGGAAAGCTCGTCGCCCTCTTGCGCGACATGGGCCACTGGCGGTCTTCTATTGGTAATGTTCTGGTGGCAGGGACGAGTGGTTCAGTGTCTGCCAAGGATGCTATTGTGCTTGGTCCGCAAGCCATGCAAAGGAGAGAATTGTGCAGTAGACATCTTTTGGTCTAATTCCTGCTTATGCAATTCCCCGCTCATCTGATCTCATGCCAATCCTGTACAGGCAGAGCAAGGCGCCAAATTTGATGGCAGCGGCGCGGGGCATTGTGGCAAGCAGCGGCGTGGCCGGCCTCTACAGGGGCAACCTGGTCAATGTTTTGCGCTCCGCGCCTCAGAAATCCCTCGACTTCTTTGCCTTTGACATGTTCAAGGTGTCCGCCTTCACCCTTCTTGAGCCCTGACATCGGGATGCATGCGAGCTTGAGCTGTTGAGAGTGGTGGCCCGATATCCTTGAGCGGCAACTTGGAAGAAAGTAACTCTGTGTATTTGTTGCCTTGTATTCTTGGTGCCCTGTTGTCTTGCGGTTGTCCCCCCCTTCTTGTTTCTTTGCTCGACACAGAAGGGGTAGCCCCAATCAGGTCCTCAGAACCCCCCTGCAGCCGGTCAGCTAGATTCAGCTTGCATGCATCAAGGCTAACCGCCATCGTTCATTCTCAGCTAGCACCAAACCTCTATAATGCAGGGATTGGACATGAAAGTGCGTTCTAATTGTGCACTGTCCGTGCAGGGCCTGCTGCGCGCGAAGGGCGCTCGGACACCGCTGCCGGTGTTTGCGGCGGCCGGCATGGCGGGAGCGGCCAGCAGCGCTTTATTGTATCCGCTGGAAGTTGTGCGCAGCCGCATCACCTGCGACACAGTGCGCTCAGCCTTCTCCCTTTATAAATACCTCAATACCCTACTTATTTCACCTCAATTCTGATCTGGCAGTGGGGCTGTGGGGTACTTGTCTGTATGTTGACTGTTGCGTGACATGCATGACAGTTGGTTGAATTCACTTCTTACAGAGACAGTGCGCCACGAGGGTTAATGGTGAGACTGCTATCTTGTATGGGTGCAGTTGGGGCTCTATGGAGGGACGGGGCATACGCTGAGGAGGATAGTGCGGGAGGAGGGATTTGGTGCGCTGTACCGGGGGATTGGGCCGAGCGTGGCTGCCATTATCCCGGAAGCTGCTATCACCTACGGTGTGCCCTCAACCCATTCGTGCCTCAACTGTTGACTACCAAATATGTCCTGGCTCTTACATGCCAAATATCAGTAAATGCTCGCTTCTTCAGCCGCCCCAAAACTTTGCTTGCAAGTGTCTGGAAGGGGTGATGAACACAGAGGCTGTCACAGAGCGGGTGCTGTTGCAGCAGGCTTGCAGCCTGCAGCCGCCTGACACAGCGATGTATTAGTGCTTGCAGACCTATCAGAAACACTGAAGCACCACAATACCTCTGAACGGCAAAGCCCTGCCCTCCAGACATGGTGTCAAAGAGGGGAAGGTTCACATCTTAGGAGATGTTCTGCAGCGATATGGTGGTGATATCTGTTGCGCATGCAGGCCTTTTTGATACGCTGATACCTCTGAACAGCAGAGCCCTGCCCTCCAGACATGGTGTCAAAGAGGGGAAAGTTCACATTTTATGAGATGTTCTGCAGCGATATGGTGGTGATATCTGATGCGCATGCAGGCCTGTTTGATACGCTGAAGCGGGGCTACGCGCGCGTTGGCGGCCGGGGTGAGGCGGGCGTGCTGCCGTCAATATCGTTTGGCGTGGTGTCTGCGTTCGTGGGCCAGCTTGTGGCGTTCCCTCTCGAGACCGTCTCCCGCCGCATGCAGGTGCGCGGCTGCTGTCACCCAGCATTGTCTCCCCTGTTGCGTTATTCAACATCATAAGCTCCACAACCTCAGTCTTGCAAAGATGTGGCGTGCCCGGCGCTGTTCTCAGGCCCTCGCATGCAGTGAGCATGCACAACGCCTGCACGCCGCTGCAAGATGGTCAGCTTGTCAACTTGGCGCCCTCCTCCCGTATTGCATGGTCGGGAGCTGTCAAATTGTCAGGAACGCACATTTGCGAATCCATCTGAGGCATGTCGCAGGCTCACTAGGTCTCACAACTCATAGCGCTTGGTTAGTGTCTGGTGTCTCTCTTGGAGGGTGTGTGACGTAGAAAGCAGCACGGGTGGATCCTGAGCATGGCAGGGTGTGCCATGCAGGTGGGCGGGTGCAGCAGCGAGGCTCTGGGGTTCCTGCCAACGCTGCGAGACATAGTGCGCAAGGATGGCGCTCTTGCTCTGTACAAGTGCGCGCTCCCTCATTCTCTTCTTCACTCCCCTTTGCACGAGCTGCTGTCAGGTCCTCTAGTAACTGCACTCTGGTGGACATTGGGTTTATTAAATGGCTTGGCGGATCCGTCCATATTTCTCGGGTTTTGTCTTAATCGCCCAGGTGCATGCTGGCAGCCGGCAGGTGAAGCATGCATGCACAATCACATGTTTCACTTGCGTTGCAGTATTAGACTTGTATTTATTGGACATTTAAGGCTGCCTTATGCATGTGTGGAGGGTGCACGTCAAGATGCAGTCTTTGCCAGATGGAACTGAGGGCCAAGTCATCATGTTTGACATGCGCATGCGAAGCTGCGAGCAGCTGAGTCATGCGTGTCTGGGCTGCAGGGGCGTTGGCGCGGCGTCGCTGCGAGTGATTCCGATGGCTGTGGTGTCGTTTGGCACGTATGAGGCGGTGCGGCTTTGGCTGACCGCCCTGGAAGAGCACTTGCGACAGCACAGATCGGCCGACGGCATGCAAGAATCCCAGCCTGTGTGTGTCAGCAACAAGTAAGCTGTGAGGCATGCTTTATGCAGTGTTGCCAGTTGCTTTGCAGCTGGAGCATGGGTGTGCAATGAAAATGACCTCGAGAGGCAGCTAGGATGGATGAGACTGAATTTGAATGGAATAAGCATGATATACTAATTTCTTCAAATTTCATCAGGCGCTAATTATAATCAGCCGCCTGATCCTGCTTTTGCGGGAAGCTGTTTGCTTAATCAAGAGCATATATCCTTGTACAATGCTGTCAAGATGTCTCATTACTGGTATGTATGTGATAGAATGTACAATTAAACCTACAACATTGCTATATGTATACTCGATAGCAGTAAGCAACGTTGCAACAGTAATGCTTGCAAAGGTTCTGGATCTCTTCCCTACATTTCATCATCCAGATAATGTGAGCACATAGTCGTCAGCCTCTTTCATCAGTCTTGACCGCCCGCTTAGGGCCCAATCATGCCAGGATATATCTTTTCTATAATGTGTTTTTTCCAATTTGAGGTGTACACGGTGTGATCAGTTGATCAGCTGAATCAGATGCATACCACAGGAGGTGTTCACTCAACTCCTAAATTCATTCCGGTCTTGAGCGCATGCATGCAGCAATTGTTCATATGAGCATTCAAGTTCTATGATTCTTGCAATCAAGTGCAATGTTCACAACATTTGACTTGGGCCGTGACGCAATGAATTGCATCGTTCGAGAGAATTCTTACAAAGAGCACATCAGGCTGTGACAAGACTCAACGTCTCAGAAGTATATATGTGAGACCATAGTTGAAGTTCAATGCACTAAAAGTCCAACTCCACAACCGCAGAATATTGTCAATTGGCATGGTCATGACTGCTGTCCTGCTGGCAACAACAGTCTCTAACTCAACTGCGACGCGGGACAATTGCCTGTCTAGAAACATCACGGGCAGCCAGCAGAGCAGAGCAGCGCTTGCAACAACATTGCCATGGCCAGTCATTCCAAGGACTAGATCAGACACATCAGACACGAGTACCGCCGTCAGACTCTTTCGGACATGCCCTGACGATCATCGGACACCCCTGACAAACTGGGTCGTTCTGGGAGAGGGCCAGTCATTCCAAGGCACTGCCTAGGGCGGTGGGTATTGGGTGTTTGCCCTGTAGAAGGTTGTTGCCGCTGGATTTATTGATGCACCTGTTATTGCGCTGTTGTACCGGAAACAAGTGCCGCCCGCAAAGTCCGATCGGAAAACAGCAAAGTCACAGGTAAAAGTGGGATCATTCAGGCAGTCCGCGAAACAGCCTTGGAGTGTGTTCGGCCCCGCCCGGCTTATCACTGCTGTGAAGGCCGCCTGCTGGATTATAACAAAGCCATTCACTGTCTGAATTGCTGAGTTGGTGTCGGTAGACAAGCCGCCCAGGAAAGCCGGCGGAGCGTTTGGTGGCGGCGGCCCGTATGTCAGGCAATTCTGGGTCGATGATATGAAGAGGAAGCTGACGCATGCGCTGCCAAGGCTGCTGCAGATGGCGCCGCACGCCGCTGTACTGAACACCCCTGGGAAGGTGGCAGGGTCTGACTGAGGCTGGTAATTGATGTTCAGCGCCAGCGCATAATCCACAGGCACGGCTGCAGGGGCAAAAAAGACTGTGTCAGCGTGCGCGATCTCGGCCAATTCAATGACTGTCTTGCAGACACACAAGGCCATACTCATTGCCCCGTACAAGACTGGCCTCGGTAGGAGAATTTCAAGTTGCTCAAGAAACAAGCATCAGCCGCATGCTGGCACATCTAGCTTGTAAGTTGAAGATGAAAAGGAAGAATGTCAGGCCTTTTGGCGGAAACTGTAGCTGGACAAAGCCTGCATGCAAGGTTTCAGGGTTATTTCAGCACAACTAAGGAGAAACCTGCCGTCTTTAGGCATCAGCCAAGCAACCCACCCCTCATGTCCATCCATTACTTGAACTCGCTCGTTGAGATATTTTCTGGACCAATTTTCACTGTCATGGCACGCACTTGACAAAAAACCAGCTAGTCATTTGGAGCTTGAATCTCCTAGAGCATGAGCAGATCCGCACAGCAATGCTCGAGTTGCTGGCGCTGTACTGGACGGTGTTCTTCAGCTTCATCCGTCAGGGACTCTACATTAACCTATCAGTCCGTTTCACAAGGGGGTGCAATGGACAAAAGGGGCACGCAAGGGGTTTGAGAGCAGGGTTCTCACCGCACTGCCCAGGGTTGCTGGTGCTGCATGTGCCAGGGTTGACAGCGCCTGTGCTTGTAGAACTGCATGGCGTGGCAGTAATTGCGCAGGTGTCGTCTGCGTTTATGCAATCCGGGGAGTTGGAGCGCGCACAGCTGGGAGGCGTGGTAGGTGCCACGCAGCTTCCGAAAAAGGCGCTGCAAGCTGCACCATACCACAGCTCTGTCAATACTTGTGCAAAGGGGTCCTGCAGTCCTCAGTTGTATTGCTAACGTGCAGGTGGCTCATTGATCGTGGATCAAATGTTCTTGTCCAGGAGGTTGTCTTGGACAGAGCGCGATGCTTGACTCGTTCACCAGACACATTTAAAGTGCAACCTTCATCTAAGAAAGCAACCTTCGCATGCACACAGGCTAAGACCAATTGACAGTTGGATTGCTTGCGATCTATGGCATGCAAAGTCGAGTTGGTAGGGTCGCGAATTCACTTGCATGCATCCCTGCAGCTTGTGCACACAGAGAGCAATTCCACACCAAATTCACATATAATGCGTGAGAAGGGCTGCACTCACTCGCCAAGCCTGTAGGGCCAGTCGGGCCGATGTCGCCAGTGTCTCCCTTGAGTCCCATCTCCCCTGTGTCACCCTTGAATCCTGTATCCCCCCTAGCACCAGTGCTGCCGGTGTCGCCCTTGAGGCCCATCTCCCCTGTGTCACCCTTGAATCCTGTATCCCCCCTAGCGCCAGTGCTGCCGGTGTCTCCCTTAAGTCCCATCTCCCCTGTGTCACCGTTGAACCCTGTATCCCCCCTAGCACCAGTGCTGCCGGTGTCGCCCTTGAGGCCCATCTCCCCTGTGTCTCCCTTGAACCCTGTATCGCCCCTGGCACCAGTGCTGCCTGTGTCTCCAATCTCGCCCTTGAAGCCCATCTGGCCTGTTGCTCCCCCGGGGCCAGAAGGGCCTGCAACCAGCAAGACCCCAAGGAGGCTCAGAAATTTGCAATGCATGAGAAGTGTGGCAACCGGTAGCAGGCAGGCTCGCAGCTGGGCTGATACAATCTTTATCGTGCCAACATTGCAACGATGTGGGGACAGGTATCAAGGACGTGCTGTTGCTGCATGCATGCCATACATCAAGCCACAAAGATACGCCATGGCCTGCACTTCACTCAAGGCGACAGCATTGGGAGGCTTAATTTAGGCAATGCTTCTTACGCACACTCTGCCCCAGCGGCTTGCCAGGCAGGTTGTGCACCACCCGGCACTGAAAGTATGGAGCTCCTCTTACTCGATGCGCTATATGCATCTGCCAGATGGGAGTGCAAGAGCTACAGACATTGACTAATCCCGTACAGACAGTGCCAGGCCAGCATGCGCACCTGATGGGCCTGTGCTGCCATCCCGGCCGTTCACGCCATTCGACCCATCTTTACCTGGATAAAAAGTTGTTCCTTAATCTCAGGACGATTATGATTGAAGTTGTGACGCCTGAGCTGTGAAGCACGAAGGGTGTCAGGCACAAGAAGGCAGAGTGCATGTTTTCCTACGTGGGCTTTCATGCATGAGAGCTTACCTTGCGCTCCAGAGCTTCCCGTGGTTCCCTGGCAAGGCACAGATTCCATTAAATAGGATTGCATCATGCAGGGTCATCTGAAGATATGGCCAAGCCAGGAGTTGTTCAACCGTGAGTTGCTGCGTGTGCACACCTGGACATCATTCAAGCGAGCCTCGAGCTGTGCAATCTTTGCCAAGAGGTTCACGTTGACGCTCTGAAGCTCGGCCTTGCTGGCGGGCAAGATGCCCACGAAACTGGCCTCTGAATCGTTCCCGAGTGACGGGATAAGCCGCGACACGAATGCTCCATTATTACTTGAGGAACCTGTTTATTAACGGGAGGGCAATGCTTCATGTCACCGATTCGACGGGATTGCACTGGGTCTAGGACACTCTGCCAATTGCGCTTGAAGCAACACTGTCATACAATCGAAAGAAAACTCACTCACCGACAGTATTAGCAGAGACACAGTATAGAAGCCTACAGAAGACAAGTAAACTGACTGTAGCGTCCCAGGGGCCAAACGTCCTGGCCACAACAAAGAGGTGTAAACGGTGCCCAGACCAGACGCACTGGCACCACACCTTCTTAGGAGGTAAACAAAGCAGCATTGACTCTGTTAAAGTTTACCTCGATACCATCACTTTCTACGACACCTTTTCATAGGTGCTTCAAGTCAGAAAGTGTGCTCATTGGCTCCCTGGATTCTGTCACGCCCTGTTGAGTACCCAAGAAGGACAGCCGTGAGAAACAACCCTTAGACGGCAGGATGATAATATTTTCCGCAGAATGGCTGCTCAGAGTGCACAAGAAATAAATACATTTGGTGCTTTCACATTTATGCTGTCGCAACCTGCATTCAAGATGATGCATTAAATCATATAATACCCCACTATGGATTCAAATTTGGCCCAAACCTCCCAGCAGAACGCTTCGCAACGCAAGAGAAGCGATTCTTTATAGGCCCACTGAGTCTCTTCCCCGCCTCATGTTTGTTGCGGCCTAGCTAGCCTATAGGCCTGTACAGCTAGCCAGACCTTGTGTATACGTAATTCAGCACCAGAAATTCGAAACCTGAACTCAAGGTGGCACATGATTTTACACCTTGCCAAATTGATCTTGGCAAGCTCCAGAGATCTGCATACCTGCCAGTGCAGTTGGACACCATGGAAAATCGCTCATGAAGTATCCAGCACTGCACATATGGCAAGTCCCAACCTGATAGTCACTCTGAATTCAGAGATGAGTATCCATGGATAGAAGTCCAAGATGATCACATGCGGGGACCAAATGCCCTCTTCCCTTGCGGACCTTTGGGACCCTCGCTCATACAAATGCAAGTCAGATCGCAAGCACAGAAAACCTGTACACAAATTTCATTGCTGGGCATTGTGTCTTATGATGCAGCATTGCAGATTACTAAAAACATGGGCAGGGCTCAGTCAGCTTCAAGCCCGGTAGGTTGGCACAGTGATCTTGAGATTCTGCCAGAAGATGTCCACATTGAATTCTGCGAGCTGCTCCGGCGTGATCTCATCAAAGGCCCGGCTCGCATTCCCACCGCCCACGCAGTGACTCAGCACCTGCCACACACATGCAACCAATCCCCTTCCTGGTACCAGGTAAAAAGTAGAGACGCATCAAACGACCAAGGCAGCGTGAGCGCCAGAGGCAATAGGAAGGACTGCATCACAAATGGCCAGCAACAGCTTGTGAAAAATGAGCAGCAGAGTTGTTGTAGCCCACGTTTACTTGAGCAGGACCATCATATTACACTGCCTGCAACATGCTGCTGTGAAACAGTGATGCTGCAATTCTAACAGTGTCAGGAGCGGTACACAAATTGTGGGAATGTAGTGCACCCTCACCTTGCGCAAGTTGTTGCTGAGCGCGTCTACAACGGAATTCCTGCTGCGAAGATCGCTCTCAAGGCCAGTCAGCTGGGTTTGCAGCGACTCAATCGTGGCCTGCCGGCTCTGCACATCCTTCTCCAGGCCCAGGACCTTGGCCTTCACCCTGTTCACGCTGTTCAGAATCTCCACCCGTTCTGGCTGCCTCGCCGACAAGCTGCCATGCCGCTCATTTGTCCCCCCAGAAGCCGCCTCCGTTCTTTGCTCACCGCTCGGCCCAACCGCGGCCGGTGTCCTAGGTGACGCAGCGCTGACAACAGCAGCGGGAGACTTTGCAGGCGCCACGTCTGAGGCTGGGCTGCCGGACGGCCCCGCAGATCTATTCTGTGTGCAGTCGGGTGTTTTGGCTGCTGCTGCCTTGCCGCGCGTCTGCTGCGTCTGTGCCAGGGACGGTGCTTCGGGCGGCTCTGCCGCCGGCGCCGCTGCAACCTCTGGCGTGCCCGCCATCTCTGTGTCGATGTCATCCATGCTGCTGCCCGGCCGGGGAGCCTCTGGCGCAGTCGTTACTTCACCAGCCGGCTCCCCGGTGCTGCTGACGCCTGCATCGGCCTCCTGCTGTGCGTAGCTCTGCATCTGTTCCACCGCGGCGCTTCCCTGCTGCTCACTCGACGTTGCGGAGACGGCCGCGGCCGACGGGGCGCGGTCGAAGCCGCCGGACGCAGCTGCTGCCGCCGCTGTGGCCGCCCGGGCCTCAAGCCGTTCTGCCCGTGTCGGCGTTCGCTGCGCTGGAATGCCCGCTGCGGCCTGCGCCGCTGCCGGTGACGGCTGCAGCGCTGCCGGCACGGCGCTAGGCGCCGCCGCAGCCTTCACCGGGGCAGCTGCGGCCGTTGCTATTGCTGTTGCCGCAGCTCGGGCCGCAGCCGTCGCAGCCGGCTGTTGCATTGATTCTGGCGCCACGGCCGGTGGCAGCGGCCGCTCAGCCGGCACGGCGGCGGGTGCCGCCGCAGCCTCCGCCGGGGCAGCTGCGGAATTTGCCGCCGCCGGCGCGGCCGGAGCTACGGCGGGTGCTGTAGCCGGTGCCGATGCGGCGGACGGGGCGACCGCGCCATTAGGGCGAATAATGGGGATGCCTGGGCTTGTGGGCACCAGGTCTGCAAGTGACCTGCCCGGCGCAGCAGCGGCGGGGGCGCTTGAGCTTCCGTGCGCTCTGCCGTTCTGCCCAAGCGATACAGCCAGAAATCACTGATCTGATTGCCTTGAATGCACGACAAGCTGAGTGAGAACGTGTCAGGAGATCCGAAGCAATGTACTGGTGACAGGTGCGGCTCTGTAGCCTCACCTGTGCCTGGGATCGCTGCAGGTGCTGTTGCAGCAGCAGACGCTGATGCTCCTGCTGCAGGAGCTGCTGTTGTTGCTGCTGATGCTGCTTCTGCTGCTGCTGCGCCAACCTGAGAGCCAGCTGCGCCATCGCCTGCTGCCGCCATGCTTCCTCCTCCCTCTTGGCAGCCTGCACACCACACAGAGATTGAGGCGCCGCTTGGGGCTCACATCCAAATATTCTCTTGTGCACGATCATCTACGGTACTCCAAATACTTGGTAGAAGCACAGCAATGGGAGTGCTTGCTGTAATCGGGGGTTGCTGGAGACTGCCATGATAGTCTTGAGGACCGCCTGATATCATATATACCCCTGGACCCTGTATCTAATATCCAGATGATCCCAGAACACAGGGATGCAGACGGTGCAGCTTGGCTTGGTACAGGAAGCTCCAGCAACATGTGAAATTTCCAAGGCACCCTAGACCATCATGCAAATTACAGTTTACAAAGGGTCACCTCCAGGCGGTGTTGCTCGGCTGCAGCTTCCTCCATTGCCTGCAGCTTCCGCTTCCTTGCACTCCTGTCCTTCTCCTTTGCCTGCGCGCATGCAGCCCCCAAGATGATCATGATGCGAACGCTTCACCAATGTTAGCAGAAGAAGAACCCCGTTCCCTTTTGTTGTTCATTCATGAAACCGATTTGATTGCTTTCTTGCCGGTAAAGGGCAAGATCGAATCAAAGACCTTCTTCCAGTGCAGACTCATCTCAACTTCTGGCCAGCATGATTGAGCATGACAAATGTGTCCAGTCACTTTCCACATTGTAGCGCGTTCTGGGCAATGTTTGATGATATTCTCTCTTTAGTGGGCAATCCTGGCATTGTCTACCTCCAGGCTCCCATCACCCAGAAACGAATATCAGAGCATGGCATGAGACTGATCTTCTGCCAGGTTGCTCCTTGAGGCCAGTCACCTCCGGGTAGCGTCGTTTGACGGTGCGCGTGTCGGCGGCGGCTGACTCAGGCGCTACAAGGACCCTATCTTGCTGCAGCTCAAAGTGCCATGGGAAAGAAAGCAATACAGAAAAAGGGCAAAAGAAAAAAGCAAAAAGGTCAGAAAGGAGAGTCAGATCTTGTCACCTCCTGATATCGCCTTTTAACGGTGCGCGTGTCGGTGGCGGCGGATTCTGGCGCGGCGTAGGTCTCCTCGGGGATTTTGCAGCCGGCTGCGGCGGCGGCCGGGTCGGGGTTGAGGCGGCAGTACCAGGAGCCGTCGTCCTGCGCGGCCTCCACCTGCGCCGTGGACCAGCCCGGCGGCATCTTGCGCCACTTCAGGCAGCGCGGCTCATCGCACTGCGCGCCAGACATCGCCACACATCACGGGCAATTCAATGAGATATTTTGTCTAAAGATGTAAAGAGATATGGAGTACCCAACAGCACATTGCGCCCCTTCAGGCAGAGAAGCTCGCCGCACTGCGCGCCACGCAAACAGTGACATCGGGGCTAGCAGCACTGCAGATCTCCAATGAGCGCATGCAACAATCGAGATACTTCCATAGGCATTCTGCCACATCAGGCAGCTGAGCTTGTCACACTGCACAGCACCAACAACGTCTTCCAGGGGGAGGAGGGAAGAAAAGGCGGCAGATTTACCGGCGGTTGTAGCTTTCACCTGGACAAGAACTATTTCCTGCCTACATTAAGAGCACTGTACAGCGTGTTTTGGACTACATAGTGGGTACAACAGCAAGACATGCTGCATGCCAGCTACTTCACATAGCCCACCAGTTTGCGTTCTCCAAGAGCATTCAAATGCGCGCACGGCATGCAAATTTTGGGGACCAAGATCCTCTCCTTGTACCAGACAACCGTGACGGCACAGAAGGGGCCCTATTTGAGACGGTGATACCTCATGAACGGGTAGATAGGGATGGACCACAAAATGCCAAGCAGACAATGGCTGCTTTAAGCTACAGCTCACAATGGTCGTTATAGACAGTGCAATGCTTGCTGGAGAGCACTAATTCAGGTGTTGCTTGACGTACCTAGTCCGTGAGGACTGGAAAACGTGTAATAATAATAATAATAATAATGCTTGCTGTGGGGACAGCCCCTACCTGGACCCAGAGGTCGTCCGGCACAGTGGCTGTGGACTTGCTACCGTTCTGCTGCGGTGCTTCCTGCTGCGGTGAAGGAGCGCCTCTTGCAGCAGCCCACGGATTCGGCAGCGCCAGCGGCCTCCCAGGTCCATGCTCCTCCACCTGCCATTCAAAAAAGTTCTCGATTCAAGAGCCAACACCACAGCAGAAATGCCTTCAACACCAAAAAAGAAGAGGAGGCATGTTTGCTTTGCAGAAGACCTGCCATAGCATGACGGACAGGCTACATCTGCAACACAGGCAGACAGGCATGAGTGGCGGGTGTAGCACGCCTGCTAGGTTGAGACTAGAAATCAGTGCGGCAGTCTGGCATGTCCTTGCACGAAGGTGCCCCACATGGATTTGTTTGATGTTTCAAATGCTAGCAACCAGGAGTTACTACGTGCGCCCAAGGGTAAGAAAGTCTGGATGTGCACCTTGTCCCACCAGTACATCTGCAGGATCTCTGCCAGCTTCTTCTGCAGCGTCCGGTACTCCTTGGTGTCATTAAAGTCCTGCATAAAAATGCTACACTCATCAGCACAGCTCTTTGAAGCTACATATTCACTGGTTTGGACAGGCAAATGAGACCCTCTGCTCGAGTGTGACCAAATTGACACAGTTGCTGCCAACTTTCATGTTCAGGCCAAGGTCAGTGGGAACCCATTTCTGATCAGTGCTAAAAGCACATCTGAATCACAACAACCAAGACTGCCCGGGCCGCCTTCACCCATACAAAGGCAGGTAGGGTCAAACGCTGTAGTCCACTGCTGAAACCTGCACCATGAAATTGGCATATACCGAAGCTTTCCCACCATGATTTCCCCGGGTTTGGAATGCGCACCTGCTTGTTGTGTGTGGGTTCCAGGTAATCAGCCTGTACTACGCCCAGGACACCAACGCCCTTGTCATTGGGCTCCAGCTGCATGCCCACGCGGTGGTAAGGGCGGATCAGCCGGTTCCTGTGGTATATCATCATCCCATACAGGCTCGGGTCCTGCACAGCACAATTTGGCATGTTGACACAATATTTGCATGCTGAAGTGATCAGTACCGTGTACTGTGTGCACAAGCTGGCATCATCGGTACCCTGATGAGTCGAGCATGACAGGGCAAGATACAAGCTCCGCACTCAGGAGTCCTTGCATTCGTGCAAGCTCTCTCCTATCATGCAAGCATGCTGTCCTGTGCTGGCCCTTACTCACCTCACTGCAAAATCCATCGTGGCATAGTCTATCCATATGCTTTTCACACACATGGCGGATTTCTGGTCGATTCACAGCACAATGCCATTCGTAGTGAGCCCAACTTCTTTGGATGCATCAGTAGGTTGTGGAGCACTTTAAGGAGGTTGTGTGGCTACACGAAACCTCCTCCTTTTTGTGAATGCCTCAAACAGCCTGGGCATGCCCCCTCGAATTCTCTGTCTCTGCGTAATGAGCAAGAGTGAGAGTATGCGGCAGCCCACCTCTGTGTTGAAACCCATCTCGATGTCTGCATAGGCCAAGGTCTGGTTCCGCAGCTGAAAGCGCTCGTGCATCTTCCCCCGCAGCAGCGAGGTCACCCGCTGCGTGCGCACCTTCTGGTCCCGCACAAATATCTGCATGCGTGGCACCTGCAGCAAGCAGAAATAAATGGATACCACCATTTTAGATATTTGGTAATTTTGCTATTTTAAGACAGTCATGTCGTTGTGGTGCAACTAAAATCCGCTGCTGTGTGAAGGAAAGTGATGCATGGAGCCTGGCATCGATGCTGTCTATGAAGGATTCATCCATGCTGCATACTGGTCAGCAGGGTTCAGCCTATTCAACATAAAATTAATGACAATTGCTCGATGCTGTGAGATAGATCTGCCATGATCATGGCCACAAGGTATTTGCCAACATGGGCTCATCATTTGCCCGTGCCAACCTCACCACCCGTGCATGCATGCGGAAGTCTCTGAAGTGATGTGGGGGGTAGTGATGCAGGGGGGTATAATACCTTGTAGAGCACTGACACGTACTGGCGCAGTGAGTAATCCAGCTTCACGTCTGTGCTGCGTGCCTGCCCCAGCCGCGTCTGCTGGAAATTCTCTGCAGGGCCCGCCTCATCCCCGTACGCGATGTCCCTCGCTATGCGGATATCATTCCTGTGTAGACATTTAAATTTCAATAGAGCTCCTACTATTTATGCAGGTATCTGGCATGCCTCTGCGAGAACCAGAGGCCTATCTTGTGAGGCTGATGAGAACTCCCTGGCTTTGATGCAAACTGCCATAATGACTCCTCTCACCCAACTCAACTCCCGTGGCTCCTTAAATCCACCCATCAAGGTGCTGCAGCATAATGGAGCCATTTTTGAGAGTCCTAGAGACGAATGCTGCTGATCCTGTCTCCCTGAGCCCCTTGGGAGCAAATGCACCTGAGCACAGAGAGCAAGGCCCTACTGGACCAGGCACCGAGACTATCTTGCCTTGATCAGCCAGGGCAACCTCATTATGGGATGGAGCCGCCCTTATGGACGAGGGTTTGTGCCTGGCAGTACTGGAGCCATACTTTCCCGCAGCATTTTGATAACAGCATGTGGAAGCAGCACTCACGTGTCCGAGTCAAAGTCCAGTTCGAGCGCGCCGCTGTCATCTCGGCGCAGTCCTGAGATGATCACAATGGTGCCCGTAGTTGGCATTGCCCGGAGCTGCGCCAGCAAACTCTCCTCGTCCTGCACATGCGCACACTGGCGTCTCAATACATTTACTAGCCATGCAGACCTCAAAACGGCTAATATCCCAAGTAAAAATGGCTGTGAATCATAACTGGAAATTTAAAGTTTATTCCAATCAGGCAGTATCTGCTGTGGCACGCAATAGCGTTCCACACTCACAACCTGCTACTACGCCACATTGAAGTGCATAACGAAGCCTCAATATAGTTGGGAGGAGCATGCCTGAAAGATGGAGTAGCGCATGATGGCGTCCAGGCTCTGCTTCAAGTCAGCCTGACCTGCCCCCAGGCGCCTGCCCTCCAAGTCCCAGGTCGCCATCGGCACCAGAATATCCTCGCACCCTGTCGCCTGCACCCAAATTATTGCAATGAACATTTCATTCAATGTGTCAAACATCCCAGATTTTACATCTCTCAAAAATCATGTGTCGCCCTCAAATGGGCAGATGCTGTGCGCTTGTGTTTGCTTTACTTGGTCAAGCATCCATGGGGAAAAGCACATAGCAGCATGGGCTATGGGCCTCCAGCTCAGAGACTGTGTGCATACAGCAAGTTCGGTAGATGATGAAAAGACCCACTGCAAGAGACATGCATAATAAGGGGAAAATGCATCATGCAGCTGATCAGATTTTCCACGCTTTTGAGAGCCAAGTGACATGCTGCGAAACAACAGAAAATGCACCTTCAAGAAAGTCTGGCTGAGGAAGCCGGCACTCTGGCTGGTGGTGCACTTTGTCAGCACCAGTGCATCCTGCCCAAGCCGCATGCTCCCCGCTTTGAACCCATTGCCAAAGCGCCCAATTGCCCTGTTGCATGCAATCAAATATAAATTTGTAGAATGATGATAATGCAGTCATAGCATGCAGAATGGCATTTGCTGCTGTGTCAGGAGCAAGGGGCAAGCAATATCTCCATTGGCAGGGTGGTGCCTTCAGACAGGCATGCATGCCTGCATGCAATGCTGCACAACATGGTATGAAGCTCTTACCTTGCATTGGATGACTTGTCACTGTGCCCAAAGCCCAGCATCTTGTGCAGCTGCAGAGGGTTCATCCCAGTCCTGTGCATGCAAGAGATCCAGCATCCTTATCAACACGTGTGCACCTTACAGTCTCCATTTGCTCTCTATGTGAGATACACCGTGGTATGCCGTCGATGGTCGGGCCTACAAACAAAATTGAGCAGTGCAATGCATTGGCTATGATTGGGCAGCTCACCCATTGTCCATGAACACCAGTGTGTCCACCTCTTTGCTGGTGCCATCCTCGCCTGTCACCTCAAACTGCTGCAAGTCAATGCAGAACCTGTGAACACACCATTCAACATTAAGAATACCTGCATTGCGTTCCTCCTGTATTGATCTACTGACTAAGAAAGGCTGGGAAACACCTGTCAACTTGAAAGATTGGCAGAGGGATTGAGCGCACTGTGTGGCCTGGGCATCGTCAGAGGCGTTGTCTATGAGCTCTGCGATGGCACTGAAAGCCCAACGATGGGACGTGGAATTGGTGTGTAGGAAGTTCGGGTGGATGACGGTGTGCTTGACACTGGAGTACTGCACAGGGCTTGGATCCATGCCGTGCAACTCAGGACCTAGTACCTGACAGTGCTCATCACCTTCTGACTGCAAGACACACGAACAGACATGAGTACCTTCTCAGATGAATCTGAATTTTCCAAATCTGCAAATCTCCAAGGCAACGGCAAGAGTCTGGCAGAAGCGCCCAAGGCGTTCTTAAAAGCGATGGGCCCGAAATACCGGCAGCTTGCTTCGTCAAAAATCAAAGGCATTCAGGATTGGAGTACGCATGCGAAAAGGATGTAAGGCTTTTCAAGCACGGTATTCCCACTTGCCACTTTCAGATCCACTTCCAGGTCTCAGAAGCTATTAGTCTGAGCGTGTTATGCATGCGCTCAATCCCAGGCAGAACTATGAAATATACTTTTCTGGAGTACAAATTACCTGAAGGGGCGCCTTGGCATTGCCCTCGACCCTTTAATAGCAAGGTATAGTACATTCGACATGCTAAAAGACCACCTTACAAAATGCGCAGTGGTTTCTAGCGCATCTTCTCTGCCTTGTCTCTCCTATTTCTCGTTCTCTGCTCACTAGTGACGGCTGTTTTGGCTCGAAACGCTTTGTGCTGCGCAAATTTCATTTCAAGCGTTGGGCCAAAGCAGGCAAGGCGAATTTAGAGCGACTCCTTCCGTGAAAAGGCCGCCTTGGCAGAAAATGCCGGTGACAAACGCTCATTTGACGGAAGACAAGGCCTGTTGAATTTTGGTCCACGCAGGACTACAGATTGGACTTAGATGAGGAGATATCACGAGGAAGTGGCGATTGGTTGAGCGTGTGTGGCGGTCTCTTGCCGAACCGTAAACAGGTCCAAGCGTCTTACGTTTGGTGCGTCCTGGGTATTTGTGCCGTCAAAACCTCGATCGCATGCTGCATCTGCCTTTTTGATGTGATGCATGCAGAGTTCGTAGCGAGGGACCGTTCGTGCGTTGTGGACAGGCAGTGTACGACACTGGATGTGTGAAGTTTCGTTGAAGATGCCTCAAGTAAAAGCCCACATCGTCTGCTAGCCCGATGGGGCTTATTTCTACACATTTAACTTCTTAAAGCACTCCATAACATAACACACGCAAAGCTCAGGGGCCTGCTCGCTGAAATTGACCGTGAGTGTACTGCCGTTCTGGGCTAGTTCAGAGGCTGCTTGCCAAGCTGTGCTGCGTGCCTGGATTTTCAACAAAGCTGTTGCCAGTTCATGTGCAGGTGTGAACATGCTCGACTTGCCTGAACGGAGATGAACAAGCCATGACATTGGAGCCGGACAGACGCAGCATTGGCCACCATGGCTACCCGCTGGCAAGGGCGCCTGCGCCAAAGCTGGCTCGCTTAGGGGGAGCCCTGCACCTTCAAGCATCCTCTCAGTTCACAGTACGCATCCTTGCCCTGGCGCGCAGTCTCTGCATGCATGGCATCAACCTTCACATCATGCAACACCTGCGCACAACAGCTAGCCAGGAACTACAGTACTCAAATCTTCTCTCACTATCCTGTTTGACTCCTGTCTCAAATAGCTCAGGCGCACAACAAGGTTGATGTTATGTATCCGCAGCGCTGCAATTGCATTGCTCATGCACCTATGCCAGATCATGGGAAGCCACAGCAGGCCACCTTGAACCAATTTTCCATCCCCACCTTGCGCCGGCATTGTGCCAGCAGAGTGTTCTTTGCACTGATCATCTCATATCCTGTTTAGAAGCCATGTCAAAACAAATGCTGTGCCAAAACAGGACACGGCGGCTGCCGCCGGCCTGCGCGCATTGGAAAAGCGAGTCGAGGCGGTGCCGGTGGCAGTGTACGAGTTTCTGCAGGCCGGGGGCGTTCCTGCTGCGGTCACAATAATCACCAGCGAGCCGGTGCACGAGGAGCTGAGAGATGCGGCGGTCAGCTTGCTGATCGCTGTCTCGCGCAAGCAGCCGCAGGCCATGTCCCTTGCGTTTGTGTGAGTGCCCCGATCTGTGTATGAGGTGCATGAGTGTCACCTGTGCGTCATTGTGATGCCTCGAGCCGTTGAGCAGGCTATCTGCAGAGTTTGTGGGAGTGCTCTGATCCATGCAACAACGTCTCAGGGCATGTGCATGGCTTTTCTTAGTAAGGCGGGGGCTTAGCGTGGCATGGGTATCTGTGAAAGACTGCTTTGGAATTGTTGCAAGCTTTAATAGTGAAATGGTATTGGGGGTGATGCCAGGATCGCAGTATAGTTGCCCTGCTTGAGGGAAACACTCTTGATGGACCACACTTTTTATCAACAATATAATGTAAAATCCATATGATGTATTTTCCTTTTGCAGGGAGGCGAAGGGAATGGAGGCGGTGGCGCATCTGCTGGGCCGGGGGGTGCAGCTGAGGGCGGGAACGCTGACGCAGACGGGCGCCGCCACCGTGGCGGAAGCTGCGCGGCTGCTGGAAGCTGCGCTCGAAGCCGGCGGGCAGCCGGCCGCGCGCGCATTCGCTGACGCAGGTGGCTTCTCTGGTCTGCGCATGGGCCTCGCCTGTGCGCAGCTCGGCGGGCAGCATGGGCTGGAGGTAATTGACCTCTCTGCCTTCGGTGTCCATGCTTGCAACAAATGAATTATGTAACGTGCCATCTTGATATCCTCAGCATACCTTGAAAATTTCAATTCCTACAAGATGAGGCAGTATTGGGCCTGCACTGGGTGATTAAATTTCTTCATGTTGGAAGCAATCATGCACAACATAATAACATGCATAGCACGGCCCACCACCTGCAGTACCAGCAATGCTCCTCATGGCTTACTGGAGATTTGCGAGCGCAGTCTGCAGTCAGCTTAAAAGGCCGGCAAGCTGTGCTGTAGCATGCTCAATGCTTCGCATCTCCAGTGCTTACAGGATGCTCCCATCTCTTCTGAAGCCTGCTGACAATTCTTACAACCAGATATTTGGCGCTGAAGGCATACTGAAGGCATTTCTATAAACAAATATTTGGCCTGCGCAGGTGGCTGAGAGGGCGCTGGGGTTGCTGCATCGCCTGGTGTGGACAGGCAACAACAGGGGCCACGCTGTGCACGCTGCGCTCTGCGGCGCAGCATGCTCAGCGCGCGCACACCAGCCTGTTCTGGCGCTCGTGTATGCAGCTCCCCACATCCCCGCCGCCGCCAGGGTGCGCTTGACTTTCTTTCTCGTGCAATAAGTTGCTGAACGGTTTACTACACGCCTTTATTTAAAGAATTATTATAAGTATATTACGCTTTGGAGACCTTTTGGGAGCCACATGAGGCTTATTGGTCTTGTAGGCAGTCTGTCACTGCCCATCTTCACATCACAAACTTCTCATGAGTCTGCATTCCGTTAATTTTTTAATTTTTTTTTTTGAGAAGAAGCATGCAGGTGATGCATGCAAGCCTGAGATAAGATGAAAGGGAGGAATATGAGAAGTTGTTGGGCAACTCCATTGCTTCAATTCTATGGACTGAGTAGGGACGACAGCTAGACATTTTGTATCTTGCCAGTGATCCTTGGGCTTACTGGTGGAATTGCAGTGCATAATGACATCAAAGGCCGCCCCACTTCTGAAGCGTGCGCACCCTTCAAGCTACAGCGCAGCTTCCAAGGCCACCTGACTCAGACTGAAAGACATGATCAAGATGGTCAATATTCTGATTAGCAGAATTTTGATTAGCAAAAATCACTGATTTACACTGCATCATTCAGATTCAAATTTCTGCTGTAGGGCATGGAGATTTTGAGGGCGCTGGCGGCGGCCAGTTCCACATGCATGCGCGCGCTGCTACAGTCCAACTGCGTCGACACCTGCCTCACAGCCCTCGATCGCGCGGATTCGAATTCGAAGATCGCTCGCACCACCGCCCTTCTGCTGCATGACGCCCTCGGCGGAGACCCCACTTGCAGGTTGGCTGCTTTTCCTGTGCATGTTATAAAAAAATGTGTAATAATGAAAAATATTGTAGTGCCAGTCTTGCAGGCACTGTTCTTCGCAACCTGGAGTAGATGTGCGTGCATGCATGGATCGGCAACATTGATAGAGCTGACAATCTTGGATAAGCCACCAGCGATTATGTCTAGACTTAATCAACAGTGCCCTCTTTTAAAGGTTCGTGCTTTGGTGTCGGTGCCCTTAGGGGACCCTATGCAATAGAGATCCTGTATAGTCAGGCAGTCATGGCAAGAGCATTTGTGATCATGCAGGGGAGACATTTTGGCCAAGGGCGGTGTGACAACCTTTCTGAATGTGCTGATGCGCGTCGGCATTGAGGATGCGCCAATCGCTGATGTCATCAACGGCCTGCTGAGCTCGCTTGCTGAGGGGTCTGCTGACATCACACACCAGGTAATCACCCTGACAGTCCCAGATAGCCAGCGACCTTGGATGCGCGAGTATGTTGCATGATAGACAAGGCCTGTATAAGCCACCGCATACTATGCCCACCCAGAATCAAAGCTGAATCCTCAGGAAGGGTCCTGACAGGGCTTTGAGAATCTGGGGGACCGTGCTCCCTAGGCTTGATACCTTTAAACCATACCAACCAGACCAAACCACACCATAAAACCCCTTGTAAAAACCCACATCCTCAATGTAAAAAATAAAAATAACTGTACATCTAAATACAAATAAAAACCCTGAGTAGGGGTGGCATTCTTGGTCCTGCAGGGGCTAATTCCTTGTCTCATGTTGCTCCTCTGGCCTGCTCTCTGCTGCATGTGACATGCATTCTTTCACTTTTTTGACTGCCTTGCTCTCTATAAACCAATCGCTTGAATCCACAGGTCTTTCAACACAAGGAAATCTCATTGAAGGTTACTAACAAATACATTTTTAAGTAATATAAGCGGGACTTGACTATGGCATCGTGCTTTCTGCAGGAGGGGAAGCAAGTGCTGCACTGGGCAGCCCAGTATGGGGAGGTGCAAATATTGGACAAGGTCTTGCTCGAGCGGCCAAACCTGCAGGCTGTTGACGGCCGCGGCAACTCGGCACTCCACCTTGCGGCAGCTGCCGGCCAAACGTGAGTAATCTATATTTCCACAGTGATTACAGAGTGACTTTGACAGCAATCCTGTTGTGCTTGTGCAGTCTTGCAAACGCAGCGAGAGTGCAAGTATTTTCACAACCACAACCTGTGTGGTTGTGAAAAACAGCTTTAGGTTTGGTGTAATGTTTGCATCACATCCATATGGCTTCGAAGCCGATGGACATTGAGCCAGATGGGAGACAGAGCTGTGCCATTGTTGAGCTGCAAGTATTGATTGACAGTCGATACGCAATAATATCAGCTGTGATGTGTTGGGGGTATTGCGTGGTATTTGAACCCTTGGACACCCTGCCCAATATTTCCCTTCCCCTGCAGGGACGCGGTAAAACTGCTGCTGGAGGCCGGGGCCGATGCGCTGGCGTGCAATTTTGCGGGGGACCAGCCGCTGGCGGCGGCGGTGGGGGGGTCCCCCACGTGGGCCTTACTAAGTGCTGAGCTGGACTGGCGCGCATGCCTCGAGCAGCCGCGGCCCTGCCACTATACAGCCGCTGCAGGCAAGAAGTTTACTAATCAGCTTTTATTACATTTCAGTGGTCTTGGCATCATCAGTGTCTTGCCAATTTAATTGGATGATTAGCATGCAGTCATATAGAGGGAAGGTTGCCCTTGAAACCCGCCTGATAATTCACTGATTGTCCTCCATTCATCAGGCACCACATGCAAATGGTAACTTGTGCATTTACAATCCCCAAAAATCGGCACATTATGCATATTTACTGCCATGGACCCAGGCAAATGATGCTTGGGCTTTTTGCATGCAGGTGAGGCCTTGTGCTCAGGCCAGGAGGATGCCTGGCAGGGACCAGCAAACTGCTCCTTCCTGCCTCTGAGCGGCAGAGTCAGGATTGAGTCTGCAGGCGTTGCATCTCCTACCTCCAAAAGCTGTGCGCACCTCTTTTTTGGCTCTTCTCTACTTTCCTTCCTTGAAACAGGCATGCTCCCTGTATTTCCATGTGGTACACAATGTGCACATCCGTAGCAGCAGAAGTATGATTACAAACTTTGCCCAAGCCAGGCCTGTCTCATCCCCGCTATGCATGCTGTAACAGTGTGCTATATCTAAACGTCATCTGATTACTGATTAGCAATACACAATGGTTGCAGGGGTCATAAGCGCCATAAAGGGGAGCCGTTCAAAACCAGCACGGGCAGCGGGAAAGCAGACTCACATCCAGCAGCCAGGGCAGACGTTGCAAGAGTTCAATTTGCCGCTGCAGAGTCATATTTCTATCCTCGATGACTCCACCCTCAGCTTGGACTTCAAGGAAAAGGACAGTGCAGCAAATGAGGAAGATCTGGGAGGGAGCTTAAATTCACGTGGAAAGCAGTTGAACAACAGGAGCAGCGGGGGCAAGGTTGAGTGTCACGTGTGGCGCTTAGTCATCCAGGCTGACTCACCGCCCGGTCAGCGCGCGCCTGATCTGGAGCAGGCACTTCGCACACTGCTGCGCCGCTGCTACCCTGCCGCTGTCAGCTGCCAGGTCAGCACTGCTCTGGTGTCATGATATCTGCTGCGTGAATACACCTTGCCTATCTGCTGTAATTTCCAGTGCCTGAAAATTATGGGGATGCTTAATCAGCGTACTGGTTGCTTGTTGTGACATTGTTTTGCAGTATTGGACACCTGCCCAGGCTGCCCTTCTCAAAGACTCCAGAAATAGGACTTGGTTGAATACAAGTTTACGTCAAAATCAGCTGATTCAATGATGTGGGTGGGCAGACGGGGACGCCCAGCGCAGGAGAGGCGCCCGGAACAGCTGACACGGACGTGCAAGCATCAGCTCAGGAAATTCCAGCGGTGGACGCTGCTTCTGCCACCCGTCCTCGCAGCACGCTGGATGCGAATCTGCAGAGTGCCGCCTCCAGTGCCGTAGAGCAGGCCTCTCAGCGGGAGCAGCAACAATCGCAGCACTTGAGTGTTGCAGCTCCCCAGCCGAGCGAGACATTGCTTCCTGACAGCATAGAAGCATCCGCACCCAGCCCTGGAGAAGGGTATGCCAGCAGCCAGCATGGGAGTGACCAGCGCAGGTCCAGCATGCAACAGCTTCCTGCAGGAGCCCCTGAGAGGACTAAAGCGCAGGGAGAGACTAGCGCTGCAGTATCAGGGGTTGAAATGCCAAAGCCGGCAGGCAAGAAGCCGGCGGCGGCGCAGTCCGGTCAGCGTCCGGTGGAAGCTGACTCAGCGGTGACTCAGCGCCGGCCAAGTAGCGCGCTGGAGATCGCGCGGCGGCTGCGGCGCGCGCCGGCTGCCAAGGGCAGATCAGGCCCGGCCAAATCTGGCGCCTTTGGAAGTGGCACATATGCCAAGTCTGACTCGCCTGATTTTAGCATCAATGCCAGCTCAGCGAGAGAAGAGTCAGGCTCGGTGGGCGGGTGTGGCAGTGAGAGGGCAGGCGATAATGGTTCGAAGCAGCCGCAATCAGTCCCCAAAAGAGATGCATCCGTCCAGCAGAGGGAATTGTCATCTGGCAGAGGTGGCGAGGAATTCTCAAGCAAGTCAGAAGCCCACATTATCCAGGTCAATGCTGCAGCTGTGGCAACTTGTTCTCAAGAGGAGCAAAAGGAGGCCGCCGAGGGCGCAGACTCAGCAGGGCAGCCGTCACAGATGGAGGCGAGTTCCAAGTTTGGCGGAAGCAATGGAACGCCGTCGGACGAAACGCTGCAGAAGGGGAGAGCGCAGACCGGGGCTGCGGCAAGGACGCCACCTGTGATGTCATACCTCCCTCTGGAAGGTTCGCACGTGCCCCCTGCACTCCTATGTACCCTAGGAAACCTGCCGGGATTAAGGGTTGTGAGCCCCAGATTTAGCAAATTGAAACACTTCAGTGTGCATCTTCAGAACTGTCACGTGTGCACCAATGATGACTCTGTCTGCTGGGCAGTGTCCCGCCGTGTGCAATGCTAGAAGGTTTTGACATCCAAGGGGCGTCCTGGGTTTGGCCCCTGACTTCGGGGTTCTGAGATGAATCATCTCTTTGTTTGCCTTCCAATGCCACTCTGCTGGGCAAATTGCTAGACAGGTGGCAATTGCTATGATATTTCCCACATGCACCAGAAAAGTACAGTCTGGGCCACCCTCACTTTTCCTTGAGGTCCTGACAAGCTCCCTAAGACAATCATATTATCTGGATTGCTTCGCGCAGAGAGCCGGCAGAAGGGGAGCCGCCCGAAGGCACCCCCACCGCCGCCACCGCCGCCACCGCTACGGTCCTACGGGCGCGCGGCGGTCGTGGATGCATGCGCGACGGCTGTGGCCGTGCGCGCGGGTGACGATCTGCGCCGGCAGCAGGCGACGCTCGGCCGGGGGAACTTGTATGCGCCAACGGCCCAATCTGTTGCAGACAAGGTGCGAAGAAGCCAAATTATGGACCTATAATAGGTTAGGGAACCCTAAACCCTAAGAAATATACGGTGCCCTGCATCATGAGCTGTGGCAAGGACGGTGACGTGCGCTGCGAATTGCATTGCTGCCGGGCAGAAGATGACCACGAAATCCACATATCACAGTGCTGTTGCTGAGGCATGCCGTACTCCATGTCACTATTACTACCGGCAATTTTATCTTGGCATCTTCAGAAATGTAGTCCAGAGGCCTTCACAAGACTGCACTGGAGTAATTTGTCAAGCGACCTAAAGAGAATGATGTCACAAAGTTTGCAAGGTGTCGGAATGCGCCTATCACTTGGGCTGTCTCTTACACGTCGTTTCCTAATGATTGTTGGTGTCCGCCGTCTATGGCGCTAAACTGGCAGCTGCTGTGGGTGCAGGTGCGCGAGCTGGAGCTGCAGATTGGTCTCGTGCAGCAGCTGAACAGCCAGGGCCTGCGCAAAGACGAGTTCTCAGCAGCAGCAGAGCCATCCGATAATGTTGCCAGGACAGGCAATGCTCCAGGCCCCGCGCTGCCGCCGGGAGGTCCGGCCCGAGCGGTGGCCGGCAGCGGGGGACCGCTGACGCCAGAAGAGGCAACGGCATCAGCCGCAGATACAGATGATGACAAATTGGTGACTCAGCCGCCGGGTGACTCAACTGCTGGGGAGGAATCGGCGCGCAGAGCTCGGCCGCATGTGAACGCTCTGAGAGACAGCAGTGCATTATCAGCAGCGGTATCTGTGCCGGCTGATGGCGCTTCCTTGGACGGAGCGGCTAGGGCAGGGCTTGCCCCAATTGATGCAAGTGCAGGCGTCACTGCTATGCAGCAGCCGCTGGCTTCGGAGGTCCTCAGTGCAGCCGCAAGCGCCGCATCGGAGCAGGCTGCAGCTTGGGAAGCCGTGCGGCGGAAGCATGCAAAGAAGGCTCTCTCCGACAGGCCGCGGATGCCAGCAGCTGAAGCAGTGTCACCAAGCTACCCGGCAGCCGTCACTGAAGACAGAAATAAGGGCGCAGAGTCAAAGGAGGGGCCTCGGGAGCGTGAAGCACCACCGCCGCCGACCCCGCCGCAGCCGCCGGTGAAGCGAAAGCCGTATTCCTACGGGCCACGGTCCCCCAGCACCAATGCATCAGCCCTCCAAGCGCCCCGTAGCATTACAGCGTCAACTCCCCACACTGCTGCAAGTGCGATGTTGTAAACAGGCGACGGGCTTGGCAGCACGGGAAGCTTGGAGCAAGGTGATCCAGCTGCAGCTCAGGCAAGCGATGAGGCATCAACAGAGCAGCTGGGCCGGTCAGGCGGCACGCGCGCGCCATCCGGCGTCATATATGTCAGCAGAGAATTGCATCACAGCCCCCGGGAGGCCGCCGGTGCAGGGGGCGCGAAACCCCGCAGGAGGGTTTTTTCCTACGGTCCCAGGTTGGCCGCCTCCCCAAGCGAGACACCGGATGACAGCAGCACTGCCGAGGATATTTCAAGCAGCGCTATTGGCTTGACAGAAGCCGAGATATCATCGTCTGATGTGGGGCGAGCAGAGGCCGCAGTAGTGCTGAGTCAGCGCTCTGCGCCGGTCCGTAAGGTGTTGCGTACGGGCTGAGGAGCGCCACCGCCGAGGTTACGGGACCGAGCTGTGGCTGCGGCGCGGCCAAATCAGGCGCGGGCACAGATCCGCAGGGCCAAGGTTGGCAAGTTTGGCCAGCGCCCTGTCTCACAAGAACATATTTGCAGACCCTGCCCAGCCAACCTGACCGACACCTACAAGCCCTGCCCAATCATTGCTGACCATGGCTACTTTGCGACTACAGGATCATGGGAAAGTTCTGTGAGTCCCAGCGCCACATCCTTCACCTGAAAACGGTGGATCCGTGCTGGCGCAGCTGCTGTCGCCTGAAAAGGTGCATCTGCTAATCCCAACAAGGACGCTTGCAGAAACTAGAGCGCATGTCGCAGCTGCCCCCTATAACCTCAGCACACGCTTTCTGATGGCAAAACGAGCCTTTCAGTACTGATAAAGCACCCCATGGGGGACCTTTATGTGATTTATTATTATTATAAATTGCAGTAGTAATTGCAGTTATTGCAGAATGATCTGCAATAACTGGGGTGAGGCTGAGCCTGGTTATGAGGAGTTGCTTCGCTGTGTTGTGCGCCTACACAGACGTTCTGTTGAATCAGATCAGCAAAGCCTTTTTTTTTCGCAGGCGCACTATATGGCTGCACTGTCACAATGGTGCCTTGCAAGCGGCGGCAGTCACACGGAGGGCAGATTGCTTGGTGGAGACCATGGCAGAGACCACATCCACTGGCTTGCATCTGCAGGTGCATGGGCACGCATGTATTTGTGTAGCAAATTGTGTTGGTGAAAAGGGCCCCTTATAAGCAGCACTGCATACCACAGTTACTGTGACTGGGCCATGCCTCAGACAAGATTTCAGGCAGACTAGACCAATTTGCATGTTATAAAATGTGCGGAGTTGTAACATGCGCTAATTAGTGCGGACGACAGGTCAGTGACATGTGCAGAGAGAAGAGAATGCAGAGAGACGACAGCAGCAGCATCACCTCAAAAGGTAGAAAACGTGCGTAGAACAATGTGCAAGACCTGACCATGCGAATGTGGCCCAGAGATTTACAAAGCAGACTTGTAAGGCCATGGCTTTATCAACATTTATATGTTTTTGTATAATATAGCTATATTTGTATGCATGGACGGCCACACCATCTTGAGTCACTGCCATCAGTGCAACATAATCCAAATTTGCAACCTGCAAAAAGTATGATCTGCAGCTGCAGCTGCATACAGACATGCCTCTATAGAGGCCTCTAGCTGGGACATCTCTTTTTAGGACACTCCTACCTTCTTAAGCTTGTTCTGCCACTTGAGTTCTTAGCTTTCATACTTGCCAATTCCTACCTACTGATTCAAGGAAACACTAACAAAACCCAAAATGAGAAGATTTCCCAGCACTTGCACCCCACTCTCAAAAGGCGCTGCCTCTTCCACAGCAGCTGGCAGAGAAGTACTGCTCTCTCTCCCTCTCTCTCTCTTTCTCTCTCTCTCTACATGTATGTTTTCATGTTTTTTGGACTCGCCAGAGCCAAGGAAACCCCAATGAACCATGGGCACGGTGGTCAATTATTGTACCGGCCCCGCCAGCCGGGGCTGTTTTGCACGAACCATGATAGTTGCACCCCCTCTTAAGCTTTCCTTGGGGTTTTTTACCTCTCAGAACTTTTCAGTAGCTTCCCCAAAATATGATTCTGAGGAGGACTGCCTCAGGCCTTGGGATGGCGTCTCAGGAAGTGCAAGGCGATTCCACGCAGGGAGAATCCCAGCGCAGCCTTGGCCACAAAGACTGCCACCCATGCAGCAATGCAGTATGCACCCAGCGAAACTACCTGCCACGGTCCCCGCCAGCCAGCCTGCATCAGCGGCTGCTCGCTCCTGCTCACCTGCAAGATACAGCACGCCACCACTCAGGGTTATTATATTTTATTTTCCATTTTTATATATATAGATTCCCCTAAGTAAAAACCCTGAACCCCTAAAATCCTATATTTTTTTTTAATACATTCCAATAAATATATTAAAGAAATAAATGTAAAAAACACCATTGAATAGCAGTGCATGCTTGGCTCTCTGCACAGCAGCAGAGCAGGGATCCATTGGTTTGAATCGAATACAATTGAATGTCTGTTCTTGTGCATTCTGCGCAGGCACGCACGGCAGCTGCCTCTACGATGTGACAGTATTCTCTAACTATCACCCCGACAACTCTGGCGTGTTTGGAACACCGCTTGAAATATATCAGCACTGTGTGTTGAGGCGCGCTTAAAATTACTGCTGGCAAGGACTGGCCCAAGCACGCCATTTGCTCAAGCATCTGCACCGCGTCAGGCGCCCCTTGCACTAGCGCTGGCGAGGTGCGAATCTCTGGGCAGTCTGACTCACAAGCATCTTGCATTGCGACAATGACATGACAGCAGTCTTAGCTTCATTGCAGGCAGGACTGCAAGGAAATGTCAGCAAACCCAGAAGGAAGGAAGGAAGGAAGATTACATCCACTCCAGCCGCCTAGGGCTGAATGGATGAACTGGCAGCATCCAAATAAAAAACAATCATGCACAAAATGTGCAACCAACACCAGAAAAGCCAGTCCTTGAGAGCAGAGCGGCGGGATTGCAGCTCCTATGAATGTCATGCTTGCATGGTGCTGCTAGTACAGTTGCGCTATGCTGATGTGCCGCTTCATCAACCGGCCGGTTCTGTTGCGAACGAAGATTGCGCCGGAGAGAATCCAAGGCCAGGACTGGAAATGGCATTGGGAAGAGTACAGAGGTTCAATTTTGGGGGGATGTCTTCGATCTTGTCTAGGTTCTTCTGTTTTTAAGGTCGTAGTATGCCTTGTTGGCTTTAGTCTTGTCCAGAATGTAGGCGTCTCTTCAGTTGACAATGGGAATTGCTCCCTTTCTTTGTCGCTTTAACGGACTGGCACGCTAGGATCAGCAAGACATGGCAAAGAATAAGGCCTCTTGCATTAAACTGGTAACGGACCAGCAGTAGGAGGACTCACTATGAGCGCAGTGACAGCGATTCGCAGAAACAGGGCGGCGGGTGCGTAGGGCTCAAAGGCCACAACTCGGTGCGCCGTGTGGCTCTGGCCGCCCTTGGCCTTCTCGCACACATCCTGCAGACCAGCACAGGAGAGTTCAATCATCATCATCATCATCATCATCATCATCATCATCATCATCATCATCATCATCATCATCATCATCATCATCATCATCATCATCATCATCATCATCATCATCATCATCATCATCATCATCATCATCATCATCATCATCATCATCATCATCATCATCATCATCATCATCATCATCATCATCATCATCATTAGTAATATTATCATTACGGTATTATTATTATTATTATTATTATTATTATTATTATTATTATTATTATTATTATTATTATTATTATTATTATTATTATTATTATTATTATTATTATTATTACTATAATCATAATTATTATTATAATTAATATTATTACACGATTTTCCTGCCGAAGGCAAGGTGCCCTTGCAGACAGGCTGCATGTGCAGGCTGCCAGATTCCTACCCCTTGGTGGACTCGCCAGATCCAAGCAAGACCCACTCAACCGTGGGCACGGTGCTCAGTAATTGTACCGCCCCCCGCGAGCCGGGGCCAGTTCAGTAATAAGTGGGACAAAATAGTCTGAGAAGATGCCCTTTGATGCCCTGATGCGCAGCACTACATGATAGCATGGCTCCTCCTTAAGACATGTGAGTCTCACCTCTGCATGTCAAAATCACAGCGCCGAGCTTTGCAAGGTCCGTGAAAATCTCCCGACAGAATATCACACAGCTTCAAGGGCAGGCACCCAGACGGTGGCGTGTCGGTTGGAGCACAGCCCTCGAGCAATGCTCGTTATCAAAGACAGTGGCAACATTGGCATGCACATTGAAGTGTTGGCACATGTGGTGTTGGTCAGCCTGATCTTGGCCTTAGATTGCAAAAAACTATTATTGGATCCAACTTTGTTGAAATACTGTATAAGTCATTCCAAAAAACGCATTCAATTATTATTTTTGGCCAAACGGGGTGGATAAATAAGACACTATCACCTAAAATATGGACCCTATGATACTTTTGAGACCTGGTTCTGAAAGCTCTTGATAAGCCTAACTCAGCGGAGCATGATCCTGGTATTGTTGAAGTCAGGAAAACCCCTAGAAGCTGCTTTGCAAGATTTCCCCGCACCGCCAGAGGTGCGGATTTTAAAATGACTAGTACAGTAAGTTCAGGGCAAGCTTTCTCGAGAGCGGGCCCAGATGACTCATCAGTCTCTTGGATCCAAAATTGGTAGTCATCAGCAGGGCACCTCGTCCGCACCCGCATGAAGCGCTGGTAGACTGCCGGGCGGATGTCATTGAGTTTGGACAGCACTGCGTGCTTGGTGATGTCGATCAGGATCTCCGCGCCGAAGATGTAGCCGCAGCACCGGAGCAGCTCCGGGCTCGGCCGCGGGCTGCCCGAGTTGTCCATCTCCTGCGGCAGGCCAAAATCCGGCTTGCATCACCTTCTTTTACCCTTATTTCTAAGGTTTTGGGTTCTCAGCATTTCAGACCGCCGCAATTCAGACCATGCAACCTGTTCCTGTGTGCAGTGGATATTGTCAGCGTTGCACTTTTGTCATGGATTGTTTTGATCACTTGGATGCTGCCAGTACATCCAATCAGCCCTGGGCGGCTGGAGTTGATGTGTAATTTCCTTCCTTTGCTGTTCAGATTTTGATCCTGCGTTTCTGTCATGGCCTGTACAGTGAAAGGTACAAGCTCGTGTGAGGTGCAAACCACAGAACAGGATGCAAACAACTAGAGTCCATCACTTATTGCCTGACCTAGATGCCCCAAGTATCCTTAAACAAAGGGCCGTTTGCTTTTAGATAATCTATGTCATTGTCAACACTCAAAGAGGCCAACGCTCACCTCCACAACTACAAAGAGCAGCGAGAGCAGGAGGTGGAAGCGCTCAGTCACGTCCTGGCCGACCAGCACAAACAGCTTGGTTGGGTCAAACCGCTTGAACACCGTGCCTGCACGCATGCCAGCCGACAATCAGTCAGAGAAAAACAGTCTCAGCGATTTTGCCCTCACATCGGCCTGGAGCATGAGCACATCCAATACTGTGTGCTGCACTGGCACACACACGGCAACTCTTTGCTGAGGCCAGGAGATGCTAGACCAAACCAAACTGCCCTCACTCGGGTGCACGGGATGTGAACTTTTCTGCGTGGTTTCTTTAGCTCTTCTTTCCTGGCTTTTCCAGCCTAGAACCGAGCGCTTAAGGCTGGCAGGCAACCTCTATCCCATTATTCAGAGATGGACCTATGCAGACGTCAAGGGAGATAAGAGGATTAGGGCTGTCTTTCAAATGGACATCATGCAGCAACAGGATAGGATCCTCCCCCGGCCCAGGAGCACGATACTGTATTATTGCACTTCTTAAGAATGAGGGATTAAGTAGGCCGTAGGCCAGGGTCGCACCCTTGATCTCCACGAAGTTGGATGCGATGAGAAGGGCGATGAGGGCGTTGGAGCGTTTGGAGTTCATGGCGACCGAAAATGTCATGAACTGGCAGATGAGCACCACCGAATGGAACAGCACCAGCGCCAGGGTCACTGCCAGGTCAGCGCCCAGCTGCGCCAGGTGCCACCTAAGCGCACAGATACTAGTATGGACTTTCAAAATCTTGAGATCTGAATTCTGACTGATTACAAGGGATGCTGTTCGAAGGGCTTCTTCCTATTAGTGCTGGGAAGGACAGAGACAATTGAAGCAACCGAGGGCCCCAGAATTATAAACTTCAAATGAGGGCCGAGCTTGGCTTTCTTGGACATGGAACAAGCGGCAAGTAAGATGGGGGGTCAAGCACCATGCTGATGAAGGTTTGCAAGTGCTTGTTCAGAAAATCTTCACCTTCGGCCACTGGTGCTGAGGTAGAGGCCACAGGTGCCAGACAGAGCATCCAGCGCATCCACCACAAAGGCACAGGAGATCTGGACCAATCCCAAGTGGCATGTTCAGACACTCAAGAAAAGATATCGCATGCCACACTAGCAGCAGGCATGTGTTTTGAAGGCAGGAGCACTGAGCCGTAGCCATCAAGAAGGGGCGATTCATGCGCAGCAGCAGCTGACTGCAAGGCTTACAGGACAGCAGGGGCACCAAGCAGCCCTGAAACAGACGCCCAGCACCACGACAAAGGGTACACTGATGTGCATCTTGCCAAACTCATGCGTTACCATTGCATTCTGATGGGATATCTTGGCTCCTTTTCAACAATTTAGTCCCGCACCTTGTCAAAGATCTCCACAGCTCCATGCACGACATGCAGCTTGAGGAACTCCTGCGTGAGGTCCTTGAGCCAGAAGTAGATGGTCCCGGCAGGCAGGAATCTCAAAAACGCGATCGTGGCGCCGAAAATGAACACGCAGAGCATGTCGAAGAGCTGGTCGCCGTGCAAGGACCCCCCTCCGCGGCGGAGGCGCCCCACTGCGGTGGTCAGCGCCCCCAGCAGCCGCACCGGGAGGACCGTAAATACCGCCTGCGTGCCAAAAGTACTTCGAACAACCTGTATTTCATCTGCGCATACAATATCTACAACCAAGGTGAGTCACCAGTGCATGAGCACCATTCTCTGCACTCCCCAGCTCCCTGTCTTGTCGGTCTAAACTAGGATGGAATGCTGGGTGGGGGACCATCGCTCTACCAGGGTAAGCGCATGTCTTGATTGGCGAAATGAATTGCATGCAACTTTCCTGCAGAAACAATGCGAATCAAGTGCAGACTCTAGCAGATAGTCTCAGCAGGCGTAAGGAAGGAGGGCGCACCAGGAAGGAGTCCAGGCACACAAGCAGGCCATACCACAGCAGACGCTCCAGCTGGAAGGGCACAAGCAGGATAGCATTGTACCTGCGCAGACCCAACATGACCACAGTCACCCTCTGAGCACCCCTGCACTGCTACTGGTAGCCACCCGCTAAAATGCCCACAACCTTCCCATCTTGTGAGTTTGCAGAGATGTCAGCATAGCCCCATGCGCCAAGGAACAGATGTGCTGCAGTGGGTGAGGACTATAAGCAGCCAGGCAGCGACATGATATTTTGGCCTCGGTGGACGCTATGCACGCGCATGCAGGTTGTGCGACTGGGAGACCTCCCAACACTGGCATGGAGGGCTGACACACTCGACCTGGCAAAGTGAAATAAAAGCTGTATTTACAGGAAGAGGTACACCTAAACCTTCACAGGCAGCGCTGCACAAAACAGAGGACAAATTCACACTCGTTGCGTTTCCAGCAGGCCCTGGCGCATGGCGTAGGGGGGATCACATTATCATAACATATATATTCAACCACTGCCTCTTACTTGGGAGAGCAACACAGTTTCCCGCCTCTCACATACCACACCAAGAGCAGGTTGCATGCCAGAGTGGAGCCGCTGCCTGGCGCATAGCGGTGGACAAACATTCGGTAATTTTACCGGGAGACCAACATAGAAAGAGCAAGGCCGACTCACACTCGCTGCCTCTCCAGTAGGCCCTGGCGCATGGCGGAGGGCGGCGCAGCCGCGTTGGGGTTCAGCTCTGCCCAAAGGTACTGCCCAAAGCTGCTGTTGGGCGGCGCCGTGCCCGAAGGCATCGCCACATCAGACCATGCCGCAGTCGCCTCGCCTGAATTGGCCCCGGCGCCGCCGTTAGACTTTGCTGCGCTGTCAATGCCAGTTCTGGATGCAGTGTCGGATCCTGATTTGGATGTGATGTCATTGGGTGATTTGGCTGTGATGGCAGTGTCTGCTGTGGCCGCGCTGTGGCCAGGTGCTGGAGTGCCAGAGGTAATTGGCTGCTCAGGGCTGTCGGGAGAGCTTCGGGGTTCCTCTGTAAGCTGCGCTGCTTTCGCGTCTGCCTTGTGCTGACCTGCACGCCAGGTGCCAAATCATGCCTCTATCTGTATGCTACAAAGACACAAAGACTTGGCATCATATCTTCATAAAGGCACAAGAGTCAAGGAAGCAAGTGACTGAGAGTTTGGGCAACCTGTAGCACTGTTGCTTGGCAGAGGGCCCACCATTTGGGAGCGTGGCAGGAAGTGAATCTGATGCGTTGGGAATCCTAGCAGCAGCGTCGCTAATCACAGCTGTTACTTCTTTTGTGTGGGTGCTCCCAGAGGGAACGCTGTGTGCGCCATTTGGAAGGCTCAGATCACGATGTTGGCTGCTTTCTTTGACCGACGCATGGGCAGCGGCTTCAGTGTATGTGACTTTCTCTTCCCTGCCTATCCCGACGGCCGACTCCTGAGACTCCTGCACAGGTACAGTGGCATCTGAGCAGGGCAGCTCCAGGCCGCTTTAGTGAATGATGCCAGCTTTAGGTTGATACGATGCTGGGGACTGCTTGATTCCAGGAAGATAAAGTTTTGTGTCCATGTAAGACGCAGGCGAGAACGTACCTGGTATGGAAGCCGTGCTTCATGAGGAGTCGATGGTGCTGCCTCCGTCGCTGCCAAAGAGTTCGGCGCCTTTTGCTTCTTCTTTCGCCTTTTCTTCGGCGTGTCCCATTGCACAAATGCATTTTTGTTCTCGTTCAGATCGCTGAGCAGCGCAAATGCACTGCTCATGCCAACACAGTGTGCCTTACCTATTTCCCAATGCTAAACCTCGAATTACTGCATAGTGACTGTTCCGACGCACCAGATCCTTTCTATATATTTAATAGATTTTACCTCTGTCACTCCGATCTGCTCTTCATCCTCTGGTTGTCCTCCTGTGTCTCCTCTCTTGAGAGTGACGCTAACGTTAGTCCATGTGGGCACGTGCCCGCACGCCCTGGAGGTTTTGGAGTCTGGTCTTTCCCACTGGCACAGCAGGAAGCAACATTATGCTTTAATCAGACTCTTTTTTGGTCTGGAACTTTGAGGGAGCACCAACGCAATGACCTTTGCGTTTCAGCAAGGGCACCTTGATCACGATCTAGAGGAGAAGTTCGCTTTGGTCTGTGGTCGATGATGCATCCGGGAGCTTATACTAGCTCTAAAAGCCTTCTGAAAGTGGGTGGAAATGGTGGTGGCCAGCAACCCCTTTTGTGACGAAAGCCAATTATTAGAAGTTGATGCTTGTGAGCAGAGAAGGCTCCAATAATGTGATGGATCTGATCATTCTGGCCCAAGGAGTGGCCTTGCTGCTATTCTTTGTGAGAACCAGCGTCACAGCCGCAGTATCCCTCCCATATTACCTAGTCAAATGCTTGCTCCCTTCGTCACCACCACGGCTCTCAGAGCGAGATGACGACTCTTCCTGTGTCTTCTATGAAGGCACTGTGTACCACGTTAGGCGAAGACCCATTCACAGCGAATTCAGGTAAGCTTGGCACGAGCTTCATGTCGCATTTCCAGTCTCTTGCTTCATAGATTTCTTCAAGCGTACATCTGCGCCTTCATCAGGCTACGGCTCTGCAGGTATCCTGTCAGGATGGCTGTGGTGGATCTGGACAAGCCTCCAGGCTGGTGGCACGAGCAGGCCAGCGACCACATGACAGCCAAGGAGGCTAGAGCCTTTGCAGGGACTGATGGTAGGAAGAAATACCTCCCTGCCCCATGCATCAATCTTCAGCATGTGAGCTGCCTGAATGTATTGTTGCTCTAGCTGGAGGCCCTCATAGACTTGACAACCTTTTTAGCCAGAAGGCAGGGCACTGTATAGAGTTGCTCTCTTTGCAAAGCACGGCAGATGCTCAAGTGCTCCTGTGCTCAAGTCAGGCATTGCAGGTCTCAAATTATTTTCTCATCCTTTGGTGCATGCGCAGGTGATGTGCTGTTGCTGACGACGCCAGTCAGCGCAGGATACAATCAGAATCCGATCAGCGTGTATTACTGCATGGGGGCGGGTGGGCGGCTGCGGCAGGGCATAGCGGAGGTGACTAATACGCCCTGGGGGGAGCGAGTCACCTTCCTGTTTCACCCGGAAGGCCAGGACGTGCCCAAGGCGATGCATGTGTCGCCGCTCATGGACATGAAGAGCACTTGGTGCGCCGCGTTCCCTTCCAACCTCTTAGGATCAGCCTATTACAGGAGACCAGCTGTCACCCCTGCAAGTGCTGATGCCACGCCAAGGGATACTGTGCTCTGGTGCATAGAGTGGCTCTGTGTGACAACCAGCCTTGTACTGAGTACCTTGACAGGGACTAGCTGACCTAGAAGCGTAGAACCTTCTATATTTTGCGGATGCTGCTTGTGTCTGCCAGAGTCACTGCGCTGCTCAGACAGAATTTGCGCTGGGAATGTCACTTCAAATGGTCCTCATCGCATGTAAATGATACTTCCTAGCCTTCCATGCTGCATTGCAGCCGCCACGCATGAGCCTCGTTCACGGCCAAAACAGGGTGTATCAACCGCTCATATTGCGCAAAAGAGGGTGTATTGACTGGGCAATTATATCGCGCAGGAGGATAAGGGCGCCACTGCCTGGGGAGAGGTGCAGCCTGGAAGTGTCGGCGGTGCATCCGGAGATGGGGGCATTCTTCGACGCTCGGCTGACGGCCGTGCGCAGCCGCGTGCGCGGCCGCAGCGAGACTGCCGGTTTGGCAACCCTGTGGAGGTACGCCCTTGAGCCCACACCTTCACAAGGCTGACGCGTTCAGGGAACAGATGGAGCAATCAGAGAGGCTCTCATTACAGGGGCAAGGAGGCCCTGCAAGGCACTATGCACACGGAGGCGCTGGATCCTTGCTGTAACCCTGGCAACAGCTGATATCTTGTCACCGACACCAAATTGCAGTGGGGGCATCTGAGAGCGTATGCAAGCATGGCTTGTTCACATGTTAAGAAGCGTGCTGCTGGGGTGTGGGGTGTATTGGTGCCAAAGCAGCTGCAACTGGCAGATGTAATTTGACGGCAATCACCGAGACCCCTTTGTCACTTGGAAGAAAACTGAGATTTTGGTTTGTGACTTCAGGTACGGCTTCATGCCGCACAGAGTGGCGATCTGGATTTACTTGCAGGCGCTGGGGCTGCTGTGGCACGGAGTTCCCTTCTTCGGCTACCCGCCACCGGAGACCCGCGCGGAAGCTGAGAGGAAGGCAGCCAACCCAGTGAACAGCCAGAATCGGCATTTTGTGTGGCGCAACCCACTGCACTACCCCTGGAACGCTCTGTGATTTGTTGAGACCGTGTGAAATTTTGCAGCAAGATGAAGCGGTGTTGACATTGTAGTGATGAAGAGTAGGTCTCTCAGGAGGATTTTTTGAAATCATTATTGAGCACTGCAGTGGCTATTAAAAACTGAATCTGCTATCGGCGACTCGCATGTCATGACTGACATGTCGGACATGTCATGACCAGCCTGTGGCAGGTCTCAGCGATTTAGCAGTCCTAGGAGTCAACCCAACGAGCTTGGAAATCATTGCCAAAGATCCATGGTCATTATGGTCACCAAATGATCGCGAAGGACACCGTCAGTGTGACATGGCACACCCGGTACGGGCCGCCAGCGTACATAGTGACTATGTAAGTGCCCCGTGCTGGGGTACACATGCAACTGCTCGAAGCCATAGCCATGCACACTGCAGTATTGAGTTTACAAGTTTTGTCTGGCAGGTCATCCTTGCTGGGAGGCAGTCTTAAAATTATATGCTGCACATAAGTACTTTTCTGGGACCTTCGGGGGGATTTCTATCACCCCATTTTAACTCGCTAGGTTCTGAAACCCTCCAAGCACTCCAAGGTAAAAATCCGCACTTCGACAGTGAAAATACATCATCTTTTAATCTGCAAATTCTGTGACTTTCCTCCTCATCTTGGACTGCTTTCCATATCCACCGATTCTTTGATCGAGGAAAATGTCGGGTGCTTACGAGTCGTTTAAGAGCTCAACGGTCCCAGTCCGGCGCAGTAGTAGCGCCCCCGCTCGAGTGCCCAGCGCCATTGTGGCGCCTTCAGCAGCATCCATGAATCTAAGAGATCGCCAAATTGTCGTGCCAAGCGCTGTCATGAGCATTTTGAACAGTGACGTGACCTTCCCTTCATCCTGGGAAACCGACAAGTCAGTGACAACTGGACTCAAGGTGCGCGACGGATATTCGCAGCTGCTTTTGAATGGTTTTGATATACCAGATATGTAGACTGAGGTGAGTCTGCGCAGATCTGGAGCTTGATGAAGGATGTTGTTGAAACAGTGAGAGAAGCAAGACGTGCCGACCTGGTGTATGTGCGTCACATCTTTCCAACTCAGTGTTTTTCTCGTGCATATTGCAGACCATATCAAAGAGAAGCTATTTGAACACAAGATTTCTTTGGCTGGGCAGGTCTTTCTTGTCACGCCCGGACCACCAGGATCGGACACAATTGGAACCGTCGTTGGCCGGGTAAATCTCCCCAGATTCAAGTTGGTTGCTTGCGCCAACCTGGAAACAGGAAAGAACTTCCTTCGCAATTTGTTTGGACTAAAGCGAGAAGTAGAGCTCTTTGTCCAATACGTGTTGAAAGAGAAGGAGTCAGCGGTGCTGCCGCAAGCGTGCACGCAATGGGACCTCGCCCGGATTGTTAACTTCCCTGATGACATGCAAGTTGCCAAATACGTCTTCGCCACCATTGTCGATGGTATGTTCTCGCTCAGGACTCTGCTTTATATATTTGCGATTTCTTTCTGCAGTCTGCAGGAGGCTCTACAATGCGCTCATGATTGAACGCTCTTGCAACAGGAGATTACATGAAGGTCAAGGACAGCAAAGCGAGCACGGCAGCTGGAAGTTCCAATGAAATGCAGGAGGGATCACCTCCAGTTGAAACATCAGAGGCCCCGGGCTAAGGGCCTCTGAGGGCTGAGGAGACCAATCAAAATTTTCAACCTTCAACCTTACAGGCATCTTTTCGCTGGCCCCAGACGACGACCTGACTGGCTCAGCTGCCGTCTACACCAAGATTGCCCAGCCCGGGCTTGACCATATCCTTCAACACCCCCAAGGTCTACCAGGTGTTGGTCGGCAGACCCCCATTCACCAAAGATTGGTAATGATTTGTAATAGCGGTGACTTGAGGCCTGATGTCACTACGGTAGCAGTACTCTAGGGTGGAACTTTCTAAGGAGCGCAAGCAGAGCCATCAGAGGTACCTCCGCATGGGCATGTTTGAAACGGTTGTGTGGTATCATACTATGATAGCAGCTTAGGTGGCGCCGGCCAGTCTGCATGCTAGGTTTTCTTGCTTGGTTTCCCAAGGGTGGATGTGTAGGGGAATGCAGTATTTTGGACGACAACATGCCTCCATGTCTAAAAGGCATGCCGTGACTGCCAGGCACTTCTTCCATTATTTTATTCTGGGCAAATTGCAGCCAACATCAGCCAAAAATTATTTGCAGTTGAGATTGAATCTTTCCTTGCTGCTTGCATACCCAGTGCAGAGTTTGGGTTTACAGCCATGCTAGTGTCAGAACGACATCTTGAAAGCACCATGATGGGAATATGTACATTACTGTTAGGCTTTTAGTCAACGCTCAAATGTGATCTTCTTTGAAGGATGTGGCCCGTAATGGGGAGAGTAGACGCTGCTCATGCAATGCAAGAGTGTCTCAACACAGACCTATGATCATCTGATGGTGACATGCTTTCATGCAAACTTGTACGCCCTGCTAATGGTGTTATCCAAATGGTGGCAGTGTAAACAGGATTCATGTCCAGCTCAAACAGACGTGCACTTATTTCTGTACACCTCGTTCTATAAGTTATGGCCATTGCACACTCCTTGCGCTGTGCACTGCAAGTTTAGCCTATCACTTAACGCAGTGGTCGCTTCAGTGCTGGTTTTCTCCATATCAGGCGCCTTTTATCCATGCATGCATGGAACGTTGTGTTTAAAATATTGCAAACAAAGTACATCCTTTTTTACAGTGCGACCCAGCCCAAAGATGAGCTGCTGCAAAGGAGCCTCAGGGTGCGCTGCAAGCTTCAATCAGTATTAATCACAACTGTGATATTGAGCCACTGACAGTGCAGGTCAATAAAAGCTTCAAAGCTGATTGTCAGAAATAGCGAACCCCACAGGATCAAATTCTTGCTAAATCATACTTCGAAACCACAAAATAGATGATTCAGTCAATTGATGCAGGATCTAGCTCATAATTAAGCATTGCTGGCAGCACACACGTGTTGGTGTTGCTTGAAGTTGATAACACAGCAAACCCAAGGCACATGCAGGCTGGTGAGCTGATGCTTAGTCATCATGTCACAAAATTCGATGTGCAACAGCATTGGCATGCAACACATCACGTCCGGACACAAGAAGGAAATCTATTGGCCCAGAAGAGGTGCCTCGCATTTGAACAGGTCTGTATCAGCTACATAACATCGCACGCCTCCCTTGCAAGAGGGGCGCCTAAAAATTAATGCAGGTCTCTTCTGCATGTTTGATTGGCATCAATATCGGAACAATTCCAACGATCTGCGCCTTGTGAAACTCCAGACTGTACCCCGGGTAACGCCTCAGAAGGCCCTTCTCAAAAAGCAGAAGGCCCTTCTCAAAAAGCAGAGCTGCTGCAAATACCTACAGAAGGCCACGTCCTTGCAAGTACCAACCTTTGGGACTTGCATCGGACATTCACACAATTGCAGGCTGGCAAGCAAAAGAAGTAACCGGTTCTCCTCGCATACAAAGGAGCACTGCATACCAACGAGGCATTAATAGAAGCGGCACGCAATGCGGGCCACAGCCTAGTGGGAGCAAGCGAGTTGCTAAAGGAAACTCCTGCAGAAGCTGACATCTCTTGTGGGATGGGGCTGTGCAGAATTGGTGAAGGTCACCCAGTGCACATGTTCTGACCAGAGAGGCACCGGAGTATTTGCGTCAAGTCAGATAATTTGTTCTGCGCATCAGCAGGTGCCAATCCGGCTGGCTTCTGCTGTGCAGCTCCTGAAAGACAGCGCCTAGTCTGGCAGCAGACCAACCTCTGCCGCCCAACAAACTAGTTCCACCTTACATATACTGTGTTTTTCCTCTCTGCTGCGAAGCTGTCATCGATTTCCAGAGAGAATGCCGGAATTGGCAGCGCGCCAAAATGGGCAGCTGTCTTTCTTTCACGACAAACCCTGGCGGCCAATTCTGGCGGGTGCAAAGTCAGCGCGCCAGGTCAGCATAAGTCACCGGCGGATGTTCTTCATGACACGGCGGCTCATGCGGGCCATGAACTTGTCGCGCTTGGCCGCGGCGCCACTGGTCATTGCCGCGGTAGTGACCTGGTCCCCCTGGGGTTCCCCCGCTTCCTCGGCGGTGGCGGCGGTGGCGGCCAGGCCGGAGGGCGCCGGCAGCGGCAGCGTCCACTCCGTCAGCAGGGGCTGCACCCGCTGCAGCGTGTTGACGAATGTGTACCTTGTCAGCAGCACATGCCGCCACCTGCGCGCACATGCCACATCAGCTCAATTACTCCATGACTCTGCCTCTGCCATTCCAGCAATCTGCGATTGTTTTGAACGAAGTGCCCGGCAAATTCCCATTAGCGTCTCCTGAGGGCCCTCTGCTTGCCTCTGCCCTTGATGCCTACACAGTCACCCAAGGCCCCAACAACATAGAATAACAGAAGGGCGCATGCTATCATGGACAGTGCTGGCTCAATCACAGCACACACAAGGCCAGTCAACTTATCAGCACAAACTCTGCAGTCCAGTAATGACCACGGTGCAAGAAAGAGATACGAAGCGCACCAGCGTGACTGCGATTTGTGGGCCGCCATGGCCTTGAACATGCCGAGCAGGTCGTGATTCAGGAACATGGCGCTCTCATTCCCCCTGTGGCCGTCAATCGCCGAGGGAATTATGTCGAAAATAGACAGGTGCGTTCTCACGTCATCTGTAGTCGTCAGCGACCAAGCGTCCGGACACCGCTGCATTCCCTCCTCCCTCACGCACGCCGTCACATACTGCCTGCATTCAAATTCGAACAACCACGGTCAAATTTACATTCAAACTCAAGTTTTCAAGCGAGATAATCAGGCAGCGAGCTCAACATGCTATCGACCTCTTCCAGGCTATGGCAATTGCACTGTTCCACCATTGACACTTGGCAGGGTCCGCTGCAGATTCGTGATGCCTCCTGTAGGGAAAACCTTGTGCCCACAGGGTAAAATGTGAGAGTGAGAGTGCATAGAGCAGCGCTCACCTGACCCCATCGTGGCACCCTTTGTGGTTTTTGTGGCCCGTCACTCCGGCAGGGTCGAATGTGATGATCTGCAACGGAACAGTCACATGCAATCAGGCACGTTTTTTAATTTTTACAAAATTTGCCAGACATGCACATGCGCAGGTACTCTTATCACCATGCAAAAGCCCTCAATTCCACTGAAAAGCAATGAAACCCCCAAGCCCCACTGCTGCTGTCTTATGTTTTGCCATGAGATTGCGGCCAAAATGGCAGGTCCATGCATGCAATTTTTTGCAGCGCTCACCGTGTTGATCAAAAGCCTCCTGACTTCCTTCCGCACTACAGCTGCTACATATTCCTGCTCCCACTCCTCGTGGTGCCCATCTTGTATCCTGCTGTCGTTCAGGATGTTCAAATGCAGGCTGTCGATCTGGTAAAACACACAAGAGCCACAGAGTCAGGAGAGGTTGCTCGTAGAGTAATGGTTACACAGTCCCCAGTGGCCAGCTGTGCTTGATTGGATCTACTTTGTAAATATCAGAAGGAATCTAGTGAGAATCTGATTGTATCTTCGTAGGAGGGTTCCGGAAAATATTCCCCTGATGGGGCCAAATGCCAGCAAATAGTGGGAGATTTTGCCCCCTCTGGTAGTGCCCGCGATGGAGGCCGTATATGGGCGTCCAGAGGGGTGTAATTGTCCCTGATAGCCAAAAAATTACCTGCAGAGCCTTTGCAGCTGCTCTGAGCTCCCTCTCCCTCACTCCTCCAAGCCCGTGCGCGTCACCTGCGTGTCAAAAGGAGCCGGAGGGCGTCAGGCAAACCCCAGACGCTGTCATTCCGGCCTCTCGAACTCCCTAATAAAATCTTGGCTCACACAAGTGGCCAAAAAGTGACAATCAAGCAAGGTTTTCCTAGACGGCCAAAGGCAGCTTCCGTGGTGAGTCGAGACGGGACCAGCAAAGCCTGTCTCACCCACTTTCTTCAAGCACATCCAGCACACCCTACTGAATAAATTACTGCTGAGATGGTTCAGGTTGTGCACCGGCTCCGTGCAGGGTTAAAAAGGCTCACCGTTAGTTAGACACAGCAGAAACACTTCAAGACCCGAAGCGTGGAGTGCTGAGATGGTCGACGAAAAGAAGATGACTTCATCATCGGGATGGGCGGTCACTAGCAGGACCCTGCCAGGATTGCTGATTGGGGACTCCGCAAGGCGGCCTAGTGATCCTGTCTCCAGCAGCAATAGGGATCCGACGCAGAGGGCCAGCAAGCTGGCGACCGCTATCCTCCTTCTATTTCCTTCTCTGTCCTGGCACGCCTGCCTGCACCTAAATAGTCTGCCTGGGCTGGCACCCCAAGCACTCGCTTGCTGCTCCGCCTGCTTGGACGTCTCAGGCAAAAACATCTGCACCGTCACCTGCCAGCCTCAAGCTGGCTTTTGTTGCTCGCTGCTATCCTTTTATTTCCGAGACACCCGTTGTGCTTCTGCCGTGCCTGTACAGCGTCGAAGACTGAAACTTTTGTTGAAGTGCACGCGTGAGATCAGTTGATTTTCGTTTGGCAGGAGAGGGGTGATAGGTCGTGTTGGGTTGGTCATCCGCTGACAACTAGTGATCGCTGACATCACCGCAAAATCAATATTTTAGGGTTTAGGGTCCAGATCTTGCGAAGATTCCAGCTCCGAGAAGGACACTGCCAGTTCTTAATGTAGAAACTGCTGTTCAAAGTGAAGACTTCGGAAAGCTTTGGAAATCTGACTTCGCAAATCGGACTAGGCTGTGTAATTTCCACAAACATATGCAACCCCTTAACAATATTGCGTGGGGACGATCCCTTCGCAAGACATGCGCAGTGCGATGGAATTCTGGAGTTTTTGCCATGAGCGCAAGAAAGGATTCTAGAACCAAGCTGCCTAGCGTGACCCGTGCAGTACAATTTGGAAGCCTACAATTTGACGATCCTGAAACCTTTATCACCTTCATGAAGTCGCCGTACGGGCAGAAGCAGATCAAACACGTACGCAGCCACGAAATCTTTGGTTTATGCTGCTTAAGGATAATGCTATGGATCCTTTCCAGATATGCTGGTCTGTTTCGAGTTCTCACGTGATGTCTTCAGCAGATACTTGAAGACGACCGTGTTTCCCAAGAGAGGAAAGATGCAATTTCTACCCTGATCCCAGAACTTTTCCTGCCAGATACCTCTGAATTGCCGGTGAGGAGGCTGTACTCCACAGGTCATCAAATGCATGCCTGAATGTTTAAGTCGTCTTACAGTCTGAAAAACTGTGTTGCTGGGCACTTACATATTTGCTTGTATGCATCAGGTGTATTTACACGGAAGTGACAGAGAGATAATCGCAACGAAACCCATTGATCGTGCCCCCCTGTTAAGATGCAGCACAAGGACTGAGCTAGAGATCATCCTCAAACGGCACATGAACATTGCAGAAGACGTTCCTGTGAAGTTGTACTATGACTTCGGCTTGAAACCCTCAGATCAAGATGCCTGGTTTGTCCCAGATGTGGAGTACGGGTTGACTGAAAACCTTGAAGCGGCCGGTCACATAAGTGTGACCATACTGGAAGGTAAATCTTATTTATTCTACATGTTGGGTGTGCCTCTGCCTTGCGAGCTTGATTGTGAGCTGAGAACATGTGCTATTTGTTGAAGTACTTGAATACATGTTACATTGCAGATGCAGGTCGAGCCACCAAATCATAGAGGGATCTGAATACAAGTTCCATCCCAGACGCAAGCTGAGCTGATAGATACAAAAGAGGGAAGTGCCACTGGATAAAATTGATGGCATCATTGCACTTTGGAGAGACGCAACCAATTTGGAGTCTTGTCAGCAACAAGATACAAGCTCTTCTTGGATATGGGCAAGCGTGTGACAGTTGTTGAGGTTTAAGTGCACAAGACGCAACCTTCCAATCTATGCTCCTCAATCTGATTATTGAAAGAGAAGGTCAGAGTCAAGATGCTTATCTTGCTTCCTGGCGGTCTGTGACTGCCTGACCTTCCATCAGCTGAGCTCATAGATAACAGGTCAACAACATTTTTTGTTGTTGCAGCAGCGCTGGGCATTTTCATGTTCCAAAATGGCGGATGGTGCCTTGAGTGTATGGATAGCCATTGCTGCTTCGGATTTTGTTGTGTCTAGTTACCAGTATGGAGCTCATCACCACAGAGTCCCTGCGGTAGACTGGAAAGCTTGTGACCTTGCCAACAGTGTTGACTAATATTATCATGTGCATTTGCATTGTGCATAATATATATAATAGTATATGCATTAATGTGATGCACTGCACCTGGCCCTCGTGAGCTTGGTGGTGGGAAAAATAACCCTTGCAACAAATTGACAAGCTGCAAATGCCATGTCAGTATGAAAGGAACATGAGCCACGGAGATGTGTCCTATGCAAAGAGCAATGAGATTCTCTAGGCGATTGGGCTCTTGGCAATCATATGCAGCTCCTTTGTGGGCCTATGTCCTGTCTATAAATAATTGGATATGGAGCTTGATTGCTTCAAAACATCTAGCTGTATCAGTGGTGAAACACGCAGCCAATGCATTACATAATTATTACATTTGCTCGTCAGGATGTGCATGGTTGGAGCGACATGCACACATGGCACCTTCAGGCAAACAGCCCGGTGCTGTAAGTTCCAGTGATGTCCTCATGTGAGCTACCAAAAATTCGTAAAGAGGACCAAATGCAAACATAATTCAAGCATGGAGCCACAGATGTTATGATTTTGACTGTCTCCCAAACTCATGAGTGATCACTGGGGGGTCCTGTCACCGCGAACTAACAAAAACATGCATGGCAGCAGCTCCGGAGCCGGCAATGTAAGCCCCTCCGTCCTCCGCCGCCGTTTTGCAACGCAACTCCATCAATAAAAGTAGGCCTGCATCCCAAACATTGAAAGAATTATGGTAATGGCACTGCTGAATTTGCCACCCACTCAAGCGTCATCCTCTGTCCAATTGTTGAAGCTTGGAGCCCGCTGCGCCGGTGCTATTGTCACCGGCTGTTGTACTGGTGTGTTGGTGTCTCTTGGCGCAGTGGCATCAGTCGCAGGTGAGTCATTGGCTGGAGACTTTGTGTCAGCAGTGCTGACTGTCTTCTTGCGCTGACTCATGTCTTTTGGAGTGGTTCCAGCAGAGGCTGTGTCCCTGAGTGCGCTAGTGAGCGCCGAGGATGGCTGTCTCTGCATGAGCACACATGTAAAAATGACACCAGCCTCAAATGTCCTCCGCTACAAATTTGCAAGGGGGCACAGGTCTGTTATACCAGGGAGTGCGTGCGCTGGAGTCCTGGACTGATCAGCTAGAAGAAGCCGGTATGTCTTCGGCATTCCGCTTTCAACTCTCACTACACCTTAGGCCAGCAACACTTTGATCTGGAAGATAACAGGCCCTGATACAAAATTATGCAAACATGGACGTGAATAATTACCTGGATGGAGGTGTTTGCACGCGCGGCATGGCTTCCTCCAGCTTCCGCGCCGATTCTCGGGGAGGGAACCCCGTGGGGCGCGCGCGGCGAGTCCAGAGTCCGGCTGTGGCTGCGGCGCTCGATGTACTTGACCCGCTCAGCCACGGAGCGCAGCTCCGGCTTGTACAGCAGCCCTGGAGGCCGCGGAGAGCCCTCTGTCTCGCTGCCTAGATCTGGAACAGCCCTCTTCTGCCCCTGGACAGCTTGCTTGGGAGAGGCTGCCTCCTCGCTTGCAGCTCCCGGCAAAGCGGCGGCCTTCCCGTTGCACTCGGCTGCCAGCTTCTCGGCAGCGCCGCCACCTGAGCCGCCTTCATTGCGCGGCGTTGCATCCGCGCTGCCGGCGGATTCACCGGCCTCCTCTGCTGCATGCTGCGCCGTTGCTGCGTTGGCAGGAGAGCTTTCATCTGCGCTGCTGCCTTCTCCGAGCTCCGGCGTAGGGGATACGGGGGCGGCTCGAATCTTTCCGGGGGCCGGCGGCGAGGGGGCCTCGGCGTCACCTTCCTCCGCTGTGGAAGCTGCCGCCGCAGCTGCCGGCGCCACAAAAGCTGTCGGATCTGCCGTCAGCAGCCGCGCGGCCGCGGAGGCCACTTTGTCGCCGCCGAGCGCCGATGCGTTGGCGCCTTCATCAGCAGCCGCAGAGGAGAGTCTGCCGGTGAACCAGGACATATCGAACTGGTCTGGGCTGAGCGCCAGCTTCTGCTTTACTGCCGCCGGTGACGGCACTGGCGTCACGCTCAACGACACCGGATTCTCCTGCACGCAATAAAGCGGCTCTTGGATTGTATAGAGGAAAAATCTGGCTGAGCCAGCAATGCAATAACGCTCCTGCTTGCTCCTGTCGCATTGCTGGGGCAAAACGACTTCCTTTGGAATCCTTCTGTCTTTAGACGCTGATCCTCGTCTCTTCATCAATGACAACTCCTCATCCTGAAGACCACTCCTATGTAACAAGCACATAAGTGCATGCAGTAGCATTGCACTGTGTGGTTTTACATTAAGTATTTGCAGGATGTACGCAGATTGGCGAGGCTAAGACAGTACCTGGGAAGGCGAGCGTTGGACCACAGGTGACGATAGGCCCAGCGCAGCAATCGCAGCCGCCACAAACCCGGTCTGTCTCTGCCGTGGCTTAGCAACCCTGAGCTTCACAGCAACGAGCTGCTCCGCCGTATCATCCACCCCTGCCGCCGATTTGGCTCCCCCGGACCTGCTAGTGGCCTGGAATGCGCTGCTGCCTGCCTCATTGTTGCTGCTGGCATACAGCCCGCTGGATTGCCAGACTTCTGCGCTGCCCTCACTGCTCAAGTCCCCTGCTTTCCGCGGAGTAGCAAGGCTAGAGACTGCATCATCGCTGACAGCCTCCTGGACAGTCCCTGACAATGTCCCCTTGGAAGCGCCACTGCTGGATGCAGCATTCCTGTCCATGTCTCCCGCTTGTGAAAGGCTCGCCTGGTGAAAGGGCGAGCTTGCAAGCCACTCGCTGCCCTGTGCGGCAGATGTTTCCGTAAGTGGCTGCTGCTCAGCAGCTTCCTTTGCTGAGTCATTTTCTGGGAGGGGACTTGCTGGAGGAGAGTGGAATTGGGTGGAGGCGGTGGAGGGTCCAGGCTGTCCAGGGGCGTCTCCGCCGCTTGCCTCACGCTGCGCTGTGTGTGGCGTGGCGGGTGACGGCGTTGCCAGTTCAGGCTCGTGAGGGGTTGCCAGATCAGGCGAGAGGGGTCCCCCCTGCTGGCGAGCCGGCGGCGACTGAAAGTTTAGTCGCTTGGGCCGCAACCGGGAAGTTGCCTGCGGCGAATACACTGCTTAGAGGTATGAGGCAGGTGATTTAGGATATCTTGATGGGAGACGTTGCAAGTAGGATGGCCTCTCCTTCACGGCAATGACTCATTGATCGGATCAACATAGGGCGTCCCTTTTTTCAAAAGTAAGAAATATCAGGACAAAACTCTTCTACTCACCTGACTTGGCGGCGCAATTGACGCAGGGGCATTCCCTCCCGCCGTGGCCTGTTTTGGTGGCTGTGGCCGGAATGGCGAGTCGGCCACGGCCGGCCGTGCCGCCGCGCCCCGGGCCGGCTGCGCCGCCGCCGCCGCCATTTTTGCAGCTGCCTCGAGCACGGTTGTTTCCTCACTTCGTTGCCCAGTAGGCGCCAGCCGCTTTGCTGCTGGAGCGGCCTGTTGCTCGCCTTCACTGGAGGACCCCTCAGGGCTGCTCTCATAGCCTGGCGCCCAGACCTCCCCGCAGCTGCGCTTGCTCTGGGTGATGAGGGACGCCTGCTGACGCACGGCCTGTGCCAAGCAAACAGCAAGAAACTCATAGAGTCTTCCTCTTCTTTGTGCATGGATACATACTGTGCCCTTTTGGTTGCAGACGTGTGAATCAGCATGCTTAAAGTACACCTCTTACACATGCCCTGGAAGCATCTGACTGGCAGCAATAACCTAAGAAAATGCCTCATGAAATTGAAGAAAGGGCAGATGTGGATGCACAGTGAAAGGGCTGGTAAGGTTGGAAATTCTATGAAAGGAGGCTCACCAGCGGAATGGGCTCCTGAGGTGCGCGCAGGCCGATGGGCACTCTGTCGGAGGCGTTGCCTCTGCCAGGCTGCAGCACAAACCTGGTGCCAGCCTCCAGGCTGCGGGCCGGCCGAGGCACGTCCCAATACTGCCCGGCCGGGCCCCTCGCAGTGTCCCAGATCTCCAGCCCAGGCATGTCACTGGAGCCATACCTGCGCCATAGAAACGCCTTGAGAATTTGCTTTGTAGCCACAGAATTCTCACTGTATGCATGATAGAACAGGACTTTAAGGGACATGGAGCTTCCTGTATTGCAATCAAGTCAGTACGGCTTACAGCCAGTTCAGACAGGCCATTTTGGGCGGACGCAGCTGCACAAAGAACATGTCTGATGCAAGAAGGGGTCAGAAAACAAGAAGGAAAACATGGGCACCTGGTGAGAGATCCATCACTCTGCGTGACCTTGAGCCCGCCGCTCATGAGGTCCGCCTTGTCGTGGCCTGCCCGAGTGGTTGCCTGCCGTCCAGCGGGGTTCTCTGGCGCCTGCCGCCGCTGATCAGTAAATTCCGGGCAGGACCTGACGGCCTGCGCCGTCTGCAGCAGCAGCTCCGGTAGGGAACGCCCATCCGCCCTGCGTCGCCGCTCCGGCCGCCGCGCCACGGCGGCCGCTGGCTCTGCCGCCGCCAGCTGGCCGGCCGAAAACCGCGCAGCCGCGGCCGCCGCCGCCGCCGCGGGTCCGGTACTGACCGCTGTTGCAGCGCCACCGGGGCCCTGCTCTTCCGCCACCGCAGATTTTGCAACAGCGGCGTCAATAGCGACAGAGTTGCCTTCAGGGTCGCCCCGGGGATTGTTGGCGCCGACGGGAGGCACGGGGGTAGCCATTCTGCCGGCCGGCACACCGGTGGCAGCGGCGGCGGCCCGGGGGATGATTTTGATGCCGGCGGCGGCATCGGCGGCGTCCAGGGAGATGTCCCGGTAGAAGGCGTGCTGCGCGGCCTCCAGGCTGCGCTTGAAGTTGGTCGCACGCTCCACAAGCGCCTCATTGGACCCCCCGCTGCTGCCTGAGACACAGCCATAAATGCTTGTCTTGACTTTGCGCACAAGATAAAATCGTGCACACATTGTCCTGTATGTCAAAGTGTGCAATGTGCGGAAATGGCAGTACCCTTGGCAGCGGCTCAGTGTCCATTGAGGTATGAGGGGAATTTCAGGCATTGCTGGTCCAAAGCGTGGCATTTTGATGATTGTTCACCTTTTGATGACCAGATGCCGTCCCCGCTGACCTCTCCAGACGGGCGCCGAGAGGAGGCGGCAGTGGTGCTGCCAGACCCAAACTCCGGCCGAGCCAGCACCTTGCCCCCAGCGTACGCAGGGGTCGCTCCCTCCAGCCCAAAGAACACTTTCTGAGTGCCGCTGTCTCCAGACCCCCGCTGGGACGAAGTGGCGGTGGAGGGGCCAGCAGTGGTGGAGTGCGGGGACCCCTGAATGTAGTCCCCCCGCTGGGAGGTGGCCGCAGAGGGGACCGTGGTGGTGGACAGGGGGGACTCCTGCGCGGAGTCCCCCCAGGCGAGAATTTTAGTGCCCCCGGGCTGAAAAGCCTTCCGGGGGCCCGCGACGCTCGACACCGAGTCGCCCGACCCGGGCCGCCGATCGCGCGCCGCCAGCTCAGCGGCTGAGTCAACGCCGGCCGCAGCCGCCGTGAAGCTGTCGGTTGCCTCGTCAACCGACGACAGGGTTCCACTTCCGGACCCCCTCCGAAGCGCAGGTTCTGGCGCTCCAATCGCTTCCGCCCCTTGGTCGCCTATTCTGGCCGCCCCTCTTGCACTGCCTGCCAGTTGGCTCTGTGCATCCCTGCCTCTGCTGCTGCCTCCAAAGAAGTGCTCAATGTCCCTGTGAGCTGCACTGTTGGCCGGTTGCTGGGGCTGTGCTGCCGCACCGCGCCCCTCTTGCCGGGGAGTCTCAGGGCCTACGGACTCTGCAGTGTGGGCTGAGCTGGTGGCTGCATGCGGATCGACATGCAAGACCCCCCGTGGCGGCACGGCCACCTCAGTGTGCAAGCTGCTGTGGCGTCGCAGCAGGCCGGGGAAGCAGGCGCATCCGGTCGGGGGCGACTCTCCCATCTTGGCTGGCGTGGCCTGCGCACCGAGAGGCGCTTATTTTTAGGCTGTGCAAATCCACATTGCATCGGAGGGTGCAAGGCAGCTATGTCGTACAAACAAGAGGCTCTTGATCTAGGACAAGAAGGGCATTGGCTTGTTGGCAGTGGGCACATCTCTCCAGTGGATAACGATGTGAGCAGCACGCTATGCATGTTGAAAGATCGTTTGGTTCACCTTTTGAGGCCAAAACATGCAAGTCACACAGGATCATTGTATATCTGCAAGCAGACGAGAGGGTAGTTGGACTCACAGGTGGGACAGGAGAGGAGTGCTGCGACGGTACTGGCGATGACTCACGACCGGATGACTCAGCAATTGGCGCCATGCCGGGCCCCCCGGTGGCACTGTCGCCGTTTTCATCTCCACCTTTTTTATCAGCGTCGTTCCCCCCGCTGTTCCCCCGCTGCACCATCAGATGCAGGGCTTCGCGCAGAGAGCGCAGCTCCTCCGAATATATCCTCACCCTTGCCAGTGGGCAGCACTCTGCCCAAACACAATCCACACCATCGGCTTGTTTTCACATCAGCTAATGCACGTGCCCATTTAGGTCTCCGGAACAGAGAGCAGATCCGGTTGGCGCTCATGCTCTTGCCACGGCAGACAACTTGCGCTAGTAGAACTCATGACACCCCAGCGCAGTCACTCAGATGCGCGACAGAAGCTGTCTTGCGCAGTGCATCTGCAGCCAACCCACAGCACAGCACATAGAAGAAATTGGCAGATTGAATTCTTCGCAGATCATGGACAGAACAGCGGTCCTCGCCTGACTTGTCGACTTTGGAGAACTCGAGTTCGAGCACTTGCGCGCGCCGCCAGGGCTCCTTGCGTGGGAAGCGCAGCTCTGGCACCCACCGACGGCTGGACGCTATTCTCACCGCGGGCCCGACCGGCACTGACAGCAGCGGGCTGCGCGGATTGTGCAGCGGTGCCAGCCCTGGGACATGCAATCCATTCTCAGAGCAAGTCTTGAGACTTTTGCCTGCCTGGCATTGCCTGGAACGAAAGTGTGCAGCCGCATGTCAACACTGTCCCTAGTGTTAACAGCTTGGCCCAATTGCCGGCTTGCCAGATCTGTTACATACAAGTTTTCTGCCCGACCAGACTTGAAATGATGACACCCGCGTGGCGGAACCCAGAGCACACCCGTATCATTTCTGCACATGGGCTGGTGCTGATATCCATGCCATGCATCAGCACTGCAAGGACCAATGGTGAGGGGTGGTCTGGTGCAATGCTACAATTGGCCCCGCTTGCCCTTCACACTCTCCCATAGGCGAGGCATGCAAAGTGCCCATATGCAAGGCGACATGACTGAGGGCGCACATCTGCAGTTGTGGCCCACTTCGACCACGAGGCGGCCGGTTGAGGGCTCAAAGGAGCAGGGCACATGTTTGGGCACCCAAAGCACATGGTGTCCGTTGGCTATCGCATAATGGCACGGCCTCCTTGCCGCCAGCATGGCGTCCAAATCACCCTCCAAGCACTCCTGCAGCAACATCCAGGAATTAGTAATGCTAAAAATATGCATCTTTGCTCTTGTCTCATGAGCTGCCTCTCCCTTTTCTTTCTCCTTGTGCATACTGCTGTGCAGTGATCACTTCCACAGCAACTGCAAGATCTCCGAAACTGCAGAGTTGGGAAGGTCATGGCACTACATGCATGCCAAGCAGGTGCTAGGTGCTTGGCACCAGGTCAGCAGAACAAACGCCCTGATTGTCCAGGGGACAGCTAGCTTAGCCCATGATCAGCGTAAGTATCCTGTGCAATCAAGGCGTGAGGGCAATAAAGCCCATGCATAGCACAGCTCATTCGCAAGGGTGAATTGCTGACCTGAAGAATGACGGGAGCCTCTCCATGAGAGCCATTGGTGTGCTCACTGCTGGGTCCAGCCCTGGTGTCACAAAACAGATGCTGTACTTCAGATGTGGCATCCAAGAAGGCTCCACGAACAGTCATGCGCTATTTTCTTTGCTTAGCTCTACAGAGCACGGCATGTCTGCACATCAGTGACGACGAAAGAATGCGTGTCATTTTCCTGCTCTATTGGTCAGAGGAGCAGTGCCTGACAAAAACAAAAAGTATGCCGTGCAAGTGGAGATCTTACATTTTTGCAGGTTTGCTTCTGATGTGCCTTGGCAAGCGCTCTCAACCAGGCAGAACCTTCAGCGATAGTTTATCGCGCGCCCGTCTTTCCGCAGGGCCTTGGTCTTCGTCCCACGAGAAGGGTTTGGAACTAGTTGAATCTCTTCGCTACAATAGCATCAGTACTTCCACCAGACGCTGGGATAAGACCTACAACATCATGCAAGAGCGATGCTGCTCAATAACCCTTCGCCCTGAGGAAACATCCGGTCGGACCGTTGATCCGATCGGTAGGTCAGCCGACGTCATCGCAAACGCACGATCCTTTCTTACTGCACCAAGGCGCCCGTACCTTGTCTTATGGAAAAGATCCAAGCATGTTCATAGAACAACCATCGCAAGATGTGTTGCAGAAAGCGTTCAGAGCTAGTCTGCTGTCGAAGAGGCCTAGAGCGGTCACCGCTCTTCGGCATCTTCCATTGCAGCACTGGCAAGGCAGATACCTGAAGTGGAGGTTCTTGACTCTAAGGTGTACGCCAAGGACAGAGATTTAATTTCTTTCCACTTCACTTTAGATTGGTTAGTAACCGGTGAGGTGTGAGGCCAGTTATGCGCCTCCATGCAGCAGAGATTGGACTCGGACAGCTTCTCCTTTGTTTCTTAAGGTAGGTGTAATGGTTAGCTAATTCTGGTTGGGTGCTACGGCTGGCATGTTTTTGGGCATTAGAAGATGGTGACAAAATCCTCACCCAACACGATTTCGTGTTGGCAGGGACGTCGATGAGCAATGCCAACTAGTGAAACAAAAAGACTATCTTTGAATCTGTGCCAACTTTGTGTGCTTTCCGGCGTGGGATGATAAGCATAAAATTTGCACAGTTGGATTACGACAGAGCACCTGAGGTTTTATTCTCTGTTTACATCTGTTGTTCATGGCTTTCGATGTATTCCGTCCCTCTTCAATTATGCATCTGTCATCTGTCTTCTAGAACAAGTCTCCTACTCCACGATCAAAGTTGGGCAGGTTCCGTCACCTTGGAAGCTGGGCCACTTATAACTAATTACGTGCGGGTGATGTCCTGGCCACGTACTTGACACTTTGAATTTGGATATGGACTTGAATGATGTCGAATCCAACTTCAAATTGTTTTGAAAACTCTAGAAACCTTGTTAGGAGTGTCTCAATAATTGAAAGCCTGTGCTTGGCGGAAATATGCAGCACCTCCAGTTCGCTGCTGCAGTCTTCATATTGTTGACTGCGCCCCTGTCACAATCTGAAGCTTCAACCAGCACCAAATCAGTCAACTCCTCAACACCATGGTTCTGCCACGAATATGAGTGCGCGCCATACACCGTCATTGACAGGAATGCCGACTATGAAACAAGACAGTACTCTGCAGGTGAAACCTCTGCCCCGCCCCTCAGTGTTTGGAACGCTTCATATACTGGGATACACTTTCCAAATGAACGAGAATCACTTTGGATAGATTAAATATAATTTCCCGGCATCTTTCGCAAGCAAAGGAGTTGTTGGTGTCGGCATGTTGGCGCTGTCTCCGCATTTTGTTTCGAGATTCGCGTGATCCTTGCAAGCAAGGTCATTCTTCTGAAGTCCTGTTCAATAACCAACGGCTGAGATGAGTGATCGGCTGCCTGCAGCCAACTGGGTGTCAGTCAACGTCCAGAACTACACCTACAGGCCTGCTCTCTCTGAGGGCTTTGCGGTGGGCCACTCAACCCCTGCAACACAACACTTCTTTCTCCCGCAATGTCATAAAGACAATACGCACGCGCAGATGTCACCGAGTGTCCCCCACCTTTCCTGCACTGCCTCAATTGCCCATTGAGGCTCACAAACTTGAACGCACTCGGGTGCCTAAATCATGCACTCACGGTGACTGAGCGCTTTGTCGTTGCCATGCAGCCCCTCTTTGAGTACATCAGTGGAGCCAACCAGGAGGGTGTTAACATTAACATGACTGCTCCGGTGCTCGTCAAGATCGCGGCGGGGGCAGGACCTTTCTGCACGAGCAATTTTACCGTTTCATTCTACGTGCCCACAGCCCAGGTCAGTCTTTGAGTTTTTAGCAGATTCTTGAATAGGCCAATTAACCTTCAGCGTAAGGTAGGCCACCTCTGTCCTTGGGTGTCTTGGATTGCCCTGTTTTCTGTGAGGCAATCTCGGATGACTAATTGAACAACTGAGTTCTGGTCTGTGTGCATGTGCATGTCACTGATTTCTTCAGCCAGATTTTGTCCTGTTTTGAGTCAAGCGGGTCCCCTGGAACAATTCTGTTGACCTGACGCCATTCATTACAGAGAAGTGCAGCTGTCCAGGCCTCATTGGATGCCTGTTGCAACTAAACCTTGGTTGCCTGCAGTGCTGCCTTTACCCCGTCATCTAAGCAGGGTCAATGTTTATCGATGCATGCAGGGAGACACCCCAGTGCCAACAGATCGCTCTGTCTACCTCAACAGGCTGCCCCCAGCAACATACTTTGTCTCGTCCTTTGGCGGATACGCCGATGACACCAGTGTCCCGGCGCAGGTGCCTTCCCCACCCTCTCTACACCCTTCCTTGGCCCCACCTGGGAAACTATCAAACACTCTCTCTTGGCAAGCATTCCTGCAATGGCAATGGCAGGGATTCAGCTTAGCGCGTCTGTTGTGCACATAGTGAGGATATCTAGTGTTACTGGTCAAGTATAGATGGAGTTGGGCACCCACAACATTTAATGAGCAACCTGTGAGGCTCTTCTGCACCTTACACACTTGATCAGTGCAAGATAAATGCGCATGTGTGTGAGCTAGATGGACGGAAAGGGTGAGTGTGGCATGCGCAGGCGGCTGCACTGACTGACAAGCTGACAGCAAATGGGGAGGTTTATGACAGCTCACTGTTCTGGACTGCCGGCTATGACGCCCCCTACAAGCTGAGCGGGCGCCACAATGAGATCTGGATCCTGAAAAACGGCGAGGCAGCTGCCGTCAGATCTGCTGCCGGATGAGATTTGACTTTGAAACTGAATCTGAAGGGGATCTCCTGCAACTCGGGGTACCACGTGGCAGCAGGTTCAAGGCTGTGGTGCCTGTGCCAGCCTTTCCGCTGCCTTACCGCCATTTACCTGTACACAAGCTTTCCCCGTTTTGAGCCGGTGTACATAGGCGGGATCACTCCCGTAATGGTTTACTGTCTATACAGTAGCTTTTGTACAACAGAGTAGCTTTTGCAAACGAATTTGATTGGGGCTGTAAGAAAGGTTCTTTGATGAAAATTGAGCTGCCGCATAGGCAGAAGGTGCGGTGAGGTCTGTGGAAGATTGGAGAGAGCAGTCAATGTACTTGGCATGTTCATTTTACCCATGGAATTCGACCTCAAAGCTCAACAGCTTTGTCGGCGCGCTGGAGGAGACCTGATGGTCGATATGAGGCATGATCGCCTGAGCTTGAAGACCTTAGAGTGGCTAAGAAGTGCACTTCTTAGCATGTCCTGCAGATGCACATGGATAAATGGTGCTTGCTGTTGGTATTCCCTTTGTGTGTGCATTGCTATGTCAGGCACTGTCCTGCATTGTTGGCAAATAATATCTTAATCGTCCTGCCATATGGCAGCACATCAAGTATGATTAAGATGTAGCAAGCATACTTTTCACCTTGAGCACGTTTCATCACACTCGTCATTGAGGTGTTTGTCACGGAGCACAGTCAGCAGTCACACTCTTCTGTATCATGCTTGATTTATTCAGTCTGCACCAACCACTGAGTGTAATTTCAGTCTCACTTTTCACCTCTCAAGCACATTGTATTGCGAGCCAGCATGCTGACCCCTAAGCCTGCCTCTCTGAGGCCTATATCTATGGACATGCTGAAGTGAGGAAGAGGGGTGCTTCAGGTTAGTGGTGGTGGGCTTCAGGCAGCTTCGATGCTGCGTGCATGTGGCTGTGGTGTGCCATGTCAAGGTGTGTGTTTCAGGGGTGCTCCTGATGTACGTCAGACCATGGTTCAGATGACTTAAGCCCGACCTGAAGTTGTTGTAACAATATGAAGTGCTTCACATATCCTCAGCTTACATCTGCATTGATTCAGCCCCTTCCTGTCCCTTCAGCAAACTTAATTCAGGTCCCGAGTTCAAATCTCAGTAGGAACTGCGCATTTTTTCTATGCACCAAAACACATAACCCAATCCTGAAAAAAGAAGTCCACACCCCTGGATCTGGAAGAAGCTCAAAGCAGGATTTTGTGGAGCAGGCAGGTCAAACTTTTATGAGTGACACATGGCAACACAGAGCATGCTTGCTGACAGATCCAGATCACTACAGGAAAATTCGTTACAAAGTACTGGAGCCTGCTCTGCATGCAGTTCCTTTTGTTGTGGTGCTCTGAAGCTTAATGCCAGGTGGCAAACAACGTGCACGTGTGTGCAAGGAACCAAGACTTGCACTGCAGGAAATGCAGATGCGAATGGTGCATGTTGTGTTGTGTTGTGAAATTATGCCCCAACCATGATGGAAGACTCTCCCGCTTAGTCAAGTCGTAGGGTGAGGTTTTGCTCTCCCTGATTCAACATCTGCTTACAAGCTCAAAGTCTGGTCTGTCCAAACTGCGGACGTCACAGCTCACACTCAAACCCCCCGTCCTCAAATTTTGACAGACTGGAAGACCCATCCTCACACGCTTGACAACCAAACATCTGACTGTTCTCAGAGCTCCCAAGCAGAGCATAGAAACAAGTCCCACACACATCCTACACCACAAATGAAACCAAGAGCATGCATGATATCTCGCAGGATTCATCAATTACCGCTTCTCACACTGAAAAATCGGGGCGCACAAAAGGGGCGCGCAACACAGCAGAAGCAAGAATGTCAGGCCAGGCTGTAACTGTCTGGTCTTTTGCAGAGAGATTGGAATGCCTATCTGTGTGGGCTCCTGCGGCCGTTATTGTGAGATCCAAGGGCTGCATTCTCTCTGAGAGGCACAAGACAGTCTGCCACCCTAGGCCCCACCACACATCAACAAATTTACGATGCCCAAAGGGGCTCGCAACAAACATAAAGGGAAGGAAAAACACATGGTACCCGCTTTGTCCTACTGTCATTCTCTCACTCGAAACACCGCCTGAATGTCATCTTTGTCTACATACTCTGATGCCCCATAAAATATCTCGGAGCACACATAGTGCACCGAAAGTTAAACACATTTGCAAAGACAGCAAAAGCCACTGCCAAACATTGCCTGCCCACCCAAAACCATCACAGGTCCTACGACCACAGCAACTACAGCCCACATCCTCAGAGTCTTTCAGGTCTACACATCACAGATCATCATTCTGGCGCCCTCTGACTGATTCCCATGGTGCCGAGTATCCACAATTTGGCCCCTCAGACACTCACAAGGCGCCCACCTGAGCATGGTCATTCCAACTACTTTTATTCAGTCACATCCGGAGGCAGCAGTTCTCCAGTGACTCATCATTTTCTGTGCAGACAATCTGCAGGAAGAGCAGGTAGATCAAATCTTCAGGGGGCCCTTTCTCCACCCCCACAACCGCAAGCAAATCTCACAAGCAAGCGGAGCCAAGCAAATGAATTAAACATCCGTGCGCAGAAAGGTCCTGTCTTAGTGCTGGCGAGTCTCCAAAACCTAAGCCCACGTCCGCAGGCGTGCGCTCCCTAATACGCGATGCAGTGTCAATTTTATGCGCGCAAAACACATCACGCAGCCGCAGGGCTGCCCAGGGGCGCAGACCCCACCAGAAACAAGCCGGTCAGGCAGACATGCAGAAGTAAACAAGTCTTCCTTGACTCTCCAGATCTGCATGCCGCAACGGCAAGCCGGTGTGATCAACATCGCACTCTGAATTGAGTTGCATGCACATGCGTCCACCCCAGCTTGTGTGTACAACTCGGAGCCCTAGGTGGTGACGCTACACACATGGCCGCCGACATCATGCAGCCCTTGCTGATCCTCGATCGGAAGTCTTGTCCCTCCCCAGAGTTCCCAAGAGGGAGAGAGGCCGATCATTTTTTCTTAACCTGCTTCATGTAGCGGACGCCGCAGGCGTTGCACAGGGTCTTGGGGCCATAGGGACCGGCGCGCCACACAGGGGTCACCTGCAACATTGATATCAGCGTGTGAGCAACACGCACATTTCTCTGTCTCCAGCAATTTGATATTTAGATTTGCAAAGAAACCGACAGGGATGTTTTGAGCATTGAGGTGGACATTTTGGCTGAAGTGTGGCTAGTGCCGTGGCATTTAAGTCAATCGTCAGGGAGAATTGTCACTCGCGTAAAGAATAAAGGCAGTTGAAAGCCAAACTTCTTATCCTGGCGGTGCAGGGCGTTTGCTCGTTTGATCATTGGAGGGAGAGATGGGCACCTGAGTGCCACACTGGGTGCACTGCTGGCCCGGCGCTGCGTGGCCGACAGTCTTAAGGATGCCGCCGACCATGCGCCGCCGCTTGCTTTTCTCGCCGCCCTTGGCCGGCCGCCCGCTCTTGCGCTTTGTCGGCGCTCTGTGCCCTGCGCCACCTGAGGGAGAACGCGTTAGCATTCAATCTGCTGCTTTGAGAGCATACACCTGACGTTAGACCCTTGAAAGGATGGCATTTGTCGAGAACAAAAAGATTGCACGTTCTCGGATAGTCCGACGGGTGTCACCCGGCACATGGCTTGATTGGACCTATTCACATGTCAATATATTGTTTAATATCGCATGACCAGAAGAACTGCATCACTGTGTAGACTGTCAGATCCCACAAACAGGAAGGCCGGTCTGCTGGCTTCAGACATGCTCTCGGCAGTGGATGCATACAGTGGCCAAGCTCAGCATTGGGGCGCGCACCTTCGGTGTGGGAGAGTTCAGAGAGGTCATCGGAGGCGGCCCGCGAGGCAGCGGTTTTGGGCGTAGGCCGCGCGATGCGACCGCTTGAAGTCTGCACAAAGCCGCCCGGGGAAGAGCCGCGGCCGGTCGCATGCGACAGAGGTAGCGAGGCCGCGAAGGGCGATACCACCGCCTCGCGCCTGCCTGCTGCCGCAGACACCTGCAGGCTGCGCTCCAGCCGCTCCTGCACATATCAAAAGTCAACACCGAGAACAACAAAATACCGCCTCTGAAGTATAGGTCTGAATGCAAACAAAAAGTGAACAAATAACCCACAAACATCACTGTCTTGCTGGCAGATTGAAGGTCCAGACAGTCTTGTGAAGGTTTCAGGATAGCGCCATTACTTATTGCTCTGCTAGCATGCACGGCTGTAATGAATGTGGATTTAATGGCTCACCGGGGTGGGCTTGGAGCTGGGGCGGTGCGCGGTGGCCTCGGGGGTAGAGGGTGACACGCGACGCAACCGCTCTGAGGTCTTGGCGGCGGCCAGTGTGGCTTTTGGCGGGGGACTGCGGTCGATGTGGGCGCAGCAGCGTACCTCGTCAGCGTCCGCCCCGCCAGTGTCCTCGCTGCTCGCATCCGTCTCCCTGCACAGTGAAAACAAACCCATCAGTATCTCGACCTCTTTCAGTTGCAGATATATGGGACGCGCAATCTGCATTCCATGAGCTGTGCTTGATTGACTCTGCACGAGGCGAGCAGACAGACTGCTTCTGCAGAGTCAGCCTGGGTGGTGCTTGATATGACACAACACCTTGAACCAGGCAGCCTGTGTGCAGCAGCTCGCCTGCACCCTCAGGCTTTCAGCGCTCGTGCAGGGACAAAACCGGATCAGGCGCTTGCTGTGTGCAAAATAACACAAACCAGCATATTCAATTTGAATCCGAATCTGAATTTGCAAACATGGGCCACCGCGCACCGTTGGGTGTTGGCAGAGTCGGACGACTCCTGGGACGCGAATGCGGGGGCCTGCAGCTCGGGGGTAGGGGGCCCGTCCGGGGGCGAACCCTCCTCCGCGGGCGCTTGCTGCTGCCGCTTGACCATCAGGCGCAGGCGCGTGCGTGAGTGGCAGTTGGGCTGCGGCTCGATGCTGACCTGGCAGCAGCGGGGAATGCCACTGTCCAGGCACTGCGCGTCCGGATCGCATGCACGCTCAAGTAGCACCTCCGTGGCCGATGCTGCGCAAGAGAGGAAAAGAACAATCAGTGTCGTCCAATTAAGTTTAAGAGTTGATTAAGGCTGTTCATTTGCCTGCAACTGCCTGACGAGATCTGCTGCCACCGAGCCCAGTACTCAGCTACTCCTGATAGCAGACCAATACTGTCTGATTTCAAGATGTCAAAGACATGATCCCGTTGTTTTGTTTGATTGGAACGCGCAATGCCTCTTTTGCATCCCAGCACACAGGTTGGCTTTCCTGCAGCAGTCTTGACATGGCCAATGGCTGAACCTGACCAGATTGCTATCCAGTGGTGAGGAATCAACGTTGGCAGGGTCCCTTCCAGAACCATTCACTCTCTGCCTCAAAGACTGCTATCAGGGTCTACAGTGAAGGGCAGCTGCGTGTCAAGCCCCCCACCTTGTTCGCTGTCGTCCAGGTCGTCACGGCGTGGCTGCTCCTCCTTGATGAAGGTGCCCGGCAGCTGCCACTGCCCCGGGAAGTCTGCGCCGCGCACGCCCTCTGCCGCCAGCTGCTCGGCTCCGTACGCTGCCAGGCCGGGAACCTCGGCCCGTGTGTTGCAAACGCCACGGTGCCGGTTCTCCCGGTTGCACCTGCGCGCAAGAATGGTTGTGCTCCTTCAACATTGACACAAACAATTTGATTGTCAGAACTTCAAATGGCCCTAACCTTGGACCCCAATGGCGTAGGCAGACAATACCCATAATATGCGATATAAAGCACACTTTATCTCACCCCGCTGTTCCCACAGGGCACACCAATTATGAACAGAGGCTAGAGGTGATCAGGCAATATCAACACAGAGCACCGTGGTCTATCAGGGTGGGGCAAACGTCAGGTGTCCTTGATGGCTGTGGGGTTGGGAGAGGACCAGGGATTCTGGGCTGCGTTCTCACCAGGAGCTCTTGGCACAGCCGCGCCAGGCGCCGGCGAAGGGCGGGCTGCAGCCATCGCGGATGGCCTCCGCATTTTTTAGCGAGTCCGGAAGCTTCATGCGCAGCGCCCGCAGCGCCGGTGACAGCGGTCCCCCCTCCTCCTCCTCCCCTGTGCCCACCAACAGTTGCTGACGTGAGTGTCACTCTCAATGCCTTATGTGCTTGTACCTTCCTCTCTGCCATGACGTTTTGCTTGACTGATTGTGACACGGCGTCAGGCCAGATCCCGTCTCAGCTCAGCAATATAGCAGCCCCGAGAACTTGTGTGGCATGCGCTTCATCGACCTTGAGAAGACGCAAGCCGCCTTGCTGAGGCATGCATTGCTGCTGGGGGTGATTGAACAACACTGCTTCAAAAGGCTGTGATTTACTAAAACAAGCAGGACATGCTGCGGGTGTCAGGGCCCTCAGGCGAGGTGCACCTTTGGGCTCCCGTTGGTTCAAGGCAACCGCCATGAGAACGCCTCTGCACGTCGGCGAAGCTGAGGCAGCTGCGGCTGCATCAGCCTCTGCCGCCTCTTCTTCAGCTGCCTCCACCATGGCTGGTGGCTGCGCCGCGAAGACAGCGGGCACGGATGCCTTGGTGGCGCAGGAGAGGGCTGACACGTTGGAGCTGCTCAGGCAGTTCTGCAGCACCGGGGATGGCAGGATCTCTGGCTCGCTGCAGCACAGCCAGCAGAAGTTAATTACCCCCACTGATCATATGCTTGCCCCAGAGAGAGAATTCATCCATTCGCCACACTGTACATCGTGGCTGCGGTGGCTGCCTTGCCTATTGTCCTTGGATATTTGCAGCATGTTGCGCCTTTGATATGCAGAAAGTATGCGTATCATATTGCACAAGAGAGTGTTGAGGGGATCGAGGCACTCAGAATTAATAGCAAGGGCACATGACTGGTGTCACATTGGAACAGATGCTCACCAGGGTTGTAAGAATGGGAGCTGCTCTGAGAAGTGCTCCAGCTCGTCGGCCATGCAGGGGATGTTGTTGGGGTCGCAGTCCGCTTCCAGACCACCAATGGTTTGCCACTCCTAAACATGGCACCATGGCGACACGGTGAGCATGTGTTGTGCATTGGGGCGCTAGATCGGCCCGATCCAACGACACAGGAGCTTGCTGTAGACATTCAAGGGGATACAAGGACGATAGAAAGCCCAAGGGGCCTCCTACCATGCCTTCAAAGACATTCTGGGTGTGGTCATCTCCCATGGGATGGCCCTCCAAGAAGGCTAGAAGCCAAATGTCCAACAATGATCAGTAGGCTTGCATAGAACAGCCTACAACATTCATTTCTGGGACATTGAAGGGGATAACATGGGGCACAGAGTCATTCGAAGGGGTGACAAGGCTCCTTGATGGCCAGATGCACCAATATGGTGTCATCCCCCTGTTCAATGCAGGACCCCTGGAGGCTTGTCCTGCATCTATCGTTGTTGCTGTCACATGCACCGAATTCCTTCATGGCACATCTAAAGCACCTGGCTGCACTGCCTTCTAGTGGATTCTTCTACCGTTACGTATGCACAAAGGCCAGCACTGCCTATCGCGCAGGCACGAATCGCCGTATTGATCCCAAACACATGCACCTACCCATATGAAGCATCAGGCAACAGGATCGTGCCAGGTGTAATCTTACACACCAAGTGTGCACCAAACCCCCATGGATTGCGAACCGCGTCATCCTCGTGGCGGGCGCAAAAGCAAAGGCTGGCCTCCCGCTGCTGGGTGCACAAACATCGGCGCTACAGGGCCACCGGATACATATGGGCACCGCCACGGTGGCGCAGCATGTCGCCAGAGCGAGGCACAAAGAAAGCGGGAAACGCTCTGCACGTGGGGCGAATGGGGAACTCGCGCTAGCTCGAGGCAGCACAGGGCCAAACGATACGATCTAGGCACACACATACCTAGCTCAAACAACACGCAATTAAACACACCACGACCTGCCAGCACCCGCCGGGAGGATCCGGCGTGCATTTTGTGCCAAGCCCCTTTATCCTCTACCTGCGATGGGAAGGCAGCGCCCAAAACGGCGATCAAAGGCAGCACCAGCACAGGGCGATGCCAGGGGCTCACCATGGCAGACAACTCATGCTGGCTCCCATTGAATCCGGCCTCCGGGCCCTCCGACTCGCTCCCATTGAGTAACCCATCCCACCAGCTGGCCTCGCAAACCTCGCCAGTTAGCAGCTCGCACCCGTCGCTGCAGCCGCCCGAGGCCAGGTCGTCCGGCTCGGCGGGGCAGATGGCGCACTTGGGCTCAAACAACACCTCCATCAGGGCAAGGCTGGGGCCGGGCGCAAGGATAACAAGGTCTTGACTGCCCTAGTAAGGGCAGGACGAAACGGCTGGTTGACAAATGTCAGGGAGCGCCTGAGAGACGAACAATCCCGGGAAGTGCGCGGCAGGAAACCGTGCGAGACTGGGATGCGAAGGTGGATGCAAAGTTGGTGGTGCGACGCTGCAGTGCGCTTGCGATGGGAATGGCGCGAAAGTGTGCTGTGGAGCAATGAAAAGGGCTTGGCCAGAACCTAGGTGACCTGGATCTCAGCTGTCGATCGTGGAAGTCCAAATCGGGGCCCGGTTTATTGGGGTAACGACGAGGCGGAGGTAAATTTTTGCAGGTGGTGCCGTAAACTACTAAGTATTGCTGAAGATACGCGAAATTCGCCGCACATTTTCTTTTGACTGAGTGTGACAAATTCGAGCCGCCGGTCCGCATGGCGGGAACAAAAGATTCTCGCTCGATTCCCGAGGCACCGTGTTTTGAAGGCACTGTAATCACACTTCTGATAGCTTTGATCCGACTGACGTGCGTGTGAGCAGTCGGCGCAGCGCCCAGATTCCTAAACCTCTGTTTGAACCGGATGCGTCCGGTTCCCTGCATAACATCACCCAGACAGCGTACTTGTGCCGCAGTACAAGATCAATGGACAGAGAGCATACCCGTTTCGTTTCAGGCTTCATCCCCAGACGTGCAGCCAGCAGATGCAGCGTCGTCTGTTCCGGGACGACATACCACCTAGGTTAAAGGCTATTCCCAGCAGTCCGTCACACCCGTACACGTATCAGTCGTCCAAAGTCCACCCTCTTAGTGATGTAGAAGAAAATCATTGGCAAAGTAATCACAAGCAAGACACGGTGGTGCACCAGAAAGTGCAAGCTCCAGCCCGTCAAGTTCAATGTGTCAAACCTAACGGAACGGTAGGTGATGGATATGCCAGTGCCAAGAGCAACGTGCCGCTGAGCAATCTGAGCTCACAACACGCACTGACAGATATAAAATTCCCACAGCAGCAGGGCAGTGCAGGAGCACAGGGCCCACCTAGCCTCGGCCTTTCCCAGCCATGACCTCTGAGCCGAATATCAGACACAAGGTTGCTGGGCTCTTTGTAGAGGAAAGAGGGCATGAGCGTTTGACTCCTCTGGGGCAGCAGCAACAGCTTGCCCCAAAAACTTATCGAATGGATTTGAAAATCTTTCCCAGGTACCACCCAACTGTACCATTTAAGCAGCGCCAGCACTAGGGCCTTGAATGCCCCTGTTGGCCCCACAGTGACTTACAACAGTCATTTTAAACTGGCCACTGCTCAGCAAACTGACTAACCTGACAGCAAACTTCTCTGGCACTCTGCCTGACTGGGTTTTACTGCCACCTCAAACCTCGGGGTTCTCATGAACAGCACAGCATTGCAGTCCACATCTGTGCTCTCAACGTGCAGCGAACCATGTTCCTGCAGCAAGATGTACATGCACCAGGGGCCTAGGCCTCCTCACAATAATCCCTGAAATGCCCCTTTGTTCAGGCCTCTGTAGCTGCCAGTCAGCCCAAAGGCACAGCCCCTCAGCCTACAAGGCCTTCAAGACCTGTCTCTCACAGAGAGTGCAGCTGCAGGACTCGACAAATTGACAGCAACAAAGGGAGCACGCAGAATACACCACGATCTGTCCATCTCAGCTGCGCCGCAGAGGCACCGGCTGCTGCCCAATTCAAAATTGTCCGGGCTCGGGGATGCGCCCATAGAGCAGGCCGATCATGCCCTTGTTCAAGACCTTCATGTCTCCTTCTCCCAGTTTCACAATCGCGTCAGCGTCCGCCATATTGAGCACCAGGCCGATCTGCCCCCTGAAGTCTCCCACCATCACGCGGATCATGTCCTTCTTCTTGGTCGGCAGCAGCTGCAGGTTGGAGCCCACCTGCGCCAACAGAAATCCCACCCTGAGATCACACACTCTGTGAGGCTGATTCGAAACGTAGACCCACTGATGCTTCTGTGCCTCTCTCAGACATCCCGGTGCACACAAGTGAGCCAGTATTGCAGCGATGCGGAAAAGCAAAACTGCCCATATCTCTGAGGACTGGTGCTCTTGCCGAGCCACTGTATTAACCTTTCCTTCGCTTATCATTATTAGCCCTTAGAAGTCACACAGGAAATTGACTCATAGGTTCACATGATGCAATCCTGCAAATGCTCCACACCTTTGCCCAGCATTCAACAACGCACCTGAGGGCAACTTCCTAGACTCACAGCAACCAAGCGAGGAGCAATGACTCAGCGCTGCCTCACCGTCTGAACGACCTCAGCAGCTTCCGGCAGCTGCAGCCGTCCTTCGGCGTCCTCGCTGCCGAGCGCGACGGCCGCGGCACCGTCGGCGGAGATACGCCTCACGACGCCGACGCGGCCGCTGTCCGCCAGCTGCACGGCAATCCCGTCGTAGTGCTCCCAGCCCGGACCCGCACTGGCGCCTGCAGACAGAGAAAGGCTTTACATGCGATGCCAAAGCGCTACTGTGGTTTTCAGAACCTCATAAAATAAACGATTGGGCACCACAGCGGGTCCAGAGCCCCGCCCTGCAACACTTTCGTTGACAGGCCACAACGCCCCTTGGGTGCGTTCCATCACACAATTGCAGCTCCGATGCTTCATTCTAGAAGATTTTCCCCCCTCATTTCAAGAGCAGTGCTTTATGCCACCCATGTAGCAAGAATCGGGACGGCAAGCACAATTGCATCCCCAAGGCGATTGCCTGCGCAATAAGGGACATTGCTGTGCTTTCCTGTGAACATGCTGAAGCAGCGTAGTCATTGCATTGTGTGCACTCTCTACCACCAAACATACCGCTGGCTTTGTCCCTCGATTGGCATCCAAACTGCAGGCAGTCTGTACTGGGCTGACAAATTTACACAAAACATCAGTAAGCTAGTAAGTACCAAAACCCTGCCAGAGAGAGGAGCGCACCCATGGTCTGGCCAGAGTCTGGGTCGTAGGCGGGTGTGCCGACGCCAGGGGTGGCTGCAGGGGTGGGGTAGTAACCAGGGGTCGGTCCCCCAACCCCACCCACAGTGGGGGGCCCTCCTGTCGGCAGCGCGGGGGTCCAGCCTCCATTCGAATACCCCTGTGTGAGAAGAGAAGTCATCAGCGAGAAGCACACGAGGGAGGACACAATCTATGAAGTGAAGCAAAGCAAAGCAGATCAGCTTACAGAGTGGCTTGCAAGGCAGAACGATCCAAATGAAAGTGATGTTACTCGGCCGCATCGCTAACAACACCTCATTACTCATTCTTACAGACCAGAATGAGGTCCCAGTAAACCTGAGAACGGTGCTTATATGCAGGATCAACTCTCTGACCAAAAATTCCACATCTTGGCAAGAAAGTAGTCATGACGTCATTATGAGCAAGAATGGCAATAACCTGTGTCATGCCCGTGTCCCCAAAGCCGGCGGGGGTGGGCGCGGGGGCCTCTGCGGGCGTGAAGGCCGGGGTGAATGCGGGGGTGCCAGCGTTGTAATGCCCGTAGGGCATGGTCCCAGGGGTTGCCGTGGAGGGTCCAGGGTCGCTGGAGGGGTGGCGAGGGGTTTGAAGGTTAGGGTTCCAGGCATCTCTCCCAGGGGTCGCTAAACCAGGGTGCGAAGGGGTCATGCTCGGGTGCATCGGCGTCATGCTCGGATGCATGGGAGTCTGGGAGCCCTGCGCAGCACAAAAAGACTGTCAGACACAAAAGTAGACGTGTGAGAGGAGCGGAGCAGAGCAATGGACGCACTGAGGCAGGGCTGCATCCCTCACATGGCAATATGAATGAAGGCGCAACAGATGAGTCATAGACTTTCCGCACACTGTCTTGACATTCCCACAGCATTCCTTGATGGCATGTTTCCAAAGTGACACACCTTTGCCGTGGCAAACCGGTGCATGCATGCCTGCATGCCCGGGAGTCCACCACGAAAACCTTCCCTACCCCAAAGTTCCTTCCAAACAATTCCAGCAATTCCGGGCCCGCACAACATGCAACTGTTGTGAGGAGCGCGCATGTAGCGGTCTGGCGCAGCGTGTATGCCTAGACTTGCTCTCTCTGGATCCCAAACGCACACAACCTACAAAAGCTGCTGAGAGGAGAGGCGCACGTAGCGATGTGGCGTGGTGTGCATGCCCAGGTGCGCGGGAGTGTTTGGAGCAGCACTGAAGCGCGGCGGCTCGCGCGGCAGAGGCGCGCCGCCGTGCTCAGGAGGGATCGCGTCGCGAGAGACGCCCACGACTCGCTGCTGGGCCTCCAGCTCCACGCGAACCTCCGTCGGCGTCACCTTTGTGATGCGCCCGCGGTAGCCCCTGCAAAGCGCAAGTCAATTTAAAACCTTGACAGTGTCTTTGGTAATCCACCCTTCGGCTGACATACGGGCAGGTATGATGCTTGCTGTTGTACAAAGTAACAGAAGTCTAATATATTGTCAAGTGAAACAGCTGGCACAGTCATATCTTGCTGTGAGTGTGAGGGACGTTTCACTGCCAATCATTCTCTCTCAAGCCACCTAGACTGAACTGTGCTATGTGACGGGCAGCATCATGCATGCGATGCTGGCACTCATTGCCATCTCGGCATGTCAAGGTGCCTACACAAGATATGTTCGCCAAAAAGAGATCCCATAGGAGTCCTCGGCATTCTTCAGCGGGCAAGGACTTAAATGGCTCCACAGCCACATTTCAGAGCGGCTGCTCCTGCTTCAGGGGTGAAGGATCAAGCATTCTGCTCACCTGAAGGGCCCCTTGGCAATGGTGGTGACCTTCCCAATCATTTGGTCGTCCGGGCCGCCCCGGCCGCGACCGCCGCCGCCGTAACCGCCGCGGCTGGCGCCAAAGCCACCGCCGGGGGGACCGCCGCCACCGCCACCGAAGCGCGGGGGCGGCGGTGCCCCGAACGCGCCCCCGATGCGCGGCGAGGCCGGGACCATCCCGCTGCGCATAGAAAAGACATCCTAATATATGGCATTTTCGGATGACATGATGTTCATTGCTGCATCCGCAAGGGGGAGACAGTGCATGTGCTGTGGCTGCTCTATGGGGGTTGTGGGATGGCATGAGGCAGAGCCTGATTGCCAGTCAGAAAGCCTTCTGCACAGACACAACCAGCTCCTTGCTGACTTCTTGAGCTTGCCAATCACGAGCTTCAGGCGCAAACACTCTGGAAGTCAAAGAAGAATTTGGTGCAGCTGAGTTCACGTTTTCCTGGCTGAGAATCAGTCTGTGGGAACGCTGCATGACTTCCCGGTGAAGTGCCTCATTGACCAAATAATACTTACGGTGATCTACAAAATCAAAGTCATGGGCTCATCCTGTCTTTTCCTGAAGTATTTGCTCTCCGGTGAGCGGAAAATCTCTGCACCTGGCATAGGGGTTGGGTGAGCGCAGCGCATTGGCGAGGCCACTCTTAACGCCAGCCGACACCCCGGACGGCCCCTTGCCGCCGCCCTTTGTCCTGACCTTGTGCGACATCAAGCACACAAAGCCGCCGTTCTCCAGCAAGTCACTGCCGCATGACAAGCACACTTGTAACCCACATGCCAGTAAGATCACGGCTACATTTTTTTGTAACATACTTTAAAATAACCCTTTGCCACGAAAAGCCCCAATATGTCAGCGTTGGGAGCTCATCATGATGTCATAAGACATCCCAGACTGCAGCATCTGCAAACTTGACTTCTCAAAGGGGCGGATGCATTTACCAACCGGGCTTGCTAGTGGAGCAGGACGTGTTCTAGTGCATAGACAAGGGCCATGAGGGGAATAAGAAGATGTGCACATTATTGAACAATCTCCATCCATGGAAGAGGAACCATCAAGCAATTTCCATGGTTGTGTGCTTGTATAAAGTCAGCAAGCGCAGCAAGAAAAAGCGAGGGGGTGTGTGCGCACTTGAGATGCAGGAAGACGGCTTTCTTGAAGATGTGCTTGACTGTGCCGGAGCGGCCCTTCAGGCGGCCATCCATGATGTCCACTGTGGCATCCCTCAATATCTCCCTGTGCAGTGCGTCCTGCACAGGGATACCCACCACTTGTCTGCACCCTGTCTCCTCCACATAAATGGGCAATGCACCTGCTGTATCTGTCTTAGGCGCATACTTTGGCTGTTAGGAGTTTAAGGCGCTGTATTTGCAAATTTAATTGTTCCTGGTGAGAGGTGAATAGCTGCTGTCTGCACACGGCACCAGACACGATAGCGTGGGCTGGCATGTGCTTGGGCCATTGGATCCGTCTGCTGGGTGAGATCAGAGCTCATTTCAGCAATTGGAGATTGCAAGCGATTAGGGCAGATGGGAGATATTCAACAGGTAGAAGAGGAGTGCTCAGTAGAGTCACCGTGGCGACGCCATCCCTGGTCATCTTGTTTTTTATCTCCTCGACCTTGCACACCTTCACCATCGGCTGATCCACAGACCCCTGCAGCAAGGACCCCTTGTCAAGATCTGGGCAATCCTTCTTACCTTTGCTGACATCTCACCCTGCCAATCCCTTCGTTTGGACGTCAACATAGCAAGGCCATGTGAAAATGTCCAGCGAAACCGCCTTAAAAAGGGAACGTTGCTTTTTCCATGGTGCATTCCAGGGCTGTAAAGGTTGGCACTACCCTGTGTTCCTGTGGAACTATGCAGGAACATTTGATGAATTGGAGGATGCTGGAAGCATCATTCAACTCAGTAAACAACGCCAACTGAGCTTTGGACAAAATGCGGTGCCCACCACAAAGCCTTGGAATGCACCCACGAACTTGGAACACAACGGACCACGCCACAATTCCCATAGACCAAAGGAAACAGGTGGGAGATGGCAAAGGCAAAGTACAAACTGCAGCGAGGGCAGGCTTCAACGTGCACACCTTGTTGGTGAGCACTTTGCAGGAGTCCTTGGCGACAGAAATGATGACGCCCACAGTGGACGAGTCAATCACCACCAGATCATGCAGCTCATACGCACCGAGCCTGCATGCAGAATCATCATCCTCAATGGTCATGCCAGCAATGCATGGGTGGTAGGATCACCATGCAAAACAGTCCAGACTGTGAGCCCAGCACATTGCACATTGCAAGTCAAGTCCCTGTGACAACCTCCGGCAGCTTCCAAAATGCAATGCGCGGTGCAATAAATCTATGACTACTGCTAAAATAGCTCATAATCCGCGCTCCCAATGTCCATGCATCATGGAACATGTGTCAGCATCTCTCCCAAGGATAAAGCTCAAGCACTGAACAAGCAAAGGCCTGTGCATTGCAGCCTTGAATTGTAATCATCTCACAACAAAGGTCCTGAATGCCTTCATGTAAAGCCGTTTATTTAATTAAATTTAAGCCAGGGCAAGGGCAATGACACAGCCAAAGAGGCCGCGCACGTGTCGACGCCGGAGGCGACGTTGGAGGACTCGGCGAGGTCGCGGGTGAAGACCTGCAGCTGCTCGCGAGTGGAGTCGGTCATGAGCACGCAGATGGGCTCCTCCACGCTCACAATCATCCCCGTCTGCCCCTCGTGCTGCCCGCTGTTCACGCGCACATAGTCCCCCGCCTGCACACGCAGAATGCGCCGAATTCAATATATAATGGGAAAGGGGATGTGTTCTTGGGCCTGCACTATGCCAGCCTTGTGCTGACTACACATTGCACAGATACTGCTTGTTAGGGTGTTGAGGAAACATAAACCCCCGCTTTTGCATGCACAGCACGCGCCATGATTGTATAGATGTATCTGAACTTGAACCTGCACCATGCCAGCCTGGTGCCGGCATCAATCTGCAAAGATGCTGTTCATTGAGGGTAGTGGCTGTTCAATCTGAATATGAAGCACTTTATCTATTCTGAAAGACCATTTTTCCTGGATTCTTTTACGACTAGATTGCCTGCACCTCAATGACCCTCAACAAGTCCCAACTCTAGTTTACATGGGGTTGCAAGCAGACCAGACATTCTTTGCAGGAATAAAAGAAAGTAAGCATTCCCTGCACAACCTGTAAAACTGTATTCAAAAGGCCCTCTACAACCCTCCACTTGAGCCTATTCAGTAGAATCCAGTTGTTCCAATATGCACAGCAGAGGTTTATGATGGAAGCAGAGCGCACCTCGAAGAACTTGCGCAGCTGGCCGGCATCGAAGGTGAGCGCATCCGTGAGGCCCAGCTGCGTGGGCATGATCTCCACACGCCCGTCTGGCAGCACGTTAGTCACCCGGCCGCGCAGATTAGTCAGGTCGCCTCCCGTCACCACGATCTGTGCGCGCACAACCGCTCATGCTAAGGGCATGCCTTGCCAGAACAGGCCCCACTGCTATAGAGCAATCGCACTGGAGGCAGACGCACGAGCATCATAATAGCAGAAGACATTCTGCTATCATATTGCTGCTGGTCAGGAAGGTTTTGGGAGGGACTGAATGTCGAGTCACTAATCAATACTGGCCAACATCCTGCTATTGGCCACCAGTTGTTGGGCTTAGAAGGCAAAACGTTGAACACTCATACACATTGGCAAAACGCAAGCCTCGCTGCCCTCTTCTCACAGCAACCCCCCAGAATCAAGAAGGGTCCCCCAACTCCGCTAGACCACAGGTGAGCAATCAGTAATGATATTGGCAAGGGTGCAATGAGTCACCTTGTCGCCCTTCTCATAGCGCACGGCGGCTCCGCCCTCTGCGCCGTCTCCGAGGCTGCGCATGAGCTGCGCCAGCTCGCCGCCCTCCGGGTCCTCGTCTGTGCGCGACGCCATGCCCACCTGATCAGGCAACGCCCTCATGCATGCATGACGACAAGGCTTTCTGCAGCATGGCTACCCGTCACACGTGATTCTTGTCTTGACACCAATAGCTTCATATAACAGCCTAGCAATTGAGCAGAAGGTGCCCAATTCAACATAAAAGCAAAGTACGGATCAGAATTGTTTCTGCAGAAATTCAGCTGCACATCCTCTTTATGCCACGACAGCAGGCGTGTTGCAGCACGCTCATCTTGACTGCAAATTTGTCCTCATGAGTGTTGATTTAGAGCTCTCTTGCAGAACGCCTAGATCAAAAGAACCAGGGCAGCCGCACCTGGTTGAAGCGCTGCAGCTCTTCCAGCGGGGGCAGCCCAGAGATGAGCTCGAGGCGCGCGCGATTGTACTGCTTGATGAGGTAGCCGTCCTCGTAGTGCTGATTACGTAATATGTAGTAGTACCCGCTTCCGCCCGGCTTCCTCCTCTGCTCCACTATCAGGCCCTGATCCTTGGCGTCTGCAGGAGAGAACGCCCTGCAACGAATGGTCCCGACTTGGTATATTTTATGAGCTGCTTTTTCAGTCAAGCAAGGTAAGCATCCTCATCTTCTACAGTCTCGTTGCTGGTTGCATAGAGCAATTCTGCCAGACTGCTTTGAGCTATAAGTAAAGGATCGTCTGGAAGACCACCCGCCACCCTCTCGAGGGCTGCTTGGGATACTCTGATCTCTGCTGTTGACAGTCACTGCCGCAGCCTGCCCTATTGCTTCATGTCCCCTGCCACACAACATAGTGCTTTTAGAGATACTGATCAACAATATGAGCTCTGATGTGCCAAGGAAGCTGACCTGGCGGGAACGCGCGGCTTCTTGCCAGCAGTAGGCGCCCCTCGTTCCCTGCGCTCCTCCTTTGGCACCAGGGCAGCATAGTCTAGCCTAGGAATGACCTGAACAAACAAAGTCGTACTTAAAGACGGGAAAAGGTCCAAGACAATTCATTTAACTTGGTATTTTGGCGCCATAACACATGACAGATCATCCGCTCGATGCCTAACACAAAGTAGTACATTCACTTGCCCATGCTGGAAAGCAGCACGCCCCTGTCACCAGGCTATCTTTGCTGCCGCCAAAGAACCCTTAGTGTCTGGACTTCCAAATAATCCAGAACATTCATTTGGAAAAACGGCAGGAGTGAAGATAGGGAGGTGGTGAAAACTGGAGAAGGTCTTCCTTCGTGTACATCAGAACCTCGTCTTATTGCAAGCAACAGGCTTCAGAGAAAGAAAGAAACCGGACAGGGTAATGTGATGGGGGGGACCACCTTGACTCGTGCTGAGTCAGAGTTATAGTCCACGCTGACCACCTTGCCCAGGTCCCCGCTGTAGGGCCCAATCTTGACGCGCACCCAGGCGCCCTCCTCTGCACTCACAAACCCCACATTCACCTCAACTACCTTGCTTTATTACTTCGAAAGATGTCACATCAATATTCTCCCCACCCCCATCCAATGCGAAAGCCCAGGTGTAATGGACTGCTCGAGACGAGCCTGAAGTTCCCTCCTTTTCAAGGGCATGTGCCCCATACGTGGCATGGCATGTAGAATCTGTAACTCTAACGTGTCTCGAGATGATGCCAGCGAAATGTTGATGTTACACATAATACATGCTACACCATGCAAAACCTTCAAAGTATTGATTTTACATATCTAGCGGCAAGGGCACAGGTGTCGCACCTATATTGCTGCCCTTGGCGACAGATTTGACAGTGATGGCATCCACCATCTCCTTCATGGGCACCAGGGTTGCCCCCTTGCCATACAGCAGGCAGGTCAGCCCCCGGATGGCCTCCTTCACATGGCTCTCCTTGTGCGCCTCCACATAGATGTAGCCCTGGGGAGCAGCAGGTAACACATCTGCAAATCGGACGAGAGAGTGATGCATGCTTGCAAGAACAGTCATGTGCTTCCCTAAATCAGAGACAACCCCTGCTCCTGTGTAAGCCAGAGAGAGCTTCAACAAGTCAACTGAAGCCGACTTCAGATGCACCTACACCCAATATTGATGACAGAAAGGCGTGGGTTGCTTCCAATGCAACAACAGTTGCATCCAGGCCCGACTGCAAGAAATTTGTCAAGGCAGTGCTCTGGCGTCTTGCTTGGCACATCAATGTCAGACATCAGCAGGACACCCACCTTGAGGTGTTCCTGGTAGAACACAGAGCGGATGAGCAGCGGCTCTCCGGCCTCGGTCTTGTTGATGGCCTTCTGCATGAGCTTGATGCATGCTTCGCGCGCTGAACCGCCCCGAGTCTCCACCGTCCACAGCTTGGGGTCCGCATGCGTCGGCAGCAGCGCCTGCTGCTGCACCGCGCCTGCAATGGGCAGCAGCCACAGTGAGTAATCTTTTCATGTCATGCGGTGTGCCATACATGGCTTTGCAAACCTAAGCTGCTCATGTGAGCAAAATGTGGAACAATAGGAGGTAGGCAGCTCCGTGACGGGCAGCAAAGAAGCACACGATTGGCCTGAGAGGAATCCCGGCCACTATTCTGACTCCCCAAGCACGATGCATCCCAGCCTGTTGTTCAACTTCTTGGTAGAAGACTTTGCATTGCTCAGGAAACCAGACCTGTTTCCAGGTTGTCCCCAAAGTCCTGCGCCACATCTCGCTGGTTGCCAAAGCGCTGCTGGACATACGCCTCCAGCTGCTCAGCATCCAATTCCTCATCCTGCCGCCGTATGGTGGCTGCGCGGTCATCATATCTGCAGAGCCACTGCTCTCAGCAACCACGAATGATGAATTGATGACAACTCTCAGCGGCGCAGAGTACCAAAATGGGGCCACCGCTCCCAGCATAGCAGACTGAATCTGTATGGCCAGGTTGGGGTAAAGATTTGATGAACAATGCTGGTATCAGCAGCATGTAGATCCACACAGACGTTCCAAAGGGCAGCAGTTCTTGCTGTGGAAGGCTGACAGGACTGGAGCTGCAAGAATATGAGGAGACACCCAGATGAAATTCAACATAGAAGTCTCTTGGCCAGCGCTTACCTCCTGCCCACATCCTCCACTTCTGGCAGCTCCTCCCCCTCATCCAGCAGGAATTGATCGTCGCCTTCATCCTGTGGACCAAGAAGCCAAGCTCACAAAGAGACATACCGGGGGTCTTTCCTTTGAAGAATGGCCGTTTTAGGGTTGTACAAAACGACTTTGATAATAAAAATGACACTGAGAGGCTGCAAAGCTTGATCAGAGGTGAAAAAGACCTGGTCATCTTCTTCGTCATCCTCGTCTTCATCTACAGCCGCTATATCATCCACGAACCTGGACCGCTTCAGCCGCTTCTTGCCACGTCTGTCTCCTTCTCCGACGCCCTCCTCTTCATCCTCCTCCTCCTGTATTGGAATGAGGACCTTCACAGAGGTGCTGAACAAGCATGGACCGTCAAGTGCAAAAGTCGTAGGGTATAGCGCTGCATATCTAATACTCATGTCTACCTCTGGAGATTCCTGAATGCCGTTTGAGCTTTGCAAGCCATGAAACAGCTTAGCAGGATCCTCCGACAACTGTCCAATTGTTGCAAATCTCTTCACCTAAAAAACAAGTGACCCCAAGCAGATCGATTTGATCCTCAGAATAGGGATTGATATGATTTTCTACATATTGGAGAGAACTGTGTCAGCTCAAGACCTCATTGTCATCGTCCTCAGCTGCATCGTCAACAAAGACATTCCTTCTCTTCTTGCCGTTGGGTCCCTCGTTGTCTTCATCTTCATCAAAATCGTCATCTAATTCTCTGTTGTCCTCCTCCTCGCTATCACTTTCTTGTCTCCTAGCCTTTTTCAGCTTCCTCTCTATCCTAGCCATGGCTGATCTGCGCCGGGGGCAGCAATTCTCTATGCACGTCTTAGCCCTCAGCACTACACTGTAATTCGCAGAGATGTGCCTCAATGTCCTTTTATGTTGACACTGGTTGCCATGAAAATGAAAGAACGGCCCAGGAACCACTTGGAGGAGGCCTTGGGTGCCCAACTGGGCAGCTCTGCTGTGCGCATGGGCAGCTTTGACTGGGTCAATGTGTGGCTCTTGCACAGCAAGTTTCATGATAAATTCCCATGAGAATTAGACGTCAACAGCCGCAATAGTATCGTGCAAGCATCACTGTCTGGATCGCACTTACCAGTCCGCAATACAAGCTCATCCTTGGGATGGATGCTCAAGAGTTAAATTCTTTGAGTGCGATGTAGAGGAATGCAAGCGGCATTAACAAGCAGAGTCTGTAGTTGGAGGTTGATCACTGGTGGGTGCGAATTACCAGATCAGTCCAAACGCCATGGCTCTCTTTCTTGCAGGGTGCCAATGGCTTTATGAACCTCTGCAGGTAAAGGCGGATTTTGTGTCATGGCGTCCCGCAAACAGTTGATGACAACCAAAAGACGAAAATTGAACACGCAGCAGAATGTATTAGCAGCCGGTTCAAGGCCCAACACCACAGATTTAGCAACCTCTCTCAAAGATGACACTATCGCTGAGGGCAAGGCAGCTGCATTATATGCCACCAGGCAGTCAAAGTTGCCTTCATCACAGTCAGTGCCAGTACCAGCCTCAGCATCTGCGAAGAAGAAGACATCTGAGCTCAGCCATGTCCAGGAGGCACCTTCTGGTGCAGTATTGGCCTCACTAAAAATTCCAGCAGCAACAGCAGAAAGAGCCAGCACAGGAATAGTGCGCAGGATCGACAGCCTGGTCACAGGGCGACTTGTGAAGCGATACAAACGCTTCTTGGCTGATGTCCAGGTCAGTTTCCACCTGCAATGAAATGCATGCAGGAGATCAGTGGCATGGCAGTGGGCACATCAAGGCAGGGCATGTGTTCAGCAGCTGCAATCCAGCAGGGCTGCAGCAGCTTCTTATTGCACTCTTTCATTCTATTGATTAATGAGCTTGCTGATGCAGATTGATGGTGCGGACCCAGCCAGCGAGCACACAGTGGTGCACTGCCCAAACACTGGGCCCATGACAGGTCTACTGGACTTTCCCATGGCTAATGTGTGGCTGTCAACCTCCGCCAATGCCAAGCGGAAGTATGCGCACACGCTCGAAGCCATTCAGCCCGACCCGCATGGACCTTGGGTGAGAGTTTTGTACTTTAACGCTGTGCACAGAACACTTTTTAAATCCGGCTCTTTGAGTCCTAAGAAGTCCACCCCGATGGAGGTGAAAGGAGAATAATGTCTACAGCCTGTTCATTTGAGGAGGGTCGAGACCCGTAATAAACAGGGAGGTGCTGCTGTACTGAAAGTGAAGGCCAGCCTCAAAGAACGCAAGCTACAAGTGCACCTGCTTTGCCATGGGCTGTGTGCCAGTATCTTTGCAGGAAAGACTGAAGATAGATGGTGGCTGCAATGCAGGTGGGCGTGCACAGTGCGAGCGCCAATGGCATCGTGCACGAGATGCTGCAGCAACAATTGTTAGCAGACCTCCTGCCATATGCTGGCATTCGGCAGGAGGTTAAGTATGGCGAGGTACAGTTATTGCTCATTTCTGCCTAGAGGCCACAACTACCTTCACGAGTTGCAGGTGTACATGGTGACACCAATGTGGGTATTTGCTGAATCACAAGCCGGGTCCTGGTGAGTTGTGGACTGGCAATGAGGAAGCCTCATAAAGCATGCATGCATGACATGCCCTGAGGGGGGATTTGTTGCTGCTGCAGGGGGGCAAATCGAGGGTAGACTTTGTGCTGGAGACACCAGATGGGGGGAGCATGTATGTGGAGGTCAAGAGTGTGACACTGGCAGAGCCCCTTTTAGCTTCCGATGCACCACTCCAAAATGGTGGGCTGCAGCACTCTGGTTGAGATGCGCCTGATGGACATTACATATGATGGATATCTGAAGTGGACACATCTTATGGACATGTGGACAGGGTTTTTTTAACAGATCCTGTTGCGTTTGGCAAGCTGTGTCATGGAAACTCAGCTCTAAGACGAGGGCAGGATGCTTTTTCCCGCATCTTGCTGCCACTCAGAGGAGTGAGAGACAAATTTTGATTTAGGTCAGAAAGAGAAGCATGGTGGTGATGTGACGCTGACATGCAGATAGGGAGGGCGGTGCTTCTGAGCACGCTCCAAAAATAGCCCTGTTCCCGGATACTGTCAGTGATCGAGCGCAGCGCCATGTGAGGGACCTGATGGGCATCGTTGCAGCGGGCGGCCAGGCTGTGGTGAGTATTACCAAGCCCACAGATATCGAAGTTGTTTTATGAGCCCTCTGGGATGCTACATTTACCTGTCCTGTCTGAAAGTTGCTTTTGGCTTCATTAAGGACCCCATGCACGTGTGGCGATCACTGTTGGGGGTGAAATGAAGCAATTTGATTCCGCCTTGTGCTGCACGATCCTGGGAACCAATATCAGAACCACGCTGACATTTTCTATTTGGGCAATGTGACTGGTTGCAGAATCTTGGTCCTGAAGGATGGTGGGCATGACCTATAATGGCTTGATTTAATTTGATGTCAGCCTTGCAACGTGCTGCTGCTACCGCTTACTAAGCTCTGAAGCGGCATGTGCTGCTGCAGATGGTGTTTATCATCCAGCGGGGGGACTGCGCCTACTTTGGCCCCTGCCACGCCAAGGATCCCACGTATGGCAAGCTGGTCATTGAAGCTGCTGCAATGGGGGTGCGCGTGATTGCGCTGCGGTGTGGCCTGGAGGGGGATGCGGCGAATGGCCGGGGGATTGTGCGATACATCGGGCCCGCGCAGGTCATGCTGCAGCACGGGCTTTGATGATGCCCTGACTCATCGCATTAGTAAAGAGCAAATTGTCACGGTCAGCGCAAGCACCTTTATTGGCATGTGGTTTGATGACAAACATTCAAGGGTGTCATGGTCTTGACAAAAATACACTGTGCACTGAATTCCTCAATGCTCTGTCAAGAATGCGAAAGAGTCAATATCGCGATAATGTCAATCAATTTGTATTACAGCCTGCCACATTTTATGAAGATGGGAACCGCATAACAGCAATACTGCTTTGATCTACTGTAACCCAGCATGTGGACCCTTAGTTTGACAAAAGGCACACAATATGTCTAGATCTCACAGAGAAAATAATTATCACATAATTCGTAGATTCTTATATTAGTTAGCCTGAGCTCAGAACACGCAAAGTACAGCTTCAGAATACCAAAATATTGAGTAACAGAGTGGTGCTCTTGAGGGACCCCTTTTCTTTGCCTCCTGCCGGCCTTGGCCATGGCAGCTATCTTGAGGGCCAGCATACCATAATGTCTCTAAGATTTCTAGTTTACGTCATTAGAAACATCCTTGACAAGCAGATAAATCGTACTTACATGCAAGGCATGCTGCATTGCATCCAAGAATTCATTCCATATAAGAATATAGATCGAGAGCGGCAAACTTCCTCGCCTTGATAACAGATAAGACGCACCAAATCTTCTGTGTTTGACCTTAGAAAGGTATACCTCGCACCCAACAGCGACTAATTGAAACTACAGACCTTGGGTAGGCTGAGGACAATAGAAAAACCCTAATAATACATTGCATACAGTGACCAAAGAAAGCACCATTCCCTCATGTGCACCTTTTGAGGACAGCTTGTCTCACTGCAGAGTGTGCCGCTTTCAAATAACTTTAAAGTATGATTGGAGAACACCGATGTTCTCAAGCAGCATGCACCGTCCTCTATGCATCAGTAGATGAGGCTCGAGTGCCCTGCCCGAGCAGCAGCAGGCTTGTTCTGCTGCAAGCCACAGCTGCGGCCAAGCAATGGGGTGAGCTGTGCCCTCCCCAAGCGAAGTGCTGGAACTACTCTATCGCTAGTTGCGTTTTGTGCCCTGCTGTTCTTCCTGTCCACCTCTCATTCCAATTTATGGTATGAAGGGCCTCTTTGCAGCATGTGGATATCACCAAATGCCAGCAGCCATGCAGTCCACGCGAAACCGCAGGGTCCAGCTATCTGCTGCCAAACTGCTCTCGCCAACATATCACAGGTGTCCGCTGCTCATATTGAGCGCTGCAGCCACCAGACCACAGGGCGCCCTCTGTCCTGCTGCCAGCCTCTGTCCTGCTGCTACAGTCGGTCTGGAAGATTCAGAGGTTGAGGTGCGGGGTGAGGTTGGAGGCTGGGCCGGAGGGGTGGAGGGCGGGGGGCAGCCAGGAGGGGCGGTTGGTGATGACCCAGTCATGGTAGTAGAGGATAATGGAGGTAGGCTGGCCCACGATGCAGAAGGTGATCCAGAATATGAAGTTGCCGATCTGGTCGTTGCGCAGCGTCTTCTTCAGCCACCCCGTCGCAAACATCAGCGGCACCTGCGCGCGCATGGATCGTTAGTAAGCGGAGGTAAGTTAGCAGAGGTGAGTTAGCTTACGTGAGGTGAGTTTTTGCATCACATGTAACGTGGTCAAGGGTCAAGCATGGCAACCCAATTTCCACATCACATGCTCTGCGGTGCAAAGAGGGCATATGAGCAAGGTTATCACAAAGTACATTCAGCCAAGCCATAGTGGGGGTGAAGAGTGGACAATAGCAAATCTCCAATACGCACAGAAACTTCAAAAGGACAGCAGGGACACACCTGTGACATGACGCCGACGAAGGCCCAGCAGCGGACCATGTGCAGCGGAAGGCCGATCAGCAGCTCGTGGAAGAAGGCTGACACGGCAAAGACAAGCGTTCCGGCCCACACGCGCGGCACTCCGGCGCGCAGGGCCGGGTAGTAGACGTGGCGCAGCATCCACTTGTGCACCGGCGAATTCCACAGCCGCCAGTAGTCGCTGATGTCCGTCGCATTCCACCAGTCCTGCACATGTGAATTTTCTCTTAGTGGGGTGATCCTTCTCCCTCAATGTGTAGCCATGCATTGATGCATGCAGAGCTGGACTCGCATGCTGCAGTTGCCCTGGCAATGTAGCATGCAGCCCTGCACGGGTTGGCAATCTCAAAGCTTCTTTAGTGTGAAGGGTTGCATAGGCAGCCTTGCATGCTGTAATCTTTCCCTACGTTATTCAGCTTTGATAGAGTGCTCAAATCCCAGGGCACGAGGTCATCCATAGGAAACTGTGATTCTTCACCCTTTGAAGGCGGAGCCACAAAGGGTGACAAACCACAGAAGAGCTATGGAAAGCAGGTGCTGGGTTTTCAGCCACCTGAGAGCTTGCGCCCTGCTATGTCGTGCCAACAACCAGACTGCCAACCCAAAAGGATAGGAATATCCAGCAGACACAGTCCAACAATGACACAGCGGCCAATAATGTGCTGTCCCTATTCTAGAGACCATCCCGCTGTGTATTCCATCATTTTGACTCTAAAAAGTGCAGCTGAACTTGCAAGAAGGTCCCCAGAGTGGGGACGCCACACTATTTGCATTTATTTTATCCTGCAGCGCACCTTGTAGAACTCGCGGTCGCCAAAGAAGGTGAGCTCGGCGAGGATGTTGAGCCAGAGGTGGAAGAGGCAGTAGAACATGATGATCCAGCCGTACAGCGTGGGCAGCGACAGCTTGAGCACGCGCTCAATCATGTGTGGCCAGTTGAGCTGGCGCAGGGGCACCAGGCTGTTGGCGATGGTGGGCTGCAGGTACTGCTCTGTAATTATCAGCATCACGCCTGCCAGCGCCACCAGCCGCACCGCGTACCTGCTCCCACGCACAGAATCCCAGTCAACGCAATGGAGTCACACCGCATGCATGCGTAAAAACTTGTTTTTCGGCGGGTGGCACAGAGAAAAGGGAGCTCGCACGCACAGACTCCCAGTCAAACTGCGGGTCTGTCGTGTCAGGGCAACACCTAAAGGTCGTGAAGATACCAAGCCTTTAGACAAAAGGACAAGTGACATCAGTAAGAAGGATACAACAAATGCACGTTGACGGAAGGCACAAGACTGCTTCTAGCCGTAAGAGAAGCACAAGCAGGTGTGCTCATCACAAGCATCCAGACAGCTGCCAAGCGGGTGCATATGGGTCAGGAGAATGTGCATGACCAAGCATCACATGTTTAAAACAAATTGCCCGCCGAATCAAGCAAACAGTTCCAAACCATATGCGCGCTCTTCTAGGCACCCCCTACATGCACAAGCAGGAAGGCGCCGCACCTACAGCATTGAGATGAACATGAACCTCAAACATTTTTTGTCCACCTGATTGGCAGATGAGGGCCACCAGCAGTGACTCCACCCCAGACAATGGTGTATGAGTTTCAGACACACGAAACGCCACCCAGAGAGGCAGGAGCGTGTGCGCACCAGAGCACCCAGCGGCCGCGGAATCGGGTGGAGCGCGGGTAGGAGGGCTGGTAGATTAGCGTGGGCAGCGGCAGGAAGGAAACCAGGTTGGCCAGGGTCAGGTTGTTGGGGTAGGACACCAGGGCCACCCCGTCCCAGACCCCCTCCTCCGCTATGTCCGGCTCGCTCGGGCTGCCATGCCGCTCGTGCGACCGGTGGTCCGCCACGCGCCTGCGCGACCTGCGCGCATTCATGCATGCGTGGTCCTGTCAATAACATGACTGAGCTCTCACTCCCCTCCAGGCCAACGCTTGCATGCAAAGGGCTCGCAGTCAAGATCAGGCTCTAGCTCTGCTGTTTGCTGTTGTTGACCGATGCCCTTTCTAGCAACCCTGGGCAAGAATGTCCGGCCAAATGGACAAATCTCCGGCAACGACTGCATAACTTCAGCATTTGGTCTGAACGACACACTACGACATATTTTGGACTACTTCATGTTGTAAAGACAGCCTCCACAGATGGGTGGGTGACAAAGGAGCGCGCACCTGAGGTCGTAGTTGCAGTGCGCGTAGGAGACCAGCTTCATCCACAGGATGACGGTGCACACGACGACGAAGAACCCGGGCACCGGCTCGGCATGGGTCGTTTCTACGACGTAGCAAGGCACCGCCAGCGTTAAGAAAAGGTTGGTCACGTGCAGCGTAAACAGCAACCACTCCGTCGAGCGGCCCATCTTGGCTGCCAGCCGCCGCGCGTCGCTCGGCCGCAGCTCCTTCTTCTTCTTCGCCGTGGACGCCTGCATAACAGCAGCATGCTCAGCAGATATGAAAGATGAAGAATTTTCGAAAACTAAATGCATACTTCAAGCACTGCAGTTGAAGGGCTCTGGCTTCGTGCTTATTGTACTCCTCCATTTTGCATGCCTCCTTGCATCACTGCCGAAGTCTCTAGCATCCCAAACAGGGGATGAATACCACAGCAGACCAGCATGCCAAGCACTGCTCACATGTGCAGGTACACAGTCTCTATCAACAATTCATTAATGCAAGTCGAGCTTAGAGCAGTAGGAGCTGGTGCTAGGAGCAGCGCACCTTTTTCTCAGTCTTCAGACGTGCAAGCCCAATGCGCTCAATGAGATTGGCGAAAAGGACAAACATTGCGAGGGCAGGCCAGCACAGCAGTAGCGGGAAATTGCCGCTGGGTACCAGCCTGCATGCAACATCACACAATGACACATCCTCCTCTGCGTGTTGTAGCAAGGCAGATTGCATGTCTGCACCACATGCAAGCAACATCTGCAAACACATGATGCGGTGTATTGGCATGTGCTGCCAATCAAGAACAACAGCTTTTAAGTCAAGATCTTTCAAGGTACTCTTCAAGGTACTCAGGAAGAATTACACCCTGCTGCAGTCAGCCACTCACCATTTGAGCCAGTTGGCGGGGCTGGTCAGCACGCCGTACTTCAACAGGTTCTCCACTATCAGCCGCGCATTGGCCGCCACCAGGATCAGCATCATCAGGTTCAGGATGCCTGCAATGCAAAAGAACATGTCTGAATGGCCCAGGCAGCATCCTTGATCATTCTGATTTAATTTGGCAGCAAAGATCATTGACACAGAATCACCCTGGCAAACAGACAGCACTTTGACAGAGCGATCAAGGTCCGAATTTATTCGCCTGCTCAAATGTACTCCACCTATTGCAGACGTAAGTCTATGACAACCAAGAATAGAGCAACAGCAATCTGTTGTAAGCGTGACCCTGGAATAGCGCACAAGTGGTTGGGCGTTGGGGGTGCAGAACAGCAAAACTACACGTCTCTTGTCATTCAGGTTTTAAATCTGGCTGGGAAGGCTGTGCAATCAGCGCAGCGTGCAGCGGCTGCGCACCGGAGTGCTGCGTGAGGGCGATGCGGTCGGCGGAGAGCATGGAGGGGCGCGACTCGGTGTGCAGGTTGGTGCTGGGGTTGATCTGCGTCTCGCGCCGCGCAGCGCGCTGCTGCGGCTTCGGCCGCGGGATGGCGCCGGCCTCCGACATGCCGGAGTCTGACGTGTAATCGCGCGCCGCGGCCGACACCGAGCGCATCGCGAACGGCGGCGGCTGTGGTGTCAATGGCGGGTCACCCGGGCCGGGGTCGCGCGGCTGCAGCCGGCTGCCGGCCGTGTCGCCCGGCGCGTCCAGCAGGCCCTCGTGCGTCGCTGACGAGGCGCTAATCTCTGCAGTCCAGATCCCGCAATCAACTTACCTGATGTGCTGCCATGATGGGGGGGAAATAAAAATGATGTGTCGAATACTGGAGTCAATTCACATGACGCCATTCCCATGCATGCAACGCCCTTTCCATGCATGCAACCCAATCATGCAAAGAAGTGCAGCTCTGGATAGACACTGGCAGTGCAGGAAAAGACACACATGCGTTTCAATTCAATAGTGTGGGCACGTACCTCCATTGTCGCTCCACCTGTTTGCCAGCTCTTCCCGGGGGCTGAGCACTGGGCTCACACGCTTAGCACCCAGCTCCTGTTCCCTCTGCACAGCCAAATGAGCTGATAAAATACACTTATTCTGGAACTTTTCTTCGCATGCACTTCTCTGAGATAGCACCGCTTGCATGAGCTTCTGATCCCTGACAAAGTCACCAACTCCAGACTGCGGCTCCCATTTTTGACATTGACAACACTTCCATGTAGGGCAGTAACCGCAGCCTAATGCTTAACCATGCTCGAGGCCGCTCACCCATCGCACGTCAGCTCCTCGCAGCGGAGACTTCTTCCTGAATGCATCCGCCAGCAGCCGGCGCTCGCAGCCAGCATTCACCAGCGCCTGTATCACACATGCAATTACTCTGAACCCCTTTCACTTTGGATAATAAATGCAAACCTCACATGACCTTCCCCATGCTCACATGCAAAATATACTGTAAATGCTTCATATGTTGCAGGCCATGCACGCATGGAGCTCATCCGGACCATGAAATTGCCAGACATGCTTAGAAAATCCTTGGCCCAGACAAAATGGCAAGTAGCATGCATGCTGTTCTGTGCGCACCTGAACCCAGACCGCTGCATCGTTGGCATCGGAGGTGCTCATGCGCATGAGGCTGAGGCCGCTCCTGTCCACCACGCTGAAGCAGTAGAAGTGGTTCTTCTTCTTCCCCTCCCACTCCACTATGCATCCCTGCCAATGCAAGGAAATCCTTGAGATTTTTGGCTGGGTAAACATGGCATGCATCAAGCTTGCAGCTAGACATTCCATGCTTACACAATATGCACGGCAATAGAAAACATGGAATATTGCAGCACTAGAAACACATGGCCTCCATAATACTGGCCCTGATCAATCGGGAAGACTACAAAGGGTTGTAGAGAGATTCATGGTCCTCTCAAAGTTATTGCATGCATGCACATGCCTGACTGTGCATGTTTAAGGGGGATGAGACACACCGCAACGTCCACGTAGCCCCTGGGATGCAGCGTGGTGTCCTTCTCGCTCTTGTAGTACTGCAGAGCGCTGCCATTGAGTGTGAAGAAGCGCGGCTCCCATGTGTTGGAGAAGAGGCCGCTGGAGAAAGGGCGGTACTTGTATAGGTAGCCACACTTGGTGGGCTGCTTGTTCTGCTTTGCCAGCACCTGCTCAGACAATATGCTTTTCAGTGAGATCATGATAGCATTACTTTGAGAACATGCATCACTAAGGGATGATGCATGAGTTTGATGACATGCATGAGTCTACTGACATGCCCCATGCAATGAGACAGCAAGGCATGTCAAGCAAAATTTGATGCAGTACATGCATGTGTTGTCAACATGGAGGTGCTCTGCGTTCTCACCAGAGCTTTAAGCCTTTTGTTTTCTTCTTCCAGCACTCTCACTTCCGCTGCAAGCTTGGAAGCATCCAGGGGCTTGTCTCCATTGGCTACCTCAGGAGCCTTTGCTGCAAACTTCAGCATCTGGTACTTGTTCACGCTAGCCTCTTATCAGGATGCTGGTCCGTCCACCTTTACGAATGCATGCGTGCCTTATGAGATGTCCATACTTGGTGACAAGAACTCAAACGAGGTGTCAGATCGAGGGGCGCCAAGCCATAAAGGAATAAAAAGTAGAAAATTTTCTTTGAAGATGCTCTCGCATGGCCACATATCAATCGAAGTTTTTACAAAATATATCAACAAATGTCCAGATCAAGTTGTTGCATGTAAATACTCGAGGTTGCAAGTACCCACCGATGAACGCACGACATTCATACGTACAGCGTCTCAAAATCGCTGTACGTGTAAAGATAGTACTCACATTATAAAACTTACACTCATATTACAAAAATTCTGATTGACTCAATCAAGAACCCTGAAACAAGGAACAACGAGACAATAATTACCTTCAGGCTGGGAGAAGCGGAAGGATGCAGGTGCAGCAATGCAGCGTTCTAGTTTACTTGCAGCACGGTCATTTTCCCTAAATCGCCAGCACTTGGCCCAGATGCCGAAATAAATCGCGCGTCGACTGGATATTCCTCCTTTCTAAGCTCCTTGACGTACCATCAGGTGCTATTTATGACACGCCGGACATGCAAGTAATTGGGCAATGTGTTGTCCACACGAAAGGCTTCACAAGATGCAAGGAGTAAGTACTGTTGAAACTCGATAACTCGTTTTGCATCAGTGCAACTCACTTGCACTTAAGACTCAGCGAGAGCGCCAAAATTGGCTTGAAGCAGGGCTCAGCAAGATTCTTGGACAAGAGCCATGGACAATGTCAGAACTGCTGTAGGCGACTCCAATTGTTGCACACACCCACATAACACATAGTTGATATGAAAGATGCGAAAGGTCAAGGTTGGTGTACCCATGTTTGTGTTTGATGGCACAAGTGAGGGAACCCAGAGATTAGACTTGCACCGATAATCTGGAAGTACACTACTCCGTTCTCTATCTCTCGCCTGTTGCATCTCGTTCTCGACATTTCCAAGCTTAGAGCCATAGCAAGGTCATCTGTGAGTTACGTTGGAATCTGCTCCTTTTACTTGACCAGAGTCCCCACAGTCCCTGACAGACACCTTAACCCAAGACACAATCTGTATGATTTTAGCCAATTGTGCGCACGAAATGCTGCTTTACTGGTATAGATGCCACACAGGTATTCCATTGCGCGGCAGAGGGGACTACAGTCTGCGCTGATCAGCTAACCAGGCATAGCAGGGGCAATGAGTGCAGTCTGCTCGAGTCAGGTATGCCATACTGCCTTCCTGCTTTCCGCTTCATTTGTAGATCTTGCACTTCTGAGGTGCATGCCACCATACTGCTTTCGCCGAGCGTCCTCATGAAACCTTCCAATATGAAAGGCCTTCACCTGTGCAGCAGGATAATCAAGCCCATCAGGGACAAGTGAAGGCCGAACAGCCAGATCAAGATCCTCAAAAAGACAACGGTGGGATGCCCAGCAGTCCACTCATTACTTTGTTTAGATTCCTTGGAATTATCAGCAAATTGTAATCAGTAGCAGTTGCAGCCCTGAGTTATCGTTAAACTGTGCAGTGTGCCAATTGTCATCAATGAGCTGCCTATTGTCCAGCTGGAGCAACTCAGGCCCAGCCTTCTTCCCAAGGCAGAGTTCTCTGCGAGCAGCAGAGCCTTGAGGGACGCTCTGATACAGTGCCGCGCATGCGTTGTGGACATAAGAGAAGATGTGAAATATGCATTGCTCCAGGTTGTGGACCTGGATGTTCCGGACTCAGGTCACCCGTTGCCCCAACGGCGACCAATTGAGCACCTAACCAGCTTACACACGGATGTCCTGCGCTTCGTGCTGCGTCCAGATTCACTCGAGAGCACCATGAGTAAGGTGCTCTCTCTCTCATTGAGTGCTATGGACGTTCATCGCCTTGTCCATGTCCATCAATTTCAATGCAGGAGAAACTATGCTCTGGCTGCTTCTTTCCCTCTTTTTGGCTGACAGCTATTTAGTACGAGCACCACAGCTTTTGGTCTGATCTTTGGGGATCATGATGTGCAGGCTACTGAAGCAATGGATAAGATAGCGCGCACATGCTTGTGCGCCTTGGGGCGTGCTGCCAACTTCCACATCAACACTTTCCTGCCCCTCCTGGATGACATGCCGGTGGCTAAGCTGGCAGCATCACCGCTGGATGTGGTCAGATTCAAGGCTTCTGCAGGGCAGAGAAGCGAAGCCCAGAAAGACCAGGGCCTGCTGACGCTCATCTTCAGCCCTCAATGCCGAGCTCTGCAGGTGAAGGCAGGCCCTTGCAATGCCCCTTCGACTTTCTATGCTGTGCCAAGATTCGCAACAAGAGTATTTGCAGCTTGAAGCTCTGCCCTGATGTTGCAGGTGCAGTCTTCTCAGGGCACATGGCAGAGCTGTGTCCTGCAAGCACGGCACATTCTCATCCTTGCAGGTACATGCCTCTCATGTAATTACTTATTGTGCATGCCATGCAACGCATACTTTCTTGTCATTCTATGCGCATCCTCGATACCTCTCATATGCTTGCAATATTGCTAGACTGCAGCCAAGGCTCAATTGCCTGTACTAGGAGACACGTGGCCAGATTAAATCTGTTGTGGGGTATGTGCTCAGGCCAAACCCTTGAGCATGCCAGCAGCGGAGCGTATACTGCTGGCGTGCGCAAGGTTGACGGTGCATCCCTCGGGAATGAAAACCTGCTGGTGAGCTGAGGGCAGATCCATCCGCTGTCATGGACTGCCGTGATGCACTGAGGAGCGCAGGCCTTGCATACGACAGCTCAAGGTACCTTCTTGCTCAGCCGGGACTTGATCCCATGCGCCTTTTATCTTGCGGCACATCTCGTTTTGAATGATTGTAAAAGATGCCTTGTGCACCTTTCAGGGTCCTTGGTGTGCTGCCTCTGCGCAAGGCATGTCTAATGCAATCCTGTGAAATGTTTCATATTGCTCATTGTATTGTGCTTGCGCGCAGATACATACAGCCTGTGGTAGTGAGCAACTTAATGGAGCGTTTGGGTCCGGCACACCCCAATCTGCGGCCTTGCACTCCACTGCCAGCTCAGCCACCAGCAGCTGGGGCCCCAGTAAGCCCCTTTTCGTTTGTGGGGCAGACCTCTTGGCACGACTGTCCAAATTTGGAGCTTTGTAATTACCAACTCTTGTGGATGAGTGCCAGGCTAGACTCCCACACACAAACACAGCATGATCGAAGGGCTATGTTGGTAACGGAGACAATGGCAACGCCATCGTGGTGACTGCATTATGCCTGTATTGCAGGTACAGCCAGGCAAGCGGAAGATCGTTGTACCATTGCAGTGCGGCACCAGAATTGAATTTACATACAAGGTCGAGAGAACATGTGTTCATCATCTACTCAGCAGCCTTGCGAGGAGGCTAGGACGGTCTGGGTTTGCTGACATGCTGATGTATGACGGCCTGCGAATGGACCGTGACGAGAAGCTGTCCTCTTACAACCTAGAGGAGGGTGACATTATTGAGCATATGCTATTCCAAATGGGTGACTAGGCATGCATGACGCATACGCTGTCTCTGAGCAATGTGAGACGCTTTCCAGGCTGTTTTCCTGGCCACTGTCGAATGCAATCGCTTACATTGAAAGAACTTCGTCTTGGTGAGAGAACAATTCTTGCTGCTTGAATTGGTTTGGCTTGGCTATGCAGAGTTGGCCTTGCCAATGGCGTAGAGTGTAAGGCTTTACTTTCAGGGATCAGGGCCCGGTGGGGCCTATCAATGATTGAGCTGCAGCTGTAGGCCTACAAATCTGGCCTAGGCTGACGCCTGCACTCACACGTATGGAACCTATGCTGAAGTCAGATTTGCCGCTGAGACTTGAGAATAGGGGCACAACAGTGGCACAGTAGACAGTGACAGTCAGAAGTCAATGAATGCAGGTAATCACAATCATGGTAGCTGTGCAGTGCTGCTAAGCTTTGTATCGAAACTGGTAAGGTTTGAGTGCTGACATTGCTGGCATGCCACTCTGCTGATGCTTTTATCCGGCATATTAGTATTTCCCCGGCTGGCGGGGGGCGGTATAAATACTGAGCACCGTGCCCACGGTTGATTGGGTCTTGTTTGTATCTAGCGAGTCCATCGAGGGGTCGGATTTTGGCTGCCTTCACTGCAGCTAGTCTGCAGACGCACCTTGCTTCTGGCAGGAAAAGCGTGGTGTAATAATAATAAAAATATACTTCATGCCCACGGTTGATTGTGTCTTGCTTGGATCTGGCGAGTCCAACAAGGGGTAGGATTGTGGCAGCATTTGATTGCAGCTTGTCTGCAGACGCAGCTTGCCTCTGGCAGGAAAAGCGTGTAATAATAATAATAATATACTTCATGCATGATTGCTCCTGCCATGGGGACCTGAGATGAAGCTTCCGCTCTCAAGGAAGCTGGATGTAACGCCCCGACCGAGGCTCCCGATGAATATGCAGTGGTATTACGTTCGAGGTATACCTTCAGCTCTGCATCTGGTCATCGTGATCGTCGCATTAATTCTCCGACATTGACAGCCTGCTAGGATCTGTCCGCCTGTATTGCATCGGACTACAAGTTCTAAAGGGCTAACAAGCGAGAGAAGGTCCGTTTCTCAGAGAAGGCAGTCTTGTAGTGGTTAACTTATCTTACATCTCTTGATTGTTAGATTTGAATTACTCCGTACACTGGCCTTGCTCGTTGTGATGGGATGTCACGGCCAGATCAGTAGATTTTCGTGAGTCTTTCAGACACACAGCGATCAGTCTTTTTCCGCCCATACTAATAAAATAAGTATATTTGGGATGTGCAGGATGTCTTCGGCTGCAGACAATGAAGTAGCGGAGCATTTGTCCTGCGAGAAGTGTTCCGATGGCTGCCAGTGCAGCACACAGTGCAACTGTGCAGCCACCTGCTCATGTGCCAAGTGCGATCCATGCTGTTTCTCAAGTACTTGGGACATCATACGTGACAGCTGAATGATCTTGTTGCCTAAATTCAAGCATTATGCTCTGCAATACAACCCTGCATTTCTGCTCAGGAGAATATAGAGACCACTGAGGCCCTCCAGCCTCGCTTGATAGTTGTTTGTGACATCAGAGCTACCGTCACCAAATAAACCACTCAAAATTGCGTTTGAGATATCTTGTGATGCTCAGACGTATCATGCCATGCACAGGTGCAACCGCAGGAGCATGGCAGAAGAGAATGAGTGTGCCAACTGCAGCCGTGGCGGCTGTATGTGCCAGGTGCCCGAGAACTGTAAGTATTTCACCCTTCTTGCATTTTCCGTTAGTAACAAGCTGCTGCTGGCGTGTCAGGCAGCTTTGCTTGGAGGCGCCAACAGCCAACAGTGTCACACTGCCAGGAAGCGCTTGCATGCAGTATTACTTCAAGGTGGATGCATGAACTCCAGCCATGTGCCAATGTTGCTCACCACATGAATTGCTTGCCATCGTCTGCATGCAGGCAACTGTGGACAGGAGTGTGTGTGCAAGACGTGCCGCAAGCCTTGAGCCTTCTAGACATATACAGCTGCCGCCCATCTCTTCAAATGTCTTGGCGCCGCAGCAGAACGGTCATGGCATGGTGTTATAAAGGTTGAATGTCCGTGCAGAAGAAGAGCAGCTTTGGAAGGAGACCTGTCAGCTCTACTTTGTATAGTAGGTCGTCTTCGATGTAATGATCAAGGGGTGGTGCATTCTGGCATTCATTTGAATACAAAACCAGGAATGTAATGTGTTAAGGGTGGTTTGATTCTTCAAACTTTGCGTACATGAAAGTATATCAGACTGTCTAAAGAGTCACAGCCTTCTTATACGATATTCTTCTCGACAGAAAGGCAGAGCCCAGATGGTGGATGTTCTCTTGTGTCACTTCACACCAGCCGTTTGTCTTCGTCCTTCCACAGCTTCTGCACAATCGCTATTCCAGCACACAACAGATTTACATGTCCTCATCTGACTCATCACTGTACTCATCTTCGCTGCCTTCCTCCTCATAGTCGCCTTCATCCTCACTCTCTTCATCTTCATCCGAAAAGTCACTCTCACCCTGGTGCCCATCACTCCTGAGGGGCACAATCTCCCTCACAGAGCGCGCATCCGGCAAGGCTCCAGCGCCAAACAGGCACCCAGTGCAACAGCCGCAGCAGCACAGCTCTGATACATCTGTGACTCCATCAGCTGGCTGCTCCATGGCCTTGGGGGCTTTGTATCCCCGTCCCTTAGAAACGATGCGCCTCCCTTGGGCCGCCAGCACGCTCTGAAACCTCTTTAGCCCTGCTCGCTCCTTCACGTTGTCTGAATACTCGAAGGATTCCAGCGCGGCGGCTGAGGCCTCGACATCCTCATAGTCGAGAGACAGTGTCATGTGCGCGTCCAGCTTCACATGGCGCAGGGCAGGCCACAACAGCACAATGACCGCGACGTCTTGCGCAGAGATGTGCAGGGTGGTGATGCATGCGGTTGACTCAGCAGGCAGCGGGCCGAGGGTCCATTCCTCCGCAGATGATGACACGGTGCAGAAGGGGCTCTCTCGCAGCCGCAGCACTTCAACAGTGCCCAAGTTCGCGGCCACATTGGGGTACTTAAATGCCAACCCCCCGTGGCAGAAGCCAAAGGCGTCCAGCATCTTTAGGCAGCCGCCGCGCAGCTTCCACCCGGCTGCCCCGAACATGCCTTCCAGCCTCCTTAGCTGCCCGCTGAAGCTCACCGTGCAGCCCGCCGGCAGGCTTAAGGAGCTCGGGCAGATGTTCTCCAGGGAAAGATGCCTAAGGCGCAGAGGCACAATGACGTCCCAAGCAGTGCTGTCATCGGTTGAGGGCTCCTCCCAGCACCAGTCCTGGCCGAGCAGCAGCGTCTCCAGATTTGGCGCGGCCTGCAGCGCTGATTGGATGTCTGCGAGGCAGGTCCGCTGGCAGCGCAGGATGAGGTGCGCCAGGTTTGGCATCGCTGGGAGGCCCGGGGGAATGCACGGAATATTCAGCTCGGCCGCGGCCAGTTTTTGCGCGCCAGCAAGCAGCCAGCAGAGCCAGGGCGCCAAATCAGGATCGCTGGAATTTGTGGCGATCTGCAGAAGCTGTGCATGCGCCGGCTGCTGTGCCTCTGGCGCAGTTGCTGCCGCCATCATGCCCAAAGGGCAGTCCAGCATTTTTGCCTGGTCGTGAGATCTGCAGCACAATCGGGACAGGCAATTCAGCATGAGCAGTCTCCCCCAATCACTGTGCATTGATCATCCATACAACCGGCAAGTAGCATGCATTGCGCTAACAAGGTATGACAAGGCTGTGAGCACCCGGACTCTGATACCACTTCCGATAGGGGTGCTAAACCCATGCAAGGGGCGTGCTCATGCGCTTGCTTGGTAGATAAGAGTCTCAGGGATCTGGACAAAGGAGACACATGTAGTCAAAGTGGAGCTGGATGGATTTTGCAGCGCCCCAGTGAGAGCACATCCAGCGGAAGGCCACTTGATCCTCTGTGGAGCATTCATCAACGGCGAAGGCAATGTTCTCACTGTTGAAACTCTGCTGAAGCAATCTGCACAACACACCAATGAGGATATGATCATCTTAACACCACGTAAAATGACAACGGACAAAGAGCAGGATTACATTGTGATGGCACGATAGGCAACATCTTTGCTGAAATAGTAAAGATGCCTGACTTCTTTGTGTGATAATACACATACGAAGTGCTGTGTTTGCTGCTATTCTTTCTATTTTCAGTTGCCACCACTGTTATATCCTGAGGGCCACCTTCGTCACACCTTTGTGAATTGCTAGCAACTGAGCTGCGATCCATTGTAAATGCCAGTAAGAGTCCGAAACCACTCTCCAGTCCGTGCACTTGTGGAGACCTGTGGCAAGACCAATTTCAACTTTATTAAGCCATTTTAACCTAGCAGGACATTCTTCGCAAGGCTGTTGATACCAAATCGCCTTTGTGACCCTTTAGAACATCAAAGAGTTAGAGCTTTGCACAAAAGTCAGGTCAGGAATGAAATGCGACGCACTGCAGATCAGATCACATCAACCGTGAGCTTACGCAGAATGGTGTCGTGCCGAAACGAATAATCTCAAGGGAACTGAGAGCAGACTCTAATTGTAATAGCCATTTACAACACATTTCAAAGGTGTCAAGATCAGTATGCAAGGCTAAAAAGAGTGCCTTTTGCAAGTGATCAGAATTGGCGGGAATATGGGAAAAGGAAGCTTCCTCCCTACAAAGGGAGGTCCCTGATTTCTTGCTTCCAAGGAGAGAAGCATGAGCTGCATCAAGCCTGGTAATCCATTAATGTTACTTTGATCATGAGTCTCCCTGAGTATGATTCTAAGTCACGCCAAGCTTGACGTTGCTAAGCGGGCTCGAGGTGTCAGATAAGTCGAGACCCTACCCTAAACCCTGAATATAGACTCTGATATACACGATGTGCACCTGCATGCATGCGCATGCTACAATCCACCTCGAGCTCGTCAGATAATTCTTTAACTGTCTAGATCTGATAGTGGTAATTTAGCTATAGCTCTCACAAAGGAAATGCAAATACTCCGCCCTGAAACATCCCGAATCTTCCCATAATAACCTGCAAATCAGTCCGCAAAGTTGACAAGTGCACTGGCACAGATCTCCTGCAAAGTCAAAATTGCTCCTGTGTCTCAGCTGGTGCTGACTGCATCCCTAGTGACTGCTCGAGGACATTTAGAACAAATGCTGTGCTTGCCAGCAATACCCATGTCATACTGTCATCTTGAAAGCTTATCCTAGGACTTAATGCATTGCTTTTATACTATCTTGAACCTCTGAGCTACAGGGAGACGCTGTGGCTCAGTCAGGCGGCCTGCGCTCGCCGCGGTTTTCTCCTCGCAGCCTGGCTTGTCTCCTTTGCTGCAGCCTTCTGCCCTGCTGCAGGCCTGCCCCTGCACGGCATAGAAGACTCTGGTCAGACCACATACACATGCCCTAGAACACGATGAGTTGAAATGCAATCACGCATCTCTGGAAAGTCTGCAGAATGCTGCCATCACCAAGAGGCACATGCCAGTGCGCATTTCTCAGCATAAGACAGCCCAGATAAGACAGCATCTCTTGGTGACCCATGCGCTGCTGTGCCCCTAGAATAGTTTGTGCAATGTCATGCTGAATTTCTTCTACCACCAAGCGCACCATAATCAGGATCAATAAACTGACACTCCAGGGTGTCACATGTCAGGAGAGACAGAGAGAGAGAGCGAGAGAGTGCATGCGAGCACCTCTTCTTGGGTGCCGGTTCCTTGGATGCTGAGCTGTCATCATCCGAGGTGGGTGCACGCAGCGATTCGTCATTGTCGGGCGGCGTTGCCTCCTCCTCAGACGTCGGCGCTCTCAGGCTGTCTGGGGATGAGCGCTTCCTGCGCCGAAGCACAAAATGCTGCTGTCATGTCCGTGCCTCTTTCCCAGTTCCTGTACCTTCACTTGTGAGTGATTTAAATGGGTTTCAAGTCAATTCAGACGACTGAGAACCCGGGCTTGGGTAGCGTTGCTGCAGCAGGCCAGAGTGTCCCTATAGTATGACCGTGCGTACCAGATGATCACTGACATGCATGCAGCACTGGAATGCAGATCACACCTTCCTCGCGCAGCGCGCCCCGGCTTCTTCGGCTCTGCAGCTGCAGGCTCTTCCTCGCCAGCTTCTGCTGCCTGCCCGCTGCCAGCCCCCTTGCCGCCAGCTGCCTTCCTTCCGCCACTCCCTGCCACACCAAATAAAAGCTGATAAATGGCACAATTCTAGCTAGGCATAGCCTCGGATGCACTTGAGCACATCAAATATCTCACCAGCGCACTTAGAATATATTGACTGGAAAGGCAATCTACCTCGTGCAGATGCATGTACAGCATGTCATTGGCAACTTCAAAAAGGAATGGCGCAGGTACCTGAACATGGCATCAAACAGGAAACCCACCTGGCCGCTTTGTGGCTGCTTTCTGCTGCTGCTTGCGGCCTGAGGCCTGCTTCCTGGCAGCTGCCGGCTCTTCTCCTGCATCTCCATCGTCCACCTCACCCTCATCATCTGCTTCTGCTCCCTCTGTCCTCTCACCGGTGCGGGAACGCCGCCTCCCGAAGGTCGTCTCTGTCTTGGCGGTTTGCGGCCTGCCCGGCTTCTCCGGCTGCGGGGTCTGCCCCACAGACAGCCGCCTGCTATTGTCCCCTGCTGCACCAACCAGGGCGGGTTGCCAGAAAATTGGATCTCTAGGATAAAGCGGGCGAAAAGCTTCATGCCCATGTGTGAGCGAAAAGTGGGCGCATGACAAGTATGGCTCTCCCAGTGACAGTGACAGTCACCGGATGACTTGAGCTTGGTTCTAGCGCATGCAGTCAAGCAGGTGACTGGACGCAATGCTCAATCCAGGGAGAGGATGTATAATGCAGCGCAAGGAGGAAGGAAGGAGCCCATGAAGGTTACCTTGCGGAGGCTTCCCACCAGCCCGGGACAGCGCGCCCTGCACCGCCGCAGCAACCTTGAGCGCCTTAGAGAGCTTCCCCCTGGACGGGGGTGTCTTCTTGTGGGAGGCAGGTGCTGCTGCTGCTGCCTCCTCCGCGTCGCTCATCATGTCCCACTCGCTGTCTGAGGGGCCCTCTGTGCCAGCGCCTCCTGCAACAAGGGCAGCGCGACTTCAATCAGAACAGGCATGCGGAAAAGTTCAGGGCAGCAGCACAGGCTGCTCGTACGCTATGTTGAGAATTGCAACCCATTTGTCTAATTCTTCGACGAGGAGAAAACAGATGCGACTGACACGCTGCGCTGCTCTCAGGAATGCTGCAGCTTGATTTTGCTTGGAAATGACATGATGCGGAAGCTGACAGAGATCAAAGAAATCTGATCATGCATATCCAGGTTTCATACCTTTTGCCTTTGCTGCAGGTCCTTTTTGACTGGCCGGCTTCCCTTTCTGACCTCCTGCCTTCTTTCCTGCTGCAACAAAAGCATCACAAGTGAGATGCAACTTCTTGAAATAGGACTGGGTATCTTCCTTATAGGACTGCTCCTGGGGAGCATGGATCAAGTCTAATGAGGCGTTTCAAGACGTTCAGCGGGTCATTGAAGACCCCTATTGGTTGACCCCTATCAGGTCATTCCAGACGCAAAACGAAGGTAATGCAGAGAAAGTCAGCGTGTGGACTGCAGCCTCACCTGCAGGCTTCTGGGACGCCCTCTGCTTGGCTGCACCGTTGCGCGGCTGTGCGTTCTCATCTGGGGACTGCCTCCCGCTGGCAGGAGCCTCTTCCTGACCCCCAGTCTCTTCAGGTGCATCTTCAGCCGGTGCTGTCTGCATGCGCGCACGCTTGCCCCCACTGCTGGGCCCAGGATCCCCCAGACTTTCCCCACGCCGCTTCCCGCTGCTTCCTGCCTGAATCCTGGGCAAAAGTAAATCCACCACCAGGTCAACTTTTTACTACTGAATATGATTACCATACTCTTCTCTGATCTTCGACACTGAATGTCCATGAGCTCTGTATTCCGCTCTGCATGATGAGCAAGCAATGCAAAGATGGCCGTCTCCGGGAAAAGCACTGAAATGTCACAAAGGTGGAACACGGGAATCGCCATGTGCTGCAAAAAGAGTACGGCAGAAAAGTGCCAACCTGGTTGCAGCTGCGCCGCGGCCGCTGGGCCCAGGGGTGCTGGCGTCCTCACTGCCATCTTCCTCTTCGTCCTCATCCTCGTCAGCGGATGACTCAGCCTCCCCATCGCTGGATGCCTCCTTGAGAGTCGCCGCCGCCGCCTTGCGCTTAGGCCGCGCGGGTTTTTTCGCACTGCCGCTGTCCCTGCGCATTGCAGCCACAGCCATCTTAAGGCGCTAGAAAGGAATAACTTCTAGTTTAAAGTGACACGTAGGTAAACTGTAAGCATGCACTGCCTGCAGCATGCTCTGAGGAGACCACCTGTTGTTCGGTCAACATGCGCAAAGACGGCTCCATATCTACACGGTATATATAATGTAATAGGGTGCCCCACCGAGAGGTCAGACTGGCCTCAGGGTCCAGTGGACCACGTTATGAAGCTCATAAGAGCACTATGTGCCGAACAATCTACTGCCGTGCAGCGTAATGTCAGCTGGTTGCATGGGAGTCAGGGGCGCACTCTGTGGGCTCTGCCTGGCGCTTTACTGGCGCCTTGGCAGGCTTGGGCTCGGCCTTGGGCTTGGAGCGTCCGCTGGGGCCCTTCTTCTGTCCGGCAGGCTGCGCCTGGTTGGGGCACAAGTCTTCCAGGGCAACCTCAAAATCCGGCGGCAGCAGGCTCTCTAGCTTTGCCTTGCCTGCACAAGTGTCATGTGGACAGCTGCTCAGCTCACAGCAATTCAGTTCACAAACATGCATCGGGACACTGGATGCAAAGTGCTGCTTGGGCTTTCCATGACACCCCATGCAAAACGCGGCAACCAAGATGCCTCATCTCAGCTGTCAGGCTGACACCTCAGCAGTTGAATGACAAGCTTTGTAGAGATGCTGTCAATGACAAGCTATTGAAGGCTTCAATGCAACTTTACTTATCATACTGCGTCACAGTGTGCACTGATCTGCCGGCCCTCATTCTGCAAGGATACGGCAAGTTTTGGGAGCGCTCACTTGGGATTGAGCTGCGGAAAAAGGACTTGGGCAGCGGCACGTTGCCCGGGAACTTCCCGGTGATGACGGCGCCGGGCGAGTGACGCTCCACAATGGCGGGCGCCAGAGCCAGCGCCATGTCACACAGCATGTGCATGTTGAGCGTGGCCGGCTCTGCGGTCGCGTCCTCGGTCGCCTTGAGCGTGCGCAGCACCTTGCTGATTGCTGGCAGCGTCGCGCCTGTGCAGCAATGGGCGGAGGCTTCAGAGTGGGTCCATGCATGCATGCGGGCTCAGTCGGTTCAAGGATGTTCGGACTCTCAATTAATTGCCAGTGGCCGAGTTGGCTGGCAGTATGCTGTCACCAGGGCAAGCTAAACGCCAGCAGGTCTTCAAAAAGGTGTCCCATCGATGAAGCGGGCAGCCTTTGATATATACATGCGGAAGCGTTTCCTCGAGCACAAGCTGTTGTTTTTGCCTCTTGCAGCCTGTTATGCACTCAAGCCAACATCGCCCATGACCTTACCGGTCATGACAGCAGAGGAGTCCCACCTGGAGGCTCTGAGTCGCTCCTGCTGGCAACGGACAGGATGAGGGGCTCCAGCATGAACTGCAGCATGCGCGTGAAGGGCTGGTACGCCTCCTGGCCCATCTCTGCCACCTCCTGCCGTGTGGGGAAGTCCGGGTGATGCGCCAGCATCTGCAGCAGCACATGCAGCCGTTGAGTGCCGCTCGCCTCAAATGCTGTCTTCAAGTACTGTTTTGTTGTAAGGTGCAAATTATACATGTAGTCATTCACAGCGCACAGTGCAATGCATGCTTTCAAATTTCTCCCCAGGATGTCCTTTGGACTAGTCTGTGGTCTGTCTTTAGGCGAAATCAAATATCAAGTATGCCAAACAATTCCCATTGGTTGTCCCGGTGTACCTGGATGATATATGGGAGCATGAACTCGGGGAACTCCTGCAGCATGGGCCCGCTGGACCCGCCCGTCTTCGAGGCAGCCGCCACATGTGCCGCAGCTGCGCGCCGGCGCAGGCCCACATACTCGTTCAGCATGGCATATGCAGCCGACCTGCAAACAAGCTTGCTTCAATTTCCGTTTCTAGAAGATAGACTGGTCAGAATGACACATTGATATCGCAGACCCCTAGACTGCAGATGCCCTCTGCATAATTTTTCAAAATGGCAGACAGACAGGGATGCATACACTCACCAGGGCAGAATCTAAGCCCTGCAGGTACCCAGTGAATGTGGCTACTTGACTTTTTCAATACTGCCCTGGATAAGGGGTGCCAGAATTGTGCGTCACCTATTGGCCTCATTGGGGTCCATGCCGGCCAGGGGGAGCATGGCGGCATACTTGGATGCGCGCTGCGGCTGGTGCTTGTTCATCAGGTGCACCATGCTGCGCAGCTTCGCCCCAAACGCCGACCGCACCTCCATCAGCTGGTCCTGTTCCAATCACCCAGTATAATAGCATCAGTAAGGATTATTGACAGTTCACTACCTCTTAACAATATTTGCAATAGTGCAGGCAAGCAAAGGAGGCTGCAACTTAATCACTCCTGAGGTGGCCAGCAAAGGAGCTGTGTACAGTCTCGTACTGTGATGAAAGCTATGGACAGGCAATATAAGCTAAACAAAGGAAAACAGACCTGCATGGTGAGGGAGAGGCAGAGGTAGATTTCGGGGTGGATGCGGGGGTCGTGCGCGCGCGCCAGCCGCAGCAGCGCCTCGCTGGCGGCCAGCCGCATCAGCGCCATGTCAGCGGTGCCACACGGGCTGAGGTCATCCATCTCGTTGGAGGGCTCCAGCAAGCGTGCCAGGCGAGTGATCAGTGCATCCACCGCTTCCTCGGTCTCTGCCGGCACCCGCACCCTGTCCCAGTCGTCTGGCACGCATGCGCGCGCAAGCGCCTGTTCACCAAAGCTTCGGTTTGATTGAGAGTAATCCGCTAGTGACCGCATCCATATGAGTAACGAGGCATCCGCAGTGCAAAACTTAAAAAGAGGAGAGAACGATGATCGTGTGTATTCTGACAGCAGAGGTGCGGTGACAGTGTGTCTGCACTGGGTGCATTTCCTGGGTTGGTATACAGTAATATTATTATTATTATTATTATTATTATTATTATTGTTGTTATTATTATTACACGCTTTTCCTGCCAAGGTGCGTCCTGCAGACAAGCTGCAGTTCAAGGCTGCCAAAATCCTACACCTTGATGGACTCGTCAGATCCAAGCAAGGCACAATTAACCGTGGGCACGGTGCTCAGTATTTATATAGAGTAATATGCGCACCTTTAATGCAGATGCCTTGAGGCAGATGCAGTCGCTGAAGTTGCCCCACATCTTGCCGACCTTGCCTTCCGCCTGAGATTCTGAGTCTATCCTGTCCGCAGGCAGCAGCACCTGTACAGCACAAGCAAATGATTGATTCTGCACCCTTAAATCTACGATTTCCTGACAGAATTAACAACGTATTCATGGTCCTGCATGCTCAGGAGCGTCCTTAGGGCCCTTGCTAATGACCGACAAGAAATCTCCATCCCTAGAAATCCAGAACATGGGGTGCATGGAATCATACACCTGTCATGTGGACCTGCAGAGAAATTCAAAAGAAAGGATGGGACGCACATCAAGCACAAAGTCAGCAACAGTGCCAGCGTGCTCAGCAAAGATGTCCGGCGCGATGCGGCCGATGCTGCTGAGCGCCTGCATGATAGTGGGCAGCCGCGACTCAATATCATCATCCGCCTCCTCCAACATGACTGCCAGCTGCGCGCACAACTCCCGCAGCACATCCTTGTGTGCGCTCTCCGGCAGAATTGCCACGAGCGCCCTGCATGTCAGAAGCATCCAATTTGGCACAGGCACAGGCACCAGTGTACCTGACATCGTGGACAGTACTTGCCATAAGGCAACTGTGTCAAAGTGGCATGGTAGTCAGTACTATTTATATAGCCCTCAGTCATTGCTATGGCGCTTGCAGCAGCTCCAATACAGAAACAGATCGTCCCAGCCTTAGGGATTTGATCAAGAATAGCTTGTGTGCCAGAATCGTGAGTAAATGGGCCTTGTTGGCTTTGGTATAGTGAAGCGCAAAGTTCTGGAGCAGTATCCAATGCCAACGTTGCAAGGTGGGCAAGAGCAAAGTTGAAGTGAGTAGCCAAGGCAATATGCTCACCTGACAGCTGCCTTGGCGGCCTTGGGGGAGCCTTCCTTGCTGATGTCAAGCAGCTTGCTCTTTGCTGCATCAAGCGCCTTCGAGTCCTCTGCTACATTGGCCCGGACGGCCTTGCCAGCCTTCGCTAGGATCCTGGCAGCCGCCTCTGACAGGCGCTTGTCCTTGTCCCCAAGCATTGCAAGCACCTGCAGACAACAGCAACAACATTGTACCAAAACACACTCGTTATCCTATCTGACAACGTTTGCATTGTCTGCAGGGATACTCTCGACAGCAGATCACTTGCGAGTAAGCAAGAGGCCGCTGTAGATAGCAAGCGCTGGCATAGATAAAGGAGACAAATTACCTGTGGCACAGGCCCAGCAAAGAGGGAGGGGGAGGTTTCAGCAGCGTCCACTAGCAGCTCCAAGGTGCTGCCCAGGTAGGCATCATCGAGTGGTGCCTCCTCACTGGCCAGCTTGAGAAGCTCCTCCACATGCTGCATTGAGATCAGCTGCGGCACAAGGCGCGCACAGAGCGCCCTGGCAAAGTCGCCCTGAGGCCCTCTCGATCCCACCCGCTGTACCACATCCTGCGACAGGTGCAGGTGCAGGCACATGCACTCGCATCAGAGATACTTACAAATGCAGCAGGTTGTCATTTCACCATGCACTTCCAGAAAAAAAAGCTAGGGGTACGCTGAGCAAGTTGGTGCCTACTCAGAACAGCACCCTACAGAAGAAGAGCAAAACGAGATATATACCAGCAGAAAACGACAGGCAATATTGCAGCTGTGTCATGCCGCTGATGTGCATGGAAACAGGTAAACATAATGCAATCAAATTCACTGCAGCCCTGCAAAGGCCAATCGAGCTAGTGCGGACTGATCATGGAATGCCCACCTTTGCTAGCTTGGCAGCCTCCTCCAGAGAAGTCTCTGGGCCGGCCAACGCAAAGAGGCTCTTGTGGATGTTCTTGTCGCGCATTTCCCTCAGCTTCTCCAGATTCTCCCTCACCTTCTCAGGCGCCAGCAGAGGAAAGAAGGACACCAAGTAGCGCACCACCTGCTCACATTTGCACCACTCTTCAAGTGACACTCTATTTGTCGACTGCCATTGGCTTCAAAGCTCCAGAACAACGCAAGTTGGTTGTATACTATGATGCAGACTCTATGACTGCATGCACGGCATGGCAGACTTGGCGCCAAACCTGAGCCATTTTGGAGCTGGAAGAGTCGGTAGCCATGTCTCTGGCAGCGCACAGGTCTACAAAGTTCCTGACAACCTGCCTGCAGTTTGACCTTGTCTTCATTGAAACCATGATGGCGGCGCGCTCCTGCGCCAAGAAAGGAAACCGCCTTCAGGCACAATGTGTAGACACTGGACCTTAAGGCGCCAGCTAGGCACAATGTGCCCAAGCAAGAGCCAAGATGCCAAATGCTTAATATGTGCAATGGAGTCCCCATGTAAGACACGGTCAGTCAACAATGTGGACCCTCGAAACTAAGAGGAAGTCAAAAATGAGAGTTGCAGGTGGTAATTCACCTGTGGGTTGCTGCTCATGTAGATTGCTGCCCAGTGCTTTGCAGCAGTGGCCATGGGCAGTTTGGCTGGGAACGGGCCATTCTTGAAGACCGACTCAGTAAGGTGCTGCTGCATGTCTGCATCCTTGCTGGCGCACAGCAGCAGGCGCGCTGGCACCCACAGCACTGACTCCTCAACTGCCGGTGATGCAGCATTGTGTGCCTTGTTGCACAAAGCCCTGCAAACCCCATAGAAAATAACTCATTTCCCGTGACGGCAGCATGTTATAATAACAAAAAGTCTACATTGACAACAGGCAAGGCTTTCTGATAGAGATTGAAAGAAATGTACACACAGGTATACCGCCACAGGGCTACGACTGCAGAACGCCAAATCGAGCCAAATTTGACAAGGTAAGAGAATAAAAATTTGGGGCACCTGAAGACTGCCATGAGCTGGGTGGCGGTGTCCCTCCGCACCGGGCGCCTTGTGTCCCTCAGCCGCTCACTCACAGCCTCCATCGCCCTCTGACCCACAGCCTGGACACAGCAGCAATGCTCAAGTTCTTTGGTACACATGAACGTGTTCCTGTCTTCAGGGACTACATGCCGGCAAGTGACGCCATGCAGGATGGAAACATGGCGTGTGAGATGGGCACCTGCATGTTCTTTGTGGCGGCCTCGCAGAGGCATGCCACGGCACTGCTCCTGACCTTCTCCTCATAGTCCATCAGCCTCTCCATGACCGCATTCAAAACCTGCTCAAGTTAAAACAACAATCATTAGGACTATAAAGTTCCCCACGATCAGTGTCAATCAGCTCTGAGGTACGTCACAGACTCCTTGTCAATCCATCAATGATGAGTAACTGTGCTGACATGATCAATGAGGCAGTCACCCACCTGATCCCTGGCCAAATTGGATGCGCAATGCACAAGGATGCCTGCACTGAGCCGCAGCATCTTCTGCCGCACCTCTGCCTGCAGCCCACACCCCACAAACTTGATAGTCATAATCCATGCGCGATCACGCATCATGTCTACATTTGCCTAACGCCATATAGCACGATGCCGCCTTCTCAGTCATTCCCAAGCCAAAGGAAGTGAGTGCAAAGGAAGGCATGCCTTCTGATCCTTGGAGCGCCGCACAAACTCCTTGAAGAGCTCGGGGAAGTCGGCATGCATGTCAGAGTCCGGCAGTGCATACAGCTTCCCCAGGAGCTCCAGCGCGGACAGCCTCTTGGCATCCTCCTTGGCAGTCAAGTCGGACATGATGTGCGGCATCACTGGCAGCAGGGTGCTCGGTGACACCTGGTAGATCTGCAATGCACAAAATGCAGTCTTCAGCAGGACTGTGCTATACCAAAAATTTGCGCTGAATGGAGGACACGCAAAGAGATAGTAAGGGTGGGATGCGACCCATGTTGGGGGGCAAAGATTGACGCCTGGAATGAGGTGCACCCACTCTGCAGAGTATAATGAGGGAGTCATGTTCATAAATTTGAAATGAGGGGGAGAGGGAACAGGGGAGCCTGACCTGGTATAGGAGGTCCTGGTAATCATCGTTGAGCTCGCTGTGTTTAGCATTGCCCTCCATCATGTCAGTCAGCAGCCTTTGTATGGGGTGCTGCAGCTGCTGCTCATTCCTGCCCACCAACTGGGCGGCGCATCTGCACACCACATACATGTCACATCTGTCTCCAGAGACCATCATCTAAAACACACAAACATTTAATCCGTACAGACACAGGTGTGCAAGCTGCATTGCTGTTCAATGCAAAGGGAACAGACCAGAAATCACAGATAAAAAAGGATGGGGCATGACTGCCAAAGTGCATGACTGCCAAAGGCACACCTGTAAGCTGCAGGATTGTCGTCCTTCTGAGGTGCAACCAGGCACTTCAGGATGGTGTCAAGCAGACGCTGCGAAATATCATCCCCCTCTTCCAGCAGGCTCCCCACCAGCTGCAGGGCAACGAGTCCTGACGTCAACATAAAGTGCACAGAATTGCACCACGAGCAGAGATGATACATGACTGCTTGACAAGAATGATTGGGCAGCGAAGGCTTACATGCAGAGTCGCGGCCTCAATAGCCTGAGCATTGTCCTCGCTGCAACAAGGTAAACATATCAGAGAACATGTCTTCATGGCTTGTTACATTAGCTTGCAAGTTAGATGCCTTTCCTCTCATGTAACGTGCAGCGCATTCATGCATATTTTGATGAACCTCAGACTTCAGTCATGAAGGCATGGCATAAACTTGCCTGACGACTTCCAGCATTAGCTGGAAGAGGTCGCACACGAAGTCATCTGTGTCAAAGTCAAGGGCCAGCAAGAAGCATTTCGTCTGCAGGGAAAATCGTCAATTCAGTCCAGTTGATAAACACAGCAACATGAGCTGAGCAGATTCCAGAAACTGAGGTATTATGGACAGCCAAAGCACAGCTCTACCTGGCTGACAACGTCCAGAACTGACATGCAAAGCTGGAAAGAAGGCGCAGTGGGAGAACTAAGCCTCCTGAAGACTTGCAAAAAGAGTGTGAACACATCCTGGAGAGTCACAGAGATGGAGTCAGCATTGGCTCTCAACATGGGAACAGGAAAGGCAATCTCTAGCAACAAGAATTGTATCAGAAGCCCTCAAGCGCGCCTCAAGCGTCTTCTGCTCGTATGGCGTGTCAGGGGCGTGCATCCGCAGCACATGGCAAAGGCAGAAAGCTGCTCGGAGCTTCACATCCTGTAACACAGCAACAGGCTGTCCTGATGCATGAATACCTCATCGGCAGATCAGGCCAGCTCATTAATACGAGATCCTGAATCTTTATTTATGATGAATTCGATTGCTTGCCTTGTCCTTGTGACTCAAGATGTCCTTCCTGCCCAGAATTTCAGAAACATCTGCAAGTGCATCCCTTTGCTCCTCAAACGTCTGTTGCGCCCCTTCCAAGACGGCCCCAGCTTGCTGTGGACAAGCGAACCAAGTCGTGAGATCAATTTATGGTGGCTGGTGGAAGCCTTGACACCACTCGACCACACACATGAATTGCAAAGCATCCAAGAGATTGTCAGGAGAACGTGGTTCATTGAGCCTTGGACAATGACGAACGTCGACGTTCTAAATTTATCAGCAATATAATCCAGTTTTTGACAACGCAATCACTTGGCAGGTGGTCTTCTGGTTTCGAGGTTGGCAGAATATGCATATAACAACACACCTTGAGCGCCTTCAGCAGGGAGTCTTTCGACTTCAGGGCTGCCTTGAGAGCTCTACCAGCATCCTTGGCACTCTTTGCAAAGTCCTCTTCTGCAAAATCATACTCATCTGCCTTGTCCATTGCCCTGATGCACCAGCTTTTCTTGTGCAATTGCTTGGTCACCTCAGGCCAGCTTGAATACGGGACGCTGATTTCATAAGGAACATCCTACACTTTGTCAGGCATTGCAGTCACAGTACTCTTGCAAGAGCTTTTGGGCACCCATTCTCATGCGATTGAGCTGTAGACATCTGCTGTGCTACGATTCCAAATCTGGCTACATATTATGAACTGAACCCTTTCGACCTGGTGTCGGTGTCTGCTTGCACAATCGGTTGAATCTTTTGACACGCATCGAAAGTTCAGGAACTTTTGAGATTTGCAGCATACACGGTTGCTCTAGTTGTTGATCAGGCAAATGAAACAGGCCAAGCCATTTAAATAGGGTTAACCCTTGCTCAAGGGAGTCGTCAAATTGTCAACGAGACACTTTTGCAGAGTCAGCAGCCAGCACGGCAGAAACGTTGCGCGCGATCTTGACCGAACCCGCGGCTTCCTGTTCAATTCAGCAGATTTTCGGACTGCTCTGGCTCTTTCGTGCCCAAGAGAAAGCAGTCCACGTCCTACGAGGGAGAGTACTTTGAAACTTATTTCCAGGAAACAAAAGCAGAAATCCTTGGGCATAGATGGACCGCGTGAGAGTGTTGGCAGGTCATTTGGGAGTTTCTAATGTTCAAGGTATATCATTTTCTCTGTGGTTGCTTCATTCTCTCAAGCGATCTTTTGCAAGGCCGTTTTTTGTCCCTGCTTCAAGTGAAGCCTGTAGTAAAGTGTTGGATTTCAATCCTGCAACGTTGCTCTGGTATCATTCTGTGGAGTCCGTGTAGACATTGCGTTACTCGAAGCAATGCTCGTTTGGTCTAGATGACGTACTTGGGAGCTGTCTCTCATTGCACCTTCCAGCCTGTGTTCTAAAATCACATTTTCCCGACAAGTATTCAGGCAATCCCTTCAAATGTTCCTACGCACCCGCAGGACCATCAGAGGAAGCAACTGGCGCGCAGCTCCGGCGCGAGGCCACGCTTGCCACGACCAACTATGAGGGCTTCCCTTACGCGCAGACCATGGCCAACTTTCCGCCTGCAGCGCATGATGTCTTCCTCTTTGATGATCTGCTGAGCACGGAGGAGAAGGACATCCGCTACCGCACCCGCGCCTTCATGGTGTGGGCATTTTTGTCTCAAGTTTCCACATACTTCTGCATGCATTCGCCGATTTTTTTCTTGCAGTTGCCTCCAAAGGGAAATGCCTCAATCACCCAAAGTGCTAGTGCAGGATTAGGGGATTGCACGTTCTCCCTGAGGGGAAGGTGCACGAGAAGTTACTGGTTCTTGCATGCTGATGCATGTGAGTGCATTTGTCACGTATTATGGCGTCTGCATGCATGCGCAGGAGAAGGAGGTGGCGCCGATAATCGCAGACTACTGGGAGCGAGCGGCGTTCCCTTTTGATTTGGTCCCCCGCCTGGCCAAGCTCAATTTGGGGGGCGCCAATCTGGCGGGCTACGGGTGCCCGGGGCAGTCCGTGATCGGAGCAGCCATGGCCGTAATTGAGATTGCGCGCGTGGACGCCAGCATGTCCACCTTCCTCATGGTCCACAACTCCCTCGCCATGCTGACCCTGGGTGAGCATGTCTTTGGGATTGGCATTGTCTGAGTCAACCATATATGATCTGACTCATGTACATTTCTTTTTTGGCAAGCATGTGGTGCCTGATTAGTTGAGGCCAATACGGGTTGGCACGATCCTGTGATTGTTGATGAGACAGCTGCGCTCATATATCACAGATTCCTAGGTATCTCGGGAAATTTTCATTCAGCATTGCAAATTGCAGGCCTGCTTGCATCGGAGGAGCAGAAGAGGGAGCTTTTGCCGGACATGGCTGCGCTCAAGCTGATTGGTGCCTGGGGCCTCACAGAGCCGTCCAATGGCAGCGATGCAGCTGCCCTTCAGACCACAGCACGGAAGGTACGCAGTCACTAGGGTGCTCCTTCTGACATTTGCCTCTGTGCAGTGGTCCTGTCAGCTAGATCTGCAGAGGGTTCCCCTGTCTGATATGCAGCTGGCAACGGCCTTGGATGTTGGATCTGCTGCATCTGTACGCATGCAATGAAAGAGCACATATATTGCCTGCGCAGGTGGATGGTGGCTGGGTGCTGAACGGGCGAAAGCGCTGGATCGGCAACGCCACCTTTGCTGATGTCATCGTGATCTGGGCGCGCAGCAGCGAGACACAGCAGGCACGTCTTTGTTGGGCACACCCAACATGTCCCTTAAATATCATCTCGTGCTACCAGCCAATGCCAGGTCTCAAATCAGGGATTTTGGTCGAGTTCACGGCTAATCGTTTGTTCAATCATGCTGACAATGCTAGTTGTCCATGCAGGTGAATGCATTCATCGTGCGCAAGGGAGCGAGGGGGCTCCGCACGTCCAAGATAGAGAACAAGATTGCGCTGCGCGTCGTCCAGAACGCAGATATCTTCCTGGATGACTGCTTTGTGGCCGACTCTGCCCGCCTGCCCGGAGTGACCTCCTTCAAGGTCTGCCTTGCCTTGGCTTGCAATGCTTTGCCCAAATTCTGAGCCCTTTCTTTTTTTGATTGTCGCGGTGCTTTTCCCATGCATGTGTCTTAGGTTGTGCCCAACTGAGTTTTGCTTCTGGTTGCATTAGAGCTTGAATGGTCCAAATTTGTCAACAGCGCATCCAGGTGCGAACATTAATATCCAGTGTGCAGAGATGGCCCCTAATACAGTTTATATGCATTTCTCTGTGATCAGCCTGATGTGGGGGGATTGCTCTGCTGAGCAGGACACGAACAAGGTGCTGGCAATCTCGCGCATCATGGTAGCATGGCAGCCGGTCGGCATTGCCTGCGGCGTCTTTGACATGTGCAAGCGCTACGTCGGTGGGTGCCACTCACCCACACCTACAAAATGCTGCCATCTTGGTCCCCAACCTACAATTGAATTGCTTATTGCGATGCACAGTGTTTCTTCAGAGATACAGGTGTGAGCTGTGTCTATAATATGTCGGTATCATCGACATACTGTTGACTCTGATCATTCTTGCCTCTGAAAACCTTGAGACCGTGAGTATCTGTGGATCGTGATTCAGTAAGTCAGGGTGGCAATGCCAAAAGTGCATGCAGGAAGTCCATGCTTTATAGTACTCACACTGTTTGCCAAGATATTCTAAGATACCTTGTAACATATGTTTGCTGCTGCACGTGCAGATGAGCGGGAGCAGTTTGGCGCGGCGCTGGGCAGCTTCCAGCTGGTGCAGGAGAAGCTGGCGCGCATGCTGGCCAACCTGCAGGCCATGTTCCTCATGTGCTGGCGCCTCTCCAAGCTCTACGAGGAGGTCAGCCTTGGTACTCCAAGAACCACTATTACCTTCTCAATGCAACATAATGCTTGCTGCTCAGCAGGCGAAAGAGTCACGAAAGCATGTGCTGCAGCCACTTTAGGGCTGATCAATAAGATGTTGAAAGGTTGTTCCAAAGCTCCCGCTCTTTTCATCTATCAGAGTAAGGGAAATATTGAGCACTGCGCATGCATGGTCACAATGTATTCTTTGAAGAAAGTTCAGCTGTAATTATAGCAGTCTGCTCATATGGTGTTCCTGCTTCACTTCTTCATGGCTGCGCAGGGCAAGATGACTCACGAGCTGGCGAGCACGACTAAGGCATGGACGACACTTCGCGGGCGTGAGGTGGTCTCGCTCGGTCGGGAGCTGCTCGGCGGCAACGGCGTCGTCACCGACTTCCTGGTGAGAGCCGAGTGTCACCTTGTCCTCTGTCCACAGATTGCCACAGCTTTTAGCGTTACAACAGCCATTTAGTAAGGTCAGCTATACAGCACTTCAACGGAGGTATTTACAAGTCTTTGAAGCCAGCTGCAGACAGGAGTGAGTCCTGGTGCTCCAACCAGAAATGAAAAACCACAACAAATTTGAAGAATGCGGAGGCAATGACAGGCAAGGAGGTGGCTTGAAGTCTGGTCTGATGAGTGTCCCTTGTGTCACAGGTGGCCAAGGCGTTTGGGGACATGGAGGCCATATATACGTACGAGGGGACGTATGAGGTCAATGTGCTGGTAGCCGGCCGCGGCATCACCGGCAAGGCCGCCTTCAAGGCCGCACCCGCGCGCAAGCAGCCCAAAAATGTGCAGGCCTGAAGTTTTGCTCACATCTTACCTTTGCAAGGGTCGGCATATACTTGCTGTGCCCTGCAATTCTGATCAGCAAGGACGCTCTGTAGCTTCCTGGAGGCGTTCTCCTGCTTCCAGGAACGGGATGCTTTGCTGACAAGAGCAGGGATGGCTTCTTCGGAAAGATTTGCTTTGCAGTTGTGTCCTGCTTGGCTTTTTTGAGGCACATGCTTGGTCCGTTGTGCTTCTTATGCCGCGTGGTCATTCGTTGGCTCGGGTCACAAAGGATTACGCCACTTTCTGCACTACACGTACTTGGCCAGGGCAATTTTGAAACTGTAGAATGTATGCGCTACTTTCTTCATTGAGGCTTGTGCCGAACGGTCATCATCAGGCACGATAGGTACGCCAGCGACAGGATAATATCTTACACCTTCAGATTGAGCTTATTAATATTTAAAGCATTGCTGCTGTGAATGCATGCCCCAAAATTATCCTTCTGTATCGGTTTTGTCTAGTGTCTGCACGTGTTTAACTTTCAGTGATAAGCACACTATTGGAGGCCTGGTCATGGGGCCAGTTAGGTTCAGCATTACATTTGCATGCAGAAACCCTGTGCTTTCAAAGTGAGGCCAGCTGGACAGGTCGATACTAGGTTTTGACTTGATGCCTGCTGAGTACTCATGGGTCTACTATATTGCTCCTGATAGCTGATGATTGCCTCCAAGAGTCGCATGAGCTTGCCGCAGACTTCTTCCCTCCTAGGGTGCATCAATTTAGTGTAATTTTTTTTGGTGGCCACCATAGTTGAGACTCTATGGGAGTTTGTAATAAGACATGGCAGGGAGAGGCCAATTGCAGCAGCATGCATGTTGCATGCACTTATGCGTACAGACCATCTTGAAAGACATTATAATGGAAGGTACTAAAGGATGGTAACCGATTGACACACCCACTTCCGTCCCTATCATGCAGGTCAGAATGTGGAAGTCCCCAAAATCAAGCTTCAATTTGACACACGTTTACTTGGAGCCCTATCCATACACTACATAGCACTTCAAATCACACAAAAACTGGCACATACTTCTTGAGGGAGCCAAAGGAGCACCAACACAAATGCAACATCCCTTGCATTGTCATACACAAATCAATTTCATGGAGCGCATGGGAGCCACAGAGAAGTCTCCGTAGCGCAAACTCTCCTGGTAAGCGAATAAATTTTTAGCAATGCACTCTGCACATGCTGGGGCGAGTGCTACACTTGGTTGATCTTACTTCGCTAGTATTATCTGTCCTACAAGCCTGCCAACTTGCGTGCAGAGGGTCAAGCATCTGCCATACTTCAAGTGCTCTAAAACCATCCCTTGCAATGTTGTCAATGCAAATACTTCCCCACAAAACTTTTCTTGATAGGCAACTGCTGCTCTGAGGACAGCAGCCTGCAGCGGCCGCAGAGTAACAAGAATTGTCACCACCGTAGGAGCAGTCCTTTCCTGATTCCTTGTCGTGCTTGGTAAGCACCGCCTTGCTCTGACTTGTGCATCAGCACTCTTGAGCAGTGTGGAACTTCTGTGCTGGCACTGCCACCAAAGCTGACACCAGTAGAAGTAAAAATATGTCCCCATAGGCAGCAGGGATGAAGCAAAAAGCAGGCGGCTCCTTTGTTCAGGACCAGGGCATACTTTGAGTGCCCAAATCCTGGCTGCACTGTGACAGCCTTGCAAAAGAGCCATGCCTTTTGCCCGGAGGCAGGGGCGCGCGTTGCTTACTTCCAGGTCTTGGTCTCTCCCGCAGCAAAACAGTCGGCAAATAAGATGGGGCCGCAACGTTTCAGCAGAGCAGGACAAATGCACCGTTGTTGTACTTCAAGGGGTGATCAGCCCAGCATGCTTCATCTTTTCATCTCAGGAGTCAGACAAGAGGCTGCCTGTTGGCAGAGTCTCAGTGCCCCGCGGGCAAAAGCCGAAGGGAGCCTTAAAGGGCAGGTTGAGAGCTAGCAGCTGCCAGGGAAGTGGAAGGTGCTGCATCAGACTGGTGCAGCAAGGAAGCTCCTGGAAGGTGCTCGGCAGCTGCTACCTGACTGGAAGCCACCTTCACCGGCTGGCTCTCCGCCTCGATGAGCGCTCTGCACCCCCAACAGGAACCTTGTCAAAAGAAAGGCTTTTTAAAATCTCTGTCCAGCACTATTTCCTTCTGACGTGCATTGGCATCTTGAAAATGTCCCGTCTTCCACTCCCGACCGGCGGTGATTCTAAACTCAGGCGGTGGTGTCTGTGCACTCCTGTTTTGCGGTCAAGAAGAGCTGCCTCGTCCATGAATTTCCAGGGTTTGTAGAACCATATATCGACAATATCGACCTCTGCATCTCACAAGCGGTGCTGCATGGTAAATAATAAGAAACACGCCTGAGTAGGGAGATGACGCGGTCAAAGGTGGGCCGCTGCAGGGGGTCCTGGTGCCAGCACTGGCACATGAGGTCCAGGTAGGTGCTGATGTGGCGCATCGGCCGCCCGGGCAGCTGGGCAGGATCCGCGGGCAGCTCCGGCCGCTGCATCTGGTCCACTACCAGAATCACCACCTGCCACGCACGACAGTCATTATTGGCACCGGACTTGTAATGAGGCCTTTCTGAAACTGAATGTCTTGCCCTCAGGAGGATAAAGAATGAACACACTTGGGTCCTGCCACACGCCCTCTCAAGAGAATCTCAGCTACAACATGTTACAACAACATATCGTGCATCTTCTCTTGATCAGCAAGATGCGTTGTACACATTACGACAGGCAGTACTTGAGTGCAGTGAAGGAGGATGGGAGGTATCTGCACCTGCCAGGGGCCGAGGTCCTCCCAGGGGATGCGCCAGGTGAGCAGCTCCCACAGAATGATTCCAAAGGAGAACACATCCGCGGCGCAGTCGTAGCTCTTCCCCGCCAGCACCTCGGGTGCCATCCACCTGCGCCACGCAAAATGCAGCGAGTCAATCAGCCGCCAGTGCAAAAATTGACAGGGCATCAAGAGGACAGCATCAAAGATTCCAAGGATTACGGTCCATGCCCGGTCATCTTGAGTGCATGAGAAGCGTTCCACGGTGTGTGTATTGTGGCATACATGAATAGCTTAAGTACGCAGTGAGCCCAGCCAAACTCCTATCATTGTCGTGTCCACAGCAAGGCGCCAGCTCCAGCAAAGCTGCAGAGCATCTCTGAACAAGGTACACAAGTACAGCAAAAGTTAGTGAGTGCCCCTGTTTAGAGCAATGCAAGGGTGATTCAATACCCATAACATGAGGGAGTTAGGGCGCGCCTGGGGTTGGTGGCGGAGACTGAGGAGACAACGGCGGAGGCGTTCATGACGCGGGAGAGGTTGAAGTCGGCGACCTTGACGCGCCAGTGCTTGTCCACGAGCAGGTTGGCCGACTTTAGGTCGCGGTGCAGCACGGCCTCTGCGCGCGAGTGCAAGTACAGCATCCCCTTGGCCGCCTCCAGCGCCATGTTCAGCCGACGGTTCCAGCCCAACTCTGCCGCGGCCGCCTGAGCGCAGAGGAAAGTCACAATCAGCCACAGCCTCGTCAGGGTGAGATGCCACTCAGTGGTTCTGGTGAGACGCTGCATGTTTAACGAGCGAACTTGCAACATGCAACCAGACAACAAAGTGGAGTTGGTCAAGCTCTTGAAGGCTCCACCTCTGCAACATCTGGTCGGATGCTACTGCAGCCCAAGCCAAGCGCTCCTAAGACGGAATGGCCAGCTTAAGCATGAGGCATGAGCAACTCTGCCAACAGAAATATTGACGGAACCATGGCGAGCTTCTGAATGAGCCTTCAGGGACATGATGTAAGACTGCGTGATGCTTCGAAATAAAGCTGAGGCGGCCGGCGGCGCGCACCGGAGTGTCGCTGGCGCGGGAGAGGATGTCGAGGAGGGAGCCGCGAGCGCAGAACTCGGTGACCATGCAGGGCGGTGAGGAGCAGGCGCCCAGGAACATGACAATGTTGGGGTGCCGCAGCACCGCCATCAGCCGTGCCTCCTTCCGTAGCTCCTCCAGCAGGTTCGCCGCCTGCTTCGCGCCTCTGCGCCAGCGATGCACGATCCTCTTGAAAACAACCAAGATTTGTCCCATGCGCTGGGAGTTCTGAGAAAGTGCGCAACTCACAGAGGTTCGAAAACTGAATTGGTGGTTGTCTCGGACCAGGAGGTTGCCGCTTACTGAGTCTTAAGCGTAAGGATATCCCATGAATGCAGTGTTGGGGTCCAGGGCCACAACAGCAAGATCCAGGATGGCTATGCAGACACCAAATTTGGATGGGAATGATACGCGCAAGAAATTGCAGCTGTCATGAGAGCAGGCACCCTGCCGCAATGCCGCGCTCATGAAGCAAGTGTCCCAACCCATGCTGGAACACTTGCTCATAAGCGCCAGTGCGGCAGCATGCGCAGAATGCATGCCAGAATTGTGGGTCGCACCTATTGTGTCTGTGGCCCATAGTGAAGCTGTCTTGCCCTTCACCAATCTCCCATATGCCGTTGGAGACTGGAGGCACCAGCGGCTGGCTCAACAGCTTGATGGCCACCGTCGTCTCACGCCACTTACCCAGGAACACACGCCCAAATGACCCCTGCACAAAAATGCAGAACACCCATTAGTACGGAAAATGACGTAATGTGTTTCACTTCAACTGAGTTGCCACCTTGACACACCCCCTTCTGTGCTAGCAGGCATCCACATTGGGTGTCCAGGATAGCTTGGCCTGGGTAGCTCGTGCCATAAAAAGGAATAGCAGCGGCCTAAATTGCTCCCAGCGCCTTGCACTATGAATAGAAGAAAGCATGGAACAAGATTCCACGAGCAGTTGATTAGGGCCCCTGGCACGGTTGTAGAGGCCTAGTGTCAGGGCACACCTCGCCGATGACGCGGCTGAATTTGAGGTCGGAGAAGGCGACCAGCTCGCCGCCCTCGCCCCACTCCCCCTTGTCCTTGCCGCTCACACTGGCGCTGCCGCCGCCGTCAGGATCTGTCCCCCCTTCGCCGCGGCCTGACCCCTCCCCAGGAAGCTGCGAGAAGCCGGGCGCAGAACCAGTCAAGCCTCGCCGCCCACTCTGCAAGCACTCCACAATTTTCAGCAGGAAGCCAAAAGGAGCGGCCATGCAAGATGCCAGGCGAGTGCAAACATTCATGGCATTGTTTTGCAATGGCAGTCAAATAGATCAAGGCCTTGTAAGATTGCCTTTTTGGGACACTGCCATCAGTGCTCCAGAACTTCACGCAGACTATATGATGAACTGACTTGCCTCAGAGGCAGCAAGTGGATTGAGGGTGCTGAGGCCGCCGTGGCCATTGTCAGAGCCAGGGGGCAGCTTCTGGCAGGGCTCCAGGGCCAGGGGGTACAGGGGGTTCTTGAAGTCCCTGGGCTGGGGGTTCATGAGGAAGCCGTAAGGATCGGGCGCCTCGCCGCCCCAATGCCTTGATTTGGCCGCCTTGACCCCCTGCCGCAGATCCTCCCTTCGCCTGAACGCTAGTAGATAGACCGCAACTCCTGCTGCAAGTGCAATGGGCCACGCGTCACGTCTCCAGCAACATAAATTGATCAGCAGGCTGACAGAACAGCCCAGCTTTGATGCATCATGAGATGGGAATGCATGCCGCAGCAACTCTTGGCACTGCTTATACGAAAATACGACTTTTGTTAGGCTGACAAAATAGGCATCCATACTTGGAGCTGTTTACTTCTTACGTCTTTCAAGTGAGCTGCGCAAGGTTTGTGAGTGGTCCAACCTGCTGCCAGCAACACTGGAACGCCGACACCGACGCTGACGGCGATGGTTGTGCCGTTGGTGGTTTTGTCCGCCTGCGGCTCTGCGGCACCGGCCGGCGTCACGCCGGACTTGTTGGTGCGCACGACGGTGGTCGGAGGCGCCTCAGGCGGCAGCGAGACGGCCAGCGCGGGCGCTATTGAGGGGCCACCGATTGGCGCCTGATAAGCAACCCATGGCAAGCTTTTCACAACACCAAACCATTTCTGATGACATGCTGAGCAAATACGGGGCAGGCCTCTCATGGCAGGGCCATGTAACAAATCATTGACACGCAAAGCCTTCTGTGCTCCGCGGGCGGCTCAAATGGGAACTACACCATGGCATAGCCGCATCTCATGCAATACATGATGCTGCAACCTTATGAAAGCAATGCCTGTCTGGTCCAGCAGATGCTCATGATCAGATCAGCCCACTCATCAGCAGCAACAAAGGCAACTTGGCGCACCAGCGAGGAGGTGATGGAGTTTATGTAGACGGCTGTCACGTCGTGCCCTTTGGCGCGGAGCAGCGAAGCAAGACCCGTCGTGTTGCTCTGCACGACCTCCTGCAGCTCCTCTTGCACCCTGTTTGCCAGGGACACTGTCGTCGATATCCGCAGCGTCACGCGCACCACCGGCTCTGTCAGCACCCCAGCCGGTGGCGTGAGTTGGCCTGCACACCAGACGGGACAACCCCTTATCAGCAAGGCTACTGTCTCCAGCGTGGGACTTTGAGATAACTGAGATTTAGGGACCTGATAGTTGCTTGTGCGCAAAAGTGGCCTTCAGCACGTTGGCCTAACGCCTGGCTGGACCTGCATGCCCCTCAGAAGCCACTGACACTTGCGCAGGCCACACCAGATGTTGACGGAATTTCTTGAGACACTACCAACGGGACTTGTGGGCGCGTTGGCAAAGCGAGAACATTATGTCTGTTTTCCGCATATGCATGTTCATGCAGCCATGCGACATGCAGAGCACAGCAAATTGCTCGCACCTGGCTGTGGCACGCTCTGCAGCAGCGCCCGTCTGCGGCCGCTAGCCCTACCCATGCTGGCGAGCGGCGAAGCAGGCTGCCCCGCCAACTTCACAGCCGCCAATGTCCCTGCAGCATTTCACATGCCGCTTTCAGGGATCACATCAGCCGGGATTCCACCAGCCGAAATTCCTTCACCCTGGGCTTTGATGCCAGCAGCTTACAGCCTCAACCGGCATGGTACCGTCACTTAAACTTCACAATCGCTGCTGCCAATACACATATCACACCAGGAATTTTTTGAACAGCAAAATTCTCAAGGAGGGATTCCATCGCGCCTAGGGAGACTAATAGGATTACCTGAAGGAGGGAGTGCTCCAGTGTAATTTACCGATGCGGGCTTGGGGGACTTGAAGACGGCATTCGTGCCGAACAGGTTCATGAGGGACTCCGCCGATGGGCCGGACGCCGGCAGGAATTCCTCAACAGCCAGCAGCTCAATGTTGTCCAGCGTGATGTCTTCTATGGAGGCGTCCAGCGCCACAAGGAAGTCCACACGGTCCTGATAGCCGAATGGCTGGATGTTTACGCCATGCACCTGCAAGCCATAAGATAAGGCTGAGTCAGCTTGCCATCCAACACCACAAGAGGCACTACATCACCGGCCCTCATGACCGTGCCCTCAACGTCAATCCGCTACAAGAGCCAAGAAGATACAGCCTACTGCTACGCAATCCAGCCGCCCTCAATGGCACATGCGTTGCTTCTAGTTGAGGTACAAGCAATACCCCCTAGCAAGTGATGCAGGCTCAGGAGGTGGAGAAGGCACCTCCATGACGACCAGTAGGTAGGCAGTCTGGTCGAGGGAGGGTGCAGGCGCAAGCGCCTTGTCTGTCGCCGCTCGCATCCCGTCCAGTGGGGACTGCGCCAGGGAGCGGCGGTGCACTGCGCGGCGACTAATGGCGCGAAGCGCTGGCGCAGGTGGCGTTGCCTCTCTAGCACCCGCCCGGAATGATGCCTGAAACAACCCCAAGACGCGCTTCGCATGGTCATCCCACGATCTGTCAGCCTGCGGCGCTTCCGCATACGAGGCACTCTCTGCAGGCTGCGCATGCGTACTGGATTCCAAGCTCTTGCTCGCAGCAGGTGCTAAGGCTGCAGCATTCTCTTGTGTCCAGAACCCTCTGCTGGAGCTGTCCCGCGGCCAGGTTTGCTGCCATGTGCCGCTGCCTGCTGCCGAATTCTGCCGCTGCTGCAGCAGGCTAGTGCAGCAACCCGGGCTGAGCCAGAGAAGGCCCAGGCACAGCAGCAGACAGGCTCTGCTGCAATGACGCCTCTTACCTTCCATCCTGCAATCCATAAAGCGGATTACCTGGTTTACTCCTATCTACACAAGCACACTCACTTCCTGCAAGTTTGGGAGAACCTTATCAAAAGATAGTGGTGACGTGGTAATCCTCAGATTTTGCGATACTGCCTTTCGCGATCCATATATTTCAGTGTTGAACTTGACTTGAGTCCGTCATTGCGAAATGACACCATGACGAAGTTGCTTGCTAATACATGCTTTCCCCAAGGACACAGGGCGCTCTGAACTCCAGACAGGGTGCGTGCAAAGCACTTACAGTACATTAATATCCTTAAAAATAAAGTCTGTGCGCCGATGCTGCACTAAAATCCAAAGCTTTCAGATATATGTGCGTTTTAACAGGAAAGGGTGCTCACATGCACTTCTTCCATCTCCTATGGCCAGTCAGACGCCTCTGAAAGGCCTCATATATCACGAGGGTCGTTGAATGCGCGGGATTGAGACCCACAGATGACAATCTAGCCAGTCCCCTCACAAGAGTCCCAATGCTGATGCACTGCCTTTTAGTGCCACCTCATATGACAGCCCTGCATTGTGCACGTCTGGCGATACTTCGGACAGACTTCAAGCATTCCCAAAGGAGTGCAAGCTGCCTCGGGCACCACTCTGCAACACCGGGGCCAGCCCCAGGAAGCGTGTGAGCTGAGCGCATCGTCCAAACATTTCATACCCTTGACAAGGGGATTGGACGAATGCCCTATCAAACCCTTACCTTGGACCCTCTGCAATTTTCAGCTATTCATGTCTTTACTGATCACTTCCACTCCTCGGATTTATTTGTATATAGTGCTGTAAAGTTGGGCGTGTATTTTCCACATCGAATGTATGCTGCAGACGCTCTGCGTGTATGCCCTATGTAGGGTTTGCCGACCTTGAAATAATAAAAATGCGCGTCGCGCGCAGCGCAGCACATGCATGCCACTGATGCATTAGACCACATGGGCACCCGCTGGGCGTGTGACAGGACATCATGATGAGTTGTAGCTATATAGTAATCACATGAGAGCTTGTATGGGTGATCATGATCGGCACACAGAGCCATCTTAACCTTACTGATAGTTGGCAACATCCTTGCATCAGCATTTATCCTGCAGCAACCCATCTTGATGATAGACCCAAGATCTCTCCTACAGCTAGATCTTGCTAGTACCAGCGTCAAATCAAGTTTATTATCTGATGGTAATACACAGCGCCGCTGTAGCGGCAGCTGCAAGACAGCCCAAACCCATTGCTACATCACTCGAGCTGTTCAAGCTTGGCCTGACTCAGAAATTCTGACTGCTTCATGAGCTCTGTCAAGGCATCCGCCGTCTCAGGGCCAAACTTGCGGGCCAGCAGTGGGCATGCTGTCGCCAGGTGCAGCCTGTATGGCGCGGTCCAAGATGCACACACACTTGTGTTGAACCCGCTGAAGTGCACCAGCTGTTGCTGCGCTGCCTGCATCACCAGCCTGTCCTCACAGGCCGGCATGTCCGGTTTCCTCAGAGCCCGGACCCTGGAAGCAAGCATAAATTTACCCCTCAGCGGACATGCATGCTTTATACTTATAACAGTCTCTACACTGAACTGCAGTCCTCTGCGTTTCACAGATACATGCAACACCGCTGCTGTCAGGATTTCGCCAGGGCTGTGCACCACTGTGCATGGTTGTTTGCTAGCTTATGCATTTATGCACAATGCTTGCCAGAAAGTTGAGGCATTCCTGAGTCGTCGTGAGAAATACCCATCATGGCCGCAGACTTGGGCTTATTTGGTTATACTTGCAAATGAGATGTGCACCCAATTCTCAGATTCTTGATTGGGTGCGCACCCCTCGGCTGTGATTGACTCAAGTGGGATCATCTGCGATTTTGTATCATCTACTCCTGAATTGGTGAGACTCGCTCCACACGCCGTCTCGTTTTCAAAGCCCTTGAAGGACAGTAGCGTGGCAAAGTAGTGCTGCTCGCTGAAGCATTCGCGCCACCTATCATGGTGCCAGCCTCTCAGTTTGCACTATCCTGTGACCCAATACTCCATCCATGGCATTATATACGGCAGTCCTTGTGTGACCTGCAGGGTCTTGGAGGCGCAAAAGAGGGTAAAGAACGCAAAGCATGAGCAGCACACATGTTCAAGTTTGGATTCCTGGGGGAGCAGTGCCTTGAGACGTTGGCGTCAGTGTGTTGGCAGTTCTCAGCAAATTCCCGCTCCACAGTGCGGTCCTCGACGATGATCTCAGCATGGCGCCTGATCAAGGCAAACCAGGTGTCTGCCCTGCGCCAGTGCTGGAACTGGAAGCTGGTGTTCTGCAGGCTGCCCACCCATCTGCCAGGCTTCATCTTGAACTGCATGCACAGCAGTGACAAATGACTGGACTGGTTAGCTGAAGGAGAGATCATAGTGGCATGCTTGAACAGCGTCATCAACGTGAAGAAGCAAACTGCAGATCATGATGCTCGAGGGTTGCATGCATGGGAAGTACAGGATTGTGGCTCATGATCTGCTTATGAACAACTCGGAAACTCAGGAGAAACTACAGGGGACAGGCGTTTCCCTGGAATCTAACCATCACAATGTAGAAAATGGACTCATGAAGCCGAGTGAGAAGGCAACAGATATGTAAGACGTTTCTGAGTGTGCAGTGAAAGGACGACCTACGTACCATTGGGCCGAGGCAGGCAGAGAGTCGGCTGGTCTGCTCTGCCATGAGCTGCACATAGATGACGGTGGGTGGGTATAGTGGAATGTCCCACTCTGACAGCAGTACAAAGCGTTGATTCATCGCATCATTTAGTGCCTCCTTCAGCAGCCCTCGGATGGCTGCGGTTAGAGAGTGGGTACCCCATTGCGTCTGCACCACAACAAGTGCTTGACTTAAAACTTTCTTTCCGTCCCTAAACTTTTGTGTCCCTTAATCTGTACCAATAGTCGTGAAACTTCCAGGTATGCAAATTGATGGACGTAGTGAGTGAATTGAAGACTGAAACGCCCACCTTGACCCTTAATGGTATGACCCGTCCATAAAAGATGCTCTCACGTGGAAAGCCTGGTCAGGCAAACAGACACAGTCAGCTTCCACATGGAAACAATTTACATCACAATGAAGTCCTATCAGGGAGTCCAGCAAGTGCGAGTATCCAAAGCCAGCATGCTCTAGCCCAAGGCTGTGATTCTTAAGAGCAGATTGACACCTGCAATGTTCTCGTTTGAGCCGACATGGACGTAGAGGGAGAAGAGGTGCTGCTGCTGCAAAGCGCCGCGGCCGCCACTGGTTCCGCAGGTGTGGCCTGCAGTGCTGATGGCCTCGGCAGTGCAGGATATCTTCTGGAGGGCCTGAATGGGCAGCATGCCCTGAACGGCCTCCAGCCACATGCGCCAGGTGTCGTGGTGCTGCAGGTATCCCCTCGTCAAGAACAACAGCGCTACCTGTGTCAGCGGAATAGCCCAATAAATGAATGCTCCTGACAGAGCTGCTGGGTGACGCGGTGAAACCACATAGCACTAGTGTCTTGAAGTCCCGGTATGCACTCATGCGTGGCATCTTTTGGCGAGTCTTTCTGTTGTAACGTCTAACTCTTTTAGGCCTTGACAGGCCTTTGAGCTTGCCTTGGGTATTTCCAGGTTCTCTGCGCAGGAGTCCTGCGCAGGTAGCCATCCAGCCTCCCGCTGGGAATGCTTATGGGACTTGTCCAGACTGTGATGCACGATTTGAGATCGTTTGCTCTTCCATTTGACCTCTGCTGTTGGGTCTCCACTCAACCCAACAATCAGCACGTGCAGTACTGCAAAAAGAAGCAATCTGGTTGGCATGCCTCATTCCAGGGTCCTTCACACTATGCGATCCCACACATCTGATCAAATCATAATATGGTTCCTGAAAACATCAGAAATTGTCTCAAGGAAAAGCAGACGTGAACGCAATGTCTCAGTCTTGCAAGTTCAATCTCGCGCCAGGTCCTTCTCGAAACAAGGTTTATGTTACTTTTATGCTAGTCCGCAGCTACCACATAGCAGAAATGCTACCTTTGCCAGATTGAATTGGTTGATTCTAATTTGATGCAAGGAATTGCAGGCTCTCTCCTTCGTGTCGGAACTTTGACTTTTCCGAAAGAGCGATGGAGATGAGTCATCAAGGTGTGTCAATGCATTCCTGCTTTGAAGAGGATTCTACATTCAGAATTTTTCTAATCCTTGTTAGACTTTGGGGACTTGCTATTGCCACTTTTTGTGGCTCGAGGTCTGCCATTGGTACAAGAGAAGGATCCACCCCAAAGTCGTTTTCAAGTGAGGACCACCGTACTAAGAGATTCTCAGTAATCTGCTTCTGGTACCAGTATATCTCCTCTTCACAGGATGTTACGTTTCGCAGCGCTGCATGTTCGTCGGATTTGGAGCAGATCACCAGTTCAATATAGGGCTTACTGTGCTACATCTGGAAGCAATATTGGTCCTGTCAGCCAAGCCCTGGTGAGATGCCCACTTGCAGAAGTTTCTGCAATTCATAAAAATGCGAGATGATTAATCGTACGGTATCTGATCATCTTTGAAGGTGACAAAGCAGGGTTGTCGTGGCATGCCGTTTTTAATATTCATGCTCAAACAACTTCTGTAACTCGAAGACCTACATTGGCATGCAGAAAGAAGCTTTGGAGACGTGCAATTTCATAAATGCATCAGCTGATCAGGTAATGCCTCCCTGGTGCTTTGTGACTTGCAGGAGATCCAAGCGCTAGCAAGTGTTCAGGTCGCGGGCTGATGTAATTGTATCTGCTCATTTTGAGAGTCAACTTACTTCCTTCCATGCGATGCAATTTCTGAGGCTTGCTTGACTGGTGCCTGTGATCCAGGCTTACCTGGAGACTGACCCTTCGGCCCGGGTGACAAAGGATGAGTACGTCATGCAGTACCAAAAATTTGCCAGGGACGACTTGGAGCGTGCGCTGCAGAAGTATGATGCCCTTCACAGCACAATGGGTGCGCTGCTCCTGCAAGCTCAGCTTGAAAAGGCCCTGCATCACCGTGGATCCTGCCTTACTGTTCTGGGGTTTGGTCCTGGCCAGCTGGTGTGCAAGTGCTGAGTTTGTCAAGAGCATGCACATGCGTGAGGTGTGATGTTATCATAGGGACGTATTTCAGCAGCAATGAGATTCAGATGGGTTGTGATAAAAAACAGCCCAACAACTTGCTCGCAGGTGAGGATGAGATGAAGCAGCTGAAGAAGGCAGATGTGCAGTTTGCAGTGACCGTGGCTGACTCGCTCCTGGCGAGAGACAAGCTTACTAAAGCACTCAGGTAAGGCCCGAGAATACTGTGCTCTTTCAAGGACGATAATATTTTTTATGTCATGCCACCAGTAAGTCGGCTGAGAGTAGGGCTGTGTCATATCTGGCATGCTGTGGTCGTCAAAGAGCATGCATGGCTTGTGATCTGAGCTGCACGCACCTTGCGATGCGCAGAAGCGGCCAGGAAAAGCTAAGGGAGAAGCATATCTCTGGGCTCAATCGCGAAGATCTTGTATTTTGTGGAGATTGAGGGTGTGGAGGCTGATAAGCAGCAAAATATATAACAAATATCAATTCAATGGGAGCAGCAGGAGTCTGCACACAAGTGCTGGCACAGAGCGGGTCACCCATTACTGTTATCAGGCGCATTTCTATGCGCTGAAAAGTAGACCATTGGTGTAGTAATATTAGTTGCTTTGCATTGTCAAAGATGCAGTATCCTGCAGGTCGTTAAAATAAGGTTGTCAGTGGCAATAGTTGGTGCACTGCAGTGCGTGTACATGTTGTATTCGTCTGGATCCTATCTTCTGTAGCTCTTTGCTTTTCATCTTTATACATCTGCCATCCAGTGCAGATTCTATGCAGTCTACCACTTGACACTGATTAGTAGGAGATGTAGACAATCTCTTGAAGTTGACAGGCCCAGGCCCACTTGCAATAGTTGTCCCTACTGGAATACTGAGCTGGTGCATGTACATTAGAACAGACAAACAAACAATGGAAGGTGCACTATATCTGTAACATTACTATAGTAGCCACTATAAAGCTGCTCGTGATTTTGTCATCCAGCAGTGATCAGCTGAGCGCACGTGAGGCTAGCTAGCTGTACCAAATGTTTATTTGGGCAGCATATGAGCATGTGGATGCAGCGAGATTGCCATGCATTGCTGCAACCTCTGCCTGTACTACAGTGAGACTGTTTGATCCTTGAGCAGACTGTTTGAATCATGGCGCATCGATCAAGACAATTTGCAGGCATTCGTTCTGCACCGGCAATCTGCATTATCTTGATACCACAGAAAAGAGCAAATGCATGGCATGTTCCACAGAGTCTTAGCAGTCAATCAATCAGTGAGATATGCATTCCTCAAAGATGGCTGCAGACTTCATGCAGCATCTTTATCCCTTGCGGCATTTTTACGGTCAATCGGCCAGTTAGCACGCTAAAACAGCCACAGGAAAACAATAGCAGCATTATGATATCCCAGGCACAAGAACAGAACAGGCACCGCAGCACAAAGCAGCATGCCCCAAATCCTTACTTGGTTCCCATTCGCTAAGTTGACGTGCCCAGCCATCTCACAGAAACAAGTGTGTCAAATTCAAATGCCGTGGCATGACCTTGCTGATACTGTATTCCCCTCTGTCCCCAGGCAGACATTGTGCGCTTCCAATGCTCCTACAACCAGGCGGCTATTATTGCTGTTCAGGTGCATGGAAGTGGGGGGGAGCTGCTCTGACCGAGCATATAAGTTTTCACTCACCCGACATGCCTTGAACTGACGTGACGACACAAATGCAGCGGCTTACGGGCCCAAATACTGGCGCCACTCACTCTGGAAAAAAGTGTTCCTCGAAAATCACATGAGGCTTGCTGCAGGCTGACTGCAGGTGAGCGATCACTACTCAAAGAAAGCAAGGTTGGGCCCATTGCTGGGGCGGCCGCGCGGCGGCGTTGGGGGCCGCTCCTCATTGATGGCTGCCATCCAGGTGTCTGTCATGGGGTGGGGCGTGTTGGGCTCCTCTTCCACATCATCTGCATCGCTGGACTTGGGCGTGTGCGGCGTGTTGGGCGGCAGCGGGTGGATCAACTTGGGCACCATCACCAAATCCCGACCCAGCACCAGGATGGCGCCTGTATGAACACAGTCTGTCTTCGTCATGCATGCCAGCCTGAAGAGCAGAATCAAGTGGGCCGAAACATGTTAGCACCATCATTGAATTAAATTTCAGGAGTCAATTGTCTGGCATCGTCCAGTCTGCCACCTGTGCTGATGTTATTAGAGCCATGCACATACCACACCATAGCTTGATGAGGCGCCCTTCCAGATTCAGTGATTGACAGGTCTAATACATGACATATTTGTCGGGTGAGCGACCCTTCAGCAATTCCTGTATTTGAGTGGCAGCACACACCGGCATTATTGGCAGTGCCGCAGTAGTTGGTGGCGGAAAAGAGGGTGATGAGGTGGCCCTGCGCAAAGCGCTCGAAGCCGTCCATCACGCACTCGTGCGCGCGCACAATCATCTGCAGCCCATTCATCTGCACAGCACAGGAGCACATGTCAGTCTTGACATGTTGCAACTCCTGAGAGATATCATCTTCTGCAGACACGCACTGTCCAGCTCTAAGGGCCTGACGATGCAGTGAATGAAAGCACCTGAAATAAAACATTGTCCACACAAGGCACAACCCCCGAAACAGGGCGAAATCATAAATTGAGGCAGGTATCCCAGGGGTGCAACTGCAAATCTAGTGACACCCAGAACCACCGCACGGCTGATTGATTGCAGGCGCGGAGTGGGCGCACCTTGCAGAACTCCTTGACGCGGTCGGGGCCGAATGTGACCAGGCCGGGCCCGCGCGGCGACGGCTGCACGCCCTCCACGCCATCGTTGGTGGTGGGGTCGCTCCACAGCAGGTCCATCAGCACCACACCCCCGTCCTCCATGCTCAGCGGCCGCTGTAGAACGTCAATCTGATCCACCCGGCTGATCGAACGCCCGATGCCTGCGCATCGCTGTGCGAGTTTAGCAGGGCTGCAGACTAGCACGTAACGAGGTGAGCAGGACAGTCGCAGATACCGATAGCATGCACTGCAGAAATTTGTCGTCACATGGGGCAGGCTGAGCCGCCCAAAAATTTCTGAGTAGCTGGCCACACACGCCTCAGAGAGCAAAGGGCATGCTTGCCCTTTGTAGTACACCCCTGCATATATCCCTGGAAACTGCATCTCTGCTAGATTGAACAATAGTGGGGCTTGATTTCGGAGTAGCGCAACAAGGATCCTGATTGCAACGCCCTTGGCATGGGGCGCACCGCCGTGCATGCAGATGATGCGGTCTTCGATGAGGGCTGCTAGCGGCAGCCAGTTGAAGAGGCTGTTCAGGCGCTGCCAGGCCCACAGCCCCTGCTGGTCCCCCATGCGCTCTATGCACTCCAGTCGGAACCCAAACAGCGCGTTTATGTCGGCCGCCTGAGCGTGTGCACACCACCCATGATGAGCAACTAAATGCGCATGAAATCTGCTCATCCAAACTACAGTATCGAGAATGTGAGAAGGCCAGCTGAATGTGCAGATATGAAGTCCATCTTGGCATGCATCAGGATTTCTTACAATGCCTCAGGCCACTGCACAACTTAGGCAGTCTGCATAAGAGTGAAAGAAATGCAGAGGATTACAGCGACGCAATGGTTTTTAGTAACCAGCAAGAAAATACCAGGGGTGACAGGAGGTGCTTGCCTCGTGGTTGCCGCGTATGAGGTGCACAGATTTGGGGTGCTCAATCTTGAGCGCTAGCAGCAGGCAGATGGTTTCCAGGGAGTGTGCACCGCGGTCGACGTAGTCCCCCAGGAACAGGTAGTCGATGTAGGTTATATCCCCCGCCGTGGAGGGCGTCCCATACTCCTCAAAGAGCCGCATCAGATCCCCAAACTGACCATGCAGGTCCCCAAAGATCTTCACAGGCGCTGCAGTGCAATCACAGAGGCGCAGTCAGACCTTTGCACAATTATAAGCATTGCACGAAAGTCCTGGAAGAGGGACTCAAGTGCCTAAGCAAACAGGAAATAAAAGTTTACAAGTCAGCTGTGTCTGTACCACCTGTTTTCTGACCTGAGCATCTGGGCAGAGCGATTTTATGAAGGCCGCACAGTACACCAACTTGACCTTGATTTGGAAAGCAGGAGAGCGGCAGCACCTCTGAGGCGCAGCACGGAGGCTTCCTGCTGGAAGACGCGCTCGGCCTGGTCGCACAGCGTGTTGATCTGGTCCCCATCCAGGATGAAGCTGCGGTCCTCCGGCGGCTTCCACTGCCGCGGGTTCAGCAATTCTCGCAACACAGTCTGCACAGCACAGCACAGGAGGACTCAGCATTGGCAACAGCAGGACAATGGCAAGATCAACGGCTGCCACTGTCAGGTTCCTCCAGTTGGCTTTGTGATCAAAGTTTCAGCGCTCTCAAGTCCGGCACCAAGGCAGGGTCAGGCCGGAACGATAGACAGGTTTCACAGCCATTGCAGTACCTTATGTATGCTGCCAGGATCCATGCTGTGGGTGAAGATGGGTGTACGGCCGTCTGCTGGAAGCTTGACTGCACTCTCGGCCCCCATCACTCTGCGCCCCTCGTTCTCGAATTGATCTATGCTGAGCTGCCGTACCAAGCCCCTCAAGGATCCCGTGCCCTCCTGCAGCAGCACCGCTTGAGCATTTGAGTGCAGTGACCTTCTTGTGTGGCATCATACAGAGCTGTCATTCAAAGGATTCTGGTAAATAGTCTGGAATACAAGCACTTTCAAAACATCCCAGACGGTAGGCAGTAATTAGGTTCATGGGAACATGCAAGTGAGATACAGCTGCAGGGCGTGGACTTGCCTGTGCCACCACAACTGCTCTGTGGTACAGTCTGACGTCGGGAGTCGGCGGCGTCCGTGGGTCCAAGCCTCGCTGATGCAGAGACAGGCTGGGAGAGCCACCCCTGGAGTTGGACAAGTCCTCCTCTGGCCTCCCCGCCATCCTGGAAAGCAAGCAACCATCATTTAAGTACATCCCCGAGCATGCCTGCACAGCTGTACCTTCTAATCCCCAAGCTAAGCAGGAAACAATGTACCACAATTTGTAATGCCAAGCAAGACATGTGAAGTCAGCTCTCTCAAGTCCACTGCACCGTCACCAAATCCAGCTTTGAACAGTTGCAGGTGCTGAAGAGATTGGGAACCAGCCTTGCAGCGTGACCATTGTCTTGCCACTCATCTGCAAAGTTCACAGGGACTGGAAATGGTATTGTAAAGAAGCAACAGGTCGCCAGTGCATTTGCTCGCTTCTTCACAATCGGAGCACTCACCTGCGCCCTACACTGTCCAGATTTTCGTCCAGGCAGCGCAAGTCCTCTACAGCTCCCACCCTCCTCACGCCAAGTGCAGCAGCCGCAGCTGCCTCCTCAGCCGCCGCCGCAGCCAGCATCTCTGCCCCGGCCGTCGTCCCATGCGCAGCATCTAGCCATTGCCGCCTGCACAATCATGTGCGTACACTTGCCATCTCATATGTCGACAATGGAAGCCATACGCCCGTCTCTTCACCACATACATAAAAAAGCACCTGAGCGTGAGGTGCAAGGCGAGCATCTGGAATCTGAATTGCACATTGCACAAGTTCACACCTGAATGAACCTTCATGCCTGGGACGCCTCGTTCTTGTGGCCAGATCTAGCCAGGATCAGGGAGGGCGCATTGAAGCATGAGGCTTACCAGGCGCCTGAGCGTGGGTCGCAGATGGACAGCTCTGATCCGCTGCTGTCATCTGCAAGCAGGAAGTCGTCTAATAGTGCGCTGCCTCTCAGCCCACCGTATGTGAACACGTACTGCCCAACCGCTGCCACTGCATGCCTGCACCGGCTGTTGGCAGCACCACTCGCTCAGCACAGCATGGTCACACCTCTGAGAAAAGGTGCTGAACAGTTGCTAAGAATTCTGCTCCCTTGAGGACCCAGGCAAATCCAAAATTGCCATGCGGTGATGTGGCTTTTCCAAAAGACGCTGCAACAGCAGATGGCGCTCAATTCTAGAGACAACCTTGTGAACAAGGCCAAGACATAATATGCATCAAGGGTGGCGAGGACGGCCAGCTGTCAGATCGTGCATGTGGCTTCAAGCACAGCAAAGGGAGCAATGCGGCACCTGCGAGCCCAGTCATCGGCGCCGTCATCGGCCACGCCGTTCATGGCAGAGGGCTCGGCCTGCGTGCACCAGGTGCCAGCAGCTGTGTCCAGCACCACGATGGAAGACTGGTCGTCCACCATGCGGCCGCCGCCCACAGCGCCCCCAGAGATGTGCAGCCGCGCCCCCACAAACACCGCCCCATGCTGATACCGTGCCGTCGGCATGTTGCCTGCTCCATGCACACCACCACCAATGAATTATTTCCGATCTATCCCATTCTACAGACATAGGGTGCTAGGACCATACATGCCTTCACCAGCAACAGCTGAGGCCTGTCCAGCAGAATAATGAAGCAGGAAATTGTCATGGTTGAAGACTCTGGTCTGTACTGCACTGTGCAGCGCGCTTTATCATAGAGTACAGGATGCCCCAGAAAGCTATTTAATACCAGCTATCAAAGTTTTGAGAGAGGCTCTCAGCACCTGGGGCTGCGGCCCACTCCCAGCGTCCATCCCTATGCCTGGCTAGGCCATAGGCATCGCCCAAGGGAACGCCCTCCGCATCGCGCCCGCCGCACAACAGCAGCAGCCCGTCTGACCTCGCGGCTGCTGTTGCGTACATCCTGAAAGCACACCATAGACTCCTTGTTGAGACAGAAATGCGGCAGATCATGCAGCGCACTTCATAGGCAGGATCATCAAATCAAAGGGCAGATGCAGGTGGCCATGATCAGGTCCTGTTGTTGACATGCATGTTGGCGATCCCGCCACCCCACATCCTGCAGTGATCAGGCTTCTGAAAGCTGGGGTAAAACTATTCAGGACCACCCGAGCGCGTACTACGCATGACATTCAGGACGGTCTTGGAGGAAGGCACTATTCACACCAGGATGGCATTGGGCGCGACTTACCTGGCATTGGGTGTGTCACCAGCGTCAGTGATCTTGCGCCACTGGTAGGGCTTGTCAGAGGTGTCCAGCGCCCAGGCGTCCGCCAGTGTCTGCTTGCCGTCATTGCCGCCCATGGCCACCAGGAAGCGGTTGGCCACCAGTGCCAGTGTGTGCGCATACCGTGCACTCGGCCCCGGGCCCTGCACCATCACCCTGCACAAGGCAGTCTCATCAGATCAAGGATTGGTCATGACTTTGTGCAGAATGAAACGCAACAGGACACTGCTGTCTGCCTCCTCTCTGCTCTCCAAGGGGTCTAGCGGGGGCTGTTTTCCTATATTTTATGCCGCCAATGCTTCATGTACTTCGTCAAAGTGTCTGTTGGCAAAAGGACCAAGGCAGCTAGCACCTCTGTCAGTGCCTAGACACTCTGCCATGTTTAAAGCTTCATGTCACAGACGTCTACAGAAATACATGCGGTGTGGGGCTGTGAAATCGTGCCTGTGCCACCGGGGGCGGTCAAATTCGGTGAAGTCAAGGACGTGCAGGTCTTCGGAGGCGAGCCCTGCCGGCCCAATGCCACCCTGAATGACCACCATGCTGCCCACGGCAGCAGCTGCATGCGCGGCTCGCGGCGACGGCGGATCCCCTTGTGGCACCACCTGTTCCCACTTCCCGCTCCTCACATCCATGATGTGTACGTCACTCGTGGCTCCCGCCAATCTTATGCCTGCAAGGCAAAGACCACTCAAACCTTTGTCCGCTTCATGGTAGCTCCACAGTAAAGTCTAGCTGTATCCATCAGAAATGTTGCTGGAGCCTGGTCTGCAATTAAACCACTTGGCATGACAGCATCAGATATGTGGGTGACAATACTGGGTGTTATACTGGCAACTAGTGTCGTGCATAAAATCGGTGAGATGCCACGAGCTACACTGATGTGCAACGAAATTGAGAAGCAGAAGGCATAGGAGACTAGCGTTGTTGCAGGAGACACCTTATATGCCACAACTGACCATCTCACAGCCCTGCTCCAACTCTGTTCGCTTCGACATTGTAATTTATTAGACCTACAGAGCTTGCCCTTGCGCAAAATTTGAGCCTGCTCACGCTTTGATATGAGGCTGTCTGAGCCCGATGAATACCTGAACCAGAGGGAGCTCCTGGAGATGCTGGGGGGCCTCCATCTGTCCTCTGTGACCCTTCCAAAGCTGTGGCTCCCCCTGCACAATGAAAACAGAGCTTACTTTCAGTGTGGATACTCAATATCTGAGACATATGGGCCTAATAATGGAGGTATGCCCATAAAAACAGGATTGCTGAGTCAATCTCCGATACGAATGCTCTCTCATTTTGATCCAGGTAGAGTATTAAGGCTTTGGATTTTAAGAAATGTACAAAATGAGCCAGAAAGGAAGTTTGACACACCAGAAGGCGAATTGCAGGAAGATACATCCCATGCACCATTGAGGGTTCTGACAGGACAAATCCTTCCTCCGGCATCATGGTGATGTCAAGACCCATTGATTAAGAACAGATGTGTGTTTGTGCAAGACGGCTCCTCACCAAACATAACGAGCTTGGCTGCAGAGAACTCTCCCTCCGGACCAGAAATTGCTGTCAAAGTGTGTCCACATCGTGGTCCAGGTGGATTTCCAACGCACGGGAAAGGCCTTGGACGGGGAGCTGGTGCCGGAGGCGCTTGATCGGGCTCCATCCCTAGCCGCTCTCCCTAGGCAACTCTGCTTCAGAGCTCCCAATTAAGTCATTCCTCCAGATTGAAGAATCGCTTGTCTGGCACTGCCCTTCTCAAAGCTAATGCTGATCCCGCTTCCACAGCAGCCTTAAAAGAGTGCTCTTCATAAACGACTTCGTCAAATATTGTTTTTGGTTAGGTCTGGTTAATTGTGTTCCGAGGGAAAGGCGCATGTGGAGTGGGTGTACTGGGGAGCTTCCTCGGGATTAACCCTTCCAAGTCAACAATCTTGGACAAGTAAAGACTAGTAGATTGGACGTTGGGATGGGAACAACCATCGGTGACAAAATCTCGGAAATGCAATTTTACAGTGATGAAGGGTCGTTGCACCTTGCCCATAGGAGTTGCCGTCCCTTTGATTGCTTGATGTTCCCTTCCTGATTTTGGGTACCAGCTCTCTGTGTCCGATAGCATGAAAGTGTGCTTCTGATAATGTGTTTCAAATGCCAGAATCTGAAAAGTCTGACGATGATGAGGTCCCCGATAAGAGCAATATCCAGATATATTTGCGCATCCGCCCTGTCTCGGAACCATCGGAGTGTATACAAATAGTAGACGACGAAAATCATGTCCGCTTCGATGTCCCTCGGAAGCTCAACCAAGGGTGATCTATTATACTATCTGTGTATCTTCTATTGCAGCAGTCTTTCTGTGGGGCACTGCATTTACTGACACCAGCCTGTAGCCACAGGCTTGTGAACAACCAGAAGGAAGCTCATCATTTCACATTCAACTCGCTCTTCTCAGCCAGCAGCACTCAGGAGGAGGTTTGCTCTCTGCACTGTGCCTCTGCTGCATCCACAGATGGGAAATTGCTTGAAAAAATCCCCTGCAGCAATGCTGTTGTGTCATGCAACTCCTGGAATTGCACAGGTCTTCGATGGTGTGGCGCGCGACTTGGTGCTACAAAGTTTGGATGGCATCAATGGGACCATCTTTGCCTATGGCCAGACTGGTTCTGGAAAAACTTTCACCATCACTGGTGGACCTCAACGCTACGCAGATCGAGGCATCATTCCCAGGGCCATCGCCCTCATGTTTCACAGCATTGCAGAGCGCACCGACACGGAATATAAGGTATGATCAACGCTCACACCTGCTGTTTTGGACACACCAGGGAGATCTAGACCCATGATGCCACTCTGCACGCCAAACTGTCCCAAACTCATCAATATGTCATTGCCATGCTAAGGTTGCAACGATTGGCTGATTTTGAGTAAGTGTCGTATTGCTTGAAAGGTCCATGGCATGCAGCCTCCCAGCCAGCTGGGCGTCTATTTGTGTTTCCAGAGAGTTTGGTCAGGGTTGACATCCCAGGGAATCCCCCTTGGGACTGGGCCTATGGCTTCTGTGTTTTAGCGCGGGCTTGTGGTGTTTGGGCAGCACTGTATCTTTGTTAAGTCCCTTTCAACTTGAGCCCTCGATTGTGGTGGATTCCTATGCTCTCTTCAATACATTTAAGCAGTCCCGCAAACACACAGTATGGCAGGCACCTCCAAGGAGCCAATGATCTTGGCGCTTATCAGGTCATGACTTGCACAGGTGCACGTGTCCTACCTGGAGATATTCAATGAGGCAGGCTATGACCTGCTGGACCAGGAGCGTGAAGTGCGGCTTCTGGAAGACTTGCAGCGCATCCATATACTGGAGGATGAGGACGCTGTCATACACACTCGCAACCTCTCAATGCGGCGCGCAGACACGGAAGAGGATGCTTTGAACCTCGTGCGATTCTGCCATTAATGTAGAAGCAAGCTGGAAGCACTGCCTGAAGGCCATGCACACATAGCCCGTTCATGCAACCATCAATGCATTCCACTGATGTGCTTGAAGATATATTGGTGTGCTTAGTATGCACTGGTGAGTGCATCTGCGGCCTGCTCTTACTTGCAGAATATTAATTGAAGGGCGAGGCAAACACTTTGAATTCTCTGTCAGAACACGTCCTACCGGTTGCACACTATTTAGGGATTATGTCACATTACGGTCTTTTTACTGGCACTTTTAAATCAACGTACCTTTTGTCAGGAAGGAGCTCTGCGCAGAAAGCAGCTTGCACAGTGGGCATATGCAGGATCTGACATTGATGCATGTTGTGACAGTTGTTCCTTGGGGATACCAACCGTACCATCAGTGAGACTCCCATGAACATGGCCTCATCTCGCTCGCATTGTGTGTTCACGTTGTACTTGGAAGGACGCAAGGTGCACTGATGTTCCACTGCCCAAGTGCTCTGAAAGTTTGGACAACTGAAGAAGACAATTAGAATCATTATTATTTGACAGACCTGTTAATAAGGAAGTAATAAACTGGGAAGTACCGGTACGCGTGCGCATGCAGGCTGATATTCTAAAGACATCTGCTCTTGCAGACTGGTGAGGAGGTGGTGCGGAGGTCAAAATTAAATCTTGTAGACTTGGCGGGTTCGGAGCGAGTGGCCAAGACACAAATTAATGGCACCATCTTGAAGGAAGCAAAATACATCAATCTGTCCTTGCATTATCTTGAGCAAGTCATAATTGCTTTGCAGGTAAAATACCTCATGGTTTGCAAATGTACTAAAGGAATTGAAGTCACGGGAAACGTCATTGCTAAAAATTTGTTGACACAAAGTATGTGAGACACATGTTCTTATCTAGGAGCGCAGCATGGGGCAAGCTAGGCTTCACATCCCATACCGCAACTCCATGATGACAACAGTATTAAGGGACAGCCTGGGTGGCAACTGTCGCACTGTCATGATTGCCAATATCAACGGTGCTTCAGCTCAACTGGAGGAGTCTATCTCCACATGTCGATTTGCTCAGAGGGTCGCCATGATTTGCAACTCGGTAAGTCAGCAATCGACATCTTATGGCTTCGCATCAAGATTAAAATGTTCATACTGCCAAGTTTGAAAATGTGGGCAAGCCAACATATATATTCAGTGATTAAAGATCCTTTTAAAAATCATCTGAACAGAGCTAGCTCTAGTGCCTATGTGCAAGCATGCACATATTGACATGTCTGTGCCACAGGTGACAACGAATGTGGAGTTGGACCCTGACACAATCATTAGAAACCTTAGGCAAGAGAACGAGAATCTTAAATATCAGATAAGGCACGACCTCAAGAGCATTGCTACTGCCTGACTTGTTTCGGCTTCTCAAAACTGTTCAACTTGTCAAGACATTCCATTTTTTAACATCTACAGTAATCTATATTTTATTCATTCGAGTGTGTGGAATTCCAGTGTGTTGCGCGGTGACCCTACCAAAGGTACTAATGCTAGTAGCCAAGGCGCATTAATATTTCATATGCAATCAGCCATCTTTGATACAATCGATGCATACATTGTAGCCGTTGAAACTGACAAAACTTTCAACCCGGGCCCGGGCGCCGTGACGAAAAACATGTTCAAGCTCAGGTTCGACTTTAAGATGCATCATGCATGTTAACAACGTTGTCAGCAACTTCATTTTCAATACAGATGAAATTTAAGGCCATTTTGAGATGAATGATCTAACTGTTGGGTCAAGCGCATGCACAGGTCGGCATTGATGACATTGAAAGCATCTGTTTGCAAAAGGGACACGACATCAAGTGGTGGTAATTGTCACCACATATGTGACGATAGGACCTTATTAGAGGCCTCTAAGGAGATGCGCGACTTGAAATTACAGGTTGGAGCAAGGATGAATCAATGAACAATGAAGTCACAAGCATGCGATATCATTATGATCAATATGTTATTGAAAGTTTTTATAAGGTTTGTCTTTGTACATGTGTAGGTGCAACAACGTAATATTGAGATTGCCGCACTTATAAGGATGCTACAAAAGCTAGAGGAACGAGGAGAATGGGGAGAGCAAGGTAAAGATGCAATTTCGATTCAAAACATCGTGGTGCATTTATTTGGGCACGGTATAGATCTAGATATGTCCCCATGCATGGTCAATTTCACGTCTAGAAAGGACCACCGGTGACAAAAGTGTACAAATTCGGCATATATGCTTGTCACGTCTGTGATAGCGCAACTACACAGCTTGTTACATGCAATCCCTAATCTGACCTAATGCCTGTATACGATGACCATTAATGGATAATATCTTTACGTCTGGTGTGTATCACCACCATTGTTCATAGCAATATGTATTTGCCCTGACATGATGATAAAGAGTAGCACATGGCCGTCCCACACAATTTGTTCACATTCTTGAAGTTACCTTCGCAACCGGTGCATGTCATTTGCGTAGATCGGCAATGGCTAATAAGGTCCAGAGGATGATCACGTGGGATCATTTGTTGCTCCGACTCTATATTCAAATTTCATCGCATACAGCTGGTTCACATTTTTCCTAACAATATTTGTGACAATTAATTTTTATAGGCGCACGGGGCAGTTACGGCATACCAAGCTATAGCGTACTTGTTGACAAAGACAAAGCTTTTCAGTGGTTTCACGATTTTTATCTTGATGAAGTTGTGGGGAATGAAAACATCGAATTATTGCAAAACTTGCTGCAAGAAGCCCAGATTACAGCTGAAGAGGTAACTTTCCTTTTCATTGCGAATTGCTTAGGTTTGGTTTCTTGGCAAGTGGGATTAAAAAAAATCATATCCAAAACTTTTTAAATAGAACGAGTCATATCTAAAACAAATTCCGGTATCCCTGGCAGCCCTTCGCATGTGTGCAAATTCTAATTGAATATATACATGAGTAATCAAGGTTATAACATGGCATTGGTTGCAGGTAAACACAATAAAAAGAAATGTACTTTGTGCTAAAGAAATATTGGAACAACACAAGCGCCATGAAATGCATGTCGAGCCAAATGCTATCTCTATTGCCGAGGACAATAAGTTGAAGCTCTTCATAGCAGAGGTAAGACCACGTAATTTTGGCGTTTTCAAGGTACTTCAAAGCCAAGCAAACCAATTAGCGGAATAATCCAAAGTCCTTTCAAACCAAATTTTTTGGGGCTCAACATTGTGTTTGGCTTGCGTATTCGCAATCCACTACACCGTGTACACCGGCGTTGTAATGTTATAGACTAATTGCGTGGCAGTTCAGTGGTTGAACCCAACACATAAACAACTTTGCCATGCGTCTAAAAAAGCATGTGATGTTGGGCCACCGTATTTTGGGCCAACATGTAGAGGGGATTGCGCTTAAAAGAGCTTAAATGACATGTTTAGCTTACATTGATCAAATTGAGATACAATTATGACATGATCATGCCCAACCCGACTCATCATGATGGGAAGAGAACCCCATTTGGATTGTCACAAGAGGATGGTGAAAATTATGACATTGTGTGTAATATACCTTTTTAGAGATGATTGGTGTTGCGATACATACTTTGACGCCTCTATTGTTTTATCAGGAGAAGACGAAGTGCAAAACTGCCTTTGTCCGCCTTAGGGAATTGAAGCCCGAGATAGAGCATCTCCGGCTCATCATAGACAGAGGTCGTCAAAGCACCCAACAAGACTTTGAGGTTTGGCATAGGATCATGTTGAATGAACATCACCAACGTCAAGAAGGCCCTTCCCCAAAGTCACGGTGCGGTTGAATCAAGCTCTTTTGCCATTTCTGTAATCTTGTAGTGCTAGATACTTTCATACTCAACATTGGGCTATATATTTTAGGGTTATCCAACATGGGCATACATTTGCTATCAGATCAAGATACAACCAATATTTGACGTTTGTTATATATCTTCAATGAATAGCGCTTGTGTAACAGCTTGTTATCCGGCGAGCAGACAACATCACGACCAGGCTATTCATTTGAATATCTCATAACAGATAGATCTGATCAGGAGTCCTTCACACCTAGTCATTTTCATACGGTGAGAATCGATGCCAGGAAAGAACAATAGCTAGTTGTTTCAATCCCAGCAATTTTTTGATTAGTCTAAAAAGACACATGTGTACAAAGGGAGGTTGTCACCACAGGGTCACGTGGACAATACAGTGGTCGCAAGCAAGGAACCACCCCTCAATGACCTTCTCACAGGGAATGATGAAGCGGATGCAAATATTCGAAAGTATTATGATGAGCGTGTTTCTATTGTCAACACACCCAAAAAGTGACACACTCCCCATATAAGCGTGCTATGATCAAGAGCCTAGCTCTACTATAGTATATGCATGTGACTACGAGGCCAAATGTCTTATGTTATGGTTGCTTATCGTGCTCTGCTAAGCCATACGATAAAAGGGCACATAAATTTTCTGTCAATATAATATTGCTTCGAACTAAGTTAGTTGAGCACAAATTGCCGCAAACTACATATTGCTTTGAGCCTATACTATTAGGGCTGTAGGGTTAACCAATTTAAAACAATGATTACAAGGAAGGCCAAGACCTTTGTCCCCATGTGTGCTACCTTCTCCTGGGACCCCTGAAAGTTTACAAGCAAACTATTAATTGCAACCAATTGAAAGTTGCATTCGCTAGCTAGAGGCCAGGTATTGAGCCTACCAAGATGATTTGGCCGTGCCAACACCTTATGTGCTTTAAATAACCTTTTTGCCGTGACAAGGGTTAACAAGCCAATTCTCTTCAACAAATATCATCTCTTACCGTGTATTATATTTACACCTAGTGTTTTGGGGTTGGGGTGTCCAAAAATGGACCCCGGTGTTAAGGGTGATCTTGGGCAATTTCGATGTGCTGATCACGCCTATGAAGTCCAAACTTGAAAATTCGACCTCCTTGGCTCTCTATAACGCCTCAAACATGGTTTCAGGCTAGGGTTTGCATAGGGTTGGCTCTAGCTTCTCAAAAGGGGGGCCTATGGCATAGTGGAAAGACTTGCAATGGGACATATACATATAGGGCTTTCATTTGATGCATGTCTCACCAAAAGTTACAATGCCGTTTTGGAGCTATCACACCTTGAAAAAAGTGATCATTTCCCTTCTAGTCTTGTGGAGCCCCTAGCTCCTCCAAAGGGGGGCCTATGATATAGTGCAAAGGCCTCCAATGGGACCCACTCATATGGAGCTTTCACATGATGCATGTCCCAGAAAAAGTTGCAATGCCATTTTGGAGGTAGCACACCTTTTAAGAAATCCATAAAGACCCTGGCAGCCTTCTAGAGGCTCTAGCTCCTCAAAAGGGGGGCCTATGGCATAGTGGAAAGACTTGCAATGGGACATATACATATAGGGCTTTCATTTGATGCATGTCTCACCAAAAGTTACAATGCCGTTTTGGAGCTATCACACCTTGAAGAGAATGATCATTTCCCTTCTAGTCTTGTGGAGCCCCTAGCTCCTCCAAAGGGGGGCCTATGATATAGTGCAAAGGCCTCCAATGGGACCCACTCATATAGAGCTTTCACATGATGCATGTCCCAGAAAAAGTTGCAATGCCATTTTGGAGGTAGCACACCTTTTATGAAATCCATAAAGACCCTGGCAGCCTTCTAGAGGCTCTAGCTCCTCAAAAGGGGGTCCTATGGCATAGTGGAAAGACTTGGAATGGAACATATACATATAGGGCTTTCATTTGATGCATGTCTCACCAAAAGTTACAATGCCGTTTTGGAGCTATCACACCTTGAAAATAATGATCATTTCCCTTCTAGCCTTGTGGAGCCCATAGCTCCTCCAAAGGGGTGCCTTTGATATAGTGCAAAGGCCTCCAATGGGACCCACTCATATAGAGCTTTCACATGATGCATGTCCCTTCACTGTGCCTATATTTAGGGTTTACATTTTTTAGGATTTAGGATTTAGGGTTTAGGGTTTCGGTTTAGGGTTTAGGGTTTAGGGTTTAGGGTTTAGGGTTTAGGGTTTAGGGTTTAGGGTTCAGGGTTTAGGGTTTAGGGTTTAAGGGTTTTAGGGTTTAGGGCTTAGGGCTTAGGGCTTAGGGTTTAGGGTTTAGGGTTTAGGGTTTAGGTTTTAGGGTTTAGGGTTTAGGGTTCAGGGTTTAGGGTTTAGGGTTTAGGGTTTAGGGTTTAGGGTTTAGGGTTTAGGGTTTAGGGTTTAGGGTTTAGGGTTTAGGGTTTAGGGTTTAGGGTTTAGGGTTTAGGGTTTAGGGTTTAGGGTTTAGGGTTTAGGGTTTAGGGTTTAGGGTTTAGGGTTTAGGGTTTAGGGTTTAGGGTTTAGGGTTTAGGGTTTAGGGTTTAGGGTTTAG